GTGCAGTATAATGCAGTCTTGTTAGAACTACCTATTTGTTGTAAAAATTTTCTTCTGAAGTGGTTGAGTTTGGTGTGTTTTCAGATGTTGATGCAGCATGTGATGCAGAAATATTGTTTTCAATTGCTGTAACACGAGGATTAGCCTTGGTTTTTCTGGCTGGTTTTCTGGTTTTGGTTACTCTAGTTGTTGAAGAGGTTGAAGAGGTTGAAGAGGTTGAAGAGGTGTTTCTTCTATTGGAGTTTCTTGTGACAGCCATTGTTTCTAGTTGATGTTGATTTAATGATCACTTGTTTTATTTTATTCGTGGTTTTAACCTGACAGAATATCCTCTACTGTGTGTATATAAGGTAATTCCGATGTTCTATTAATATACATATAATGTTACAATTAGTGGATTCTTGATTCTTCTTATAGTTGATGTGAAATGTTGAGTATTGATGAATTGTGCATAATTGGTTATTCTGGTTATGTAATACCTGACAAATTTTGAACTTGACGGTGCTGATTGTTTTGATCTTTTTTTTTTGCCCATTTCGCGATTAAAAAAAGCTTTGTTGATCTTCAAATTCAGCCTAAAATTTTAACGTTGCAAATACGAAGAGTGAAACTTAGCTGGTGGTCACAATTAAATAGAGTATTGAGGATTGTTAGAGTACGTATTGATTGTCTTTGACTTACTAAAAGTTGCTTGTTTGAATATTATGGATTCTGTGCTTGATTAGTTTCAATTTTCAGTCAGGATCGGCATGAACCGTTACGCTTCAAAAAGTTTTTACTCATACATTCAAAATTCAATTTTCCAAAAGACCAGTTTCTTCAGGCTTGAACCATTCGTTACGAAGAGTATCCCAGACATCTTTTGCTAGGAAGGCAGAACGATCCTCCGATTCTGCCCTTGCTTCAATGTAGACTTTCAACTTAGGCTCCGTCCCTGATCCTCTCATTGTAAACCTAATATGTTCAACATTACTCTCAGTTGTCAATTGAACAGTGATCATTTGGGAAGATTCGTCCACTGGTAAGTTTGGGATGTTATTAACCGTATCAGACTCATATCCTTGTGTTAAGTCTCTCCAATATGAAATAGAGTAGTCCCCAACTTGTTTAGGATAATGATCTTTTTCATCTTTAAAATCATAACGGATTCTATCAAAAATAGTTTTCGTTAATGAAAGATCTGGAACAATATAGTATGAATTGTATTCCTTATAATAGCCAAAATTTTCGAAACCTTTTTCCAAAACTTCTATAGCATTGGTGCCTTCATCAGCCCAAGATTGTGCCATTTGTAAAAACACTATAGCAGCTGCAATACCATCTTTATCGTGAATACCAGAAAACATGAAACCAATAGCTTCTTCAAATCCAAATGGAACGCTATATCCCTCTTTTTCCAAGTCAATTGCTTTATTACCAATCCATTTGAAACCAGTTAATGTATCAACATAATTTAATCCTAGCTTGTCGGCCATTGATCTAATCATTTGAGATGAGACAGTTGAGTTGACAAAATAAACTTTGGATAATTCACCTTCGTAAGTTTTATAAATGTAATCCGCAAACAAGTATCCAATTTCATTACCAGTAAGTTGTCTCCAACTGCCATCAACTTTAACTGCTGCAGAAAATCTATCAGCATCAGGATCATTTGCTATAACTAAATCAATCCCTTGTGCATCAGCTTTTGCCATCGCTAGATCCAATGCTCCCTTCTCCTCTGGATTTGGAAACTTCACTGTTGGAAAATAAGGATCTGGTTCCATTTGCTCTTTAACTGTTTGTAGATCACGAACACCCAATAATTGAACAGCTTTGCTCAACACTTCCAAACCAACACCATGCATTGGGGTATAAATAAATTTAAGATTTGATACCTTTGTCTTCAATAAAGTAGCATTGATATGTAGTAAGTAAGCGGTTAGAATTTCTTCTTTGGCATATACCAAAGATCCATTGTTCAAACCAATTCTCATTATTTGTTCAACGTTGTATGCATGTTCTCTAGGCTCTAAATTTTGTAGAATACATTCGGCAATTCCATGATCATGAGGCGGTATAATTTGACAGCCATTACCCCAGTATACTTTATAGCCATTATCTTGAGCAGGATTATGACTAGCTGTTATCATGACACCGCAATCAGCTTTAAAATAATCAACAGCAAATGGAACCAAAGGGGTTGGAACAAGATCACCACCATTCATTGAGGAAGAAAGATAAAACACTTGAAATCCACGGAGTAAGAAAGCAGTAGTTGTTATTTCAGCAAATCTTTTAGAATGTAACCTATGATCATGTCCTATAACAACGTTGTATAGTTTTGATGATTTAGAAACATAATCTGCTAAACCTTGAGAAGCTTGTAAAATGGTCACATCATTCAATCGGCTGAACCCAGCTTCCATCTTTGACCGCAATCCAGCGGTTCCGAATGCGATTCTTGTTCTCAATCTTCTTTCTAACTCTTCATTATTACCAGCTTGTTGTAGATCTAAGATTTCCTGTCTAGTTTCTGGGTTCTAAACGCGTTTCTTCGTTAGTCAAGGAAAATTATATCTTTCCAGCAACGTAACTTACTACATCAACCTCAAGCCACTGAGTAACGAGCTCATTAATTGTTGGTTTTGGCATTTTCTGTCCTTTGTTAGTTATTGGAAGATGAACTTTTGATGTCAAAGATGGCATGTTTATACTTTTTTGATTCCACACTCAAAAATATTTTGGTTCAGGGCAACACCGTAATAAAGAATATTACCTACAAATACCAAAATCACTACATATATCCTAGTTAGCCAGTATTGTGTTTATTATCGTAAGCTATTCGTCAGCACCATCCTCATCATCTCCATCTAGACCCAGCATCAATTCGGCTGCAAGATCGTCGTCGCTACTATTATCTTCATCCTCTTGTTTTCTTCTTTTCATCTCACCATCTTCAGAATCACTGTCCAGACCACGCTTATTAGATCCTCCATTATTCTCCTCTTCTTCATCCTCGCTATCTGAATTCAAAAACTCTTCAACTTCTTCATCAATATCCAACCAGTTCATATCACCTCCCAAGAGATCGCCTTCTTTCTCAAGGAGTTCTTCAATCTCACCATTTTCTTTGGCTTTCGATTCTTGTTCTGCAAGTTTCTCCTTGTAAGCATCAACTTCTTTCTGAGAAAGATTTTTCTGGATTTTAATTTCAAATTCATCTTCTGGTGAACGTCTCCAATTTGACATACTGTCAAACAACCAATTTGGATGAACAATTTTAACACTCGGTATCATAGTTTTAGCTAGACGTGCTTTTAAGGTATGTGGACTCTTTGTGATGACATGTGTTGTTTCATATGCAATCGATGAGCTGATGGTTGCACCAAATGATTTTGCCCATATAACAATACTTTCATTATTGATATTATTTCCAACAGGGAACAAACCAGAAAAGACAAATGTTAAACCTTCAAAAACCTTTTGTTTCATGCGTGGTAATAAAACTTGAATATCTGGGTGTATCTTCTTTTGCTCTAAAGTCTCATAAAACTCTTTGTGGATGTCAACCAATGCCTGTTCCAAACCAACCAATTCATCATCGTCATCATATAATAACCTCTCCATACCATGATTCTCTTTCACCTCTGCTAACTTATCAAGGTTCTTTTGAAGCTTTGCTAGTGGTCTATCAGATTTCTGTTGCTCCAAGGAGGCTTCTCTTTCCGATGAACGTGCAGCCATTAATTCTGCATTTTGCTCTTCAGTTAATTCAACTTCTTCATCTTTATCTTGTTTTGATTGATGCTCTTCTCTAATTTCTTCAATTTTACGTTCTAAGTTTTCTAGCTCTTTAGTATTTTCTGTATTTTGAGATTTTTCAATTAATTCTTCCTCCAATTTGGCAATTGATCCACGTCTTTTAGTTGGACCTAATAATGACCTCTGTCTAGGTAAAAAGTTTGAGTTGATATCACCAATACCCACAAAGAAATCAAAAGGTACTACTTTTATCAAATGATCACTCCAATTCCAGACATCCCCTCTATCATCAATAATAACGACCATTGATGTATCAGTTGGAAACAATCTCTCTAGTGACTTTTGAGTTAAAGAACCGCTTTCATCTCTTGATAATATTCTATCTGCAAAATATTCACCTTCAGGATCTATAATCTTTGCTATTGATTTAGCGTAAGCTCTAGTACCCATTGTATAAATATGTAATTCGTAAATTTTGGAAATCTTTTTGAGGAACTCTTCTAAACCAGGTCTCAACTTCACATAGTACCATCTTGTATGAGTTGGAGGTCTTGGACCGCTATAATTTGGTGGCAGTATTGGTTCTTCTTCCAATGAAAATGTTTGAACATCCTTCAAGGATGGATAATTTGGATTCTTTGGATCTCTCATCCATTCCCCTATAGTTGGGTCCACAGTGGCGTGAATGACAGTTTGGTCAAGATCCACAACTAAAATCAATTTCTTTTCTTTGATCATGTTCTTCGTCATAAGTTCTTCAACTTTTTCAGCTTCATTTTTGGAAATTTTTAAATTACTTGTACCATGAGACATTGAAATTGGCGCACGATCTTCATACTTGTAACCAGAATAATCAGCTTCCTCGTCTAATGATTTTCCACAAAGTGCACATAATCCACCATACTGGATTGGATGAGAGCACGGTTCGACAATTTTAGCAATTTCCTGATCTGCAGATAAAATTTCCTCGCCTTTCTTGATGAGAACTTCATCAACTTCACCGTTTATAGGAGATTCAAAAGATCCAATTAGATCTACCCGGACTTTTTTCTTTGGTTTGTAAGATTGATTGTCATTCTCATACTCATAAGAACCTTCTGGAGCATCTTGAAACTCCCAATATGTGTACCGTATGATTTGTTGATGTTTAGAAATAGTTTCGCCCTTAGCGATGAGTACGGAGACAACCTTAACTGGGAAAGGTGTTGACTCGGGCAACTTTATGGCTGTTGTTTCGGTCATTTTCGAGAAATGAAAAAGGCATAAATCTTATTGCTTCAAATTGTGGTGCTTGTAGTGAGATTGAGAGTGGTAGTTTGTGGACAGTCTGTTGGTTTGTGTATGTGCCTAACTTTTGTTTATGTTGTAATATCTGTGGTAACAGCTTTTTTTTGCCTGAGTTTTGCTCCGGGGTGTTTGGATGTTGAATGGCATCGTTCGCTTAAATGATGCTACAAAAATTACAAGTAGTTATGTGCTTTATTGATGGAGAATAAATCAGCCAATTGGAACATCATCAAACATGTCTTCATCCTCATCTTGATCTTCATCGTCATTATTGGTGGTTTCAAGACCCGAGCTGGTTGGTGGAGCAGCTATGGTTTGTGCTTCTGAAGGCCCATTACCAACCTGTAGACTTTGTTGTGTCTCTTCAGATTCTGGATTCTGCGTAGTATCAGCCTGCGGACTTTGTTGTACCTCTTCAGATTCTGGATTTTGTATGATATCAATCGTTGGGTCAGTTTCTGGAGCTTCACCGGTTAAGTCATTGTTATCTTGCGGTTCAACTGTGTTGAGTTGTTCTTCAGTCAAATCCTTACTAACACCATTTGATTTAGGTTCCTCCTCGACATCAACACCTTCAAAGTGAATTTCATCATCACCGCCTATTCCAGTTTCATTATTAGATCCGAATGTGTCAAAGTTTTCAAAGTTATCAAAATTGTCAAAGTTGTCAAAATCATTGAAATCAACAGGTCGTTGTGCTTTAAGTTCATCTCTTTTTCTATCTTCTTCTTCTTGTAATCTTTCTCTTTCGATTTGTCTTTTGGCCTTTTTTCTTTTCAATGATTTCAATGAATGCAATGTACGCTTGAACTCCTTCTCAAGATATAGTTCAGGTGATACGGATTCATTAGTATCATCAGGACCATATGCAGACAATTTTGCAACTATATCAAAATATTCACGATCAATGCTTTTTAATTTTTGTGCCTTCTTTTCTTCTTTATCTTTATAAAATTTGATTCTAGCTGCAGCATATTTTTGAATATCAAATTTCTTTTCGTTAGCTGACCAAATATCTACCTTTTCACCTTCCACGGTTGGTGTCTTTTCTTTGATTAATTGATCAGCCTTTGGAGATTCTTCAGTATCCAACAACTCTTCATCATTGTCAACGTCATTATCATCCTCGCCAGCGCTGATTTTTTTTCCGTATTTGATCAAGTTTTCCAAGGCTTGTTCTCCGAGTTTACTCTCTTCAACAACTTTCTGTCTAACCACTTTTTGGTCCGTGAGTCTATCCAAATACTTTGGTGTTCTTCTATATGTATGATCAGGTGGGAATTCTGGAAGCCAACGGGGTATGGACTTGATTCTTTTGTGTTGTGGTGGGATTAATTTGGTCAAATCTTGATCAACTGCAAAGAATACAAAGGATGGATCTTGAGGATCAATGTCATCTGTTGTATTTTCGAAAGTTTCCTTTGCAGCAGTTTCCAATTCTTTCTTAGCATTCAAGATTTCAGAGCTATCTTTCTTGTAACGTATGAACTCATCTTCTAATTCACCTGTTGATATATTGTGTTCTCGTAACAACAACTTTAAATCTTTCGGCGACGCTTTGGACCTTCTTTGTGTTTGAGTAATTTTTTGTAAACCTTCTAGTAGCCCATGCATATATGTTGTTACCAAATCAAATAAATCCTCTAATGCACTGTCGGTGAAATCTATATTTAATGATTTCAATTGGATAGCAATTGCTCGTTGTGTTAAAAGCTCCATAGGATCCAAACAGTCATTCCTTATTTTGGTTGAAAGCTGCGGGAGTTGTTCTTGATCATTTTGTTTCACCACGTCATCACTTTTATTGGGAGCAGCTTCCACCGACTCCGAGCTCTCTATGGTAGTCATTTATGCCTATGATTGTGTTATAATGTGTTGAAGTGTGATGATGTCTTATAATTTGATGTTTACATGTATTTTCGACTTTGGTTTTTTTCTTTGAACCACGAAAAACAAAATCTGGGGACTGAGCCCCACGACTAGTCCAGGGTCTAGCGACTAGTCTACAGATCTCTAGTGAACCGCAAAGTTACTATTCATTAAAAAGGGAAGCTCTGTTCAACAACTAATTATACAGATCACTATTATTAATAAAATCTAGATATCTGAAAGCAAGGCTTCAACAGCACCTTGAACACTACCACCACTTCTTCTCAAAGCACGAACATTTCTGTCAAAGTCACTGAATCCCATATCGTTCAATTGTCTTAATTGACTTTCATATCTTTCTTCTGGTGGTCTGTTATCTTCTTGTTGTGGAGCAGCACCTGCACCACCAAATGGACCACCACCTCCGAGTATTGATTGTAATAAAGCTGGATCAAAAGCTGGAGCACCAGAGTTGTTTTGACCACCTGGATTACCAAATAATGAGAATGGATTGACTGGAGGAGCACCACCTGGGAACATGGCAGCAAATGGGTTAGCAGCAGCACCTGCACCAGTACTATTTGTAGCAGTTGCGTCTCTGTTAGTTTCAGTAGATTCTGTTGATTCAGTAGTTGGATTAGCACCAGGAGCTGGGAAAGATTGTTGTTGTTGTTGAGGTTGGCCACCAAACATTCTTTGCATTTCTCTCATTTGTCTCATCATTTGAGGATTGGTTAGCATTTGTCTAAATTGATCACTTTGCATCATTTCACGAACTTGAGGACCCATTTCACGTAATTGTGGACTTTGATTAATGATATAATCCATCATTTGAGGATTTCTCAACATTTCATTCATACTTTGTTGCATCATTGGGTTTTCCATCATTCTTTCCAATTCATCCTCATTTGGTAATGCACCCATACCACCATCTGGACCGAATAAACTTTCTGATGGTAATTGAGCTAGCCCAGCATAACGAGCACCTGTTAGATCAGCTAATGGATTGAAAGAACCTTGACCGGACGCAATGTTTGAAGGAACAGATTGGGTTTGATTGGTAGAGCTTGGAGCTGGTGAGTTGGATGTTGAAGCACTTGAAGCTGAAGGAGTTGATTGTTTTGCGCCTGCACTTTTAACTAAATGTATAGTATGTCCAGTTTTGATTTTATAAGTTTCCAACGTATCTGGATCTTTTAAAACACGACCTGAATAAATCAAACGTTGTCTATCCGCTGGAATATCAGATTCAGCAGCAATTTTATCCTTTAATTCAATAACAGTTATCGTTAGTGGGATTGTGAATTCATATTTCTTATCTACTGAGGATCTTTTTGTTATGTTAGTATTAATGTCCCGTAAATCATACATAAGGCCAATAATGCCTTTTGTAATAGCTAGAGTAATGACCCACTTTATATGGACTGTGATTTCGTTTGATTCTGCCATTGTGTATCAGTGATTTCAAAACGTTTGGGTGGTGTTTATAAGTTTAATTTCCAAGTTGAATTCGTTGTCGTTTCGATTCGAAGTCCAAAGAACGTTTGATGGCGATTTTCGCGGAAAACAGCATCTTGAACACTTCCGGGATCAATGCCCTCGAATTTGATAAAAGTATACAGAGCTCGAATTTACAAAAGATTTTAACAAAACAAACTGGTTATATTAAATCTAATCAAGATAAAATTGTAATTGGAATCTCTATCTTTAGAGTCTCAGTCCCCTGGACAGTAGCCTTAGGTGTATTAGGACTTTTGGATAAACCCATCTTATTGAACAACGAAGATCCAGATTTTTCACCACCCTTTGGAACAATTTCTTCTTGGTCATTATTGAATATCTTTAATACCAATATGAAAACGTTTTGTAAAGTACAGGTATGGAAAGTTGGCTGCATCTTAGTTCTGGCAAGGTTTGGTATCTGAATGTTGAGATTCTTCACCAAAATATTTTGATCATCATAATCAGGAATCCAATCATCTAGATCAAACACACCACATTCTATACTTTGAACCTTTTCAACAACTTTTCTCTTATTACCTGTCTTTGTTACTTTGTAAGTTTCTGGTATTGGCTGAGGATTAGCAGTAGAAGGTGAACAACTGCTTGTTTGTATGGCATATTGGGTCAGTTCCGCTGTGTATTTGAGATTCAAAGCAGGCGTGGGTCCTATACTTGGGTTGAATTTGAGGTTAATATGAATTGGTTGATGTTGAAACTGTGATAATGATATTGATGGGGGAAAGTTGGCTGAGGAGGACAATGTACCTATTGCAATTTTATTTGATTTCAATATTGTTGAGTTCAATACCTTTAGGTTTTGGTTTTCATCAAGCTCAGAGCATGAATAATGGTTAGCTATGTCATAAGAAGTTTGTGAAAGATTTGTAGGTATTTGTTGGAATTGATTTTGAACAGGGATATCTAATATTCTTTTAAATAAGATGAAGGAATCTTGACTAGATGAGATCTTTTGAGCAACAGTTGCTGTTATATGATAGACAACACATAATCTATTGAATGGCAAGGACTTGAAAACATCATACATTGGACACTCTGAAGGTGTTGAACCTGCATTCTCAGTAGCAGAAAAAACCAATGAACATAATCTTGGAGATCCATAAGATGGAGGTAATGATTGATGCAATTCAATGTTGTTAGGACAAGTGTTATCCAGTAAGGTTTGTGGTAATTTGAAATTAAATGGGAAAGAAGTTGTGGAAACTAAAGCACTTGGAATATTTGATGGATTGTCTGTCATTGAAAACAATGTCTTTGTACCGGCACCAGCATTGTTGATAACCTTACAATCCAATTGAATTGTGATTTCATTGAACTTGATATCGTTAGCAGTCTTGGAACACAATGGAGGTGTCATCAATAGTTCACCACTTATCAGATCCCCAGGTTTATAAACATGTGTAGATGATGTTTGTACTTGCGGGTCTAAAGGTTGATTCAAATGGATTTCCACTTTATATTTTTTGATGGATGATTGAGAAGGTTGAGACAGCTTCATAATAGCAGCAGTTGAACGATTTATGCTTGGAGGTGGTTGGTAAAAATTGGAGGTACTCATAGATGGTGGCATAATAAAATTTTTATTGAAGGCGAGCAGTAATATGATCTATGATCTCAATTAAGAAGCTATGAATAAGGATGTAGACGAATATATACCTTTCGCAGCATTTGCCACTATTGCTCTAGTTTTTATAAGCTAGCATCAAATAAGTTTGAATCAACAATACTCGTTTAATTAGTAGCTTCGACTCATCGTCTTGTGTTAATTTTTTGTACATGCATACAAATTAAAGCGGTAATGAACGGACTTATACAAGTCTGGAACGCGAAAATACAAACTTTCGGTTTTGATTTGAATTAGACAGGCCCTTTTCCGAAGTGCAAAATGCTTGTGTAGATGATGGACAAAGCATCTATTGCTGTGAGCTTTGAGTCATCCAATCGAAACTTAGGTGCTCTTGAGCTTCGAATTTGAGTGTTTAGGACTCCTAGATCAAGCTGAAGTTCGCTTTTGGATCCTCTTTTGAAGCATTTAGCATGTTGAAACGTACGCTTTATCCTTGTGGCGTAGTCCACTCTGCTTCATATTCAAAAGACCATTCAAATTGTAGCTTCGTGTTGTCTAATTGATGTCTTCGATACACTGTACTATTGTTGAAGTAGTGTCTTGATCAGGCTAGCCATACCCGGTGTGCGTACACCTGTGTACATCTTATAAAGTTGAAATGGTTTAACAGAGGCCTCCAAGAACATACATGTTTGAAATATTGCCAACGCGAACGCGTAACATGTACAGATGAATTGGATCAGATTCTACACCATTCTCTAGCAACAGACAACCAGACTATCATCGCCGAGTCAATGGTCAAGACTCAATGGTCTCTAATCAATTTATGTTGTACATTCACAGCGTGTTTTCTGAGTCATCCAGATCTGAAAATATTAACTACAGTACGTACAAAGGCGTACTACAGTTGCCAGATCAACTGGTTGAATATTACTAATTGCTAAACTAGCAAAGTTTACTAAATCAAATAACTCTTGAACTTTTGAACGTTTCAAAAGTCATCTCCATCCCACTAGTGTCCATAATTGACTTCTGATTCTGTAACCAGCTCATGAAGCCCTTAATCAACTAACCAACTTTTATATGATACATAATGAGGTCCAGAGTCCAGACTCCATACGATCGGAGATGAAATGATACAATTTGGGATACCTTGGACAGAATCTAAACATCTAGTCAAGTTCATCTGATTGAAATGTCGAAATCTTGTCTTATGTATTCACTCTTCATATAGCTCAAGGTGATAGTCTACCTGATGGTTGACCTGATAGTTGACCTTGCAGTTTACCAATAATGCTGTATGTACGTTCAGTCTCCAACAGGTCAAATATCAACACCATCACGAATGCTTGAATGTAGTGATGTTCACTGGTCATCTAACTTCCAAGAGGATAACATGTATCCATCTACAAGGGCAAACAACATACCCAGATCTCCTTCCATATTAATACAATATTACATTAAGAATACAAATTATTAACTCCTTCCAGCGTTTTCCATTTCCTAGTCTTGTCGGCTTCTATTGAATGGTAAAATTGCATTTTCAATAGTATTTTTACTATTCAAATCATTGATAATCAACTTTATATCATTATACTTCATACGATCATCTTGTGCTATTCTTTGTTGTACTTGGGTTGGACTTTGAGCCTGTACTTGTTGTTGAGCATTTAATATTTGATGAGGTTGATGATGTTGTTGGAAATTTGCCAATGATGGAAATTGATTCTGTCCTTGAGGTTGATGTTGTTGATTATGATCTTGGTTTTGAATAAAATGAATTGAATTCAAATAGCTCTGTTGTGCCAATTGTGGGTGGTAATTTGATAGATTTGGTACTTGTTGTTGGTGTTGGTTATTTATCAAATCTTGATGAGTCAAAAGTTGATGATGACCATGTTGGTGTTGTTGAGCTTGAGCCTGTTGAATTTGTTGCTGCTGTTGTTGATGTTGGACGTCATTTAAATTCGATAATAAGCTTGAATCATCTGAATGTGTTGAGTTAGCATCATCAGATTTTGGAGTACCTTTACTGCCCTTCTTGCGACCAGAACCAGCTTTTCTGCCTTCAGCTAAAGTTTTACCAATAGTTTTCCCACCAGAACCTTTCTTACGACCACTTCCAACTTTTCTTCCTTCAGCTAATGTCTTTGCTGTACCTGGTTTTCTACCACTACCAGCTTTTCTACCTTCCGATAATTTCTTAGCCATTATATTTCTTTCTTTTCAGTGCTATATTGACATTTAATTTTGTTCTCTCTTATCACTAGTGTAGTGCAAGTCGCGATGTTGTTATTTGAATTTTTTTTTTTAATTTAAAAAGAAAAACAAAAGATCTCTATAACTTGACAGGTACTTTAATGATGATAATATGGTGTTGATTTGTAAATATTCACGCGTATTATCGGGTAAATTAGTGATATCAGTCTTGATAAAGAAGTTTGTGATAACGAGTTGTTGAAATCAAATGTTCTCGTGATGTTGTAAAAGATTGTTTGAAGAACGTGAAGTTTTTTTTTTTTTTTTTTTGCGTTTTTTTTTTAATTTTTTTGAGGGCCGCGAGAATAACCATCGTTGGCTTCCAAATTGGGATGATGCTTAATTAGGAAACTGAAGAGTTTTTTGTGAAATACTTACACCTGAAGAGACACTGAAAATATGAACGACGTCTTCACATTTAAATGTATTCAAATATCTAGAAATGAAGTTTGTTACGTTTTTAAAGGAGTGAGCAAGTCATGATTTATGATTATACAAATCAGCTGGCTGGATCTTTAGTTATTATAAGAACTTAGAAAGACAATGGAGCTCTCATCTGTTCGTTAAGTACTGATTGAATTTGACGTACTATAAGCTATCGAAGAACAATCAACTGGTATTCATAATCAATTAAGCTGCTACCCATTTAATTAATATGATCACGAGTCGCCAACTGCAAATTGATCCTTATGGCAATATAGGAGAGCTGAGAAATCCATGAACTTAGATCCAAATATCATATATAAAGGCGCCGCTATATTAACGTTCTAGTGCAAGCTAACACAACTAAACATCTTCGATGAGATCGATATAGTATTTCTATATAATTACTATAATCAATCAAGCCTTTGAAGGATTCTAAATATTTCTACGGAACTCTGAGCTGCTTGTGTGTTCGATAATTTGTGCTGTGAACGTGTGATGGAATTAAGCTGTTGTATCGGCGGACTGAGTTCACTCTTGCGCTTAGTTATCAAATCTGAACATGCGTCACAGATTTAGCTATCTATGAACACCAAAGTCTAGACTCTGGCTGGCCGCAAAACCTTCCAATTAGAAAGCCCAAAACTGGCTATCAATTCTGCGAAGATGATGTTAACCAATGACCACTTGAGTTGCACAAATTACAGCAGCTTTTGCATCGAATATTACCATTTCCTCGAGAGTCGAAGTTCTAGCTTCTGTGTACAACTACACCCCTGCAAAAGCTAAACAGGAAAAGGAAATGGCTGTGCATGAGCAAAGAAACCTTTTTGCATGGGTCGATCTTTCCTTTAAAAGGTTTATCTCCTTCTTTTGTAGCTTTATTTAACGTTTCACATCAACACAAACTCAGATTTGATAAAACACCAGGACGAGGCCAGACCGTTCAATTGATGGCTGATGATAGAATCAATGGTCATGTAAGTTCAGCCATTCATTTCCTCGCCCTTGTTAATTAGCTGTGCTTCCCATTTTAGTGGGCCTCTGTGATCCTGTTATCTATCAGCTGCAGAATGCTCGTAACTGTGTTTATTTTATTTTTTCACCATAATTTTTTTCACCATTTTTTTCCTTCAGCGGCTAAGTACAACTGAAATTATAAAAACATGTAGATTTTCCCTTTTACTCATAGCTTCTTTTCTAAACTCTTCAAGGCACTATTTCTTTTATCTGACTACTATTATATTACATCTTTGAATCACACACAGCGGTTGTTCACAGATTGATACTAAAAGAGCTACACATATCCAACAAGGTCAACACTAAAGAAATTAGTTTAGATCGTACACTTGGTACTTTTACTTAACTAGAGAAGAACCACCGTACGTCAAACAAGCCACCAACAAAAGTCACATTTTGAGCTACAACAACAACTCAACAAACTTCAACTTTAACGTTACTTCAGGGTCCTCAAGTTCTCCTGATAATCCATCTATATCTCCTACGAGAAATTCGTCTAATTCAACTTTAAATACAAACAATTACAATGCAATTCACAACACGTTACGCTGTCTTGAGAATGGTTCAAACCATCACAGTGGATCCAATTCCACTTCTACCATTCTCCAGACTAATGAGCTTGGTTTGAATAATGATTATGCTGCTAATTTATCTTATGATAATGGTTATTTAGGTTTTGACTATCAAGGTGAAGAAAGAATTGATTATTCAAACGCTTTGTTGAAAGAGAAAAAAAATTCCCAAAAAATTTTGTCAAAATTGAATGCTGATGTTGATAATTTGGATTATAATAGGGTTTATACTGGTTTTGCTGAAAATTTCAATGATCATCAATTAGATATTAAGACTCAAAATCAATTGGTTTTCGATGTTTTACCTTCTTTTGAAATGTATCATTCATTCCAGTATTCTGCTCCAAATGGTTCTTTTGAAAATCCAAATGATTTCCCTCCTGATTACTTCCACAAGATTGATGCCCCAAATTATGCCGCTTCATCTATCGGGTCAGAGTCTGCTTTGACTCCAGGGATTTCCTCCTCAGCTTCAAATGATTTTGATAATGTGAATGATGATTTTTTCTCTTCTCCTGCCTTGGTCACTCCTGCTATTTCAACCACATCTACTGCTGCTGCTTCCTCTTATTCGGTCCCTTGCTCCTCTGTTTCTGATACTGCTCCTGTTTATGCTCCTGCTACCCCGTCCCCTCCCCCTGCTACTCCTGATACACATCCTGCTGATGCAACTTTCGATCAAGAAATTGAAAGAAATATCATTGATAAGGCTCATACTTTGCCAAATTATGATTCATTTGATATCAAAGTTGATGTTTTTGTTACTAAAGATGTTCCTTGTCCAAATCAAAAACCTGAAATGGAATCAATGTTGAAAGAATACACTTCTGGAGATGTTGTTCATGGTTATGTCGTTGTTCAAAATACATCAGATGAACCTCTTGAATTTCAAATGTTCCATGTTACTTTAGAAGGTTACACTTCAATTATTGATGAAAAAAATAGAAAACAAATTGTCAAAAGATTCTTAACAATGGTTGATTTAAGTGCTAGTTGGTCTTCTGGTTGTATTTCACCATCTTCTAATATTTCATTTGAAGCTCTTTCAAAAGATAGTGAAGGTTGTATCTTAGGTTTAAGAAATGATAGAATTCTTGAACCTCATACAAAATATAAAAAGTTCTTTACCTTCAAGTTCCCATACAATTTATTAGATAATGTTTGTCGTCATCAACATGAAGTTCATACTTTACTACCTCCAAGTTTTGGTGTTGATACTGTTAAAAGAAAGCACAAAAATGCTGATATTGACATCAACCCTGTTACCCATTATGGTCATTTGGGCTCACGAGGTTCACCACTTATGACAAATGATCTTTCACAACCAAATTTATCTGTTAGTTATGGTATTAATGCTAGATTGATTGGTGTATCTCCTAGACATCCAACAAAATTGAGTGTTTTGAAAGACCAAGAATATTCTTTGCGTTTTATTCCATTTGGCTTTGCTGTTCCTTTATATTCTTCTAAAACTGGTTTGAATTTGATTTGTGAAAATATTGAACATGAATTTAAGATTGCTAATGATGCCCTGAAATTGAAAATTGAAGGTGAAAAAGATCGTTATGGTGATGATGATGTTAAAATTCAACAATTAGGTATGAATTCTTCATCTGCTGCTTCAATTCAAGATTTCAAGTTCCCATTAAGAAACAAAAGTCTTGGTGGTTACAATGATGAACCCAAAGTTGAAACTCAATTAACTTATTTGATGAATGGTTCTGTAACTTCAAGTTTTTTAAGAAAATTGAAAGGTGGCAAGAAATCCTCTGTTGATTCAACTAAAAGTGGATTAATTACTGTTTCTACAAGTGTTCCAAAAGATGGCTTACCTTATAGATCACCACCACATTTAAGAAAAACTAATGAAATCTCCAACTTATCCGAAGCTGGTTACAAGAATTATGATTCATTATCTTCTTCATTATCAATGAATGAAAAGAGAAAACTTTCTTCATTAAAATTACAGTTCAACTTTTTACCATCTGATCATTCAATGGATTTAATTCCACCTGAAATCAAATCAATCAAACCTTCATTAATTGTTATGAATATTTTTTCATCAAGTTCAATTCCAATTAAATTGTCTTCAGATTTATTTGCTTCAAAAGATTTCAACAAATTGAAAACCAAGTTTGAAAAATATTTTGATACGTACAATGAATTAGAATCAAAGTTTGAATCAAATTCACTAAGTATTAATGATCATTTGGACACTGAAATCTTGTTAGATATCAAATCAATGAAAGACATTCAAGTTGAAAAACATCAATTGGCTGTTTTCGATTATTCAACGAATGACAAACAAAATGATTGGAAACATTCTGATGATCCAAATGTTTGGGAAAAAAATATTGATTTATCTTTGAATTTTAAAGACAACATTTCTGAAACTTTAGTTCCAAATTTCCAAGGTTGTTTATTATCAAGAGTTTATTGCATCAATGTGAATGTTGTTTTCAAGAATGGTCAATCATGTGAATTGGTTGTTCCTATTCGCATTCGCAAATTTGATGACTTTTAGATGTTCAAATTTGTTTAAACATTAGTGGTTTTTCGAATTTTTTATTGAAACTCTTATTTTTGAATTTTTATATGACCTATTGTTTTCTTTCTTTAATTAAATTATGTGTGTACTTTTTGTCTACAATAGGGTTTTTTATCAATACAAACAACGTATATGAAATTTTTGCCATGTAGATATGATGAGCAAGTTTACAACAAATGGCTGTCTAGCAGCACACTTGCGGAATTAGCACGAGGAAAAAAATTACAACAAACCATGAGATTATGAAACAATTATATTCAAGTCAACATGCAATTTGGACAAAAATCGTAGGGAATGGACCTAACATCGATAAGCATTAAAAAAAATTACCATTAAAAATTGAACCCTTAACATAACGGCAAACAAATACAACAGACACACACTTACTCTCATAAACTCATGAAATCATTAATACCTATTGAAACACACATATAAATAAACCATGACCATAGTTCCCGTTAACCATGATCCCCAAAGAACCAGTCTTTTTTATTAAAAATTATTCGGCACTAATACTAATATCATTATCATTATCATTACCAGCTTGCTTTAAAGTATAGCTATGACGACCATATCCATTATAACCTCGTTGTTGATGGAAAATAGGCAATTCTGCAATTTTTTCACTATTTGGAATATGTTTTGGATTTCTACCATCGAAAAAACTTTCACTTAAATTTGCCAATAATTTAATGTTTTCATCACTTGTAGTACTTTCGGATTGATCATCATCATTACCATGACCTTTTGCTAATTCTTGTTTAGCTTTCTCTAATTTAGTCTTCTTCAGTTTATATAATTCTCTAATTTGTTTGAATTCTTCTGGTTTTCTCTTTGGTCCATGTCTTTTAAATGTGATATGAGCATTAAGATGGTTTAAAGTTCCATAAGAATTTTTACAATTCTTCCAATTACATGCATATAATCTTTCCATTTCATTTGCTTTTCTTCTTGGTCTCTTCTTCTTTGGCTGAGAAGATGGTATATGTTGATGTTGTAATTGTGCAGCTTGTAATTGTGGTTGTTGATAAGAATATGGTGAAGTACTTATATGTTCGAATGGGTTCACTGGATGAGTTTGTTGTATCTTATAATTCAACATATCATATTGTGGGTTTCCAACAATGTAGTTTGCTGAGTTTGGAGTAGTTGTGAAATTAGATGTTGATTGATATGGAGGTGTAACTGATGTTGTTATTGATGATTTTCTTGAGTTAAAACGATCACTATCTATTATGGATGAAGAAGCTGATGATATTGATGAATTTGTAGACATATTAGTAGCTGGTAATAAGACAGCTGGTTGTGAGTTGAGATTATTAACATTGTAATAGACTTGTTGAGGTGATGTGCTTGATGAACCACTACCTAAAGAATGATGTCTAACTTGATAATGAGCAGGTTGAGTTTGTAAATGTGGTGCTGCTTGTTCATTATTTGGTAATCCAATAGTTAATTCCTTGATGGATGGTAGTTTAACTTTTTTTTCACTAGCATTAAACAGTTGTTGATCTGGCATTATAAATTTTAAAACTGTCTAATAATCTGGAGTTCATTCAAGTATGATGGCAGCTTGATAAATTGATGGCTTCCGGTTTTGATAATTATAGTTCTGCAAGTGAAGTTTGTTACTCTTGTGATCTTAAGTCAAAATCTGTCCTTATATAAAGATAATTTGAATTCAAGGTGATATACTAGAAGCAATCAAGTCAACAGATATAAATTTAAAAGAACAAAATGTGGCGATGTTGGATATTTTTATCTTATTTATAAGTATCAACAGCAAAATTGTAGAGCAGATCTGATGTAAAAGTATTAATGAGCAACTGAAAATATAGATGAGCTTTTGACTTATATAAGAAATTGATGATGGTCTTGACTGAATCTAATCTTGAAAGACGATTGTGACGATCAATATTGAAATCGATTCCTAGATGTTCTCAAAGCAATCTAAAACTGTTATAATTTGAATTATTTCTTCTTTCAATACTTTGGATGAACTATGAGATCAGGAAGCTTAAGGATACGTTAAGGCTGTTTGACAAACTAGCAACCTGAGCAACTAATTTTGTTAAGAAAAGGTAAATTTAGCACCTGCTATCCCACGCCAGCGTAATTAGCGGCTTTTTACAAGTATATATATAGGATATTTATACCTATTCTTTTTTCAGTTTGGTCTTCATTCAAATATGAATCGCCTTCTTGTACATACACATCCGTTCAAGTTTATGTCTAAGTGTGCATCTCAAACTTTTGAGTAACATGCAAAGTTGAAACAAAAGGAACAGAACGAGCTTGAAGTTTGGGAAGCATGATTGTCTCAATGTGGTGAAATGACACACTTGTGCACTAGTATGCATCAAACCTTATTCAAAACTCCACCAAGAAAGATACGGATTTCACTTTCGATCAAGGGGTACTGCAGCAGGATGCATGACTGGATGTTAGCGGAAGACAAGATCCACTACAGCATGCGCTTAAATTAAATTTTTATGAGGGTTTGCTTTTTTTAGTGCGATGCGAGATCTATGCGTAATGAGTGATATCACCAATCCTGAGTTCACGTAATCTATCTTACATACAAAATCAACCAGTTCTTGACCAGTAAACCACTGGAAGGTGCCTCTGTTCTCTATTGTTCACCATTCACATCTGAAAGATGGATATCATGATATGATCTTGACGCGAGTAGTACAGCACGATTCCAGACGTATCCAAAATGAGGCTTTACAAACGGATCAGTTGAGGTACACATCGTGTATTTGTATACACTCCTTAGACCAATACCCGTTGATGATTTGTACTGGTTTACCCTTCAAGTTTAGGTATTCGGCTACTAGTGAGTGAAATATCGATGTCTGAACTAAAACTAGGAGTATGGTGTTGAAGTGAAGTTTATTCAGATCAAGCATTCAGTCTAGATGACCTGTACTACTTTCTTTTGGAAACAAGTCAAATTTCAGATCTTGTGTACAATACATCCGAAATCAGTTTACAGGCGTTATGGCGTTATACACGCTTTATGATCGATCAAAGCAATATGGAGTCTGGACAGATCTGGAGTAACTCAGTATAGAAAACGATCGATTGATCTATACTACTTATATGGTCTAGTAATCAATCAAAAGCTCTCAGGCTACTTTTTAGAAAGATTGTTGGCAACATAGTCGACTTGATGGGCAAAACAGGCCTTCCTATAATGTACTTTTGTACTTCCATCAAAACTTTGAACTTCAACTCAATTAATCACTTCAATATTAGCTCAAGGTCGTGTTAGGCTTTTCTCATCACAATTGATTTGACTTGAATTGGCCTGTCTACAGTACATGGTTAAATTGGCCATACTTCAAAACACACAATCTTGAAGGTCCACAGCAGCTTAATAGACCAATTACCAGTCAAACCAACACATGGTACTAGCTTCCACTTTATTGATCTCTAAAGCAAGCAGGAATCTTTTAGTTGGATGTCGATTTGTTCTAGCTCCATTTGGCTCTTGATGATTTTCACTCATCCAGGCTGTACAGGTACACAGTCACACTCATGTTGTACCAACCTAGTTCGACTGTGGTTTTAACGATTGTGATCTAAAAGAAACTGAGAATCACAGATACACTTCATCTGTTTTTAGTGTCTTTCTGTAAATCTGCTGTGAGTTGTGTACTTGAGCATCGTGATTCTAATCACGTACATGCCCACTGCTTTCGTTGTGGCTGCCTTGATCAAAAAGCACTGGAAAGTAGTTTTTTGTGACTACAGATGTGAGTTTCACAACGAAGAATAAAGATGAAAGGTAGGATGCAGTTCTCCAAGACCAATCAACCCAACAAACTGCATTGATTTGATACAACACCTGTTATATGAGCATTCCCTGTAGAAGTTACCTGAAGTGGTTAACTTTGATTGTAAAGGTACGAAATCAATAATTATGCTACAAATAAGCTTGCAGTACCAATTAATTATAATTTCTCGTTATATGTAGTTCCCGCCCGCAATTTACTAGTCAATTATTAATTGTTCAAGAACTGGCGATCCTTTTAACTTCTGTACCTACTTCAAAGTTAACTCAGGCTTTTGATCAAATCTTTAGCAGCCTATTCAGCCATTAATTAAACGTTAATAAAGCTTAAACACAAGGAATCTCACTTTGGTCCTGATCTGACACAGTGTCAACTAGGACTTAACCTTAATATTGATCCGTCCACCACTCAAAAACATATAACCTGTTCGTAACTTCAGATTAACGAGAAATTGAGTACCAGTTTATCCTAGATCTTGTACGCAATAATTTCTAGTTTTGATTAATTAATAGACAAGCTAATCATATTGGCTTTCACACCCAGTCATGACCATATACTTACGGCTGAAACAATTTGAACGAGAAATTCTCCAGTGCGTCTACAATGAAATTAACAGAATAGTTTAAGCTATATTATAATGAAATATTATGGATCTAGAACCCAAACGTACAGATATAACATTCTGTTGTAGTTAAATAGTTCACCAGCTAGCTGCTAGGCCAGTGATCATGGTGATACAGCTAGCTGTACAACTAGTAGTGCTGGCGCGTATATAATATTTGATCAGTTGATTAATTAATTGTATCATATTACAATATGATCATGAATTAATTTATATAAATATAGCTGCTGGTAATTTGTATTAATTATATTATATATTAATATTAGACGATCACGTTATTTTTTTAATTAATATATGTATAATTAAAGTAGCTAGTAATTTCGATGCCATATTGACCAGTCATGTACTTATTAATTATGTGCGGCCGTCGATCAACTAATTAATAATTAGAGACGTGTTGGGAACAGCTTGTTTGATGTTCGAGTTCAATTGATATTACTCAAATTATAAGCAAGCAGTACTTGGCTAGATAGGTTATTCAATCAGCCAAACAAAAAGTATATAATATTCATGAGTTGATCAATTGGAATAATTCGACTTTTGTTCCCATTCTTTGCTCAAACTGATATGCTCAAACTGATATTCTCAAACATTTTGTGCGTTGTACCTACCTCTCAAGTTTCAACATAAATACATTTTATACGCTTTGATTGATAAGCATATAATTCTCGTGGATTATGGAACATAAGAACCTGTTGATCAGGTACACAAATATTGTGCTTATGTAGCTTGTCGACAAATAGGCGCCGGTACCTTGGGACCATATGTTAACAGTCCCTTCAAGCTTGTGCAAGTACTTGTATGTTGACCTTCGGCCTCAATATGATGGTACTGTGGTCTGATTGGGAGCTCACAATTTGGAGATATAAGTGCTATCACTAAAGCTTGAAGGTACAAATGGTTGTTCTTTCACAAGTTCCTTATTCCTGAGTATGACCATCTAATTTATCCTCGTTCAATTACTACAAGTTGTACACACAAAAATCACATCGCCTCGCCAACTCTCAAATATTTCACCAGGCACATTAACGCACAATCTAAGAATTACTTAATACCTTACGTCTTCGCTCAAGTAGAAAGTAGCATTAAGCTTCAACAGGATTTCACAATTTTAGCTGTATTTTGAGTTAAGACCGATGCTGTAAAGCAGTCAATTTGAAAGCAACCTTGTTGACGATATCAAAAAGTTCAAGAGCTGTACACTTTCCAAACGTTTCAAGGTAATATGTCCAGAGCACCAATTGTGAAGATTAGAACATTAGAACTTCACAAGTTCATTTGCAATCCAGGCACAAACATTTTGAGCTGGCCAATTTTGATTGTGCAAATCTTGTATCTGTCGGGAATTTGTGACTTTTCAACTCTAATGCACGTTTGTGTCTGCAACATGTTTGAAGGTGCATATGAACCGTAAAATTCTCCGTTGCAAGTTGCAACTTCAAACAAACAAAAATCTATCAACAAGATCCAAATACATACACTTACAATTCAAATTTCAAACCATTCCTTTATGTTACCAAGGTCCAAATTTTGAATCAGATTCATTCAATTTGTTCTTGAAGAATCAGCACTAAACAGCGCAATAGCTCGGGCTCATGGAGATTATTTGGGGATGTAGCTCAAGTGTATGTGATGTACGTACAAACCTATACAAACTTCATGGAAAATGATGGCGGCTAAATATACATTCAGATGCGGCTGAAGAAGCTACACTTTATTTTAGTGCCAGAGATTCAACTCTTCAACGTGGCCAACATCAACAATCTTGAGGTATCGAACAACGCTATATATGTGACAATAGACTAAGTATCACATGTGGTTTGCTCAAGAGGAATCTGCAAAGGAAATTGATTAATTAGCCATATTTCTTAATATATGCTCTGTCGAATTTCAGAATAGCACATGGTGGGATTAAATCTGGTTGATGGATGGTGTGTTTGATTCAGCGTACTTGAAGATTCAACTTTTCTAAACTGGTCGTTCTGTTATGATATCTGGTATTTACCTCCAAGCTGATGAATTTTAGTTGAATCACAGCACTAGATGTCCCCATTTATTTCAAGCGACTAGACGTATTGTGCGATCAGCTGAAACCAATTGATACACTTTTAGTACCCGGTAGCTCATGATATAATTGCAGCTATTGCTTCATACTTTGGATGACCAGCAATTGAGATATGTAGAGAGTATAAGGAGGTAAGCTCAAGTGTATAAAGATTCTATGAATCATGTGTTGATCGATAAAAGGGTACTAAATGTCATCAGTTGATACCCAGTGGCTTTAAATTAAACTTTGATTTTATAACTAGGCGTCGACTAGGATTCATGACTCAAATGTGACAGCTATTATATCTTGCTTCTATCACTGAGGAGGATCAAATGTTAGTTACTTAGCACCGTGGATCTAATTCATACTCATATAATCAGCAGCAAGATATTGGTTTTAGATTCAAAAATCAGCCCATCTACAGTCCTTCGGTTATTTAAACTCTTCAATATATTGGTAAAAGTATATTCTATCCTTATTTGGAAACCAGCTCGAATCAATCTAATCAAGAGAATATTTACCAGCTTTGATGTCATAGAATGCTCTTTCAGCTGCTTCTAAAGCCTTTGGATAATCACCAAAATCTTCACCTTCCAATATATAAGGTCTATCATCTGGGGCATATTCCAGCAAAACATCAATAAACTCTTTTTGAACAATATCCCATGGGTAATAATGAAAAATATAATCATCTGAAGTCTCCACCAATCTCTTTGTTTCCCATTCCTTTTGAGCATCTTTTGAAGGTAATCTTTTACTATTTGACCAAACTCCAGCAATACCCACTGCACCTGCTTCAAAAGAATGAAATTGAACAGAAGTAATTTGGACACCAATAAATGCCAAAGTAGGATCTTCAATGTTGAAAGTATCACGGTATAAACCTTTAACTCTTGAACCCCCAGTTGCTTTATTAGCATATCCTGGTTTTGTTAATTCCAGAAATTTCTCACCAATGTATGGATAATGCCAGTGGTACCCAGTTGCAAATAAGATCTTGTCAACATCTTCTAATTTTGAACCATCTTCAAAGAAAACAGTTTTACCATCAATTTTGGAAATTCTTGGTTTATTTGAAAACGAGGTTGCAGCTTTTGTTATCCATGGAAAAATTTCTTGTTTGCCTGGAGTACGAGATATGGTTAAGCTTTTAACAACTGGTTCAATATACTGGATGATATCAATACCACTCAATGAAGAACCAACAACCAAAACATTCTTATCTTTGAATTGATCAACTGTTCTAAATGATTTAGAATGCACTATGGTTCCCTTTGGTGCAGAGTTCAAGCCTTCAATATATGGAATGAATGGAACTGAATAATGACCACTTGCAATGACAACAGCATCAAATTTCTCTGTATACCATTCATCTTTACCTTCAGGTGTACTATGTCTTAGGGTCAATAACCATTTACCTTCTTCATCTTTTTGAACATCTTGGACTTGAGTATTCAATCTAAAATGATCCAAAAGTTTATTATCATCAACAAATTTATCCAAAACTTGGCCAACCTCTTTATAACTAATTAATGGATCAATTTCAGCTAGTTTGGATGGGGGTGTATACTTGATTGATGAAAATCTCAAAAATCTTCTAGGGACATTGGTGTATAAGCCTGGATAAACTGCAGACCGTCTCCATTGATTATCATTGTTGACACCATCAGTCACCAATGGGGATTCAACACTATGATTAGAGAGCCCCTTAGGAATTTCAACTTTTGGATGAATAACATCCGCATCATAATAATTTCGACCCCATAATTCATCTTCAGGTAAATCAGGAACTTCAATAGATGGAGCCCAACTACCACCAACTTTATTCTTTTGTTCAAAGCCAACAACCTTGGTAAATGCTGGGTTTTCAGCGTTTGAACCACCTACTGTTGACTTACCATCTTTGGTTGTATGAAGAAATTCGTAAACACTTGCAATACCACTTGGACCACCACCAATAACTGCAATGGAATTTATGTTGAACTTATCAATTGTCATATGTCTCGTCTTAGTGACAGGAAGACTCAAAAGCTTAAATGAATTGGGGAACACCATCTTTATATAATCCATTCATTCTCCAGGTATCCATTGACATGGCCTTGATTTTCCTACTCTTTGATGATTAAAACTGTGGTTCTATTTTGTAACATTCGTGATTTTGAACTAAAATTTTAGAAGAACTCGGGTCGGCCCACAATTTATCCTTCACTTTATTCAACCGAAACGAAATCACATGAAATGATTATTGTATCTTGTACAATGTAGTCAACTTGAATATATATTTATTATATACATATGCCACATTATCGTCATTATAACAAAAATTGTTCATCTTTATAATCAAACAACTTCCAAAATTCATCTTGTCCCATCAATTCAGTTGGAATGTCACCAAATCCCTTCATTGTAGCATCAGATAACACATCCAATTGAGGGTATACTGGCTCCATATGAGACTCCAGCTGGTCATGTTGCGGTAGCATGCTATTAGTATTTGGCATGCTGATTCCAGGGTAAACATTCATTGGTGGTCCATTAACTTGTTGGTGTGAATGTTGTTGTGGGTGCATTAATGGGTGTTGATATTGATCTGGATATTGATGGCTATGTGGTGGGATATTCCCTGTGTTGATTGGATGGTGTGGCTGTTGAGGATAACCTTGAGGAATATGTGAGGTTGCCATGCCTGGGGCATCACCAGCAGGGGCATGTTGTTGATGTTGTTGTTCAAATGACTGTTGTACAACTGGTTGATGTAATGAAGTTTTTGGAGGTTGATTTGCTGAAGATGTGTTGGTTGGTGTGCCACTAATACTTGAATTTTGAGAATTAGCGTTGACAACGGTTTCACTTGATGATATATTGGCCAATTCGTTGAATGCATTTTCATTCTTGGAATATGTTGTTAAGTAGAAATAAAACAACAATTTGGTCTTCACAAGCAAATGGTTTGTTTTGTAAATCTTGTTGCATTCATCTAATGTATTCATTATTCTCTTTATGGAGCTAAAATCAAATTCAAAGCTCAAGCAGTTACTAGTCTTCAGTAGCAGTGCAAAGCAATACATTAATCTTCCATAGATCAATAATGGCACTGAACAAAACTGAGCTGGGGTCAATGAGCTGAAATGATGTAGACATTGTAAAGTTGAATGTAAACATTTGAAACTCAATTCTTCAGATGTAAACTTTGAGTACAAAAATGCTTCAACTGAATAAGCAAACCCAAGCAGGACATTAGAGTCCATTGTTGTCTGTTGATCTTTCAAGAAATCAATAGCTCTTTGGAAATGTTGAATAAATGATAAATTCTCTTGATCTTTCAATTCAACAAAACTATGAATCTTTTCAAGTAAACTGGTCAATTTAGCAAATATCGCAACTGATCTGAACTTTAATTCACTAGAAGTTCTTAAATGTTGATAAGAATCCTCAAGATATGGAGTCCATGTGACAAATAATTTTCTTCTTAGAAATAATGAATAACCAATAGATGCAGAATAAACAGCCAAAACAAGACATCTATATTCATCCTTTTGAGGATCCTCCAACACTTCAGAGCGGAGAACGGAACCTTCACTTTTGTTAACAACATAATATGGGCGACCTGTCAAACCAAGATCCTGAGTCATTGTTATACATAAAGCACTGAATATATGATAACGACGATTATGAAACAATTCAGGCATATTGTACCAAATAGTTAAAAGCAACAACGATTTCAACAGTTCAATTGATTTGTTCCCAATAACCACAACTTCATGAATAACTTCTTGGGTAGCAATATTTTCAATATTCAAGTTTTTATCAAAATCAGCATCATTAGTACTTGCAACACAAGTGACAGCCATAACAACATTGAACAAAACAGGATAAACAGACTTGAATGTTTCCACATCAGTAGGAACATCAACAAAAGGATACTTTGCAAAGATCACTTCAAAATACATCTTCAGTCTTTGTTGAGCCTCCTCTATAGTTAGAATTCCACTATCAATCAAATCTACATGAGATGAGTAAACTCTCCGTAGTCTTTCCTCTGCAACTTGTGTAACCATATTACTAACATCAGATAACGCAGTTGAACCAATCAATTGTTCAATCTGTTGAGCTTTTGTCAATTTGGATACTTTGGCCCTTTTAGCATCGGTAGCCCCATTTTTAGGGAAATGATCATTTTCATTGATGAATTCAAAAGAGCTACCACCATTTACTGGTCTCTTTGTGCCTCTGCTGTTATTCCCTCTTTCAGCGCTTATTGGAGTTCCACTTAATGAGGACCTTTGCCCAATCGTGTTTTGTTGATATGAAGACAAGGGGCTGAAATGATTTGGAAAAGACTGTCCACCAGGATGCACTGGTGATTGATTATTACTATGGATAGACCCTTGAGGTGAGTTACTGCTCATTTGTGAACGATGTTGTAGTAGTTCATTATTTAATTGTTCAATCTTTTGTTCCAGTTCATTTACGCGACTAAAGAAGCTTGTTAGTAAGTGATTCAAATAATCAAATGGTATGGTACTCACTCTTGACTTGAATTCGTAATTGATTGTGGATGCATTTGTTGTTGTTGTTGCTGTGGTTGTTTTCTCTTCTTTCTGCTGTAGTTTGTATCTATCTCACACACTCTTCTGGTCTTGATACATCTAACACAAGGAGACGAGAGGTCATCTGGATCAGAAGGGATACACTTGACTTTGAGCGTATGGCAGGATTTGCAAGCAACAGCTCTTCTTCGACTTGGAGCTGGTTTGGATGCCCCGTTGTCCTTCTTTGTAGTAACTGCACTTGTTGATGTTGTTGTGGTTGGTGTAGCAGATGAAGGCTTCTCCTTCTTATTCGTAGCTCTAGGTGCCATTCTGGATATTATTTTGACTGTCGGTATGTATGGTGATGGTGATGGTGATGGATGTTGATGAAATATTTGATGGATGTTGTTGATGTCTTCTCGAATAACTTGTACACTCTTTTTTAGGACTCTTCTCCGTTTACAAGATAGGTCCGCCCAGTTCTTATATTAAAGCCTTTCCTCTGTGACACCCTCTAAAAGAACGGTATTCGGCTTCCTATGCTTGATGGAACTCTTCCTTTGAATAATATGCCAATATACAGCTCCCAGTTCACTTATTAAAAGTACACTGTTTCCAGACTATCCAAATGCTCTTGAGACTTTCTTTATTATTAATCATCAGTAGTTTATTGTCCCAGTTCCCAGCGTCATTCTGCTGAGAATTTTGAAAAAAAAAAACACAGAACAGGTTCGCGACACACGCAGATAACCAAGAGCGGACTTCCTGACTTAATTACATCTCATACATTGATTCATCAAGCGATGGAAATGACAATAAATAGCTATGAAATATTAAAAATATACAATAAAATTAGCGGATATAACCTTCTGGAATATTACCAAGTAAAATACTAACAACAATATAAATGCAAAAATGATACAAAAAAAAACATAGTGTGACTTTTCAATTTAAAACTTTTTCTTCTTTTTCTTTTCAAGCTCATTTCTTAGTAGCACCAGCTCTGTTATGTTGCATATGACTTTGAACCAAATGACCTGCTGCTAGAGCACTACATAATGATAATTCACCAGCCAAAACAATAGATGCAATGATCTTGGCCAATTGTTGAGCATTAGCACCAGGAACTGAAGCTGGACCTCTGACACCTAATAATTCCAACATTGAACCTTGAGGATCTAAAATTGTACCACCACCAATAGTACCAACTTCAATAGATGGCATAGAGACTGAAATTTGTAAATCACCATCTTGAGTTTCTTTCATCAACGTTATACAATTAGAACTTTCAACATTTTGTGCAGGATCTTGACCTAATGCCAAATAGACAGCTGTCAAAATATTAGCAGCATGTGCATTGAAACCACCGACTGAACCAGCCATAGCTGAACCAATCAAGTTCTTACTGATGTTTAATTCAACTAATGCACCAACATCACTCTTCAAAACTTTTTCAACAGCTTCTTTTGGAACAATAGCTTCAGCAACAATACTTTTACCACGACCTTCGATCCAGTTGATAGCTGCTGGTTTTTTATCAGTACAGTAATTACCAGAGACTGAAATAACTTGCATATCATCCCAACCAAATTCCTCAACCATTTGTTTTAAAGCAAATTCAACACCTTTAGAGATCATATTCATACCCATGGCATCACCAGTGGTGGTACGGAAACGAATAAATAACAAATCACCTGCTAAAGCAGTTTGAATATGTTGTAAACGTGCAAATCTTGAAGTGGAATTGAACACTTTTTTGATACTAGCTTGACCTTCTTCAGAATCCAACCAAATCTTACAAGCACCAGCTCTTTTCAATGAGGGGAATGAGACACAAGGACCACGAGTCATACCATCTTTTGTTAACACAGTTTGGACACCACCACCTAAATTAATAGCTTTACAACCACGCATAGCTGATGCAACTAAACAACCTTCAGTAGTAGCCATTGGAATATGATATGGTGTACCATCAACAATCAATGGACCGGCAATACCAACAGGTAATGGCATGAACCCAATAACATTTTCACAACAAGCACCAAAGACACGGTCATAATCGTAATGCAAATATGGTAATTTGCTTGTTTCTAAAACTGGAGCACCTGCTAATTTGGCAATAGCTTTACGACGAACTTCAACTGCACGAGTAGTGTTACCCAATTGTTTTTCTAATGCATATAATGGCAAGTTACCATTAGTAACTAATGAAACAACTTCCTCATTTTGTAATGATTTAACTTTACCATCTTTGAATAATTCAACAATTTTATCTAATGGACGAGCTTCAACAGTTTCATTATCTGAAGTTGGAATAATTTCTGAAGATTTTGTAACATCTGATTCATTTGATGATGAATTATTTGAAATTTTTGGTTCAAATTCAACTTTTTTAGTAGGAGTTGGTTTGGCTGATTTGGCAAGTTTTTGTGATTTATTCTTTTCAATATCTGATTCAACGCTTGATGAATGAATACGAGCAGCGTTTAATAAATAAACGTTAATAGTAACACTGATTGCGAATGCGAACAATACAAACTTTGAAATATATTTGTCACGGATGGCAGCACTGATATAACCAATAGTGGATAGAATATAATCTTCAATTTGAATAGAAACTTTTGATGGTAAGAAAAATCTTGCAGGATGAACACTAACTAAGGTACCTTTTGAACCGATTGGAATATTTGCAAATAATGTTTCGTCCAAAGAGAATGAATCATTGTACTCCGAATTAGCACCTAAATCTGACAACCAAGCTGAACCTAATCCATAAATGTGGAATCCAAAAAATAAAACAATTGCTCCAATTTTAGCTGCAGTGACTGCAGAATTGGTATTGTCATCAATATAAACTTTTGAAGCATCCTCATCAGATCTCAAAACTTCATCAACGGTTTCTTGAGTTAAACCATCTTCTTGTAAAGCTTGTTTGATAATTGTTGATCTGTGAATCAAGTTGATTTCCAATTTCAATGATAAAATACCAGCATAAAAAGTGACAGTAGTCAACAGATCAAAAAATAAAATCAATGCTGAAAAGATACAGAAATTTCTCAAGCCTTCCAAGTGAGAAGCATAGAATGAACAGCCAATAAATGCAGTGATAACGAGCAAATGATCATGTAACAAGGCGGAACCTTGTTCTTTGATGGCCAAATATAAACAACTTGGTGTACCGTGCTTGTGGTATTCTTGACTTGAATATTTAGTCAATAGCTTTGTAGTTAATGCAATTTTGTGTTTGAAACCAATAGTTGCAACAAGAAATGGAACACCTTCAGTAATACTTAAAACTGGGATCTGTAATTCAAGATATCTTGTAGTAGCATATAATGCGAACAAGAATGCAAAGAATGAAGAAACCAAAGCTGAAAATGCTAACCAGAATTTTGAACCTGCCTTTCTCATATCAAGAAATAATGAGATAAAAGTATACCACATTGCTAAATAAGCAACAGTAACGATAGCAATATCGAATGGTTCAGCACCTAAAATCAATTTACTAACCTTGTTATAACCTTTGATGATTAGATCAGAGTATTTACCAAGTTTAGCATGGAAATCTCTAAATTTCCAAACAGTACCATCTGAAGAAATTAATTGAGTAATTTCAGCATCAGTAGTTTCATTTTCCTTTGTGATTAAGAACTTAACTTGTTCATCATCTGAAGAATAAGAATTAGCAATCTCTGGCAATTCTAATACACCACCTCTTTTGAATTGGAATGGGATAACATCAAAATGTTCAGCATCTTGAGAAATTTTTGAAAAATCATCAACTTGAACCCAAGGAGATTTAGCACTTGATGAATGGTAATAGTTGACCAAATTTGAGGAAGAGTCAGCATAGCTAAAGCCTTCACCAATGTATTCCTCCACTATGGATAAATAAGCAATTGAAGCCAATAGAGATGTGACAATCAGAGTATGAATTGGATGTAGAGCACTCAGCTTACCAATAAACGCCAAAACAGAGGCAAGACCGTTCAAAGGTCTTTCTAAAACGGCGGCCATGTCCCTTTTTGGATGCGATGAAGATCTGGGAAAGGAATGTAGCAGTGCTAGCTTTAAGACAGCCTGGGACAGTGAATGGAATGAACTCAAGTTCTTTGAATTGAATAGAATCAGCTCTTGTTTTGTATGTGGAATGGTGACGCGCCCAACACAAAATTTTCCTAGGAATTTTTTTTTACAAGGCCAAATTGGAATATTAGCTGAGATTAGTGAAAAGTTTATAAGCTGCAGAACAGATAGCGAATATTGAAAAGGAGTTTAAACTTGAATGGATTCAGAGATGAATTAAAACGAATGACAATTTCGAATAGTTTCTGCTTGATCTGATAGGCCAGAAATTGGGGGAATGGTCCTTTTCAGATCTTCCTAGTTGGAGATTCCTCACGTCGTTTAAAATCTATGTGAAAATTTGTAAAGTATGGTGTGGTGCGTACCAGGTTTAGCACATATAAACGATCTATTATTTGTGAATGAATTATACTACTACGATGTAAAAAATAATAGCCAATGGTGATAATTGTAATATTAAAAGATAAATGAAAGATGAGGAAAAGCAAAGTACATAAAATTAAAATTCACAGTCTATTTGAAGTTTGGTATCCACCTATTTAATGGAAACTAATTTAACATCGAAAGTTAATTCAGAGTTAGCTGGAATACCTGGTAATTTTTGACTACCGTAAGCCATTTTAGCTGGAATGACAATACGACGTTCACCACCAACAGCCATACCAACAACACCGACATCCCAACCTTTGATGACTTCACCTTTACCTAAACCAAAGTTGAATGGTTTACCAGAGGTGTTTTTATCGAAAACTGAACCGTTCTTCAATTTACCAATATATCTGACACCAACTCTTGAACCATTTTTAGCAGTTGGACCTTTACCAACAGTACGGTCTTCAATGACAACACCACCTGGTAAAGTTTTGGTGGTTGATTTTGGAGCTGATTCTTTCTTAGATTCAGTTGGACCTTGTTCTAATTCTTTGTTAAATTTGACATTTTTTTCTTCTTTAGCTTTCTTTTGCTTTTTGGTTTCTTTTGGTTCTGGTTTAGCTTCTTCTTCTTCAACTTGACGTTTTTTGTTTTCTTTCTTTGATTTTTTGGTTTCTTTTGGAGCTTCAACTTTTTTAGCTTCTTCTTCTTCAACTAATTCTTCAATTTTACCTTCAACATCACTTTCATCTTCTAAATCATTGATATCGAAATCTTCACCAATGATTTCATCTTCATCTGGTGATAAATCATATTCATCTTCTGAATCTTCATCTGAATCGAATTCTGAATCTTCTTCGTCATATGGGTGTTCAACAAAGTTACCAGATAAATGGATTGGGTATGAACCAGTAACAACAAAGAAAACTTCTTCATCTGGGGAGATGGTCAAATCTAAAGTTTGTTGGTATTGTGATTTTGGTGATAAAGTACAAACAACGTATTCTTCGATTTCATCATCTTCATCATCGTTGAAGTCTTCGTCATCTTCTTCATCATCATCTTCAGCATCATTTTCACCAGCATCTTCTTCATCTGAATCTTCTTCGATTTTATCTTCATCAGAGTCTTCATTCAATTCAGCATCTTCACCATCTTCTGATAAATCATCATCTGAGGAATCTTCATCCAAGTTACGGAAAGCTGAGCTTTTCAAGATTCTTAAAGTAGATGGTTGTTCATCATCATCAATAGCACCTTCTGGATCAATAGCAGCTAAGGTTAAATGAACAGTAACTGGTAATTCTGATTCAATTGCTTGAGTTGGAGTGAATGGGTTCAAAGCTAAGTTGTATGAGGCTAATGGTAATAAAGAAGTCATTTTGATATGTACCTTTTGTGGTTGATTCTTTTGAAAGAGAGTTCTTAAAGGTTAAAGGTTTAGCTTAATTGTACTCTTTTTTATATTTCCACGTTCAAAAAATTTTTTTGTATGGAGCACCTCGTTTCTTTTGAAATTTCCCTTTTCGGCGAGATGACTTTGTTGTCGAGGAAACGTGTAATGGAGTTTATATACACTTGAATTTTTATGTCAAAATTCCCATAGACATGAACGTATTGGAGGTACAATTTGGTCGATATTTATGATTTTGAGCTTCTAGTTCTCAATCTTCTCAATTGTTTGAATTCAATTACTGAGGTGATTTTGAGAAGGCCGGTCGAGTCTCGACATAACTTTTAGATCTATTCAGATCAGATGGAGTAGAATATTGCAGAAGACAGAAGAACATTACAAAAATACCTTTATACATAAACTACATTCAATTTTACGTTTGTTTGTTTTCCACGTAACATGAAAAACGAAAAAAGACCTTGATAATAGATTCTTCATCACAGGAAAATTATACAAAAGACTTTAAAATAATGATATGACGGACGTTAAACTTAAACAACAAAATCACCGGCCTAAAATTTTAATAAATGTGGTCTGTCACCGTTTTTCAAACTGAAAGTAGCAGACAAGTATTCTTTTAATAATGGAGTTTTCTTGATTTGAGTTAATAAAGCAGCATCAATTGATTTTTGGTCAGCAACACGTTCAGCTTTAACTTGTTTTTTTGGTTGTTCTTCACCAAAGAATTGAGCTTCACCTTTAGCTTTGGTTGATTTTTCACGAGCAAAGTAAGCAACGTTGAATTTTGAAGCATCAACACCTTCTAATGAAACTTGGGTTGAAGTAGCAATAACATAACGAGCATTGACACGACGTAATGGAACACCGTTAACTTTGAATGGACCAGAAACTAATAAGGTGTTGTCTTCTAAGTGTTTTAAGTAAACAACTCTTTTACCTCTGAAACGACCAGCTAATAAAATTAAAACAGTACCTGGAACTAATGAGGCACGTAATTTTTGTGGACGAGCAGTCTTTCTGGTGTTTTTTGGGACTGGAGCGTCTTCAGCTTGATACCATTTTGGAGCCTATTTGAATTGTTAGTATAGTTCAATAAGCATTTGTTTGCATTCATGGTATTTTAGATCTCTGAGATTATAGGTTCCCGTGGTGCATTCTATCTTGAAATCTACCTTTTCTTTAATTCTTGATTCAGATCTCTCCAAATGTGAACATTTGATTCAATATATCCAACATAGCATTTTTTAACTTTTATATTTGTATGCTTTTGGTTTCTTTCATATGGTTTGCTGATGTTTTCATTGAAATTTCCAACCGTATTTTATTACTCCCTTCTAACTTCAGTATAACATCGAACGGTGTGTTCTTGGGATCTTAATAATCTCATTGATCTCTACCCTGTATTCCCACTTACTAATTGGGCGCTCATTTTGATATAGTCTTGTTGTGATGTATATGGTATCTTTAACTAGGGCTTCTTCAAGCTTGATTGTTCAAGACGTTTGTTGTTGAGAATCCAACGCCAGAGTCCTACACTGGATGGTGTACTGAGTTTTACTGCAGCTTCCCGCACAAAAGCCAGTATACAACGCGTAAACCTGAGCACCGAGATTTCGAGAATTTTCAGCTCTCGAAAACCACTTTGAGTCGCTCTGGCAGAGTTGAGCAGGGCCACACATTTCATTCGAGAAAGTGGGACAGTCACAGATTCCATAAAGAGGTGTCTGGATGTAATGATAAAGTTCATGATTAACGTATGTGTCAAAGCTACATCAATGATCAAATAACTAATGTCAGTGTATTATAGTGTACACAAGTATTTATATTCATACAATAATAAAAACCAATTCATAGAAAAAATCATATCAACAGTTGTTGAATAAAGGAACGTCTCTTGTACTTTTGTCGTCAAAAAAAATAGTAAATCACAAAACTAAAGCATTCAAGGTCTTAGGTCCTCGTGGTGCCATCCTGGTGGAGGAGGAGTTTGACCATCTTCTTGACCTTCTTCAGGTTCTGGACTGTATCTGAAACTAACAACAATTTGTCCTTGACCTAATTTCAGATCAATATCACGAGGACTGTCAACAACTTCAGCTAGCTTGATACTGGCAGTTCCAAGTTCTTCATCTTTAGAAAATTTATGGTGTAAGAGACCACCAAAGACAACTTCAGCATCCATTGGAGCATCAAATGAAGTTTCTTCATCCCATCTCAAAACATGATTTGTAGCCTTGACATTCTTGGTGTGATAAATCTCCCTCAATTTTTCATTAATGGCTAATGAGACTTTAACTTGGGCATGATTACCCAAGTTTGTACCTGATCTAATGATTAATTTACCCTTGGTAGTCTTTTTATCCTTCACTTGAGTAGTATATGTTGAAGCTTGATCATCACCATTCTCTTCTTGAGCAGCAGCAATTGCACCACCTTCTTTATCTTTTGAAGTTGTAGATTTGGTTTGACCAGATCTCATCGACTGAACATCATTGGCATATTGTGAGCCGGTATCCATAGATGAACGTGGTTGATCTAGTGATTTCTTACTCTTTTTACCTGTCAAAACATTCTTGAACAAGGAACCACCTTTACCAACAGCACCTGCAGCAACACCAACACCACCACCAACGACACCAGTGGCCAAGTCTGCAGCAGCACCAACAGTCTTCAATGGAGCACCTGCAATAGATGATAAGTTCACACCAAATTCTGCGGCACCAATCTTTGGGCGAATATATTCAGGAACAAATGTAACTCTCAGACGAACAGATCCTTGAGTATCCAATGGGATATGAATGATGTCTGAGGTTAATGGTTTAACGCCTGTAATATCCAAACGGGCTTGACCCAACAAATCATTTTTACCAGCTCTATCCCAATCATAAACTGTCATCATTAAATCACTTCTTGCTCTCGATGGAACTGGAATAGTAGTACCTTCATTCCATGTTGGCGACAGGGTCTTTTTAACCACCTTGGTTTTGAATAATTCTAAGCCATTCAAAGTCAATGAGACAAATGGGTCTGATTTACCATTTCTGTCAGCAGACATCAGTCCTTCAGCATCCAGGAATTCAATCTTAGCTCTACCTGTATCTAGAATGGTTTCAGATGGTGGTAATTTTATGGCTGATGGAATGTATTCAAATCTAACTTCAACTGATGCACCATCAATAGTAACATGATATGGTTCGTCATAACCCTTTTCTAACAATTCAATGGTGTTGTAAATTTGTTCACCTAGAACATCACCAGAATCTTTTACCTGTTGTTTCTTTGTGTTTCTGAAAACAATCTTACTGTTTGGTAAATCACGAATAAAAGCTTCCCCAGATTCCGGGTTAACATTACGAGCAGTTGCTCTTCCAGAGACGAAACTTGGAGATCCTGAATCGTCAATCAAAACTTGAATAAATGTATCAGCTTTCTTAACCTTACCTTTCAAAATGTTAATGCCTAAAGTACCTGATCTATAAGTCAACAATTGTTCTAGAGATAATTTTTCTTTGGCATCTTCATCGAATTCGTCTTGATCTTCAACATCAACCCATTCATAATCTTTTGGATTCTTTTTGTAAACTTCTTCCCAATCTTTAAGTTGTGCTTGATACTTTTTCTCTCTTGCAGCCTTCTTTTCTCTTTCTTGTTCAAGCTGTTCCAATTCGGTCAATGAATAAACGGGAATGGCAGGCAAGAATGAAACAGAATAAGTCAACTCACCATGAGCTGTTTTACCTTTCAAGGATAATTTAGATTTCAGGATTTTGTTAGCGCCATCATAAAACAAAAAGTTATCATTAGCATCCTTTGAAACAAAGTTACCTATTGGGAAGTCACATGAACCTAACGAGCGATCTTTACTCATTTTTTGTTCATCCATAACTTCAAAAGAGACATGTTGAGACTGTGAAGTGATTGGTAAATAAACAACTTCATCGAAATTTGGATCAAGTGTATCAGGATAGAAAACAGTTTGATATTTCAATCTATTATTCAACATGACTTTAACATATGGATCAACTTTACCAATTTTTTCCAAATTCAATAAATCAATACCTTTTCTCAAATGCAATCTAGCAACACCGATTGGTGGAACAAAATTTGCAGCAGCAGAAACACCACTTAGGGAAACAGGTTTCCATTGAGCAGTTAGACGAACTTCACCCTTTGGTGATAATGGGAATGAATCATTACCATCAATTGTATTGAAAACCAGAGTGTCCAAACTTTCCTCCAGAGTTGCAATTGTGGCGTCTTCATCACTACTACCAGTATCACTAATGACTAATTTGATTTTGGTATTTGATTTTTGAGTGACAAGAATTTCCAAAGTTTCTTCCCAAGCGGGTTCATTAGCTTGTTTCAAAGTTCTAAATGTCTTTGTTGATTTACCATTGACATACAATTCGGCCTTTGGGTTTAGCTGACCAATTAATGAAGCAGTAGCATCCAATTTTTTAGCTTGATGAACTGTTAATTTGAAAATACCAACTTCAGTATCAGGAGTTTCAACTTCTTTACTTTCATCTTCTGTTGATGATTTTTCACTTTCAATAACTGGGAACCAACGAATATCATAATTGATATAACCTTTCTTCTTACCAGCTAGCTCCAGTGGTTTGTTGCTATCGATAATAGCCTCTTGTTGTAACAAATCTGCCAATTCAATAGTATGAGAAGCAAATAATGATCCTTTCTTGTCTTCAGTACTGAATGAGTGTAAGTCAAGATTCAATTTTTGCTCTAGTGAATTAACAAGGATATATTTAGTTTCATTCCAACGAGGAGTTTTAGTGTTGGCTTTAACGTCAGTACGAACATATTTCTCAGGTTCATTATCAACAAACAATTGGACATAAGGATTGAAGCCATGATGAGAAGATCTCTTAAGATCATTAGCACCTTTAACAGTAACTGCAACAACACCAATGGCATCATTTGCTTGAGCAGCCATCAATTCTTCAACATCTATATCAAGATGATTTGGAGCATAAAGCATTGGACCAACATTAGAGTTAATCAAAGTTGTAATCAAAGTGGAAAGACCAGGAATCAAAGACATGATATCTAAACCAAGCATATCACCACCAATTGGTTTCAAGGAGAAATCAATTTTTGGTGCTTCTAATAATGAAATTGAGACAATTTTGATATGAGGGAAGTTCAATGAAAGGTTCAATGTAATTTTAACCCTACCAGAGACTGACATGTTTTCAACCAAGATTGGTAATTTTTTGGAAACAAAAGCTTTACCAACTCTAACACCCAATGCAACTTTTGGGTTGATCTTTTTTTCAATTTCTCTTTTAGTCATATCAGAAGTATCATCAGGAGTGAATGAAAAAGCCCAGTCCATTTCAACAACATCTTTACCCTTTTTAGTATAAGATTTGATTGAATCAATTCTTGGAGCTTTACTACCTAATGTAAATTCATCCAAAGACAAAGCATCAATACCATAACCTGGAGCAATATCTTTCAAAGTATCATTAGCAATAGTCATAACGGTTTCAGATAAGGCTGGCATATAAATAACCCAAAATTTGGCTAAAAATGAGTTCAACCATTCCATTGTTTCAAAATTCTCCCCCAATTTTTCAGCAGCTGCATTTCTTTGCAAGTCATCTCTAATATTTCTAGAGAAACGACGGAATTCAGCACGATAAACAGATGAGGTACCTAAAAGGACGAACATTAAACCAAAGATACCAAATCTCCATTTGGCAATTAACCATGAAAAGAAACAAGTACCGATAACTAATCCAGTACTCCAATACCAGTCAGAATAGAAAGTTTCAATGATATAAGTTTTCACAATTTGTGAATCGGTAACAAAATGAGGATCAAATTTACCCTTTTCTTGGAATCCACCAATCTTCTCCCAAGGGAATCTTTCTTGTTTTCTAGGTTCCTTTGGCATTGATCTATCAATGACTTCTCTTGTGGATTTGGCTGGTTTGATTGGTTCTGGTTGTTGCTGTTTATTAGCAGGTAGGTTATTCTCCTTAGTAGTTGACTTGTTCAAAGAATTTCCATTTGGTTTAGGACCATTTGCGGTACCATTAGCAGTTCCATTAGGAATTGAATTGGATGCAGTCTTTTGAGCACCATTGATTGCATCTTTTGTTGTAGTTTCAGCAGTCTTGTCGTTTATGGGAGCTGACTTCCCATTTGGCAATGGCTTCACAGAGTCTTGGGTCTATCAAGAGTTAGTTGATGTGGTCAATTATAGTTCAATGATAATTATACTTACAGCACTCATGCTTTGCTAATTGACACGGTTCAAACTGTTACTGAATGGCAATTGAGGTTAGTTGTAGTTTGCAAAGTGTTGATGTTTATTTGAAAGGTGAAGCAATTGTCGCCAAACTGCTCAGCTGTGTGGTCCCAACTGAAATTTCGATTTTAGGCTGTACTACAAGAGATTGTGCTGAAATTGGACTTGCTACTATACAAAATGACAAGATAGATTGGATTTCGCAAAGGCTAAAGCGTATAGTTGTTTTGTTTAGCTATGGCTAACAATGTGAAGCCAATGCCCATACCAGAAATCCAATCTTCGTAGTACAGCCTTTCATCAACCAGGCTTTAGATCCCTATTTTTGACAGCGTTCCTGGAAAATCCGGTAGGGGCAGCATTTTGAGGCACATACAAAATTTAAGTAGACACAATTTTCTACACTTTGCTGAATAAATATTTCATCGATTCAAACTTTTAGCTAGTTGTTGTTGTTTTTGAATGGATACGGCCCAAGATTCTCTATCAATGATGTGTTTGGAATTTTCATCTTTAGCATTCAACAACGTGACTGTCATCAAATCACTGAAGTTCTCATCAATTCTACCTAAACTCTGGGAACAGTAAATCAATTGCAAGTAGAGGCCATCTCTAATTGACTTTTCGTGGACTTCTAGTAATGAAACTTTCAAGTTTTGTATCAGTTCAATCAAAACATTGCGGACAAACTCGAATAATAAGATGTTGGATTGTTTTCTGTTTTCGAGTAATTTGATAATAGGTTTCTCTGGAGTTGGCTCTTTCAATTCTTTTAACTCATCCGCATCATCTGTAGACTTATCTTTTTGCTCGGTCTGTTTGTTCTCATCCTGTTTTTGTTCCAGAGAATCTGCAGGTACATCCTCTTCTTTGTTGTCTTCTGATCCTTCTTCCACCTTTTGATCCTTTGAATCAGCATCCAGTTTGGATTCATCATTGAATTCCTTTTCAGCTGCATCTCCCTCTTCCTTTGCATTGTTCGCTTTAGTCTCACTTGCTTCGGCTTGGGTCGATACCTCTTCTTCCTTTTCAACTTTTGGAATTTGTTCTTCTGATTGTTCAACCTCTTCCAATTCTATCTTTACATCTTCTAATTCGAAATCATCAATATCTGCGAAGATACTCTTATATGTCATAATTGAACCAAAACAAAACTCTCTGATAACTTCAATACTTCTCTTCAAATATTTTTCATGCAATGCGCTTTCTCTCAATGGTAATAGGGAAGATAATTCCAGCTTAATAAACTCGTAACGAGAGTGCAGTAAGATTCTTTTCAGTTGTTCATCAGCATTATTGGATTGACTGAATGGTTGTATTCTTCTAAGATATGACAAGATCTTTATTATGGATGATTGTTTCAAATTTGTTCTTAATAGTCTAATCAATCCAGTCAACATCATGGACATTTCTGATTTAACACCAGCTTCCACTTCTTTAACCAAGTCACTGTTTGGGAATCTGATCGCCAATCTTCTTGTATATGAACTGATCTCAAGTGCTTCTGAATAATAGCCTGCTTTAATACACGCACCTGCTAACGACGGTAATTCTAATACATTCAATATTTGATCCATGTTATCTAAAACAATTGAAAGATTTTTGTGTTTTTCAGTCTCATTTAGTTGTGTGTTTTTGATATTGGAAATCGTTTGATAAAATGTATCTTGCTTTGTTGTTGGATCCAAATCAAATTCTAGTTCTTGTAATTCTTGATCTTGATCATCTTTAATTTCATCAATGTCATCATCTTTGAAAGTTCTCCAAAGTGATTTTGCATTATGTGCAAATTCAGTGTCAAAAGATTGATAAGCATCTTTTAACCCAATTTCATTTTCAATAATTGAACCTTGTGATTTGATTATCAGGTTTTTCAATTTTGAATCAATGGATCTTTGATTAGCTTCTAACTCAGCAATATCTTGAACCAATGTTCTCTCTTCCACTATGTTTCCATCCCTATTAGCTGCTGGGGTGGGTGGGATTGAAGATAAATAGTCATTTGATTCAATTGAACTGATATCATTCAAGTATTTCAATATATCACTGTGTAACGCTGGCGACTCTAGTAATGATTGGATTTCACTGGGCAGGTCATCGGACAGTTCCTGGAGTAGCACCTCCAGCGAGGACGCATCATAATTCTCGACTTCAGTCATATTTTGACTCAGTCAGCAGGCACTTGATATCCCTTTGAACAAAGATCTCGTAACCCAACTTTCTGAAATGCTGTTGATGTTGATGTTTTGATCAGTTCGCGAATTTGAGGATTTACCCTATTCTGATATCCGACTTTCAAGCCCTCGGATTTTGATCCACTTGATTTTGGCAGCCCAATTTCAAAGGGAGAACATTTTGGATAGCATATCAGATAAATAAAAGAATCAGACAATAGGCTTACTGGTTCTATCTTGTTGCTTTCTTGGTATCAGAGAACATATTAACTGAACTGTTTTCATCACCACTTAGATTATCCCAATTGAATTTTAAAGATGGAAGGGCTATATTTTAACATTGATAAGTATGTACCTAATACCATTCCCACGAGATGTTAATCAAAGTAATGATACTAACAATTAATCAGTGGTTACATCGAAGGTGTTGTTCGTGGTTATAGAAATGGTCTATTAAACTCAAATCAATATATCAACTTGACACAATGTGATACTTTGGAGGATTTAAAACTACAATTATCATCAACTGATTATGGTAACTTTTTAGCTAATGTTCCTAGTCCATTAGCCACTTCAACTATTCAAGACAATGCTGCTCAAAAACTATACTCTGAGTTCAACTATATCCGTGACCAGGCAGTACAGCCATTATCCAAATTTATGGACTATATTACATATGGTTATATGATTGATAACGTGGCATTAATGATAACAGGGACTGTCCATGATAGAGATAAAGCTGAAATTTTGGATAGATGTCATCCATTAGGTTGGTTTGATACATTACCAACTCTAACTGTTGCCACTGATATTGATTCATTATATCAAACAGTTTTGGTGGATACACCATTAGCCCCATATTTTAAAGATTGTCTAACTGCCGAAGATTTAGACGATTTAAATATTGAGATCATTAGAAATAAATTATACAAGGCATATTTGGAAGATTTTTATAAATTTTGTCTTGAACAACCAGATCCAGCTTCCACTATCATGAAAACTTTATTAGAATTTGAAGCTGATAGACGTTCAATTAACATCTCTTTGAACTCTTTTGACTCTGAATTATCACCAGAAGAGAAGAAATCATTATTACCTGCATTTGGTAAATTATATCCAATGGGTACTGAAGCTTTGGCAAGAGCAGATGATGTTGAACAAATCAGATCAATTGTGGAGAATGTTTATGAATATAAATCGTTTTTCGATAACGTTGGTGGTAAAACTTTAGAGGATCATTTCTATAAATTAGAGATGGAATTATGCAGAGATGCTTTTACTCAACAATTTACAATCAGTACTATTTGGGCATGGATGAAATCAAAAGAACAAGAAATTAGAAACATCACTTGGATTGCTGAATGTATTGCACAAAATCAAAAAGATCGTATAAATAATTATATCTCTGTCTATTAAGGGAGTGGGTGAGTCGTATTTTTGTCATATAATTTGTCTTAAAAAAAAGTAATATTACAGATCTTTTATATTGTAGTCATATCAATTCGTTAAATAATATACTCGTTAAAATATAATATACTTGTACACACATCAATTGTCATTATATTTCAAAAGTAAAAAAAATTCAAATAACCAACTCAACAACACGATCATAACTTGTAGTGACAAAGGCAGATTTGGAATTAGGATTTGGTTTGATAATAGGGGCAGGAATGTCAGCTCTATAAAAATGAGCATTACGACATTGGGAGATATCCAAATACTTTAATGGAATTGAACTTGATAATAAAGCATCGACACCTGATCTTGTAACTCTAACACAACCTTTAATAACCAAAGATTCCAAATTCCTTAAATGGATAGAAATTGCCAATAATGTTGAGTCACTAATAGCTGATCCACAAAACGAAAGATCCAAATGTTTTAAATTTGGACAACCAAGACATAAAACTTCAATAGAAACATCAGTTAAAGCACAACAAAATGATAAATCCAAGAATGTTAAACCTTGAGCAGAACTTGCAATTGCCACTATTGTTTTATCTGTTAAAAATGTACAATCACTTAATTTCAATTTGGTTAAATAAGGGAAAGGTTGATAAGCCCAATATGCAAACCCGGCATCTGTTATTGTAGTACATCTTGTTAAATCTAGTGATTCAAGACGATCATTAGCATGTAATGCAATGTGATACATTGATCTATCAGTTAAATGTTTGCAATAACCAAGATTTAAATTCTTCAAATTTGCACAACCGATAGCAGATTCATTATTATTTTGGTCATCAAATTCTTCCATCCCAGGAATTGGATCATCAATTGAATTAACCACAATAGAGTTTTTAGTTTGAGCAGGGTGTAATTTATTTTTCCAACCAATTAATCTTTCAACAACATCATCTCTAACTTTTCTACAATTTGATAAATCCAACTCCACAATATGATGTCCAATACTTGGTACAGCGACATCCATAATAGCCATTGCACTCACATCCCAAACTGATCTCATCTTGATGATTTGTATTGAGCCACTCATTCCAATCTCATTAACCATATAACAAAAACCTAAATCAGTTATATGGAAACAATCAGAAATATCAATAACTTTTGGTCTTGAACCAACAAAATCAGTGATCTGTATCAAGGCATCATCATCAATTGAAGTATTGTAGGGTTTTAAATCCAAAACTTCGAAAAACCCAGGGGCAACATATAATAATTGTCTCCATCTTCTGCAAATTATTCTGAGTTTCATTAATTCGGGCAATGATAAGAATTCAAAAACTTTCAACAAGATACGATCAGGTAATGGACCTGTGCTCAATACTGAGGAGCGACGTCTCCCACTTATGCTTGCTAATCTTAATCTTTTAGCATGGTTCATGTATTGGAACGGTTGTGGTGTTCTTTGATGTGATGGGAATGAGTTTAAGGATGGTAGAACTGGGTTCAGTGGTGGGACATTGAGGGTCAATGGTGATGATGAAGATTCTCTTGGATCAATTGATTGAGTTATTGTGGCTATAGATCTTCTTCTTTGGAAAGAAAACTCGTTATTGTCAAATATTGAGCTTGGAGGAGCTGTGGAGAATGATGAGGCAGCTGTGGAAGTTGTTGTGTATAGTTGTGAAGTTGTTGAAGATGATTCTGATAATGGTGAAGCACTTCTTATTAAGTGGTCAGGGACTATTGAAGATGAACGTGGTTTTGGTGGTTGTGGTGATGGGGCTTGTTGTTGTTCATTGGTCTTGTGTAATGGTGTATCTGATGATGAAAATTGAAGTGAATTACTTCTTCTTCTTTTAACACCATGAACATCTGTTTGCTTTGGTGGTTGGAACTGTTCTTTCTGTGTTCCTGGTGATTGGAAACCCTTCCATTTTTTGAAAGGATCTTTGAACATCAATTCTTCTTGATGTTGTTGATCATCATCCTGGGTATTGATTTGGTTTCGATCATTTCTCTTTTTAGCAGTTTCTCTCATTTCATCACAAATCCTAGGATACCTTGAATACAAATTCTCCAATTGATCACCACTAACAATCAATAAATCCACAGTGGAGACAGATCTAATATCAGCACTTCTTTCAATCTTTTGGAAATCTCGATCATGTTTAGAGATCGATTGTAAAAAAGCCATTTCACCAAAGTATTGACCAGTACCTAATCTTGCTAAAACATGATCCACTTTTTTATCTTTATTACCATGCGAAGAAGTTAATGAAATTCTCTTGGGACTTAATACTTCCACTTCACCATTAACAATAAAATAAATATCACGGCCCAATTCTCCTTTCCTAACAATATATTCAAATGGTTCAAACCTTGTTGGTTCCACACCTAGTACCAGCTCATGGATAATATTTGAAGGTAATAGTGTAAACATTGGTAAACTTCTTAGGAAATCTCTTGTAGGGATAGAATGATCAACATTATCGTGGATTCTTGGAAGACTTTTCCTTTCCTGGATAGTGTGTAAAGTATGTGAACTTTTCCTTAGATTTGGTGAAACATTTTCCAATAACGTTGAAGGTATTGATGAAACCAAATGTGAAGAATGATGAACATGAGGAGGTACAGAAGGTCCTGGCACTGTAGCATTTGCCATAACAACATTTGAAGCAGCAACGCCTTCAGACGAACCACCATTGTTTTTATTATCACTCAAGATAGTGGACATTGTACTATTTGGTTTTGAAATTATATTCGTTACCCCATTTCTTTTCCTTTTATCTTGCATGCTTAATCTCTCTTGAGCTTCATCTCTAATCATTCTCTCCACGGCAGGGAAATCAGATAATACAGCATTGAAATTATCAGCAGTTAAAACTCCTAAGAGTACTTTAGTTCTAGCCACCACTGTTGCAGTTCTTGGTCTGTTGAACAGTATACCAATTTCCCCGAAAAATTGACCAGCAACTAGTTCAGCATGAACAGCTTCACCATCTGGGGATGTCACGGCCACTGAGCCTCTTAGGATCCAATACATGGATTTAGCAGGTTCGCCAAACCTAACGATATATTCTTGAGCATGATGTTGAACTAATTTTAATCTTCCAGCTATTGCATTATGGAAAGTTCTTGGAGCATTTTTGAAAAGTGGGAAAGTTGCAAGTTTCTCTAGAAGTTGCGGTGGGATGTTGTGTCTTGTGAAGTTTGATAATTCTAGTTCATCAGTTTCTTGCTGTGAAGGTTGTTGTTGTTGTAAGTCTCTGGGTATTAGTGATGGAGATCCCTGTGATGAATTGTTGATTGGTGATAGAGGAGTTGGTGAAGGGGTTTGTATTGACTTTTGATGCTCAACATCATAGATTTTATAGCTGTGTTGTATATTATCTTGTATCTGTTGTTCTATCTCTTCATTTCTTTTCAGATCTGACTTGGATATTACTGATGATAAAGGACTTGTTGAACGTATTTGACCAACTTCATTATTATTGTTATTACCCTTGTTATTACTGTTATTCTGCTTCGCAGAGGCTAAAGGGGATGGTTTCAAAGGTTTTGTATTCACCAAAGAGCCTGATTTCTTCTTCATTTTCGAATTCCAACCCTATTTAGATCTAGTTGTTGTTGTGTTATGTTGTATTAATGTTTAGTGATATTCTTTTCGTCTTGAAGATGTCAAAAAGATGGCTGGACCTCTTAAAAGAAAAACGAAAAGGAAAAAATTTGTTCTTGATGGAGTGGAAATGAATGATGTGGTATAATGTGTACTATATTGTAGCTTGTAGTAGTGTATTTGGGGCCTGGAAATGTAGTTTATAGATCTTGAGATGGTATTTAAGCTGATGTTCAGTTATGTCTATAAATTTCAGATGATAAAAGATGTTTTTGCTTTTTTCTCTTTCGGTGATGGGTTTATCCGAAACAGTGGTACACTTTGAAGAGTATATAATCTGGATATGGAGATAGAGAAGAGTCTGTTATTGGAAGAAAATGATGATGATGATGGTGTAGTTGATGTTAAAATCGTTTGCATCGTGTTCTACGTTTTTGCTAAGTGTGGATGTGCCAACTAATGGTGCCAATAATACGCTGTGTAGAACTGAGCAACTCTCCAAGAACTGTAGCAGAGGACAAATCAGCCCATCAAGAGATAAGTAGAACGACAGACATTCTTTGTGTATGCTGAATTCCATCAAGGCTTTTGAAGGAAGCTGCGTTGATGCACTGGGCTCGTTGATGGAACATTCGCTGGTGTGAAACTCATTTCTAGAAGGAAACTATAACCAGTTGGCGATGAGCATTGAGCACATGGCATTCGTGAATATCTATGATAATAATATCATATGTCTTGTGCTTCTCTATAAAATCACATATCAGTTGTACTCTACGCTATACCACCTCAGCATCTACACTGTAACCACCGTTTCATGGTTTAATAAGGCCTGCCATTCCCTTTTAGTCAGTTCAACACGGAGTTGGAACAATAGTGGGTCCTTTTAGCACTCCCTACATCTCTTATTACAACCTAATTGGAAACATCCTGAGATTATCTATCGTTTCACTACTGCAATTGCACTGCTCTCCCCATGTTTCTGCAATGATTCATGGCGATTCATGTGCTGTATCTGAAATCTGGTATCTGCCTTAATCTTCTGCAGGGTCAATAGGAGTACGGGCTTTGAAACAGATTTGTTAAGCAGATGTATCAGGAATCAGGATAAACAGGATTCAGTATTCAATATTCAGCAAATATACAAATTAGTACTGCTTATTCTTCAATTAGTTTGATTGTATCTAATCCCACCTAGATCCGTCAACATATAATCAATATGGCTACGAACAGGTTAAAAATCCCCAAAATGTATATAATATTACTTCTGCTCAAAATCTATAATCACTAAAAAATTCAAATTTCTTCAATTCATCCCCTTTAACTGCATGAACAGTTCTAATATATGTCTTTGAAGTTAACACCAACTCATTATATAACAAATATTCTGGTGAAACTGGTAAAACTGTACTTGGATGGACTAAAACATCTTGTCCATCAACTGTCTTGTAACCTTTCCCACTCTTGATGGCAACTTGCATGAAAAACCCACCCAATAATGCTCTTGTAATGTATTTATTAAATTTCTTATCATCTTGTGATGTTGATATCACTGGAATATCATAATTTTCCATCATTCTGTACAATTGTTTTCTAATGTTTATGGCTTGAACCATTGTTCTATATGAAACAAAATTATCACGACACCATTGATTAATACCTCCTTGTTCTAAAGCTGATTGATATTCATTGAAAACATTTAATAAAGTGACAAAATCTCCAGATTGATCAGCAAATTGTAATTTGGCTTCATCTGCATATTTTCTAGAGTTTGCAGGTCTAACGAAAACATTTGGAACATTTAATAAACTAACAATTGTTAATATTTCTTCTGAACATTTATGGTCTGCTGAACCAATCAACATGACTGCTAATAATGGATCCAATGGGAAATTTGAAGCTAATCTACCCAAGGCAGTTAACTCACCTTCATCGTTCAATACAGCCAAATAATTTAATTCTTCTAAAGCTCTCATCATGGTTTCAGGTGCTGGAGGATCCATAAAATCAAAATGAACTAAATCATCAACACCAACTTTCTTCAACAATAACACCACTGATGATAAATTACATCTTAAAATTTCCGGATATGTAGCTTCAATCAACTCTTTTTTGTAAGCTTCCTCGGTGTATAATCTAAAACATTTACCAGGTCTAGTACGACCAGCACGACCAGCTCTTTGTTGAGCACTTGCCTTGGAAATTGGTGAGACTAATAACGATTCTACTCTAATTCTTGGATTATAAACTTTTTGTTTTGAGAACCCAGGATCAACAACATAAACAATACCATCAATTGTCAAAGAAGTTTCTGCAATGTTTGTAGCAATGATAACTTTTCTACCTGGACGTCCATTGATTGGTTCAGGTGCAGGTTCAAAGATTTTTTGTTGTTGATATGGTGGTAATGAACCATATAATGGATAAACACTTAGTGGACCACAACCTTGTTCTCTGATTAATTCATCAGCTTCTAATGAAATTTTCCTACATGCATCTTCAATTTCTTCTTCACCTGTCAAGAATACCAAGACATCACCTTCACCTTCTGTGGCATGGATTTGTAAAACGGTTCTAATGGCTGAATCAAGATAATCTTTTTGATATTCTGGCGTATAATAAATTTCAACTGGATGAGTTCTACCAGGAACTGCTAATAATGGTGCATCATTGAAATAATTTTGAAATTTTTCAGCATCTAAAGTGGCAGACATGATTATGATTTTCAAATCGGATCTTCTTTGAGAAATTTGTTTAATTAACCCCATCAATATATCAGTAGCTAAAGTACGTTCATGAGCTTCATCTAAAATCAAAACGGAATAACGTGATAAATTATGATCCTCCATAGCTTCTCTTAATAACATACCATCAGTCATATATTTCAACAAAGTCTTGTTGGAAGTTTTATTTTCAAATCTAATATTATAACCAACTTCTTCACCTAATGTAACATCCATTTCATCAGCAACTCTTGCAGCAACAGACATGGCGGCAACACGACGAGGTTGGGTACATGCAACCTGGGTACCTTTCAAATGAGGCATATCATCATAAAGAACAAATTGAGGAATTTGTGTAGTTTTACCAGAACCAGTTTCACCAACGAAAACCATAATTTGTGTAGATTGGAAAATTTTTAAAAATTCATCACGTTGAGCATGAACAGGTAAATCACGACGGACTTTCAATATATCAAAATACTTCTGAGTGAATTTCTCACCAGTGAAAGGATTATTAGTGGCATTTTCCAAGTTTTCAGCTTGCTTTGCAGTTGTCTTGTGTGGTGTTAAATTTTTAAATTCACGATTATTATGGAATTCTAAAACTTGTTCATCGACATGGTGAGGGTGTGCTTTCAACTCAGCTTCGGCCTTCTCAGCAACCTTCTCCCCTGATAATGTGTCCACGATGCGTAGCTTCTTCTTTGGTCTTTCACTGTCGCCCATTGTACGTACTTTATCTGGTTATGGATTTCTTGTTTATAGCAGAGATGAGCTTTTACTGATAAATTTTTTTTTATGAAAACAATATTTTGGACAGGGCCACTCGTTGCACGTGCTACAATGGCAGAGTATAATCCTGGTACTAAAAAAGGAAATAGACAGGATTGAAACTGTGAGAAAAAGGCTTTGTCAAAAAAAAGTTCATACTATTTGAATGATATTGCATCTGCCCTATTGAATTTGATTCTCTCTTATCATTTTCTTGGTCTTTTCACCAAACGAGGCCCTACTTTCGCGGGTTGCTTTGCGAGCATTTCAAAACCGAGAAAAACCTCAACAAAACGAATTTACAAAGTGAAGAGATCTATTTAATAGTCACTCTTTGGCCAATTAAAACCAGGCTTTCCTTGCTTTTGCTAACTTTATACTCAATATGCTAACGAGAGAAGGTGTCCATGAGATACTCACAATCTCAAAAGCTGCTGCCAACGTCGCTAGAGCTTCATTGGACTTGGTACAGACAGAGGCTTGCAATTTTTACAAGTCTTCAATATTGACCAAAAATTGTCGAATTCATGATGAAATGTATGACGAATTGAATTCAAAATCTCAATCAATCAGAACTGGCACAACTCAGTCAACACCTGCTCCAGCTTCAAGTACACAATCCACTTTTAAATCCAATGCGAGTTCAACCATAATACAAGATGATAAAAGACCAAAGATTAATCCTCAAACACCATCAACATCAAGAAATTATTCAACAAAAGCTGTTAAACCAACAATCATCCCAGAAATAACGGAAAAGACTCGTCAACCGGAAACAAGAGATCCTCCTGCAAAAGTTGCTGCTAAAATCTTGGATGAATCCCGTTATGCTAAAATACCTTCAACTAAATTACAAAGATTATTCCATTATGGGCATTTAGCTGCAAATATTGGGTTAAACACTGCAACTGATGGATTAAGAGCTTATGCTAGTGGTGAAAAGACAGACTTAAGGAAATTGGCATTATCCTCCAAGAATGTTTCAATTTTAGGTGATAAATTAAGAAAAATGAGAGGTGCTGCTTTAAAAGTTGGACAAATGATGTCAATACAAGATGAATCTTTTTTGCCTCGTGAAATTTCAGATTTATTGAAAAATGTTCAAAATCAAGGTTATTTTATGCCTCCCTCACAATTGGATAGATTAATGAAATTAAACCTTGGTGAAGATTGGAATACAAAACATTTTCAAAGTTTTGATGAAGTGCCAATTGCATCTGCTTCGATATCTCAAGTTCATAAGGCTGTTTTGAAAAATGGTTCACCAGTCGCTGTCAAGATTCAATATCCTGGTGTTAAAGATTCCATAGATTCAGATATGGATAATTTATTAATGTTTATGACTGCTTCAAGATTATTACCAAGAGGTATGTTTCCTGAAAAATCTATACAAAATGCAAGAACTGAATTGAAATGGGAATGTGATTTTAACAGAGAAGCTGAGAATATTAAAAAATTTGCTGAATTATTAGGTAAAGATTCTGTTTTCCAAGTTCCAAAAGTTTATGATGAAGTTAGTAATGAAAATATCTTGACAATGGATTATTTAAAAGGTGTTGAAGTTTGTCGTGGTTCTTGGGATCAATCTACAAATGACTGGATTGCTTCAAATATTTTAAGATTGTGTTTACAAGAAATTGCACAATTTAAATTTATGCAAACAGATCCAAATTGGGCAAATTTCTTATTCAATGAAGATAATAAAAAAATTGAATTGTTAGATTTTGGTGCATCAAGAGATTATAATGATGAATTTATTAAAAATTATGTTTCATGTTTAAGAGCTGCTGTGGATAAAGATCGTGAATTGGTTAAACATTATTCACAAAAATTGGGTTATTTAACAGGTTTAGAAACTGAAGAGATGGCTGATGCTCATGTGGATTCGGTTGTTATCCTTGGTGAACCTTTTTGTTCTGATGGACTTTATGATTTTTCCAAACAAGATGTTACAACAAGAGTTAAAGCCAAGATGGGGATTATGTTGAAGGAAAGATTAACTCCACCTCCTGAGGAAACTTATAGTTTGCATAGAAAATTCAGTGGTGTCTTCTTGTTGTGTACAAGATTAAAGGCAAAAGTTCCATGTAAAGAATTGTTTGATGAATATTTCAAGTTATGAAGTGCAGTTGTAAATAGATCTACATAAAAAAAGTTAATAATAATATAATCATTATATGAAAAATAAATAATATTTCAAACTTGTGCATGATATTTAGCCATATGACTTTGTAATTGTTTATCTTTACTAAAACTCTTTGCACAATAATCACATTTAAAGAATTTTTCATGAGTTTTAATATGTTTTGTTAAATTTGAAGATTCACTAAACCTTTTACCACAACCAGGATATTTACAAACTAATGGTTTTTCACCTGTATGAGTTCTAACATGAATACTTAATGAACTTGAAGTGGCAAAATGTTTATCACAAACTTTACATTTATATGGTTTTTCACCACTATGAGTCCTCATGTGTTGTTCAAGCATTGATTCCACTGCAAATGAATGATTACAAACTTTGCAAATAAAAGGTTTGTAACGGGTATGAACATGTAAATGTCTAATGATTTTTTGTCTTTGATTGAAAATTCGATGATTTCTTGAACAATTTTCCCAAAGGCAAGTATATTCTGATTTTCCTGAACCGACATGATGATGAATTAAATGATCTGTTAATTCTTGTGCATTGGAGAATTTCTCATTACATTGTTTTATAATTTCACCTTGAGAACTAGTTTCAACCCATTTACATGTTGTTTCTTCACATTCTTCTTCACATTGTGCACGTTTTGATTTTCTAACAACTTGTGTTGTTATAGTTGGTTTAATTTCACTTGAATCTGAACAAGGTGTTGGAAAATCAAGTGATTGAGGTTGAGGTAGTTGTTCATTTTTTTTGAAAATGTTATTTATATCAAAATCATATTGAAATCCATGACTACCGTTGATATGATTAACTAATGAAAATAAATCATATCCACTATAATCACAATTTTTCCATTCACATTCAAAAGAACCAGTTGGGTTTGAAGTTGATTGTAATGGGACATTATATTCGGATAATAAATGATCCTCCATTATATGATTTTGTAATTGGAATGAATTATCAAGAGTTGTTGAACAATTTTCCCATTCACATTTAGCACCTGTTTGATTTTTAAAGTTCCATTCAAAATTTATAAAATCATGATCATTTGTCTTGATGTTTTTTTTGATTTTTTTAGGTTGATGATCATGGATTTGGATATGATGATGATGATGATTATCTGAATGTTGGAAAGAATGATGATGTAAATGATGATGGAGAGTGTGTTGGTGTTGTTGATCATCATCTTCACGATGTCTTTTGAAAGCATTACAATTTGGATTTATACAATCCATTGGGTTTGTGAAACCAAGGGGTGTATCATTATTTTTGGATAATGTTGTTTGTTGTTGCTGTTGTTGCTGTTGTTGTTGATTTAGATCACGTTGTAAGTCATTCAGTATATCCATATAGTTATTATTGTTGTTACTTTCAGTTGAATCTTTGTTCTCTAATTTCACTGGTTGTGATTCCGCAATTGGTGTTGATGTAGATTCATTGGTTATTTGATCAATATCTTCACAATATCTGCAATATAATTCATCAATATTACAAGTATCCAAATCACATTTAATATCAATACAATCATCTAATGATCCCGCACAATTTAAATCCAATTTTGGTTCATCTTGAATTTCCTTTAATGGTTTTTCAACATGTTCAGTTTGTTCATGATCAGTACAACTTGGGAAAATGGGTATCAAATCATTTTGTGAATCATGTTTATTATCACAACAAATTTCCACAATTTTAGGAACACAATTTTCATGATCTTCATTACATTGGATTTCACTGTTTAATATTGAATTTTTATCATGACAGTTTAAAAATTCAAAATGTTGACAATCTGAAAATTGTGAAGATTCTGGTTCATTAAAATGACGATGAGAAGATCTTCTTCTTCTTCTTTGTGATTGGTCATCATTTTCCACAGTTGGTAAAGAAAGTGATGATTGTTGTTGTGGATGAAAATTTTTCAATTCTGAAATTTGTGGTGGTGGTGGTGATGATGATGAAGTTTGTTCATTTGTATGAATATGACCATGAATATAGGTAAAATTTTCAAAATTATGGATATGACCATGAATAAGACCGTTATTTAATTCTTTTATCAAAGTGTTATTGCTGTTGGGATCTTTTTGTGATTGTGTTGTGTTTGTTGAAGGTAATGAATCACTAGAGGAAACCGATAATGAAGAAGTGGATGATAATTTCCTCTCTATATTTTCAACTTGATTATTATCCAATAGTTGAGATATTTCAGTATCATCAAGAGAGTATTTAGATAATTCATTCTCTATGTTGTGAACAGATCTTTGACCATCATGGTTTTGATCCACCATTGTATAAATGAACTAAAAAAGAAAAACCAAGTCCGTAGTTGTGTTAAAAAAGAATGGTTTTGGGTCTTTTTGATGAATCAACTATCTTGAATTAACAGAGCGTTTTGTATAAACAATACCGTCTTCTTGTAGGGCGTTTCGATTAGTCCAACCTGCACTTTTGATTGATTGAATGGTAATATACCTCTGTTTGAAAAAGTATTTGAAATTGAAATAAAAAATTTGAAAGAATAAAATATTGATGATTGTGTGAGCAGCAGAACTGTGTAAATGAGTGCACTGTTGTAGTAGCCTGCAATGGAATGTATAAATATCAGAAATGTATTATAGAACTCTTCTTATTGTTCTAATTGTACCAGCCCTATCTTATACCGTCCTTCTCTTTCTCTTCACACTCTTTAATTCTTTCTTTTCTCTCTTCTTTTCACTCTCTCTCTCCTAATTGAAACCCAGATGATTCACCAATCTCCAATGTAGCATTTCATCAAAGCAGCAGCACAAATCTCTGTACAACTTAATTCTTCAACCTTGGTAGTTTCTTGAACACTCAGCTCATGGCAGGAAAATTAAAAAAAAAAAATAGAGTCTGAAATGACAGAAGTAACGTGTCAATAACAAAAACGTAAAGTCACGTGATTATTCATGTGAGATGCCGAGGGGTTCCCTTGCTGTACCGCGGCACCAGGATCCCCAGTGATTCATCCGAAACTTGACACTGTTGCAAAAGGATAACAACAAGTTATACAATCTACTAAGTAAACAACTATTATAACGAGATATAGGCACATCCACTTTGAATAGAAACTTATTAAGAACAGATATAGACACCATGACTGCATCAACAAAACCTGAAAAAGTTGTCTGTGTATTTTGCGGTTCATCATTTGGTAATGATTCAACTTATTCTAAACATGCTAGTGAATTAGGTAAACAAATTGCAGAAAAGAATTGGGGTTTAGTTTATGGAGGTGGTACCAGTAAGTTGAATTATATTATATATATTAGGAGTCCAGTACTAACGCTTAATGACAGCTGGTTTAATGGGAGCTGTGGCAAAATCATGTTCAGAAAACAATGGGTATGTTCATGGTATTATTCCAGAAGCTTTAGTTAGTCGTGAAAGAGTTGATCCAGATGATTTTAATGGTAAATTACATGAGGATATTAATAATCATAAGGGGTTAACACCAATCTCTAATGAATATGGAAAAACTACTATTGTTGATGATATGCATACAAGAAAAAGATTGATGGGACAAGAAGCTGATGCTTTTATCGCATTACCAGGTGGGTATGGTACTTTAGAGGAGATTATGGAAGTTATTACATGGTCTCAATTGGGTATTCATGAAAAACCTATTATTTTTTATAATATTGATGGGTTTTATGATGGGTTATTAGAATTCATTAAAAGTTCAATTAAAGCTGGATTTATTAGTGCAAGTAATGGTGAAATTGTTGTTGTTGGTAAAAATACTGATGAAGTTTTAAATCATATTGCTAATTATAAGATTCCTGAAGGTAGATATAATTTAAAATGGGAGAATTTAGGTACTCATACACACAAGAATTGAGATCTGATTATTTGCCTTTGATAGTGGGATAATTGGCTTCAATTTATACAATTCAGTTCAACAAGGAGAAGAAAAGATATGAAAAGTTTAGCATGTTAGATTGCAGTTTATAATAATTTAGAAATAGATGATTTAATCATTTCATTAGACTTGTTTGAATGACTAGTTTGAAACATATTGGAGTTGATGATCTCCCAAAGATATGAAGATGATCAGATGAGAGTTTTTACATTTCAGCAGACGTCTCTTCGTATTCACCAGCTGTGGAAGTCTCTTTATAAGCTTATCGTACTTGTGAGTTGTGAATTGAAGCGTATCAAACGGCTAGTCGTATATATTCCTTGAAAATCCGTATTTGCATAAAGTATCATATCAATTAGGAACAACTACAATGGTTATCTCATTCGTTTCAGTTCATCATGGGTAATGAGTGTAATACCATAGTCTCTCTACTCCTCTTATCGTCTATTGTTCACCGTTGTTTAAACTTAATTAGTCTTTTAAATAAGGTTCTTCTTTCTCCCCAGATACAACAATGTAATAATAATCTAAGACCCGACCGGTGTTTTGAGCCTATGATTGAAAAGATGAGAAGTGAACTGTTAAAGAATAAATGAATGATGATGATGATGATCTGTTGGGTACGACTGTATTGCTATTCTTGGGATATAATTCCTGGGTATAAACGATGGTGTTCTATTAATTCTATTTATGGTGATGCACAGTGATCTGCAATGAACAAGGGAATAGAGAATTAATTATGGTAATAGAGTAACAGTATAGTAGTATAGTAGTAATAGTAGTATAGTTAACTACTACTATAATCAACTTGATACTCTCCTAAGCCCATGTCTGCCACGGGTATTCATGGAATACCATCTCTGGGAGGTACCAGGTGTTAATGCTCCCAACCGTTGCAACACAGACCATTGCTGTTTCAAATGGTAATACAACGAAGTAATTAACTAAACAACTACTTAAATACATAACTAATAACTAATTAAATAACTAATTAAATTATCATCAACTAAATCAATTCATTATCTAATCTCCAACTAATCCACCTTTAATTCTATTCCGTCAACTAATTCCAATTTCTTTGGCTGCCTTGCTTCAAAACCGCTGAAATCCAAATCCAAAACGAAAACGTCCAACAACAAATTTCAAAAACAATCTTCCCGTCCGTTTCAACCACAACCAACAACAACAATAACAACTGAACCCATATAAACAAGTATCAATCATTGTCCTTTATATCATCACCTCTTTGGCAAAACAGCTGGTCTGACTCATCAAAGTGCTACTTTACCCACCTACTTCTATTATTAAATCCTCGAAAAGGCTCACCCATAATTGATCAACTTTGAAAGGATATACACCTTATACAATACAGCTTATTATCCATTAGCATGAATGCTTCAGCTCAACCCATATCCCCCTTCCATCATTTACAACAACAACAACAAACTTCTTCATCTGGTTCTTCAACTCCACAGCAAAATCAACAACAGATGAGTCAACAAAATAACAACAACAACAAACCTCCTTCTTCAAAATCTTCAACAAATTTGAGGAGAGGTCCTTGGTCTCCTGATGAAGATCGTAAATTAATTGAATCAATCAATTTATTTGGTGCTACAAATTGGGTTAGAATCTCTCAAGCTTTAGGCTCAAGAACTCCAAAACAATGTAGAGAACGTTATCATCAAAATTTAAAACCTTCTTTAAATAGAAATCCAATTTCTCCTGAAGAGGGTCAATTAATTGAAGAATTGGTGGCAAAATATGGGAAAAGATGGGCTGAAATTGCAAGACATTTAAATGGTAGATCCGATAATGCTATTAAAAATTGGTGGAATGGTGGTGCAAATAGAAGAAGAAGAGCTTCATCTCAAGCTATATTACAAGAAACTCATCATCATCATCCTCAACAACAACCTTTACCACCACCTCCACAAGCTCAACCAAATCATTATCAAGATTATCCTCAACAACATCCTCCTCATTTCAATTCTCCATCTTTTAATACTCAAATATTTCAACAAAATCAACAAGGACAAGGACAACACCTTTTACAACAACCTTTCCATTCATTACCTCCAAATCAACATCAAACTTTACCCCCATTACACGCTACACAATCAACACCTGCTGCGCCAACTAATTCCACTTCCTCTTCACAGCCTTTAATGCTACTAAGTTCATTATCTCAACAACAAATGTTACCACCGGCAAACGTTGCAAGATCATCTTCATTAAACCAAGAAATTTTCCAACAACAACAACCAGGAGTCAAGAGATTTTTAGAAGAACAACACATCCCATTAAGAAGACATTCTGCACAAACAATCCTAACTTCAAACCCAACTTCATCCTCACCATTTTCCGCATCACCTTTATCAAGAGGTCCATCTTCGAGAAACAGTTCAATCTCATATGATTACCAACAACAACAACAGCCTCACACTCAACCAACTTCACAATCTGGATATTTCTCAGAATACTCAAACAACACATCAAGAAGATCCTCAATTGCCCATGATATCTTCCCTAACCCGTTCCAATATCAAAACAAGAGACAAAACAGCACAACTTCGTCAACTAGCATACCTCCAACCAATGCAGTTTATTTATCACCAAGTTTTAAACCTCATAGAGGTTCGGCATCGGGACTGCCTTCGAATTTATCCACGCTTAGTTCGAATAATACAACTTCTTCAAATGAGACTACTCCTATATTCAAGAGTGATTTTGGGTTTGAGTGTAAGAATGATGAACAGGATGGTGAGGGTAAAGGTGATGGAAAGAAGAAGGTTATGAATATAAATAATTTGTTGGGGTGAGATGGGTGTTTTTAACGTTTGATACGTTAAGTGTATTCGTATATTATTCATAGTGTATGATTATCATTCTCAAAAAAAGTGTAATAAAAAAAGAGTTTGTTTTAATAATTAATGTATGTTTTTTCATTTCTCACTACAATGTAGTTTATATGACAAGGTCCTTTTATTTTCAATCCCCCCATAATAGAGGTTTACACCTAGTTATCTCAGGATTCTGTGGCAAACCAGCTGCAAAATCATTAATATAAAAAATCCCCTTCCTATCCAATATATACAACTTGTGCCCATCTTTAGAAAACTTCAAACTTGCACTCTCTCTTTTCCTAAACGCATTACTAACCTGGTCCACTATGAATATTCTTTTAGATTCCTGATCCATCCTCGTGGCAAATATCAAATACACCGACCCATTCTTATCCAACACCGCAACGGTGTCGTTCCTTGGAGATATAGCACTCTTGTGGATCGATGAACCAATCTCATCCAACTTGAGCAGCATTTTCGGTTGTGCCACCGTTTGTAATCCATTTATTGATGAGATGTTATTATCAATAATGATTGGTGCGGCATTGAACGAAGCTGAAGTTATGATCATGTATTGATTATTAGGAAACATTTGAATGTCTGTTATACCTTCACTCTCCAATGATGTGTCTAGTGATCTTATAGATTTCATAACTAGTTTAGGTTCTGTATAATTCTTGACCCAGATTGTTAGGAATCTTGATTCTAATGCTGTGGAACATGATAAATAGTTTGAGTCTGAGGAGAAGGATAAGTTGTTGATGGGGTCTCTATACGGGAATGTTATAGTGATTGGATCATTTGTGAAAATGGAGTTATTAGTACCACCTTCTTGGTTGTTTAATTTGTGTAAGACCACTAATGCTTGTTCTGTTCCCAGGATTCGATCTTTCCCTGTGATACCATATGCAATCAATTGAGAATTGGGGGAGATTTCAATACATCTGATGGGGAAGTTTGAAATGTAGAGATAGATTGGTTTCCCAGGTTGGTTAATCAGGTCAATAATTTTGAAAATTCCATTTGTGCCTGATATGACTAAATATTCATCACTTATTGAACAGTATAAATGTTCCCAATCGTTTAATTTTTTCTTTATTACTTCATTATTTGCAACATTATTGTTATTCCCACCAATAATCAATTCTTCATTTGAAATTTTTTGTAAATTTTCAAAATTTAACCCAAATTCACCATTTGATTTCCCACAACAGTGTAAAATTGGAGCGGTTTTAGAATCTGATGATATTGAATAAACTTCATATTTCTTAACACTTAATAATACGAAAAATTTTGATGATGGTGATATTGAAGTATTTATAAAATTTTTAGATTTCGTCTTGAGGAATTTTGAATGGGTGTTGTATTGGAAATGACGTCTATAAGTTGGGAAGCATTTAACAAACAAGTAAACTTTTTGTTCTTGTGGTGATTCGGTTTTGGGATGTGGGATTGTAGATGATGAAGGTGATGATGATATAATGGATTGCTCTTGTGGTGGTGGTAATGAAGGTATTATTGATGAGGAATTCGTAATTGAATTTGTTGAGTTTGTAGGGAATTGCTTCAAACTTGTAGTTATGGGTATTGTTTCATTAATAGATGATGAAGTTGATGAAGGTGTTGTGCTTGTTGTGGTAGGTTTGGTATTGAGATGTTTAACTAATGTTGTTGATTTTTTAGATGGTGATGTTTTTGTTTTGTCATTTATAGAATTAGCAACAGAATAGAATAAAGATAATAATGATTCCTTTTTTTGATTATTTTCAAATTCATTTGGGTATAATACATAATATAAATTTTGTAAAGGTTTTAAATCATAACCTAATGATGATGATGAATAACAGATTGGGCAGCTCAATTTTGAATTTGAAGATAGTTGAAGGGCAAAGTTTTTAGATAGGATACAACCACAAGATAGGATGAAAGCATCTGGGACAATATCATACACTAGTTCATTGGTATCTTCATCTCTTGAAATGGGTAACGTTATTGATTTGATGATTCCATCTTTTAGTGTATCAGGAGATGGGGAGTGATTATCAGTTGACATTTCATAATCTCAGATCGCTTAGGGTTCAGCAGAGGCGTGGGTTGTGGTTGTTGCTTGGAATAGATGAAAGTGTCGTCTTCCTTGTTGAAAGTTGAAATGTTTTTAGTGAAAATTTGGCAGATAAAGGAATTTTGAATTTTTGGCCAGAAATGTTTGGAGCAGCAGAGGGAGATGTAAGAATTTGAGTGGATATGTATCGAATCTAGTTATAATGGATTGGTTTATTGCCTTTATTTCTTATTCTATTTTTTGTGTGGTTATGGTGTTGTATGAGTTGTGTTGAAACTTGATACTACATTCAGTAATCAATCAGCTGAACCCTGAACCTTTCCCCAGAGTGTAACGGAGTTAATCAGAAGGTGGTATACTGCTAAAAGATAATGATGATACGTCTGATACCAATTTGATACTGGTGATGATGATGATGATGTTAATGATGATGGATCTGTTGTATATATGCTACTAGCCATATATTCTAAACAACCCAACCCTAAGAACCCAGCCACTCTAGAGCCATTCAATCCATAACGCACATCTCTATTATTCCACTTCAAACTACACCAATCGGCTCGGATTTTTAACCATGTTGAAATGGGTTATTCGCTCTTTAGCTCATACAATCCATAAGTCCAATCGCTTATAATACTAATTACACAGTACACAGTAGCCTATTTGATCAAGAGAATTGTAAGCGCTCTTGGAATCAATCAGAAATGCGCACCTTTGTGGGTGAAAACCACGCTTTCCTAAGAATTGCTTATAAGGCGACATCCTATTTGAAACACTCAATTATCCAATGAATAACCCTTATTATGATGAAATGCAATGACTATCTTTCCAAGGGGTATTTAAATTGAAACAAACATCCCTTTCTTAAAATCTTTTTTTCTCCTTTTCAATATAACAAACAATATCATAATGTCTAATTTATTGAAAACTGCTCTAGTCACAGGTGCTGCACAAGGTATTGGGAAATCAATCGCTTTACAATTAGCAAAAGACGGTTATCAAGTTGCCATTACAGATTTACCATTTCAAAAGGAGAAAGCCCTTGAAACTGTTAAATTGATTGAAAAAATTGGTTCAAATTCAATCTTTATACCAACTGATTCAAGTAAAAGAGATCAAGTGTTCCAAGCTGTTGATACAACTTTTAATAAATTGGGTGGATTCAATACAATTATTAATAATGCAGGAATTGCACAAATCTCTCCAATTGTGGATATTCAACCTGATGAATTATCAAAAATTTCTGATATTAATATAGGTGGAACAATTTGGGGGATACAAGCTGCTGTTAAAAAATTTGAAGAATTAAATCAACCAGGAAAAATCATTAATGCAGGTTCAATTGCATCTCATCAAGGGTTTGGAGTCTTGGGTTTATATTCTGCTTCAAAATTCGCTGTAAGAGCTATAACTCAAGCTGCTGCTAAAGAATTAGCTTCAAGACAAATCACAGTGAATGCTTATTGTCCTGGTATCGTATTAACTCCAATGTGGGATTTAATTGATGCTAAAATGGGTGAATATACTGGTGTACCAAAAGGTGAAACTTTGAAAAAATATATTGAAGGGATTGCATTAGGTAGAGGTGAAGAACCACAAGATGTTGCTAATTTGGTTAGTTTTTTGGCTAGTGAAAAGGCAAATTATATTACTGGTCAATCTTATTTAGTTGATGGTGGATTAGTTTATAATTGAGAGGATCTTGAAGCTGCCATACAAAATAAGACCCTCGTATGTTGGATCACGTTTTCAGTCACATGATATCAACCCTCGGATATTAATTCAGTATAACTACACATGTATAAATTAATCAACATAACCAATCACAAGCTTGGATTCCAACCAGCTATAACTTGTAAATGCTACACTTGAGTGTTTGACTTGATAGATTATCATAATAAACTTTGTTAACTTCTTCATAGATCGCATGACTTGTTGTAAATGTTTCATGAGCTAAAACAAAATCTCAATTCATTCTTGACAAATTTGTACGCCCTAGGCACGATACAAGACACACTCCTTTCAACGTTTACGCTTCTGCTCTGAGTGCCTAATTCATCCAGGGAATGTACAACTCAATGATAAAACACGTTTGAGATCTCAGGCCAAAAAAGCATTCCTTGAAGGGAGGAAAATTGAGTCAATTCGGTAAATTCCTAAAATGGAACAACTAATGCATACAAAAAAAAAAAAAAAGAGAGAGCCAGAGCCTAGAGGCTTAAAATACGCAAACCTCAAAATCATAGAACAACTTTTTATACAACTTTGATAATGAACTACAATATATTCCATTATTTATAGTATGCAATTATTTTAGTTAATCCCTATCCGTCATTATATATATAGCCCCTTTTATGTTCATTTGTCCGTTAATTTGTGTTCATTAAAGTGTCATTAAATTGTGTGTATATGTTTATAACTTAACCATTGATTTTAAAGATGAATGATAACAATTTGTAAAATTAGTTAAAGCACAACATGAACAATTCAATGGATGTTGTTGTTGTGGTGGTGGTTGAATGTTGTAATTAATTGGATAATTATTATCAATCATAACCCCAGTATTATGGTTGTTACTTGTCATGTATGAACTTTTAATTGGTGTCAACATGTTATAATTTGAAATTGATGTAATTTTCGTAGGTGTGTTATAAACTGATTCATATTGTTGTTTCTTTGAAACGTTATTATATGGAGTTTGTGAATTGAATTCATTAAATGATCTCTTTTGAGGAGGATATGATGATGTGGCTGAATAATAAGATTGTTGAGGAAGTTGTGTGATTGGGATTGGTTGTAAAACTTGATAAGTTGGTTGTTGTAATGACATTTGTGGTGGTGGTGGTAAATAACTTTCTTGAACTGGTGATTTTGGAGTTGGTGGATAATTGTATAATGAAGGTGATGAAATTGAAATTGATTGTTGACGAGTATTCCAAATTAATTGATAATCAACACCAATTTTATAAACATCACCGCACCATCTTGTATATTCATCATTTTTCAAAAAAACATTATATTGAATTTTTTTCAAAACAACCAATTCTTTTTTCTTCAATGTGGTATTAGTTAATGGAGTTAAATTACTCCAAGTCTTTAGCGTATATGATGAATCATCATTAGCTTTATTTGAAATCATAAATAAAATAACCAACAATTCAAATAATTCGACATCATTTTTACGATTTGAACTTGATAATAATTTTAGTCTTGATGAAGTTTGAAAAGATGATAATTTTGATGATGATGGAGAAGATGATGATGAAGAATATAAACAACGCTTATGATTAACCAATAAATAAAGATAACATAATGTATGAATCAATGTTTGTGTGTTTAAATTTGTTAATGATATCAAATTCTCGGTATCTTTGTAAAATTGCGACTCTTTTATCTGAAGACTTGAAGATTTATAATATATAGACCAACATAACCGTATGAATAAATCATTTGTTAGAAAGTTATCTTCGGGTATTGAAGACATTGTTTGGAAAGGAGTGTGTTGTGCTTGTAAATGTGTGTGTGTATTTCATTAGGTTTCACAAAGTGTTGTGGGAAGTGTACAAGTTATATATATGATCAAGTGGTTACAAACGGGTGGGCAAATGAAAATAACAACAATTCACCAGCGTGATTATGATATACCAACTCCATGTTTGAATTTCTGTTGTTTCTGTAAAAAACGTAAAAAGGATGTTCTCATGTTTAATTCATGTACCTGTGTTTATATTTCAAAAATAATTAAAAAAGTACCTCTGGGTCGAAAAAAGCTCTAATTTTTTTTTAAAATTCTGAGCCTTTTTAGCAAATTACCTTACACAAATACCGAAGAATGGGTCTAGACAAGGAGCAGTCCACGTTGAATTGGATTGTATTGCAACCAATATCTCTCTTCTCTGAACATCCACAAATCCCTCTTTCAATTCATCCCGTGGATGTGCTTGTGCACTCTGTCGTTGTATCATCATCAACCTCATCATCATGTGTGTGATCCTTACCAAGGAGACCTCGAATCCAATCACCAAAAAACCTCTGCTTTGGTACTGAGCAACACTTTTTCTTTTGCTTATTTTTGTGTAGCTGGCCAAACAGCATCTTGTGCATGAGACGACCGCGAAGGAATCTTGGTTCACAGACTCCGCAACACATTTGATACACCAGCATTGCACTGCTGGTATTCATATACACTATAAAGAATACCATAGACTACCCATCCCTAAACATTCCCTTTTTCAAACCATCTCTCTACAAGCATTCTGTGCTGAGATATTCGTGTCTAAAGATGGGCTCATCATGGGCGTGCAAACTGGAAATTAGAAATTGGATTCGGTACACGCACGCGCTGGAAGGATTCTAAACCCCCCGGTAGGGCCAGGCGGGTCTCTAACGTACTCTTAGCTGAGTACCAATCTGAATCCCATACCCACCGTTATCCTTGATCAGAATATGAATGTCGTAGAGATTGATTAAAGAAATGGACATGGAAAGCTATAGGTATTCTAGTTGACTATCATAATTCTTTCTCGTCTTTTTCCTGGCTGTTCTAGCCCGTATCTGGCTCATGTTGTGTGCTGTGTTCTGGGCCCCCTCTCTTTTCTTTGATATGGAACATCAAAATTAATTAAATCCACTAGGTGATTCGGTGATTCTACAGGTTAAAAAGGGTCAGTTTCTAGTCTGTATCAGCCCTGGACCAATTACACAACAACCTTTTTAACCCATGTAATAATAATAATACTAGGATGGAATTATTTTTATGAAGCGTTAGACATGGTTAACCCAATGACATTGTCGTCTTTCTTTTTCTTCTTGATCACTCGTAGTTAATAGCCTCATTAATGATTCTCTTTTGTGTAATATTTTGCCACTGAGATAACCGAAACAGCTAGCTACAACCAAATTTTAAAAGTACCATGGATACCGGATTTGGTGTTTTTCTACACGTACATCGAAATCTTGGTGAAATAAGTAACCATTGGCTATACTTAATTTCCCCCTAACTCCAAAGGGCTTACAAACAGGCTAGCCAAATAACAACTATCATCAAGTGAAATGTATGTCTCTGTAGTTTATTTCAAGTTTCAAGACTCAAGAGCAGTTTGTTTCCACATCCTTCAAGTTGCGATTGAGAGCCATGACAGGCCGTACATCGTGAAACTTGTTACACTTGATTAGCATTTTTGAAGCAATCAAAGAATATAACAAACCGTACTACATATACGTTCAGCAATTTAAGCTGGCTACACTTACTCAGATTCTCGATAAAAGTCTATGGTTTACAATTTTTGGAGAAAAAACCCAGCTAATTCACCAGAGCGATTAATAATTTGATGATCTTGTAGAGAAGCATCTACAACTCTACACGGACACCAAAAATTCTATTTATGGTTTTAACCTTACTACGTCCCAACCTACCTTACAGGAAACCTTGGTATATTTTGATCAACAACTTAAGTTCTACAAGTTATTCAAAGTGTATTTGTGTAAAATTGTTGTGCTGCCGGTCTGTTTCACAAAATGCAACCAACAAATCATGAAAGCGACGAATTAACGATAACGTCCTCTTTTTACTGCATGATAGTCGTACAAGGCTAGTTTCCAATTCTTGAAAAAAAGGAAAATGGATTCTTCTACGACTCAACATTCTGTCCAATAACGGCCCCGTTTCCAATGTAATCAAATTCAAAACCTTCCGAAGTTTATACGATCAAATCTTGTTTTTTGACTTCTGCACTCAGTTGATGGGAAACTGCAACCACAACAAAAAAATATACGTTGAGTACTTTTTAAACTTCATAGGAGAACTTTGTAATTAGCCTTCATAAAAAGGAGAGAAAAAGGCGGTAAAATGAACAGATTGATAGAACCCGTAGACTAGATACGGTACCAGATATGACTTATCGTATGCATTTACAAGTGAATGTACAACTAGTTGGAAAACACAGTTTTGATGAATTCTATACATTTATAAGGCCTAGATAATAAACCCAGCCAATTTGATTATAATTCATTTCCCGCTTCAATCCTTCTGTTTCTTTGGGGAATTTTGAATGAGTTGCTGACATTACATTGGGACTTGGGACCCTTGATCGTGAACATTTCAAAAGTATTGAAGTATTCCAATTTCTGACTTCTGACTACGTTGGCTTAGACAAACGTCGAAACTCTTTCAACTCAGTTTCAACTGATGAGTCTATCTTTTAAACCAACACTTCTTTACAACTACGTGTGTTCTTTCTTTAATGTTGAGAACGGGATAACGCGGCTTAAATGTATCAACTCTTCAGCATCTTCTGATTCGAAGTTCAATCAAAGGTTCTTTAACTAGTCAACTTCATCGTATTGAGCTGTACAGTTAACTCTCGTATCTCTTTCTTGTTAGTTGAAGTAATTCGAATATAAGATAAGTTGTGACTTGTGGACCACACTTTGCGATTGTTCTTGATGTCCCACAAATATAGCTTGTACAGATAGACTAGCACAGGACAAAGGCTCAGATCTCCAGCGTAATTGAAATGAACAAGGAAAGTATGATCCTGTGGTTGGCCTTCTTCCATTATCTCACGTATATATCAAGGCAACCCAGCTCGCTGTTTTACTTTGTTCAGGAGATATTCTCAACTCTTTCTTGGAACTTGATTTGTGCTATCAACCTGGGCAATTATTCACCTTTTTCCATATAGATAGGATAACCAACACTGGCAGTTGGCAATTACCACTTTCTGAGAATATCAATGCACAAAATAAGAGATTGGAATTCCTTTGCAAAATAGTAAAATACCAGCTCAATCAATTTGATCCAGTGTGTAACGTCTATCTTCATTTTGTGCCCCTTAGCAAAAAAGAGATATAATCAGAACGAACACCTTGTGGAATTTTTACGGTCGCCAGAAACAAAATTAATATCCTGATGACATAAGACTCTGAGCAAATTACATAATATTTACTATTAAGCTGACAAAGACATCAGACTTTAGTACAATATAAAATAGTTTCAAAGTGTATTAGTTGAAAAATAAAATATTAGACTTTAATATTGACATTTAGTTAAGTTTCCAAATATAAGTTTTACAAAATAAACCTCACTTTTCAGCTTTGGTGTAAAATTCACTAATTTGAAAAAGCGTCGAAATGATGGAGGCACAATTGACAACGGACAAATCCTACAATATCTCACTCAATCTCTCTATTATTTTTATGAAAAAACGATAAATTAATGCAACAAAGCTCTCTCTATCTAATGATATGATTTTTTACTTGATTTATTAGCATTCATGTTGTTAAAATTGACATTAATGAAAAAATGTAGAGCTTCGTGGAGGCACTTGCACAATTTTTTTCGGCTTCGTCACGTGATCGATTTTCAATTTCATTCAATTTTAAAAATGTTATTTATTTTGTTTAGTTTTGATATTTTGGTACATAAAATACATGATTATAATGAGAAGAATCCAGTAATTATACCAGAGTATTAACTTTGTTTGAATTCGATAAAAAAAATTTGGGACCAGTAGGTCAACAAACTTTTGAAGTAAAATAAAAATATTGCACATCTACTTTATTTCTAAAATTATTAAAATTTTCAAAAATTTGTGAATTTAATATTTTTGAACTGGATTTCTTGTTATATTAGTAATTCTTCAGAAAATTCTATGCTAAAATTTATACAATTTTTTACTTCTTATTGTAGAAATATTTTGATTTCGAACTTTTGGTAAAACCGAATCGCGCGTGTTGGCCAAACCATTTCTCCACAATATTATTATTGTGAGATCTAGGTGTTGAATCTTGCCATATAAATCAATCACTTAAGGTATACTAAACAATGTTCAACAACTATCCTTGGTTTACTTATAATATCGGGAATTATTGAATTTTTAATTGCATACTCTCTTGCTAGACCTTTATAAAACATAGCAAGTTGGGAGCTCTTAAACAATAATGTTGCCCATGCTCAAAAAAATCGGTGTTGAACTTGTGTGGGTCGGCCAAGTAGTGTTGTCCTTTTGCTGTTTGAACTACTATTTAACGCCAAAGAATAACTCAATTGATTCTTTGTAGAACTATTTCTTTACAAGCAATCGAATAAAACATTAAAAATGGTGAAAGAAACAGTTATCGAAAAAGTATGCTATCAAAACATCTATTTCAAGGGGTCAAACTAACAAGACTTTTTAGCCATTTTTGAATTATTTTGGTAGATTATCAGAAGGTCCAACTTATAATCCATCGAATAATACATTTTTATGGGTTGATATAATTGCAGGTCAATTACATAGGGTTTCATTAGCAAATACAACTTCTGAAGAATATACAAGTGATGAATTATTGAAAACTCAAGAATCTCATGAAGCTTTTGCTACACCTGATGAATATTTTGGAGTTGTTTATTTAACTAATAAGGATGAAATTGTTTTAATTGGTGGTAGAAGAGGTATTGCTGAATATAATTTCAATACTAAGAAATTCCAATATAAATTCAAGTATGATGAAATTACTCATGGGAAATTAAGATCAAATGATGGTAATATTGATCCAAATGGTGATATTTGGCAAGGTTTAATGGGATCTTTTGAATATGGTCCTATTGATGAAGGTAAATTAGTTAAAATTGATTCTAAAACTGGTGAAATAACAACTAAAGTTGATCACGTTTTAATTTCAAATGGTATTAATTGGTCAAAAGATGGTAAAACTTTATATTGGACAAGTTCATTAGAATTTATAATTTATAAATTTGATTATGATTTGAAAACTGGTGAATTATCAAACAAGACCCCTTTTATTAATATCAAAGATTTTTTACCAAATTTTGAAAGTCCAGAACCTGATGGATTTGCTATAACTGAAACTGGTGATATTTATACAGCAGTTTTCAGTACTTCATTAGTTTTACATTTCAATTCCAAAGGTGAACTTGTTGAACAATTTAAATTCCCAGCTAAAAGAATAACAGCAGTAACATTTGGTGGTGTTGAACATGATGAAATGTTTGTAACTAGTGCTAATTTACACCTTGATGATCCAACCAAATTAGATGCTGAACCTGATGATCTTGGTGGTGCAATTTTCAGAGTTAAATTACCTGGTGCTAAAGGTGTTTTGAAACCTCAATTCCAATTATGAAGATGAAGTTGATTTATTATTTAGTAAATGTGTAATGTATTGACAAAATTCTTCAACTAATTCATTTTCTTGTGAACCTGTAGATCTTAATGAAGTTAATTTTTCATTTGCTTGATCAATTTTTTTTTCAAAAGGGATTGATTCATTCTTCATTATTGAATAGATTGATTGTAGGTGAATTTGTAAAGATTTGAAACTCAACATATATTTAACTTTTTCATCATTGAAAATATATGAGTACTTTGAATCATTTGATGGCTCTAAAGATGGTGCTGATGTTTGAGTTGGTTTTGAATCAGGTGTGGTTTCATCATGTTTATGATTTGGTGATTTGAAGCATTTGATTGAGCAGTATTGAACATCGCACTTTGGGCATTTGTATTTGGCTTGTTCAGAAGTACAGATAGTACAAGTACCTAGAAGCATAGTTTGAATTGTTATAGATCCCTGTTTTATCGATCTGACTTTTCAACACTGTTTGAATTTTTTTTTTTTGGTTTATCTTGTGGTCTGCTCAAACCGATGAGATTTTTTTTTCTTTTTTGACACAGAATTTTAGAGAGGGAAGGAATCTATGGAAGAATTGGAGCCACTGGTTCCATAGTGAAGAGAGGGAGTAGATATCCGAGGAACAAATAGAACGAGGATGGAAGAGTATTATGGATTTATGCTGATGGAGTCTGATGATGGAGTAGCAATTGTGTAGGACCTAGGTTCGTTATTTACTCGAGTTTATTCCAGAATCCACGCCAATTTCGAAACGTTATTACGATTACGTGGGGCCGTGTTCCTCAGCGAAATATTTCAAGAACAACGCCCAACGACTGCAGCATGGTCATTTATGAAAGTGATGATGGAATAGAAGGTATACGAGTGCATCTAGAGAATAGAAATATAGGTGGCAACGTATACTTTTACTAGAAACTATTAATCTTTATACCTTTAATGCTTCCAGGGTAACCGAAATAAATATTACATAAGCTCCATAGTAAAGAATTGGTACACACCACACACTCTAAAAATGGGATTTGACTCGATCACTATTGGCTGGCACAGGCGATATCGATCTTGATGAGTATATATGCTATGAATATATAGTTAAGTAGCTATGATAGCTCTCTCTTATCCCTATAGAGCTATCAGCTTATTAATGTGTGTTGTCTCCCTCACTTTCCCACTATTCCCTTCATTCTCTCCCACCATCTCCCATACTGTGTCCCCAACCACACTCTACCCAATAAAATTCTAGTTGATTATAATCGGGAAACAATTTCAACCATTCACGTCAATGAAAAATTTTTGAGTTGGCCTGAAATTATATAAATAAAAAACATACCCATTTTTTTAAACATTTGTGAAAACTCACTCTTTAGAAGTCGTTCTCATACACATACACACCTATATTCATAATGCCAGCTCCATTCAAAAAAGGTTAGTACTCATCATTGAATAACAATTCATCTTCATTGCTCTTAGATCATCCCACTAACAAAATTTCTTTATAGGTTCCGAAAAAAAAGGTGCTACTTTATTCAAAACTAGATGTTTACAATGTCACACCGTTGAAAAAGGTGGTCCACACAAAGTTGGTCCAAATTTACACGGTATTTTTGGTCGTCAATCAGGTAAAGCTGAAGGTTATTCATACACCGATGCCAACATTAAAAAAGCCGTTGAATGGTCAGAACAAACCATGTCTGATTATTTAGAAAACCCAAAGAAATATATCCCAGGTACTAAAATGGCCTTTGGTGGTTTGAAGAAAGAAAAAGATAGAAACGATTTAGTTACTTACTTGGCCAACGCTACCAAATAAGTTTCTTAACGGTTTTTTAATGGGTTATTTTAATGATGCTAATATTCAAGAGTTTTATATTTTTCTATTCTTATTTTAAAATCATATTCACATTATAATAATTTTGTTCAAAAAAAGTACAAAAAATCATCAATATTATAGAAATCATAAATGAAAAAGAAAGAAATCGGGGAGGAAATATAAGGAAGATGATTTTCAAGAAAAGTTATTAGAGTTGTGGTGTTTTTTTTTGTTTGTGCAATTGATGATTTAAGATCTTTGTATGAACTTTTTGTTATATTATTATTTTAAAGCATTGTATATATTTTTAAGTCTTGTCATGATAAAAGAAGATAGAGTTGTAGCATTTTACATTAAGAATTCGTCATAAGTCATTAATTAATCATTTAAATATTATATTTCTCGCTCAATTGTTTTCTTCTTCTCTCCACAAGATATGCTTCAACCTGTTGTTGGGATGGAGGTTCAGAGTTTTCAATTATGGTGATTTCTTTTGGATCTTGAATATTTCCTAATTTTTTGGATCTTTTCCTCGTTGCACTTCTTTCAAATTTTAATAGCTCATCAGTTAGCATTTCCTTTTCATCAGATTCAATTTCCATTGGTTTAGGAACTGTAATTTCATCGCCTAATATTTGATTAACCTCATCCCAAACATTATCACCCAAACTGTCACCAGCCTTACTATTCTTTTCATCAAAATAACCATAATATTCTAAATTCACTCTTGATTCTAATTCTTTAATTTTTTGCTTTTGACTCTTTGCATTCTCTTGATTAGTCTTTTGATCCTTTAAATCTTGTTGTTGCTTTTCCAAAATCTCTTTAACACCAGGGAGTTCCTTTGCCCTCCCAAAATATCTATATCCTCTGATTAGAACACCACCTTCATTAAACCTACCGGCTGATCTCAAATAATCAGTGCCACCTAGTTTATCTTTTATATGAAATTCCCATGCATATTTTTCTCTCATTAATTTATTAATCTCATCATTCAAATCACGGATTTGATAACTTGATAATTGCTCATCTTGAATCTTTGTAACTTTTTGACTAATCTCTTTCAATACTTGTTTTCTCCAATTCTCTGCATCTTTTAAATTTGTAACTTTTTGAACAGATCTTGGTCTTGCAGTACTGTTATAATCAATGTACCCTGCTTCTTCAGCCTTTTGTTCTTGATACCTAAAAAGAACTGTATTAGCCTTATCACTATTCCTCGACATTTCCACTAAAGCACCAAACCCAATTGGAAAATAAACAATCAATTCAATTCCTCAATATTTCAATTTGTTTATGACATTTCAAAAACTTCCAAAAGAAAAAAAACAAAAAGTTTTGAAAACGCGCAACACAGATTTTCTCAAAAAAAAAAAAAGTTCGCGTTGACAATTGAAATTCATCAACACCGAAATTCTCTTTTCATTTGAACCATTTTGCTTTTGAAAACAGCTGATTCCCTTTCATTCCTCCATTCATTTTCCAGATAAAGAATACCATGTCGGGAGGTTTAAGGATCACTAACGCTGTGCGTAACTCTCGCTTCATAATCGGTGCCCTGGTTATCTTTGGTATTGTTATATTTTTAGTATCTTCACCTTCAAATGTTGGCGAAGGTTTATCAAAGGCCAAATTAGGTGGTTTAGATTTCACTTCAAACAATAATAATGCTGGTAATGGTGCTGCAGCCGTTGCAGGATCAGATGATGATAAACCTGTTTACCCACCATCTCCAAAAGGTGATGGTGCCATTGGAAACTCACCACAATATGCTGATGATTCAATAGATGCTCCAAAAAAACCAAAAGAACAAGCTCCAAAAGCTGATCCTGGTACTTCTCCTCAATTTGCTGATGATAATGCTAAAGATGTTAAAGGCTCTAAGGAAAAAGCTGCTGATCAAAGTACTCCTAAAGAAGCTCCAAAACCTAAAATTAACGAAAAAGCTCCAATCAAAGGTGAATTTGATGCTATTAAAGATTCAAATAAAGCTTATGAAGGTGTCCCAGATAAAGAAAAAGTTGCACTTGCCGATGATGATGATTCAAACATTTCTAACGAAGTTTCATCCAAGCCAAAACAACAAAATGTTGCAAATTGTAAAAAAGATCCAGAATTTGTTGTTATGATTGATGCAGGTTCAACTGGTTCAAGAGTCCATATCTATGAATTTGATATTTGTTATTCTCCTCCAAAATTGAATAAAGAAACTTTTGAAATGTTGAAACCTGGTTTATCTTCATTTGATACTGATACTTCGGGTGCTGCTAAATCATTAGATCCATTATTAAAAATTGCATTAGATACTGTTCCTGAAGCTAAAAGAGGTTGTACACCAGTTGCCGTTAAGGCCACTGCGGGTTTACGTTTACTAGGTGAAGAAAAATCAAATAACATTTTGAAAGCTGTTCGTGCCCATTTAGAAAATGATTATCCATTTGCTGTTGTTGATGGTGATGGTGTTTCAATCATGAGTGGTGATGATGAAGGTGTTTATGCTTGGATCACTGCTAATTATTTATTAGGTAACATTGGTTCAAGTGAAAAAACTCCAACTGCTGCAGTTTTTGATCTTGGTGGTGGTTCTACTCAAATTGTTTTTGAACCTGATTTTAAAAATGGTGAAAAAATGATTGATGGTGAACATAAATATGAAATCAATTTTGGTAACAGACAATTCACCTTGTATCAATTCTCCCATTTAGGTTATGGTTTAATGAAAGGTAGAGAAAAAATCAACACTTTAATTGTTGAAGCTGCTATTAAAGATGGTAAATTAACTAAAGGTGACTCTGAAAAGAAAACTTTACAATCTCCATGTATCCCACCAGGTTTATCAGTTAAAGATGTTAAAGTCACTTTGGATAACGGTGATAAGTACACTGTTGACTTGAAAGGTTCAGATACTCCAGCTGGCGCTCAATGTAGATTCCTTGCTGAATCTATTTTGAACAAAGATGCTGATTGTAAACAAAGTCCATGTTCATTCAATGGTGTTCATCAACCTTCATTAGTTCGTACATTCCAAAAAACCAGTGACTTGTACATTTTTTCATACTTTTATGATCGTACCAATCCATTGGGTATGCCATCATCATTCACTTTGGAAGAATTATCAGAATTAGCTAAAACTGTTTGTAATGGTGAAACTTTATGGACTTCAGCTTTTAGCGCAATTGATGGTTCATTAAAAGAATTGAAAGATGAACCACAATGGTGTTTGGATCTTTCATTCCAAGTCGCCTTGTTACATACTGGTTATGAAATCCCATTACATCGTGAATTAAGAACTGCAAAGAAAATTGCCAATAATGAATTAGGTTGGTGTTTAGGTGCTTCTTTACCTTTATTGGATAAGACCACTGGTGGTTGGAAATGTCGTGTGAAAGAGGTCACCAAAAACTAGAAGAGAAAGATGATCTCTTATATACAATTCAATTGATGATTTAATTTTTGTTTTAAAAACTCTTTAGTAGTAGTTTATGCTCATTTAGCATCACGTGACGTCTCTCCGCTAAAGCCTCAACCGATAAAAAAAATTACTGATTACAAAACATCAACAACTTTTTCTTTTCTTAACACCTTTTTACATCCACTTTAGATCAACTTGGAAAAGAAGGCACTTAGCTCCCATCTCTACTGAATAGAGCCGTGGTCATCATATCAATTGCTGTGTAAAGAATTGAATACCTTTAGCTTCGTCAAGAGAGGAGAGAGAAAAAAGGGTTTTTGGAAAAGATAAACCCGTTTTGGTTGCCTAAGCTTATAACAACAATATGTCACTTTCTAAATCCGCTAGTAAAGTGGACATTCAAAAGAGCAGTCTCACCTCTACAGATGGTGATGAGGCAATGAGGATGTTGAAGAAACTATCAAATAGTTCAGATAATTTGAAAAAGAACAAGTCTCATCAACAATTGACCCAAACTGCACATGGTGTGCGATTATTGACCAAGAATTTATCAAAGACTACCGTTAAGCTTGATGCTAAAAGTGTGCTGATAGTGACAAAGGCTAGAGATAATTCATTAGTATATTTGACTAGAGAAATGACTGAATGGTTGTTGCTGAATTTCAAAGAATTGGTGGTTTATGTTGATTATCATTTAGAAAAATCTAAAAGGTTCAACCCTCATTCATTAATAAAGGAGATACCTAGAGCAAAAGATGATTTGAAATATTGGGATAAGTCATTTATTAGAGATAATTATGCTTCAATAGATTTGGTGATTACTTTGGGTGGTGATGGTACAGTTTTATTTACTTCTTCACTATTTCAAAGAAGTGTACCACCTGTGATGTCTTTTAGTTTAGGATCTTTAGGATTTCTTACAACTTTCCAGTTTGAAGATTTCAGAGAGTCACTGAGAATTGTGTTGGAGAAAGGTATAAGAACCAATTTGAGAATGAGATTGTCATGTCGTGTTCACAAGTCTGATGGCTCACTGGTGTGTGAACAACAAGCATTGAACGAGGTCACCGTTGATCGTGGTCCTTCTCCTTTTGTTTCAATGTTGGAATTATATGGTGATGGTAATTTACTCACAGTGGCACAAGCGGATGGATTAATAATAGCTACACCAACTGGATCAACTGCATATTCATTATCAGCTGGTGGTTCACTAGTTCATCCAAATGTTTCTGCGATATCAGTAACTCCAATTTGCCCACATACATTATCATTCAGACCTATTTTATTACCAGATAGTATGGTTTTGAAAGTTAGAGTGCCAAAAAGAAGCCGGTCAACAGCATGGGCTGCATTTGATGGTAGATCAAGGGTTGAATTACAAAAGGGTGATTATTTGACAATATCGGCAAGTCCATTTGCAATGCCTACTGTGATGTCTTCACCAACTGAATATTTTGATAGTGTCAGCCGTACATTAAATTGGAATGTTAGAGAACAACAAAAATCATTTGTTCATCTTCTATCTCAAAAGAATAAAAAAAACTATGAAATGAATCAATTATCCAAACCAAAATTCAACTTGGTTGAATCAGACTCTTCTGAAGATGAAGATGCCCAAAGTGAAGAACCTATTGAACCAGATAATGAATCAGCTGATGATATTGACGATAATGATTTATCAACATATTTTGTTCCACCGCCTGGCCAAGGGATTGATACACCACCTATAGCAAAATCTCATGCTACAACTCCAACTTTAAGCCCAAGACTTAAAGGTTTAGACATTGGTGGTCTTACGCTCGATTCATTCAAGAGGAAAGATAGAGCAAACTCTCATTTAAAATGAGTTCTACAAAGATCAATACAAAGTATTTTAATTTCAGTCTATAAAATATGTAAAAATTAATGCCATGAAATAATGCAAAGTCATCAAAAATGCGTAAAAACTAATGTAGATCAACACCAAAAGTCAAGCACCCTGTTGAAAATTGGGCCTTTCCTTAGTTTCTCCTTTGATTCTTCATTCTCCTGTTTCAAAACTTCAGGGTCAAAGATTTTACGATCTGTAACCAAGTCAACTTCTTCAGCTTTAATGAAAAAGCTCCAATTACGAGTGTAAATTTTATGACCAAAGTAAAAAGACAAAAAGGTAAAGATACCAGAATAATTTTGGAAAAATGAAACAGCACTTGGTTTACCATCGTTATGGAAAGGAAACAAAGATACCCAAAAATGTACCACAAGAATAAAGATATCCAAGAAAATAGCAAAATAGGAACCGTAAACACCAGCTATTGAAACATATCCCAACTCTTTGATACTAAAGCCTTGATACTTTAATGCAGCTCTAAATCTAACATGACTCAAACAGATAGTACACCATGTAAAGATTGTGGATAGTCCCGAAAGTGACAATAACCAAGTGAAAATCAACTCTTGGTTCTCATAAGCTGCTATGAAACTAAACAACCCAAAGATACCCGAAACCAACATAGCTCTCAATGGTCTATCATTTCTGTCAACATAATCAAACCATTTTGGAGCAAATCCTTGTTGTGCCAATGAGTAAAAGGTACGAGATGAAGAATAGAATGCTGAATTACCAACAGATAAAACTGCAATCAATATAACAGCATTAATAATATGCGGGACAACTTTGATACCAGCAGATTCAATGGCAATAACATAAGGAGAAACTGGAGCTCCATTATTATGACCTGATCCCATTAATCTATCAGAATCAAAAGGAACCAACAATCCAACAACGAAAATGGATAGAAAGTAGAAAAACAAAAGTCTATAGAAAACTTGTTTTGTAGCAGTTGGGATAGCTTTTCTTGGATTTGCAAAAGAGCTAGCTGAAAGAACAGCAAACTCAGTTCCACCAAGTGAAAAAGCTGAGGCGATAAAACACGCACAAACACCTTTGAAACCATTAGCAAATGGTCCTGGATTGATAAAATATTTAGCTCCAACATATCCAATATCCCCAGCTCTACCAGTGTCAATGATTAATCCTAAAACGATAAAACCTAAAATCATGAGAACTTTTGCAAGATTGAACCAAAACTCAGCTTCTGCATAACCTTTGGCACCAAAAAAATTAATCAAAAGGACAAACCCAAGAAACACTGCAACAAAAATATCTGGGTTGGTATCAGAATTCCAAAATCTTATAGTCATACTAGCAGTAACCATTTCTAAAGGTAAAACGGTGAACCAATTAACTGCATAACTCCAAGCTACTGCAAAACCCAAAGATGGATCCACCAATTTCGCAGCATAAGCATTGAATCCACCTGATAAAGAAGAATAAGCAACAGCCAATTCACCAGCAGCAGACATAGTAGCAAACAACATAGCACCAACAATAGCATAAGCTATCAATAAACCAGCAGGACCACCCAAGCTTAAAACGGACCCAGAACCAACTAGTAACCCAGTTCCAAGCCCACCAGAGATGGCAATAAGAGCTACATGACGAGATGAAAGACCTGATTTCTTTTTGACTGGTTCACCGGATTGAGCTTCCAAATCATTTTGGTCTTCAGGTTCTTCAACCTTTCTTTGAAAAGATTCTTTGAATGATGACCACTTTGAAGGCTTTTCACCATTTTCAATTTCACCCTTTTCAATGGTTGGAACAGTGGTGACTTTTGGTCCAGTTTTAAAGCTTTTATCCTCCCTTGAGGTTGAGGAAGTATCACTTCCTTGATCATGAATATTTGAGGGACTCATAGTCTAATTGGTAAAGAGATTTGATAGTATCTAATTATGAGATAACTTTCAATAAAGTCTTGTATAGATGAAGAAGAAAAATCATGAGGAAAGAGATGGTTGGGCTCTCTTTTATAGAAAATGAGGGTTTTTCTGTTGATGGTGAACCAGAAGCACAATAGATCTAGAGACAATTTAGCAGAAAATTCTCAAGTCTAATCGAACATTTTGGAATTTGGACATTCGAGTTTGTGTAATGGTGGAGATATCAAACAAACAGTCATGAAAGGGCCACAATAAGCAGCACATAGATAGTCTGAACAAACCAAAGTAACGGTTTTGAAAATCTTCTCGTGAGATGATTTAGTTGACTTTCATCATCAACTGTGAACTTGTCACAAACCTTCAGCGATCAATAGTATGAAAAGTAATGTCATTGACGTGACAGAGCTTTACAAAATTGTCCAAACGCTTTTCCCAATCCGCACACACCAATACCTGAGAGGAACAGCTATAGCTGAATCGATACATTGTAAGCCAATATGGTGTGTCAAAGTATTGTTCTCAAGGTCTAGCTTAATTAAAACAGTAGTTCGCGATTTAGTCTAGTCGCGACAAGTTTTGCCTCTACCATAAATGAATCCCGAGGGCTTACATCACATGCTTATAAAATTCCCGTATTTCCCTTTCAGGAACGCGTTCTTTCTTTCTTCCACAAAGAAATTACGTTGAGTGGCGAAACATCAAAAAAATTTTTTTTGTTGTGAAAAAGAAAAAAATTGATAGCATCTCTTGAGGAACGGTCCTATATAAGAGCAACGTGAAAGTAGACATTTGATCTATTTTAATAAAACATAGAAAAAACATCATTGAATATGTCAAATATTGCAAACGATTTCCAAAACTTAAACATCAACGGTGGAAGCGCCAACGGTGGTGATGCTCCTCCTCCTCAAAGAAGAGGTTACGTTCCACCTCATGCAAGATCTCGTGGACCACAAGAAGGTCAATCCAACAGCGGTTACTCTAATGGTGGCTACAATAACAACTACGGTGGTGGTTATAATAACAACAGAAGTGGGTATTACAGCAACAACAACAGCGGCTTTGGCGGTTACAACAACCGTAGAAGTGGTGGCCGTGGCGGTTTCAACAATCGTAATGGCGGTGGTCGTTTCCAAAGAAATGATCGTGGTAAATTTGTTGATGGTAAACATATCCCAGGTGAACCAAGTGAAGCTATGCAAAAAGAATTATTTGGTGAAGTTGATGATCCAAAGTTCCAATCTTCAGGTATTAATTTCGATAATTATGATGATATCCCTGTTGAAGCTTCAGGTGAAGGTGTTCCAGAACCAATTGATACATTTACTGCTCCACCTTTAGAAGATTTGTTGTTAGAAAACATTAAATTAGCTCGTTTCAACAGACCAACTCCAGTTCAAAAATATTCTGTTCCAATTGTTGCTGCTGGTCGTGATTTAATGGCTTGTGCCCAAACTGGTTCTGGTAAAACTGGTGGTTTCTTATTCCCAATTTTATCTCAATCTTTCCACAATGGTCCATCACCAGTCCCAGAACCAACTACACAATTCTCAAGACGTAAAGCTTACCCAACTGCTTTAGTTTTAGCTCCAACCAGAGAATTGGTCTCACAAATTTATGATGAAGCCAAAAAATTCACATATAGATCATGGGTCCGTCCTTGTGTTGTCTATGGTGGTGCTGATATTAGAACTCAATTACAAGACATTGAACGTGGCTGTGATTTATTAGTTGCTACTCCAGGTCGTTTGAACGATTTATTAGAACGTGGTCGTATTTCATTAGCCAACATTAAGTACTTGGTTTTAGATGAAGCTGATAGAATGTTGGATATGGGTTTCGAACCTCAAATCAGACACATTGTTCAAGAATGTGACATGCCACCAGTTGAAAACCGTCAAACTCTTATGTTTTCAGCTACTTTCCCAGCTGATATTCAAATGTTGGCTCGTGATTTCTTGAAAGATTATATCTTTTTATCTGTTGGTAAAGTTGGTTCCACTTCAGAAAATATCACACAAAAGGTTATCTATGTTGATGATGACGAGAAAAGATCAGTTTTATTAGATATCTTGGAAGCTGATGAAAATGGTTTAACTTTGATTTTCGTTGAAACCAAAAGAATGGCTGATGCTTTATCTGATTTCTTAATTACTCAAAACTTCCCAGCTACTTCTATTCATGGTGATCGTTCTCAACAAGAACGTGAACGTGCTTTAGAATACTTCAGATCTGGTAAGGCTCCAATTTTAGTTGCTACTGCTGTTGCTGCCAGAGGTTTGGATATTCCAAATGTTACTCATGTCGTCAATTATGATTTACCAACTGATATTGATGATTATGTCCATCGTATTGGTCGTACCGGTCGTGCTGGTAATGTCGGTGTTGCTACTGCGTTCTTCAACAGAGGTAACAAGAATGTTGTTAAGGAATTGGTTGAAGTTTTAACTGAAGCTAACCAAGAAGTTCCAGCTTTCTTGAACACTATTGCTAGAGAAGTTTCTTCAGGTGGTAGAGGAAGAGGTCGTGGTGGTCGTTCCAACAACACTAGAGATTTCCGTCGTCAACCAGGTTACAACAACAGCTCATCATTTGGTGGTAATTCATCATTCGGTGGCTCTGGTGGTTATGGCAACTCATTCAGTAGTGGTTATGGTAACCAAAGTTCTCGTACTGGTGGTGGTGCTGCTTTCTCATCATACCAATCAGGTTACGGTAACCCATCATCATCATCTTCAAATAGTTGGTGGTGATTTCTGTGTTTTCCCAATATTTGGGAAAGCATATTGCTAGTTAGTTTGATTTCAGTTATTTTTTGTATTTTATTTTTGGTTTTATTACATTACAGTTTGATATTATGCACAATCAAATGTCTCAATCATATCAGTTATCATATGGATATCAATTTTAAAGGAGGGTCTTTTTCAAAGTGATGAAAATGCATTCTTTTTTGATTTTTTTTCTGGTAAACATATAGTTGGTTATAATAATTTTTTTTCTTATGTTGTTCATTTTTTGTTTGAGTTGAAGTTTCTTGGGTTTTGCATTGATTTTATTGGTTATTCAAAAGTTTATAATTGATTCAGAACATGGGAAATTTGTTGGTAGATTTTTTTTTAAGTTTAATTTGGTTTCAGATATAAAGATGGGATTCAAAAGATATTTTTGAAAGAAGGAAAAAGACTACTGCTTTCTTATTTCTTTAGTTTATATTCATAATCAAGTTTTAGTTTGGTGTTTCAAATGAATTGAGGGATGGTACAAATCTTATTGTACTTGAAAGGGTTTACAAAAAAATTATTATAGAAGAGTTTTTTGTTATTTGTATTTTTAGGATTTAGACATTGGGATGTGCATTACATATAATATAAATTTATTAAGTATCGAAATTGTTCAGTACTGGTCACTGGTCAGTAGTTAGTTATTGAGGCTTGACGACATTGCACGTCGATAATAGTACTCTCCGAGTGTATAATGAATACTACAGAGAAAAAATTGCATCTGCATAAAATACAGTGCATATTAATATTGATGATATTTCTGCTGTACCTCGTTATATTTAACAAGTACTATGAATGTGTGGCAGTTCACCGCCAACAATATGAAGGACTAAATATTTGATACAATGTTAAGATGCTAGATCATTAAGCGCCATTATAATTAATATGTTAAAAACTCTTAATAATATTATTTCGATGGTCAATGATGGTATTAATCTTCTTGTAGTTGTTTTTAAATTAGGCATAAAATACATAGATTGAAAGCCAGAGTAAAGACAAACACACTCATCCATAGGAGCTTTAAACGCGACGGTTCCAGTGTTACAAGCTGATATAATTTATCGATCAACTGTTCAAAACAATGTCCGTCTCGAGGACTCTTGAACCGCATCAAACAAAGTTTGACACATTACTTATATTAGTACCACTTTTTCCAACCGTTTTCGGAGCCAGTAGATGAAAGACAATAAGGTTGAACCCAATGTTTTAGATAAAGACCAAATCTTCCATTTTGGTGTACATATATTCTTCGTGGCTTTGGTTCAGCTGTATAATGAGGAATCATAGGTTTCAACGATAGAGGTTTAAACAGTACATTGATCTCTACTTGCGGGCTCTTCGCCGCCCCTGGACACCAGATACTTAGCCTCCAGACTCCAGAGCCCCTGCACGTAGGAGGGAAGCCTCAAAAATCCATTCATCTGTAGGTTTTTTCCTCAAAATTTAATTGATAATGTCTTTCTCTTGGTCCCACTTGAAAAACCCATTGGAATTAGTAGAATTTATCCAGACCTTGTATCATACAACATGGACCATGGTACACTAGCTAATGAGGTTCAGTTACCAAAGCTGTTTCATGGAACGTTTAGCCGTCTAGCGACAATATGAATACGCCAAATTTCTAACCAACGTATATATCGACGTAAAATTGAGCCCCAGCTTGATATTAATATAATGCCACTCATCAAGCTGTCTCAGGCAACGGGGTGATACCCCTAGATCATGATCTCATCACTTTTAATTTCTCCTCATCTAGATTCTAAATCTTCGAACAAGCTAATCTTTAAAGTGTACGCATCTCGTCAAATTGTGAACCAGTGAAAAATTGGCTGTCGCGAATTTCTTGCACTGGTGCCTTTTGGTTGACTAGATGAAATCTAAGGTGGAAAAACTTTAAACTTAGTTCCAGAACACAATTTTCGAGTACAAGACGCATGTAAACGGGATTTTTTAGATTGTGAATAGATTATAGGAGTCCATTTTGCATATTTTGGCTTTAGATGAGTGCAAGTGGGTCAATTAGAGGTGTCAAATTACACAGTTGAGCAGTGAATTAGTTCTATAGACGGGTATGACAGCCTATTCTGATACAATATTGATCTTGTGACTTTTGTACTGGCACAAATAATTAACCGTTGAGCAGCTATTTTCAAACCTAGATACACTAGTTATGACTGGAAGTATTAACTACAGATCAATTCAACGGACTCACCAACAAACCACAACAGATCAATGAAGTCCACATGAAATGAACTTGATTTCAACCCAGCTCTAGTGCACACGAATATCAGTTAATAATTGTACCAAGATAATGCAAATCAAATTTAGAGTTTTAACGAAAGTCAGCTTATGTATGATTCATTATGATGGCACTAAATGAAGGCTGAAACATCTGGAATCCAGTCAACTCTAGTTATTGACAGGCTGCCGTTTAAAACCGTTATCTAATTCATGAAAGGTACAAGCGACGTTTACATTCATTTACACTTTATAGTGATAAGCGTCAATGTTCACTACATCAATATACTATCCATTGAAATTTGAGCACATTATGTAACCATGGACGGTTGTTTAAATGTTGCTTTCACCTAGTAAGTAGCTGAGCTGGAGAGTACTTGGTTAGTTTTTCAGAATAGACCACAAAACGTTAAAAGAAAGAATGGATTGAACACTAGATTCAGATCACATAAGGCAAAGACTCATTATGGATATGATTGAAGAGTCAAACCCGCACCCGTGCGTTGCTAATTTCTAATTGACTAAGCTAGACTCTTGATATTTTGGGGTTGACAGGTATGAATCTATCCAATGTCCAATACACACCTCAATGCTTTGGATACAAGCAACTATGATAATTGGCTAGTTATATTAGTCTATAAGGTAGCAAATACTCCTGATGAATTGATCTCTTTCTTTTTTTCTTAGAAAATAATAGAACCGACCGTTAAAACAGGTGAAGACTAACTATATTTCGAATAAAGTTATCTTGTCAAACGGTCTCAATTAAAATGATAGAGCAACTAGATTCATGATATCAAACGTGCCAATTGATTAGCATATAGGAGCTACTCCAAAAGCTTTAGCAATAACTAGAGAGTATATGAGTTGAAGTTTCATAGGATATGCCGGTAAAATAACTTTAGTGAACGAACATTTACGCACATTCGTAAAGACTAGAATGATCTTCACAACCAAATTATAGCTCTGTGTACCACCATCAAGTTTTCCAATGAGGGGTGTTGATAAATTGGAGTAATGCATTATAGTGAATTAAGTAGTGAGAAAACGGAAATTGAGATTAACTTATTGAGGTCACTTGGTACTCAAGAAACGTTGGGTTCCTGGCTCTGATACTAGAATATCAATACACTAAGCTGTTTAAATTTCAACCCATTGCTATGATTGTGATTAATCAGTGAAAAGATGAAACACCACGAGGATCAGAAAACAAATGAGTTTCATCAGGAGTATTGGTCAAGTGAAAAAGGTACCACCACAGTACAAGCCGTACTGCTTTATCTAGACCATTTCATAAAACACGCTTAAACCCATTGATTTTACCCACAAAAAAATCCATAGACGCGTCTAATTTACCTTCTCTTGAAAGGCTTTCCCATCTACTTTTTTTAAACTTTAACCTTGTTTGATTAAATTTTCAACACGATCAACTCTTTGAAGGGTTTTGATTTAAAGTTTGCTCATGCTGCCCATATCAAAACTAAATCAATAGGCGAAATTAAGACATTTTGCTTAAATAGTGAACAAGGGAAGAAGTTATGAATTAGTGTACTAGTGTGTGTGTTAGCTAAGCGCAATGAAAGTGGAGATATCAAAATATTATACAGCGTAGTTGTAGCTAGTTTACGCTGTCTAGTGCACTCTTTTTCCTGGAGTTGATGAATGGGGTAGAAATAATATTAATTTGGTAGAATGAAATGAATTACATGATGAATTTTTTCTAATATGAGGTGAAGACTAATATTCTGGAAACTTTGGAATTGGTACTAAACTAGTTCTGAACTTTATGGTAGCTGCTCTAACTAATCTATAGTACAAACCCATGTCCTATTGTACCACACCAATTGCTGTTAATGTATGTGAGCACACACATGCTTTCAAAAATTTATTAAAATTTGCATTATCTATAAAAATGCACGATGCTTGCCAACTTTGCATATTGTACAACATTTAAGGTTCACAATCTAAAAGTTTAAAAGGCACAATATATGGATTTACCATGTTGAAGAAGTAAAAAAGACGTTGCAGATTGGTTCTATAGACTATTGAGCATGCAAAAAGAAAAAGAAATATAGCAGTTTTATTGTTCAAAGATATATAAAGGATTTGAAATCATCATTTTCTCTGAAATGCTCATCAGTAATAGTTCTTGCTGAAGCAATAATTAATAGACATTCATCATCATGACCATAGATTACTTGAATTATCAAACCGTTTCAGTTTCTCCAAAGACTCAAATCAGTTATATGGAGGAACACCAAAGTTGCATTCAAAAACCAAAGATGAAACTAAATAACAATGTCAAGACAACTAAAGAACTTGTTGAACAATTGCATAATTATAAATTCCCATTAACCAGATCAGTCAATAGAACAAGCACAACATGCAGTACTACTGCACCAGAATCATTACATCAATTATCCACAACCCATTATAATCATAATAGAAGAAACTCATCAATCTCATCAACATTTACATTCAAATCCAATAACACCAACACACCAACCAGACGAGTCTCACATAGAAGATCAGCAGCAGTCAGTGGAGCTTCCTCAAACGAATCCATTTTCAGTTCAGACTTTAATCCATCATCACCATCAACACGAGTCACCACCACAAGAACAAGTACTGGGTATGTCCCAAGTTTACAAACATCTGAAAATTTATCAACATTACCAACAACACCTGTGACACCAACATCCAAGACCACGTTTGACAATATTGATAACCATCTTCATCATGGGGAATATTTACAAGCACCTAAAAAGCCACAATTATTACCAACAGAAGTTCCAATCACACCTACAAATTATCCATTGATTGATCTTGATGTTGTTGATAAGCCATTAGTTCCAAGATTGGGCTCACCAATGCCACTCAAGGTTGATGCTACACCTATGAAGCATGGTCTTGTTGATGTTTTAGATAAAGAAAAGGAAGATGAAGAAGAGGAGGATCAAGGTGAAGGAACAATCAGCATTGTTGATTTTCTTCGAGAAAGCATCAGTGAGCGCGCCATGAGTGTTTCTGCAGATTATGATCCGTTTCAATACATTCATATAACCAAGGGGATGTGGATAGATGAAGATGGACAAGTTGGTTTGTTATAGGATTTAGATTGTGCATTTGTGTTTTTGTGTTTGTGTGGTTTCGCGAAGGACTGAATTGACCCGAGCATCACCGAGGTCGGTCATTTGGAGGTGCTGGAGGTGAGGAATGAGATGAAAAAATTGACACCTTGATTGTTTGTGTTTATAAAGGGATAGTTACTTGTCTTGATTGATTAGAGTATCAAAGTGCTTTGATATTGGCTTTGGTTATTGTTGTTGGTGTTAGAAGTTGAGAAGGATGTTTCAAGATTATATACTGGAGCAGAAATTGGACAAGTATGAAGTGCCAACTTTGATTGATGATTCTGCTGTTATTGATGAATCGAAAAAGTTCATAAGCAAGTTAGGTGCTGATTTCTTTAGTAAAGATAAAGTATTTGAGAATTATCAAGATCATCATCGTCATCATGATGTTGTTTCCAAACAGTTTTTCAATGAATTTCCTCGAAAACAAACTAATAATGATTTACAATATCATAATGAGGATGTTACTTTAAAGTTTATTGTTGATTGGTTTTTGAAAAGAAATTGAGGTGAGCTTTTGAAAGTTAGATATTCTATATATTATTGGTTAAAGTTTATGTTTTGGGAATGTGTTTTTTGCAGGTTGTTTTTGGAGTATTATATGAGTATTAGAGATATATATTTATAGGCATGAATAATGAATTGAATTTAATTTAGAACGAGTTGTAGTAATTACAAATGGATTAAAAAACACTTTCATACTTTGATTCACGTCTAAACATTAAATAAAAACAGCATTTTAATCATTTTAAACTTCATAATAAATATCAACTTCATAATTTTTTTACATTTGAACTCTACTCATCATCAGGTTTTTCTAAAACAGGGACATGTTCATGATGATAATGTTGTTTTCTCAACTCTTCAAATGTTTTCTTTTGTTGTGGAGTTTCCTCTTCTTTATCATCATCATCCTCTTCTTCAAATTCAACATCTTTATGATGTGGGACTTCATTATGATAATGTTGCTTTCTTAATTCAGCAAATGATTTCTTTGGTTTTTCCTCCTCTTGTTCTTCTTCCTCCTCTTCAGGATGTACTTTAACATCAAATTTTTGATCCAATTCATCAACTTTAATTTCAGGTTCACCTAATGAAAAACTATTTAAATCTTCCACATCATCATCATCTTGATAATATTCATTCAATTCAGGCTGGGCAGCTTTTTGGAAGGGAGTTTTAGGTTCATCAATAGTTTGACCTAAATTTTCAATAATTTGTTTTTGAATAATTTCATTATCTTGTAAATTTTTAGCATTCCATTTTAATTTTTCTTTATCATCATCACTTAATTGAGAGATTTTGGAAGGATCAATATCACCTTGATCATTTAATATTGTTGGATCTATATTGTTTTTCAAAAGGGCATTTAGTTTTGTGTTTTTTAAAACTTGATTTCTAAATTCTTTTGTATCTTCAGTTAGTTTAAGATTATCTTGTTGGTCTTGTTCTAGTTTGTTCTTTAGTATACCACCAGCCATTGTGTTGGAGTGAGTTGTGTATTAGTAATGTAGGGGTTGGTATGGTTTCAACAGTTGAGATGAGTCTAGTTGAATTGTTGTTAATTTAATGATTGTTGAGAATATTTATGGGTTGTGTTGTCTATTGTTCACTTGTTGACGTTGGTTTGCCATCAAAAAGAGCATAATGCTATTAATTCGCGAATAGGAACTATGTGGCCAGTGCCTGTAACCACGAGCTCAACTTTTTTTTGTCTTTTGTTTTTTTGTTTTTTGGCTGTTGAGTTTTTGGGATTTTGAAATTGAGTTTGGATTGGATTTGATTGAGTTGAACAAGGAACAGATTGATTGTAGTACGGTTGTGTGGAAGAGTTTGTGTTAGTGGTGTGATAGTGGTATTGAAAGAGTAATAGTAGTAGTCGGAGTGATATCTATTGTAATACTAGTAGTAGTAACTAGCCCATAGCACATCCATCGTTTTCGCGTATGTGATTTTGACATATCCAGGAACCAGAAAAGACTTTATTAGAACAAACAACAACAGAACTATAACCATCATAGCTATAGTAATAGTAACCATCATCATCACCATTACCATTACTATCATAACCATTACTATAACCATCACCACCAGTAACCATAGTCTCTCCCTTCTCTATCTCAACTTGTTAGACCCACGCCCTAACAGCCCAATCCCAACGCCCAACAATATTTCGTTTTTTACATACTCTGGCGTTTCCATCAACAGCACTTGTTCTCTTCTGCCTTATATATACCCAATCAACCCTCTTGTAAAAACATCTTTCTCTCAAGAATCCACGGGAAAACCATCGCTGCTTATACACTACACCACACCACACTCTTGTTAACTAAGCCGCCCTGCTATCTCATCCTTAGAATTATAATAACTCAATTTTATTATATATCCTATACCATAATTGATTCCACCACAATTGATTAATATAGATTCTGAGAATACCTACAAGAAACTGCTTTAGAATTGATTTCTACTCCTTTTCTTCATATTAGCTATCCCAACAAGAGCTATAATTACAAAAGATTTCATTCATTTATTTGAAATTTCATAATATTCAATTAATTATTCACTTGTTGAATTTATTTTACTTTACTGGTTTTTGATAGACAATACTTTTTTTAACATACAAAATAAGTGAGTATCCTAGTTCCCAATAGCCATCTAAAATTGAAAAATGGTTGAATTTTTCCAATTTTCCTTTTTTTGGCCCCCAACAATCTCATTCTAGCTCGTTTACTAACATCCAAAAAGGAAGAAATGACTGGTGCTTTCACTCCAAACCCAAACAACTCTTCTCTAAGACCTTTAACTTTATCCCATGGTTCAATTGAACATACTTTATTAGTTCCAACTAATTTATTATTCCCAGCTTCTCAATTAAAAGAACAATTTGAAAAACAATTACCTCAAGTTACTGAAGGTTTTGCTGATGAAGATGAACCAAGTTCTCCAACTGAATTATTGGCTAGATTCTTGGGTTATATTTCAAATCTAGTTGATCCAAATTTATCTGGTCAATTTGATCAAGTTTTATTATTAGTGCTAAGTGAATTTGAAACAAGATTTTTAAATGGTCATGATATTCATACTTTAGCTTCAAATTTAGTTAAAACTGAAGATTATCCAACCACTCTAGATAAAGCTAAATTAGTGGTTAAAGATTACTTTAACGCAAGAATCGTGGCTAAAAAACCTTTTAAAAAAACTGATTCTGCTTTATTTAGATCTGTTTTAAATGATGAAGCTAAAATCGTGGCAATTTTTGGTGGTCAAGGTAATACTGATGATTATTTTGAAGAATTGAGAGATTTATACAACATTTATAATGGTTTAGTTGCAGATGTTATTAAAGCTGCTGCTGATAAATTAAACTCTTTAGTTAGATCAACTAATGATACTGAAAGAGTTTATACCCAAGGTTTTGATTTAATTAATTGGTTGGAACATCCTGAAAAAACACCAAGTAATGAATATTTATTATCAATCCCAGTTTCTTGTCCTTTAATTTGTGTTATTCAATTGGCTCATTATGCCGTCACTGCAAGAGTTTTAGGTTATACTCCTGGTGAATTGAGAGATTTATTATCTGGTGCCACTGGCCATTCTCAAGGTTTAACCACTGCTTTAGCCATTGCTGAAGCTGATTCATGGGATTCATTCTTTGTTTCATTAGCTAAATCTGTCACCTTTTTATTCTTTATTGGTGTTCGTTGTTATCAAGTTTATCCAAATACTGCATTATCTCCATCAATTTTACAAGATTCTGATGAAAATGGTGAAGGTGCTCCTTATCCAATGTTGTCTGTTAGAGATTTATCAAAAGAACAAGTTCAAAATTTCGTTGATCAAACTAATAATCATTTACCAAAAGAGAAACATATTGCTATTTCTTTAGTTAATGGTGCTAGAAATTTAGTTGTTAGTGGTCCTCCACAATCTTTATATGGGTTGAATTTAACTTTGAGAAAGGCTAAAGCTCCAGCAGGTTTAGATCAAGCTAGAATCCCATTTTCTGAAAGAAAATTGAAATTTTCAAATAGATTTTTACCAATCACTTCTCCATTCCATTCTCATTTATTAAATGATGCTACTGATTTAGTTAAAGATGATTTAGCTAAAGAAGGTTTGGAATTCAAACAATCTGATTTGAAATTACCAGTTTATGATACTTTTGATGGTAAAGATTTACGTGAATTTAACGGTTCAGTTATTAATAGATTGGCTTTATTGATTACCACATTACCAGTTAATTGGGAAACTGCTACCCAATTTCAAGCTACTCATATCTTGGATTTCGGTCCAGGTGGTGCTTCAGGTCTTGGTGTTTTAACTCATCGTAATAAAGATGGTACTGGTGTTCGTGTCATTATTGCAGGTGTCTTGGATAATAACATTGATGATGAATATGGGTTTAAACAAGAATTATTTGATTTCAATGATAATGTCAAATATGCACCAAATTGGTTGGTTGAATATCAACCAAAATTAGTCAAGACTGAAAATGGTAAAACTTATGTTGATACTAAATTTTCAAGATTATTGGGTAAAGCTCCAATCTTGGTTCCAGGTATGACTCCAACTACTGTTCATCCAGATTTTGTTGCTGCAACTTTAAATGCTGGTTATCATATTGAAATTGCAGGTGGTGGTTATTTTGATCCAAAGACTTTCCAAAATGCCTTGCAAAAAGTTGTTGATCAAGTTGCTCCAGGTACTGGTATTGGTATTAATTTGATTTATGTTAATCCAAGAATGTTACAATGGGGGATTCCTTTAATCAAACAATTGAGAGAAAAAGGTTTCCCAATCCAATCTTTAACCATTGGCGCTGGTGTTCCTTCATTAGAAGTTGCCACTGAATATATTGAAGAATTAGGTTTAACCCATCTAGGTTTGAAACCAGGTTCAATTGATTCTATTTCTCAAGCTATTGGTATTGCTAAAGCTCATCCAAACTTCCCAATTGTTTTACAATGGACTGGTGGTAGAGGTGGTGGTCATCATTCTTTTGAAGATTTCCATCAACCAATTTTGCAAATGTATTCCAAGATTAGAAGATGTCCAAACATTTCTTTAATTGCAGGTTCTGGGTTTGGTAGTGCTGATGACACTTATCCATACTTGACTGGTGAATGGTCAACTAGATTCAATTATCCTCCAATGCCATTTGATGGTATCTTGACCGGTTCAAGAGTTATGGTTGCTAAGGAAGCCTTCACTTCTCCAGCTGCTAAACAGGCTATTGCTGATGCAACAGGTGTTTCTGATGATAAATGGGAACAAACTTATAAAAAACCAACTGGTGGTATCATTACTGTCAGATCTGAAATGGGTGAACCAATTCATAAATTGGCCACTAGAGGTGTTTTATTATGGCAAGAAATGGATAATACTATTTTCAACTTACCAAAGAATAAATTACAAGATGCTTTGGATAAGAAGAAGGATTATATTATCAAGAAATTAAATGCTGATTTCCAAAAACCTTGGTTTGCCACTGTTGATGGTCAAGTTTTCGACTTACAAGATTTAACTTATGAACAAATTGCTAAAAGATTAGTTGAATTATGTTATGTTCAAACTTCCAAGAGATGGATTGATGTTACTTTACGTAACCTTGTTGGTAAATTCTTGCATCGTGTTGAAGAACGTTTTGCCACAAAGCAAACCAATTCTGTCTTGTCAAGTTTTAATGTTTTGGAAACTCCAGAAACTGGTGTTGAATTAGTTTTCAATGCTTATCCAGAAGCTAGAAAACAATTGGTTAATGAACAAGATGTTGATTATTTCCTATTATTGTGTCAAAACCCAGCTCAAAAACCTGTTCCATTTGTTCCAGTCTTGGATTCAAGATTTGAAGTTTTCTTTAAAAAAGATTCCTTATGGCAATCTGAAGATTTAGAAGCTGTTGTTGATCAAGATGTTGGTAGAACTTGTATCTTACATGGTCCAGTTGCTGCTCAATTTACAAACAAGGTTGATGAACCTGTTCAAGAAATTTTGGATGGTATTCATGAAGGTCATATTCAAAAATTATTGAAGGATGCTTATGGATCTGATGAATCTAAAGTTCCAGTTGTTGAATACTTTGGTGGTGAAGAACCAACTCAAGTTAAATATGATCATGTTGAATCTGGTAACAAGATTATTTATCAAGCAAATGCTTCAACTGATGAATCCAAATGGTTTAAATTATTAGCTGGACCAAAACGTTCTTGGAGACATGCTTTCATCTCAACTAGACGTGTTGTTCAAGGTTCAAACTTTGTTGCTAACCCAGCTAGAAAAGTTTTAGCCCCAGCTAAAGGTGTTGTTGTGGAGATTGAATATCCAAATGATCCATCAAAAACTGTCATTACTGTTTCTGAACCAATCCAAGGTACTGTTAAACCAGTTGTTTCTTTGAAAGCTTTAGATTCAAACACTATTCAATTATCTTTGATTGAACATAGAAATGTCACTAAAGAAGCTGTTTCGTTACCATTATTGTACAAATTTAACCCTCAAGATGGGTTTGCACCAATTTTGGAAATCACTGAAAACAGAAATGACCGTATTAAAGAATTTTACTGGAAATTATGGTTTACTGAAAAATTTGATTTGGATATTGATGTTCATAAACCAATTGTTGATTCTGAAACTACTATTACTGGTCAAGCTATTGCTGAATTCACTCATGCTATTGGTAACAAAGGTGAAGATTTTGTTGCAAGACCAGGTAGAAAAACTTTGGCTCCAATGGATTTTGCTATTGTTGTTGGTTGGAAAGCTATTATTAAAGCTATCTTCCCAAAAACTGTTGATGGTGATTTATTAAGATTGGTTCATTTATCAAATGGTTATAAAATGTTGCCAGGTGCTTCTCCATTAGCTAAAGATGATGTTGTTTCTGCTTCTGCTGAAATTAGATCTGTTTTGAATCAAGATTCTGGTAAGATTGTTGAAGTTGTTGGTACCATTCATAGAGATGGTAAACCAGTTATGGAAGTTTTGTCATCATTCTTGTATCGTGGTGATTATGAAGATTTTGAAAACACTTTTAGTAAAACAACTGAAGCTCCTTTCCAATTACACATCAAATCTGCTAAAGATATTGCTGTTTTGAAATCAAAAGAATGGTTTAATTTGGAAAGTGAAATCAACTTGTTGAACCAAACATTAACTTTTGAAATTGAAACTGAAGTGACCTACAAAAACAAAACCATTTTCAACTCTGTTCAATCTTATGGTAAAGTTTTGTTGGAATTACCAAGTAAAGAAATCATTCAAGTTGGTACTGTTGAATATGAAGCTGGTCAATCTCATGGTAACCCAGTTATTGATTACTTGACTAGAAATGGTTCAGCTATTGAACAAAAAGTTAAATTTGAAAACAACATTCCAATTGCTACCCTTGAAAGTCGTGCTCCAGGTACCAATGAACCATATGCTGTTGTTTCTGGTGATTACAATCCAATTCACGTTTCTCGTGTTTTCTCCAAATATGCCAACTTACCAGGTACTATTACTCATGGTATGTACTCAAGTGCTGCTGTTCGTGCTTTAGTTGAAAGTTGGGCTGCTGATTCAGTTTCTTCAAGAGTTCGTGCTTTCAATGTTCAATTTGCTGGTATGGTTTTACCAAATAATACTTTAACTACTCGTTTGGAACATGTTGGTATGATTAATGGTCGTAAGATTATTAAAGTTGAAACCAGAAATGAAGAAGATTTGCCAGTTTTAGTTGGTGAAGCTGAAATTGATCAACCAGTTTCTACTTTTGTTTTCACTGGTCAAGGTTCCCAAGAACAAGGTATGGGTATGGACTTGTATGAAAAATCTGAAGTTGCTCGTCAAGTTTGGGATAGAGCTGATAGCCATTTCTTGGATACTTATGGTTTCTCCATTATTGATATTGTTAAAAACAATCCAAGTGAATTAACTGTTCATTTTGGTGGTGAAAAAGGTAGAAAGATCAAATTGAATTATACTCAAATGACTTTTGAAACTATTGTTGATGGTAAGATTGTTTCTGAAAAAATCTTCAAAGACATTGATGAAAAGACAACTTCATTTACTTTCAAGAACCCAGGTGGTTTAATTTCTGCTACTCAATTTACTCAACCAGCTTTAACTTTAATGGAAAAAGCCTCATTTGAAGATTTGAAATCTAAAGGTTTAATCCCAGCTGATTGTATCTTTGCTGGTCATTCATTAGGTGAATATGCTTCATTAGCTTCATTAGCTGAAGTTATGTCAATTGAATCATTAGTTGAAATTGTTTTCTACAGAGGTATGACCATGCAAGTTGCAGTTCCAAGAGATGAACAAGGTAGATCCAACTATGGTATGATTGCTGTTAACCCAAGTAGAGTTTCAGGTACTTTTACTCAAGATGCTTTGAAATTTGTTGTTGATCGTGTTGGTAAACAAACAACTTGGTTATGTGAAATTGTTAACTACAATGTTGAAAATCAACAATATGTTGCAGCTGGTGATTTACGTGCATTAGATACATTGGGTAATGTTTTGAACTTTATCAAATTACAAAAAATTGATATTGTCAAATTACAAGAACAATTATCATTAGAAAAAGTTGAAGAACATTTGAATGAAATCATTGATGAAGTTTCCAAAAAATCATTAGCTAAAGCTCAACCAATTGATTTAGAAAGAGGTTTTGCTACTATTCCATTACGTGGTATCTCAGTTCCATTCCATTCATCATATTTGAGAAATGGTGTTAAACCATTCAAAGCATTCTTGGAAAAGAACATTTTGAAAGAAAATGTCAAGACTGATAGATTGATTGGTAAATATATTCCAAACTTGACTGCTAAACCATTCCAAGTTACTAAAGAATACTTCCAAGATGTTTATGAATTGACACATTCTGAAAAGATTAAAGATGTCCTTGACAACTGGGAAAAATATCAAAAATGAATCTAAGATAATATATTAGTGTGGTGTTGATATAGAAATCTGTTATTTTTGTTTTTGGTGTTTTCACAAATCTTGGTTGAAGGAGTTATTATTAATTTTTGAACTTTTTAATTTATTTTGAAACTTTTTCGTTTTTATTTATGAACATATATATTTGGGGAGCCCTCACTCTTACATATATCCCTTATTGCTGTTTTCCTTTTGTTTTGGTTTTGTTATTTGCCCCCATTTAGTTTAATTTAGTATTAGAATCAATATAATCATTTGCAAATACAAGGATCTTATTAGTTACAAGCTTTTAATCGTAGATTAGATCATTATATTAGTGCTACTATGAAATTCTATGGAATGCAAGGTCTGTGAATGAGTTCAACCATTCACCTTCTTCGAAATCTTTGAAGCTTATTATTTCAATATTTTCGAAATATGAATCAATCTTTGAATAGTCTATTGTTGGTTCAACAAACTTATTTCTTTGGGATTTCCTACTTTTCTTCTTGACGACTGCTTCAAACCCATCAGTTTTATCACCTTGTGGTTGTAAAAGATTCACAAGCTTCGACATGATTGGATATTTTTCGAAAAGTTCAAGTTTTGTTAAACGTTCAGTATGTGTTTGAATGTTATTCGACAACAACAGTTTAGGATTTTGTGACAAAATGACCGAATTTGTGAGGTTTAATGGTGCATGGGGCAAAAAGAATAAAGTGGCTTCATCATCTTTGGGTAGATAGTCTTCTGAAACTTCGAAATTTAACGACTTGAAGAAATCAATATCTAATGGTGTGAATACTGGGTCATATAACGAAACATTTTGGCTTTCAATGGAGTTTTCTTCAACTATAATTAACAATAATGCGAGTTGGTATAGAGCAGGTTCCTCCTGACTTGGTGATCCCAATGCAACACATCGTATTTTGGAAAGCTTGTGCGGTTGTAATGTTGATGAAATATTTTCATAGAGTGTTGATGATTTAATGGTATGCTTCTTTTTCTCAAGACTAGCCTTCATTAAAGCCAAATTTGACTCATTTGATACCTCTGGGCACTGTATTCCGTTCACCTTCTTTCGAGACTTGACTTTAACGAATTCAGACATCGGTGATTGCTTCTGAAGAGTTAATCTGGGACGATAGGTAGCTCATCACCAACTTGGGATAGTTTTTCAAAATTCGCGATGATCTGAACTTCAAGTACATGGCCATAATGATGAATTAACATAAACCATACATACCATCTTTTAGAATTTTAAAAAGAGGGTGGCCCTCTGGTCTAGTTGATAGGCTACTAGCTACTAGCTAGACTGCTTTTGTTTACGCTCGAGTAAAGTTGAGTTTGAACAAGGATCTAGGTCACAGGAAGTAAAATAGTTCTTTGAATCTGGGTCAAGAGAACAGTTTTAACAATATATTGGAGACCCCTAGAGCCCTTTAAAGTGCTCTATAATACTACATGTCAGCTCCAAGAACATCACCAGGCTGGACTGATTCAATTTCACCTCAAATAATAAATCAGAAGGGTGATATTTATCTTTTGACCGAGACAGTGATGAGTTCATTGAATTGAGTCTGTTTTGATTGGACTCAACAACCACAACAACTAACCACCAAAGAGGGACTTGATGAACTCTCCCAAAACAATTGTCAATTGTCTACTCAATCCCATCTCTTTCGATTATTTTCCTGCTCTAAATCTTCACCGTCGGGTCTTCCTTATCAGCTCTTCAAAGTGTTAAAATCTCATATGTTTACCCGCAAAATGTGGCCCCTAGTGACAAAATTTTGTATGTAGTTTAGAAAAAAAAATTTATCTGACTCTTGATTAAATACTGGAGATGAGTTGAGTACTGATAACTTTCTTCAACCTCAAGGAAGGAACTCTCCATCTTTTTTTTTGTTCACGTGGAACAGTCCCAACGGATATCAGTCTTGATTGTGTTTTCTCTAAAAAGAATTTCTCACAATCAATATTGCTCAAGATAGTTCATTCATAGTGTTCTCGTCAACTCCACAATCCAACCAGGCTTCACTGCCCACCACAGCTACCACCATCACAATAGATTCAAATCAAGAAGTCAAAGAAATGAGAAAGTGTAAAATCTTTGTCGGTAATTCTCACCCTGAATTGGGTCAACATATTTGTGCCAAATTAGGTGTTGAACCTGCTCCTTGTACTTTAAAGAAGTTTTCAAATGGTGAAACTTCAGTTCAAATTGGTGTCTCTGTTCGTGATGAAGATGTCTATGTCATTCAAAGTGGTTCAAGCACCGTTAATGATCATATCATGGAATTATTGATTTTGGTTTCCGCTTGTAGAGGTGGTTCAGCAAAGAAAATTACAGCAGTTCTACCTCAATTCCCATACTCAAAACAATCTAAAATGAAAAAACATAGAGGTGCCATCACTGCTAGAATGTTGGCTAATCTACTTATCATGGCTGGTGCTGATCATGTTATTTCAATGGATTTACATGCTTCTCAAATGCAAGGTTTTTTCTCAAAACCTGTTGATAACTTGTATGGTGCCCCAAGTTTAGCTAAATGGATTAGAGAAAATGTTGAAGATTATAAAGATGCTGTTGTCGTCTCCAAAAACCCAGGTGGTACTAAAAGAGTTACAGCTTTGGCAGATTCTTTGAAGATAAATTTTGCCATGATACATACTGATCGTCGTCGTAATGCTGATATTTATTCACAAAATAGAACTCAAGCTCAATTGAAACAAAGAAAACAAAGCATGTCAAGAAGAAGACCAGCAATGCCAAAAAACGATGAAGATGAAGATGAAGAAGAAAACATCATCTTATCGAATGGTTTACAAACTGCTCGTGTTGTTCAAGGTCATGTTGTTGATGATGATTTCGTTCCAGAATCATCAGGTCCAGAATCAGTCATCTCAAATGATGGCAGTATTCCAAACGATCAAACTTCATATGCCTTAGGTGGTACTTATGATGCTGCAGATTCTGATGAGGATGATGAACCTGCTTCAGTCTCACAAGAAAAATTGATCACTTTAGTTGGTTCTGTCCAAGGTCGTTCTGCAATCATCTTGGATGATTTAATCGATAGACCAGGATCGTTCATCGCTGCTGCTGAACATTGTCGTTTGAACTGTGGTGCTAAAAAAGTCTATGTTGTTGCCACTCATGGGTTATTTATTGATGATTGTTTGGAAGAGTTGAATGATTCTCCATACATTGACAAGATTGTTGTTACAAATACTTACCCATTATCTGAAGAGAAAAAGAAGACAGAAAAATTGGTCACTATTGATGTTTCTCCAATTTTTGCCGAATGTATTCGTCGTGACCATTATGGGGAAAGTATATCGGTCTTGTTTGATTCTTTAGCAAGTCTATGATATTGAATCGGTGTTGTGAATTATAGTGCGGAAAATACCATATAAAATAAAGTAATAATTAGATCATACACAGTTTGAATGTTTTTTTGAGACTTGCTGTAGTCCACCTCGTAATACTCATCATCTACAAATGCAACAAGTATAAATTATATTATTATCTATAATACTTCTAATTATTTAGGATCAGATAGAGGACTTGAAATGTTAACAGCTGTGAATTTCTTTGGTAGGTTAACTTTCTTGAATTTTGATTTCAATCTTTGAGAAACCAAATCAAAATCTAAATGTTTAGTCAAACTAATCTTTGGAATACACGAAATATAATGTTTATCATCAAGTTCAACATCTAATGGATCTTGTGTATGACAACCTGGTGAAAGTTTGAATCTAATGGAATGATTCTTACCTGAAGTATCCTCATAAAGTTCAAAAATAATTTGAGATAAATAATCCAACTCTGGTAAATCATTTCTATTGATGTAAAACTGAATGTTACTTTCGTAAAGGATATTCAATAATGTGTACATGTGTGATTCCTTGGTGAAATATGTGACACATCCTGGTTTATCATTAACAATCATTTCATTCAAATCAGAAATAATCTTTTTACCTAATGGAACTGAAGTTAATAAACCAATCTCCAATTTTTCATTTTGTGTAATACCATATTCTTGTGGACAAATGAAATCAAACAAGACTTGTGAAAGTTTGTATAATTCTCTTAGGTATTTGAAGATTTGTTCATTAAATAAGAATGAATGTGTATGTGGTGGAGCATTTGGTAAATTATTGTTTTTAACAAATAATTTCAAGTGTTCTGGATATTCATCAATTAATAATGAATCAGATGGTCTTTCCACCTCAGAAACTGGTTGAAAGATTTTTTCCAAAAATTCTCTATTGTGTAGAGCATCAAATTTCATCGTATCATACAACTCTGAAATCTTTGATGGGTCAACTTTTTCCACAGTGATGAATTCCTTGAATAATTTATTCCATCTTTCAACAAATAATTCTGGGTCTTCACCAGAACACCATTTTGTCTGTAATTTTTCAAAGTTACCATGTGTGACATTGTATTCCATAATCTTTTGGTGATAATTCATTAACTCAACAACTCTTTTAATAACAATGTAGGGTTCTGGCATTTTTTGAGGCCATGTAAATTGTGATGGGGCTTCTTTTCCTTCTCTCAAAAGTGGTTTCAACTTCTTTTTAACCTTATCCATCAAGTCCTTAGCAGCGTTACTATCATCTAACAAATCTTTTCTGATGTTGATAAAACCATCATCAATAGGGCCATCCAATAAAGCATTAGCCCACAAGTTGGCAGTGACAAGAACTCTTCTTTCAGATGATGAGAAAACTTGAACGTTGTTTAGCAATTCCTTGTTTAACAATCCCATATCTTGTCTTGATTGTTCACCCAAATCACTAGCTTGGTATTGAGCTGAATGTGTGGCTTCACCACCCCATTTCAAAATGAATTGAACTTTTTCAACTTCATTTTCAGATTTCAAAACTGGTTTTAGTTGAATTTTGGTACCTGGGAAATGTAATTTCTTCTCTAAAGCATTAGCCAATAGATCTAATTTGCTTGCATCTTCGATTTTTTGTTCTTGAGCAATTTTGATGGCTTTCAAAACAATTTGTAAATCTGAAACTTCTCTGATGATAACTTCCTCCTTGTGACCTTTCAACAACGATAAAAATATTTCAGATTTGAATGAATATTTAAATTTTTGCTTTGGTGTACGATCAGCATGACGAATAACTGAAACCAGACCTTTCAAGACCCATTTTTGTGATTTTTCCTCCTGTGGAGCTGATGGTGTAGCCAATTTACTAACATCTCTGATCTTTTTAGCTTCGTAAAACATGTCACGCAAGATTTTAGCACAATTGTCATAATAGGCCATATTATCTTTAACAAATGAAAATCCATTAACATCAATAACATAACTATGACCTCCAACCCTCAGTAAATCAAACCCACAAATAGTTTGTCCGAAACCTTTAGAAACAGCTTTAGCCATTGTTTTTTCTTCGTCAGATAATGGTGTGATGTATCTGATTTCTTTACCATGTGTATTTCTTCTAACAATACCGTCAACAACTGGTGATTTTCTTGTTTCGGCATGACAAAATTCTGGACCAACAGTATAAGCTTTGACATCTTCAAAGTTATCAGTATCCATAAACTGTTCATAAACATAAGACCCTGCTATTCTTGGGTTTGTTAGATTAGGATCAAATTCTGAAGATTTGTTACCAACTTTTCTAAAAAGTTTTCTACCACCACCACCATCTTTCTTTGCATAATAGATGTACACATTATGATCTTCACCATCAACAGGTTTTTCAACAAATGGCTTTTTCATTGTTTGACCATTAACCCAAATTGTATCCTCATCAATCATCTTCCATTCTGGTTCATCGATTCTATCAATAATGACTCCTTTTTCTTTCAATTTCTGTTTCAATTCATCATCAACTCTTGGACCACCATCTCTTGAGATTTCTAATCTACGTGGAGTTGGAACATTAGCAGCATCAAGTAGCCAAAGACATAACCTTCTATCCCAAAGAGCTTTTTGCATAACCAGATCATTGATTATATATGGTTTACGTAGTTTGACATAGGCAATGGCCTTATCTAATGGGAACCCTGTGGAGAAAAAACTAATCAAGAAGTCACATGTTGGCCAATTTTCTATAGATTCATCCAGAATAACTTTATCACCAAAGATGACAGTTTCAAATTCCCCATTTTCAATCAACCTGTTTAAAATCTGTCTGCACGGTTTACTTAAAACTTTTGTATCCATAGCACATACACCAATCTTTCCAATCTTTGGAAGTTGAGGTTTTGAGATGGAGTGTGAGCTTTTTCTGGAGCTTCTGGTACTACCACCAGTGGCGCTTGACGTTTCAACAGCTGGAGGAGGTAAATGGATTTGACTAGTGTTTTCACTGGAAGAAGTCTTTGGAGTGAAGCCCTCCAAGATTGGAGCGATGGATGCCATAGCTTTCTTTGTATCGTCGTAAAAGTTGCTGTAGGAGTTGTTTGTGCTGAGAGCCAATGGTGAGATTGGGGCAGAGACGCTGTGCTTCTTCTTCTGCTGCTCCTTGTCCTGTTTGATGTCGATTGGTTCTGACATGGCTTCGTTGCGCTGTTGTTTACCATCCATTTCACCTCCAACGTGTGTTCTCTTCGTCTGCTCAAATTCAATCTGCCATCGCCTGCAACTCAATCGCAAATTCGCGACCAGATCGCGACTCCGATGGGTGTTACCCTGAGCCATCGCATAGTGAAAAAAAATTGTTATAACCTGTGGATTTAGTTTAACTATGAAAGAGCTTTGGATTCATAGACTATTCAGGTATCCAAGGATTCACAAGATGCCTTCTTCCGTTGAAACCACCAAGAGAAGAAAGGTCGATAACAGTACCGATTCAAAAGCGGTCACGGCCAAACCTTCAAAAGTCTTTTCACCGTTCAGAGTTGTTGGTAATGTCTCCAATGATACACCATTTGCAGTTGGTACTTTAGGTACAACTTTTTACATTGTTACAAGTGTTGGTCGTTCATTTCAAATCTATGATGCTAATACACTACACTTGTTATTTGTTTCTCAAACTCAAACTAGCTCCAAAATCAATGCCTTGACCGCGCATTTCCATTATGTTTATGCTGCCTATGAAAATAAGATTGGTATTTACAGAAGAGGTAAATTGGAACACACTTTAGAAGTTGATTCAGACGAGGTTTTGAACAAAGTTATTGTATTTGGTGAATATTTGGTTGCCACTTCTAAACAAAATATTTATGTTTACAAAAAAGCTAATGGTTTAAAAGTTGCAACTGAATTCTATACAAAACTTCCAGTATCAACATTAGATGGTGAAATTGTCGATTTATGTCATCCTCCAACTTACTTGAACAAAATTGTTGTCTTAACAACTTCAAACTTACTCATTTTTAACATCCATTCGGGTAAATTGTTATACACATCTGAAACTTTCACAGATCAACTTACAACAATTGAATCAGCACCTGTATTGGATATAATAGCCATCGGTACTGTTAAAGGTCAAGTTATTCTATATAATGTTAGAAAAGGTAGAAAAGTTCACTCAATTGAAGCTGGTGAATCCCGTGTTAATGCTATCTCCTTCAGAACTGATGGTTCTCCTCACATGGTTGCTGCCCTAAACACTGGTGATTTATACTTTTACGATCTAGATCGTGATTCCCGTATTCACGTTCTCAGAAATGCTCATCAAGAATCTTATGGTGGTGTTGCTAAGGCCCAATTTTTGAATGGTCAACCAATCGTTGTTACAAACGGTGCTGATAATCATTTGAAAGAATATGTCTTTGATCCATCATTATCAACAACAAACTCAGCTATCGTTTCACCACCACGTCATTTAAGATCAAGAGGTGGTCATTCAGCTCCTCCATCTTCTATCATATTTGCTGATCCAACATCTCACTACCTTTTATCTGCTTCAAGAGATCGTACATTTTGGAGTTTCTCCCTACGTAAAGATGCACAATCTCAAGAATTATCTCAGAGAGCCCATAAAAAATCAAATGGTTCAAGAGCTGCTGGTCCAAATATAAAGGAAAAATTCCCAGAAATCACATCAGTTGCTATTGAAAATGCTAGAGAAGGTGAATGGGAAAATGTTTTAACTGCTCATAAAGATGAAACTTTTGCTCGTACTTGGGATTCAAGAAATAAAAGGGTTGGAAAACATACACTAGCCACAATAGATAATGGTGTTGCTAAAAGCGTTGCCATTTCTCAATGTGGTAATTTTGGGTTAGTTGGTTCTTCAAATGGTGGTATAGGTGTTTATAATTTGCAAAGTGGTATCCTGCGTAAAAAGTACCAATTACATAAAAAGGCTGTAACTGGTATTGCCATTGATGGTATGAATAGAAAAATGGTTTCAGTTGGTCTTGATGGTATTGTTGGGTTTTATGATTTTAGTAAATCAGCTTACTTGGGCAAATTGAAACTTGATGCTCCAATTACATCACTTGTATATCATAGATCATCAGACTTGGTTGCATTAGGATTAGATGATTTATCAATCGTTGTTGTTGATTCAGTCACTCAAAAAGTTGTCCGTGTGTTATGGGGTCATAAAAATAGAATCACTTCATTAGACTTCAGTCCAGATGGTCGTTGGATTGTTTCTGCTGCCTTGGACTCAACCATTCGTACTTGGGACATACCAACTGGTGGTTGTATTGATGGTATTAGAGTTGCTAATGTTGCCACTAGCGTTAAATTCTCACCATTAGGAGACTCGTTGGCCACTACACATGTTTCCCAATTAGGTGTTAGTTTATGGACTAACCGTGCACAATTCAAGCCAATTTCAACAAGACATATTGAAGAGGAAGACTTTGCAGATGTTACATTGCCAAATGTTTCTGGTGAAGGTGGTGCTTCAGTTTTAGAAGGTGCTTTTGATAAAGAGGGTGAAGATGTTGAATTTACAAATCACTATGAAACTCTTGATCAAATTGATAAGAACTTGCTCACGTTATCATTAGGTCCAAGAAGTAAATTTGATACTTTACTCAACTTGGATGTTATCAAAAGCCGTAACAAACCAAAAGAAGCACCAAAGAAACCTGAAAGTGCACCATTTTTCTTACAATTATCTGGTGAAAAAGTTGGTGATGATGCTGCTGTTAGAGAAGGCGCTAAATCTGCTATTTTAGATAATAAACCAAAAGATGGTGAAGAAGCACAGTCAGGATTATCGAGATCTAAACCTGGTGTTAATGCTGCATTCGAAAGTGAATTCACTAGATTATTACGTGAAGATGCTGATAAGAATGATTATTCAAGATTTTTGAAATTTTTAACTAATGCTTCACCAGCTGTTACTGATCTTGAAATCAAATCACTAAACACACAACAGCCATTAGATGAAGTTGCTAACTTCATAAAGGCTTTAACTCAAGGTTATAAATCTAATGTCGATGTTGAACTTCTCGAAGCTTGGATGAGTATGTTGTTGAAAAACCATGGTGATGTCTTGTTGAGTATACAAGATGAAAACGTTCTTGATTCTTTACAAAAATGGTACGAATCTCATGAAGCTAAGACTGATAAGTTTGATGATCTTGTTAAATATTGTTCAGGTATCATTGGGTTATTGACTTCAGTGTGAAAAAACACTACATAACAAAAATTAATAGATGCATTGTAATTAAACCACATTATGGATTGTGTAGTCTTTCAACTTTATTGTTTTCAGTTTGATGTTTTTATTTTCACTATCCTTGAGACTCTCATATGCTTTTGCACAACCAAAATGGACCAAGGTACCGTCGGGGAACCTACTCAACACACTATTTGCAAGGAATGAACGGCAAACTTGACATTTTGTCTCATTGGAAATCACTTCAACTTTCTGTTTTTGCAAGTCCAATAATTGTTCTTCAATTTTGACATTTTCAACAACCCTTAGGTTTTTGGACAAGTTTGAAAAAGAGTTAAATCTCTGTTGTAATCTAAGACTTTTGATTAAAACTTGCTCGATTTCAAAAACCTTGAAATCTGGTGGAAGGGTTTTCAAAATATCAACTAATGGAATGTTCGAATCTTTCGAAGTTGACAACAATTGCAGGATTGAGGCCTTGTCATCATTTTTCCAAAATAAAGTGATCAACCGTAAAAAGTACTTTGTACCCAATTTGGTATCTTTTGAGAATAGCTCATTTATATAATGGATTGCTGATTTTGAATCATGAATTTCCAACACTAAAATTTTCAGAGCTTCCTCATGATGGCCCAATCTCTTCAAGATAAATGTCTTCAGTAATCTGAGATGATCATGTTCGTCATTAGGTACCATTTTCAAAACTTGAGACGCGTCATAATTCCCTGACTGTAGAAAAGTGTAGAGCTTCTTGTAGTATATTGAGTCTTGCTTATCATCTTCATGCTTCAAACACTCATAGTATATCTCAACCAATCTTGTGTTGAAAACCCTTGTTTCATCTCCAAGTTCGACAATGATATATTCAAGATAAATTCGCTCAAGGTTTTGTGATTTTGAGGCCAAGTAATCAATCACTTGCTTCCTATTAAATGATTCTGCATATTGAGAGTTGAGGAAAATTTCAATACCATAAGACTCCATTATAGAAATTGGCCAATCAGCATACTTTAGCACCAAGCCTAGGTTATCATTCTTGAGCTTTTGTAAGTATTTCACCACCAAATCAGGAAGGTTAGAATCTTTGGACAGCTTTACCAACAATTCTAGAGCTTCTTCATGCAGCTCTTTCTTGTAATAGAAATCAATCAATTCGTTAATCATATTCTTTGATTTGAATGTGCTGACAACCAAATCGGTGTCACAATAATTATCGACACGAACCAAAGACCCTATAAGTCCACTGTTCATCTCAGTATAGCATCTGAACAATGTACTATCGATCAATGTCCTTATTTCATCTAAGGAGTATTTATCCTCTGTGAATGCAGATGGCGTTAGTTTTGAATCATGGTAGTCAATTTCATTTCCTTCAGCAACTAAAACTTTGTTAAACTTTCTTCTAATATCGGACAAGTAATGTGTCAGTAATTGAATGGCCATTGGATCAAAATCGTGAGTATCATCTTCATCCTCATGATTAGCACTTTTACCGGGAGAGGCTTTTCCGGATATGTAAGATGGAAACAAACTTATAACTTTCATGGGAGGTGCCATAAACTCTGAAAATTTCCTTATGGCTGCAGCATACCTTTTAGAGTTGAATAACTGAATACCAGATTCAATTTCTAAAGACCTCAACTTCAGTGATTTATCAGCATATTGTGAAATGTTGAGTTGTTGGACTAACTCAATTGCCTGTTGTAAATTTTCTTTTTCAAGAACATTGATGATTTTCTCAAGTGGGCCAAACTGATACAATAGTATAGAATCTCTGCTCGTAAATACAATTTTTTCGCCTTGAGAATGAAATAATGAGACTTTTGCGATTGGTAATGTCTGGTATATCTTTAAATTTGCAAAATCCATAAATCTAACATGATTTCCAGTAAAAAGTAACAGAAATGGTGATATGAATTCAATTGATTGAGGATTGAAATCCCAATGTGTACCCTTGAAGTCCACAACATCATACAATCCTATCTTTGAGGCATGTGAACCTTTCGCTAATAATACTTCATTACCACTGGGTATAATACTTGTTTGTTGGTTAAAAAAGGAGTATTGCGAATGGAATTGGATTCTCTTTGGTTCAAAAGGTGAAGATGGCCGTAGTGAATAGAATTGTGAATTTGAGGCAGCTATTATAAGTTCCTCTGTAATGATTTCAAATGTGATGATTTTGTCTTGCAATTTGTATTGCTTGATAACTTCAAATTGATCTCCAGTCCAGATGTACACAATTATCATAAACTTTGTAGATATAGCCAAATATGATGATTTCTTAGACTTGTATGAAGAAATGTGTGATATTTGTTTGAAAGGCAATGTTTCTTGTAGGCTAATCGTAGTTGTGTCAAAAATTGAAACCGAGCCATTAGACAAGACCACAAACGCATCCTCGATACCCATGATTGATTCAATTGAGCCATTGACAAGGTTTGGTATTCTTCTTTTCTCTGATAGTTTGTTCTGTAGTGTAATCTCATAAATAACCAATGCTCCACCATTCGTCCCAACATAAATGTATCCATCTTTCAGGAGAACGCTGGTGGCATTAAGGTCAGTTTTATGCTCTGACAATAGCTCCACCACTTCAACATTTGTCATTTTTATCAGACTCTTGAGAGGTGACTAGTTTTGTTGTTGTTGATGTCGCTGTTGCAATATTAAGTTTCTTAAGCGCTCCAAAAATTATAAGCTTCTTAGATAATCCATCCAGCCAAAAAGCTAGAAACAACACCTTACAATTTCCTTTAACCTTAACAATTAGATTGAATAGCGTTAACAAGTTTATAATGGATAAAGTGTATTCAAATGTCCAGTCATTGCTCAACACTCCTAACGAATCCACACACGCATTGAGCCAAATCAGAAAGTCAGATGTGATTATACGAAACCAACTCAACACCATAAGGCAAAGCAAGGAGAAGAATGAAAAGATATGCAAAAGTTATGGAAAGTTGATAGGATATACATTGGACAATGCAAAGCATTTAAATGACGTCCAGAGGTTTGCTGAAAAGATGGACCAAGAGCTCAGAATACTAGAAGGGACATTTCAGATACTGGATCGTAATAAAGAGTACAATAGTAAATAGAGGAATTAAACAAATTCATTATTCATTAAACCATAAAAAAGCTTGCAAAAAGTAATAAGTTAGATATTCATTAAGAGATGGTGGGACAATAAAATATAGCTAAGGCAGCCCTTGAGCTGCTCTTTCCCATTTCTTACTAGCTATCCAACCAGCATTTATAATCTTTAATGCATCTTTCAAATTCATTGGTTTCTTTAGTGTTTTTTGTTTCTCAATCAAACTGTTATATATTATTGGGTAATTATCTTTTGACACACCTATTAGAGAATTTTCCAATGACTTCTGTTTAGCTTTATTTCTTTCTTCACTTGTAGAATTCAACCAAACATCTCTTCTCTTTTGCCAAACTTGATGACCTTCACAAAACACTTCATTCTCTTTTTGTAATTTTTGAGCTTCTTGCACAGCATCGAAATCTTGGAATCTTGGTAATGAAAAGACTCCATTCAACCCATCTTCTCCGTTAGCGCCAACTTCATTAGATGAATTAACAGTCATATCTGAAGTGCCAGCTCTGCTATCAGTTTCTGCTTGTTCTCCAGTTCTGGCACCTTCTCCAGTGGCAGTTTGGTTATTAGCAACAGTAGCTGCTGCCTCTTGTTGTTCTAGCAATGATGAATCTACTGATGATGAGGATGTAACAAGGAATAACTCGTTAACAATCTCGTCAGATGATAAAGCGTCTTCAGCAAAACTCTTTAGTTTAGCAGCTGCAATAGACAGGTTTATTGATGCCTTGACGAATAAGTTTCTGATCGACTTCAAAACAGTCTTTTTGGAACTTGATGCAGTTTGTTGTTGTTGTTGGTTTGTCGGTATTTGGTTGTTGGAGTTGCTTTTGATAGATCTCGATGAGCGGAACGACTTGTTTGTATGCTGCTTCTTCAGCTCTGTTGTAGAGGCCTCGTCCTTATTGCTGTTGACTTTACTTGCGATGTTCTTGTTGTTGAGGCTGTTGTTCAACCCTTCAGCCATGGTTTCAAATGGTGAGTGATGGCCAGCCGTGTGGATGGCTTTAAAGTTTCTTCTTGTAGATAGTATCAGATACGTTCAGCGCTGATACTTCTGATGGCGATGGCGATGCTAATGACTTGTGCTGTTTTGTATAGACTCTGTGGTTTCTAGTTCCTCTTCACAAATCAAACATGTTCAGTCTGGAAGAAATTCTGAAATGTCTTTTGACTGTTGGTGACTCTGTTTCTCCTTGTGCTTTTCGAATTTTGTGGGATGGAGTTTTTTTCTTGTTCAAGGGAATAATACGCTGACCCGACCCGATGTGTTTTGACAGACAATACAAGAAATGCAGGGAATAGCACTAATCATTATTTATAAAAACAAAGCTATCTACTACTTTTTCTCCTCAGGCTTTTCACCGCCATCCTTTTCATCACTCTTGCCACTTTTTTTACTCTTCTCCAACTCGATCTGTAACTTTATCTTTTTCCAAGCTTCATAATTCAATTTCCATTTCCCATCATTATCTAAAATCTCAACAGGAGTTTCTCTCATTTCATTAACTTGATCTATTTTTCTCTTTTTAACATCAACATCATTTACATTCTCCACTGCACTGTTTATTTCACCATACCTAACACCATAAATAGCGACACTGACACCATCATGACCAGTTTTCCAATCTCTTGAGTTAACCCCATTTCTATAAATACCTTCATATTTATTCAAAGTAGGTAAGATAATCAAATCAACGTGGATATCACCACCAATGATATTAATGAAATGTCTAAAGTTATTCACAGTTTGATCAATGTTATGAGGTTCCGCTTTATTTCCTGGTGTTGTTTTCTCAGTGGTGAAATTTGAACCATTATTTATGGTATTTTCTAATTCATTATCTATACTTGGTAAGAATCCATTATGCTTCAATATCAACAAAATATCTGAATCATCTGTGTAGACATCAGTCCCCCAAATTGCCCTGTTTATATAGTTTTTGTTATTTTGTAAATCATTGATTTGATATGATGGAATTCTAACAGTCAAGATACAATTGATATAATCTCTTAACTCAGGTAACAATGGAACAATCTCAGTTTCTTGCTCATTTGGTTCAGGTGTGTTGTATTCTGAAGGCTGGAAAACTGATAATTGTCTATGTGTACTTCTTGTTGGATATGGTGTATATAATAATGAACCTAGATGTTTTCTTGGGAATTTTGAAGCAAAATCTAAAACGTCATCATTATTAATGATAATTTCTCTCTTGACAAATTTTTGAGCTGGAAGCTTAACAATTGTTTCTTCCTCTAATTGAGATTTCTTTGTTGGTTGGATTGTGTTTAATCTTTTAATTATTGAATAACATAAATATGTCTTGTAATTAGGATTCTTGGCTTTTTCAATACGTGCTCTTTTCTCATGTTGTAAAATGTCATGTTTTTCCTCATTTGTGAAATCAGTAATTCCATACTTGTTCTCATAATACTTGATTATATCCTCATCTGATTCTTCATTAACATCTGGTTTAGTTATATCCTCTTTCAGTTTAACTTGAGGCACTTGTGGAACTTGTTGTGGTGTTGGTAACCTTGGTTCATTTGTATTATTTGATGAAACAATATTGCTTAAAAAAGACGGTTTTGGGAGTTGATTTGGAGTTTCACTTTTAATTTCAGTTGGGGTTGTGTTGAATGATGGTTGTTCTCGTTGACTTGTTAAATGTGCTATAGATGGGATGGTTGGTGGTGAAATTTTGTTGTTTAGATCAGATCCTGGTGTACCTGTAGATCCAAACTGAGGTGTTGAAACTGTGTTTGGTGTATTTGGATTTGAAGCACTTGGTTGATCAACATTGTTCAACAGTCTTGGAACCCCTAGAGATGAAGGAGGTGCCATTTGATGAGGGTTTGACATACTTGAAATGTTTGATAGAAATGAAATAGGCGGCAGCCTTATACCTTGTCCTGGGGATTTAGATGAGCCAGCATCTTGGGGATTGAATGAAGAAGAGCTAGTTGGTGGGGTGTTGTTTGGAGCATTGTTTTTATTGCCTTGATTATCAGAGAGCATAGAAGGCAGAGACGGACGCATGTTTTGGTTTGGGTTGGACATCTTGTAAGTGTTGATTTTTTGCACCTGTCAAAATTCACTGTGGATATCCTGATTCTCAATGCCTTTAATTTAAGGTGTGGTTTTGTAATCCTTGGTGTTGTAATCGTTCCCTTGAGCTTTAAATTAACTAAAATTTTGAGAACGAAATCAACACGACGAATTGCCGGCCACTACGATTCTTCGCGATTTTAAACGACCTTGGAATTTGACATAAAAACTGAAACGTAAACAAAAACTCTTTGATTGAATTGAACCATTTATATCAGAATTGAAAAATGACACTTGATCACTACTCTCCTATTTTATCATCCAATTTGTTCCTACAGACTCCCGTTATGGAGCAAAATGGAGAAACAGAGACTCACCCCAATCCTTATGAAAAAATATCAGAAAACTTGGAGAAGATACTCACAACAGATTCAATCAATTCTAAAGATCTTTATACAACATACATGGAGATAGCAAATACTGCTAGAGATTTGATAATAGAGTTTGATAAAATAAGAGATGATGAAGACCTTTATACGGTGTTTCAATTGTGGAATATGAGACTGACAACACTATTGTGTGCAAATGAACTGACTGTTGCTCAAAAAGAAGCTAAAAGGTTAAGTGCTGCTTTAGAAAATGTTACAAAGAGCCAGATTGCTTCTACCAATTCACCTGATCAAACGCCTCCAAAAATGCTGGATCTTTTTCCTAACGAAGTTCCATTGAGTTTGAAATTGCTGATTATACGTTTGAGAACTCAAGGTCCAAATACAACATTGAATAGTGAATATTTCAAAATATTGACAGATGTCAGGATGCAGTATACAATTCATGAGAATGAGAAATCTAAAGGATCAGATACACCAAAGGAAAATCTTTACCCAGTCAAAGAAACTTTCAAATTAGGTGAAGTTTTAGCATATGCTGTTTCTGGTAATTTGATAGCAAAAAGAGAATACAAGACATTATTAACACATGCAGAGTCAATATTGGCTCCATTAAACAAGCACAAATCAGAACTTAATGAGTCAGAGGTTTTATTCAAGGATCAACTATCATTTGTCTCAATGCTTGTTGCTTTTATAACTGGTGACTTAACTTTAGGTATGAAATATATTGAAGATGTTCAAAACTTGAAAGATCTTCTAGAGACTTTGAGGTATATACTGAATAACGTTGATCCAGTATTAGATTACAAGAAACTGAATACTGGAGAAAAGAAAGAGGATGTGGTGCAAGAACTGGAGATACTTGATCAAGTAACGGAATTAGTTGAAGAGCAGGCTATAACTGGACGAATCTTGTGCTCTTTGTGTGCGTTGTTTGAATTGAGATCAAGAGATGATCAAGAGGAAAAATGCGATGCTTTTGAGAAATCAGCTAAGTACAAATACCCAAACATGTCTTATCAGCTGTTTAAACTTTGGTTCCGCAACACAAATAAGCTATACGGATTTGAATAGAATATTTTTATCACGTGCATTATTGTAGTTATCATGTGACTGAGCCCTAATCCCAGGTCCCAAGTAAAACATCCCTACACCATATCTGGTACGAGCAGCAACTCACTTTCCTCGCCTCCGAGTGGCCCGTCCAAAACCGCTTCCCACTCATCACTATCAGTATTTCGTTTGGGACCACACCATAGTTAAGCAGTTTTGGCGCCAAAATCTGACTGTGTTACCCCCAAGCATACGCTAGTGGGATTTTCCAACAAACACAAAATTTTATTGAAAAGTGAAATATCAGCTATACCTTTCTAATAGTGAAGATAGAACAACAACAACAAACTTATACCTCAAGATGTCTAGTAACAGATCTGCTTTGAAAGACGTTGTCACCCGTGAATACACCATCAACTTACACAAAAGAGTACGTATTGGATAAAAGAGTCAAGTGGGAAGAGGAGTTCAATTGAAAAGGAAAATTTATGATCAATATGTCAACATTAAAGAGAATCAGTACTTTAAGGAAGGAAAGAAATCAATATGAATGATACAAATGGAGGAAATGTAATACTATTAAAAAGAATTGTGAAGGAAATATCAGAACAAGAATATGAGTAAGGGAAATTATGTATCGTAGTGAATGAAAACCTATACGGTCAGTCAGAATATGTTATTATGAAATTATTGAACACCATTCCCACAAGATGAAGAATGTTTATTTATTGAATAAGTTTTACTAACAAGTTTTGTTTTAGTTACACGGTGTTTCATTCAAAAAGAGAGCTCCAAAAGCTGTTAAAGAAATCAAAAAATTTGCTCAAAAACAATTAGGTACCAACGATGTCAGATTAGACCCAAGATTAAACCAAGAAATCTGGAAAAGAGGTATCAAAGGTGTTCCATTCAGATTACGTATTAGAATCTCAAGAAAACGTAACGAAGAAGAAGATGCTGAAGAAAAATTATTCTCTTACGTTGAACCAGTTGTTGTTGCTTCTGCTAAAGGTTTACAAACCGTTGTTGTCGAAGAAGACGAAGAATAAGCTTATTAATTTCATGTAAAACAATAAAATAAAGAGTCATTTAATTAACGGGTTTTGTGTTGTATTTTTATGTTGATTCTGTAGAGAAAATATTGAAGTAATCTTGGAGAATATGGAATCTGATTTTCAAACTAAACTGATAAGATTAAACAGAGGAACTAGAACTGTTTAAACTAGTGAAATGATAAAAATCTGTAACTACAATTAATTTTTTATAAGTCAAGTACAATCTCCATTAATTTATACGACAAGCATAAAAAGACTTTGAATCTTTGTTAGTAAAACTTTCGATTAAACACATTTGATTCATCAATCCCAATTTAAAAATAACATTTTACAATTCAATTATATTTGATCAGTGTAACTATGACATAGGAACCATTCATTACAAAAAGACAGATCATAACGATCCATCTGTAACATTTGTTCACATCGGTTCAAGAAAAAAAAAAGTTTTCATCCTTTGAAAATAATTGAAAGTATTGAAATCTTGACTTGGGCTAGATACTGTTATTATCACTTACTTTTTCCTTGAACTTTTCGTTATCTGAATTGGTCTAAAAGTGAAGTACAGAAATGAGAAACGAAAATTTGTTCACCAAAAAAAAATACTTCGAGATTCTCAAAAAAAAACAAAGCGAGTTCGCGGTTTCGCGAACATGGTTAGGGCTCCAGCTTCAACTACACTTGTGAAAGTAAATTAACTAAATTAAACTAACCTGTTGCCCTATATATACCCCTTGTAAATGATTTGATAAATATGTTATTGTGATGTTGCTGTTTTGTATATGCTTCTACTGACTTCTCAAATATGTGATGATCTTTGAGTTCTGTATGGAATCTCAATAGCTTCACCAAAGCCTTCCTCTCCAGATCTTTTCAAAATAAAATTTGTATCAAAGAAATCAATAAGTTCACCCAATCTTTTGATATCCATAAACTGCTTATACAATTCTTTTGAGATTTGTCCATCAAGCATACATGATAAATGATGTTGAGTCAATCTATATGGTAATCCATAACTTGTAGCATATTCCCAAAATTTCTCAACGCATCCCCATGGAGCCTTTTCGAAACCGGCAAACATCGCAGGATTGGCTAAGATACCTCTAACAGCCATAACACCATCAACATTTGTTAATTTGACAATTTTATGAGCATCATCTAATGAAAAACAATCACCGTTTGCAATGACAGGCACTGAAACTGATTCCTTCATTAGTTTGATAGCATCGAAATTTGCAGGCTGTGAAGATCTGGTTGATTTAGTACGACCATGAACAGTTATGAAATCAACACCCGCTTGTTCAACTTTTTTAACAAACGCAACAGTTTCATCGAGATTTGGATGGATTCTGATTTTGGTCTCTATTGTAACTTTATCACCGTATTTCTCCTTAACAGCACTAACCATACTTGCCACTAAATCTGGTTCACTCATTAGAGCAGCACCAATACCTTCTCTAACTTGTTCTTTAATTGGACAACCACAATTTATACCTATAGCATCAACATATGGATGAATCATTTCCACAAATCTTAATAAATCAGTAACGTTATTAGTACCAACTTGTACTATTAGTGGTGTATCAAAGTTATTTGTTGTGAAATCACTTAAACGTGCAATACCATTACGAACAAATTCTCTAGCTAAAATCATTGGAGAATAAACTAAATCAACTTCATATTCACGAACTAAAGCCCTGAATGGTAATTTTGAGTATCGCACCATAGGACCAGCAATGAATACAGGTCTTCCTTCTTTACGACATCTGTCTATTATTCTTAATGGATTGTTTTCTGGATTTCTTGGTTCTACCACTGTCATATTTGTAGATGATGGTATTGATCTAAGATTAGCTTGTTGTATTAATCCCACCTTGGGTTTCTGGAAAGATCTCTTGATGATCTTTGATGCAAATATTGTGGTAAATGGGTTTCCAGGCTTTATATAAAACCTGGGTCTATAATCTATTCTGGAGTGCCTATGTGTTAAATGTCTCGATAGCGATAAGAATCTTGTTTTCGATGAGCTCTTCAAATAAATTTTTTGGGCTCTCGAAACTTTGATGGGTTGCGCCTTCCGCATCGGGAAAGTAGATGCCCGAGTGGCGCGAACCGCTTCTCATCAAAAAAATTCAGTTCAGCTCATCTCGAATCAAGAATTGTGCAAATAAATTTATGTGTTTCTAAAAAAGTGACACATTTGTTTTGTTTTGATCATGTCTGAAGAAACAAAGAGACCTGGATCTCCAGAAAACACTGGTGCTCCTGAGTTGAAGAAACCAAAGACTTCCGCTGAAGTTGAAAGTGTACCGAGAGAAACTAGAGGTATTGCTCATGTTAAGAAAGAATACATTGTAGATTCAAGACCAGTTGAAGTGATTGATGATGATAGTGCTGAAGCTGCAGGTGATAGAAATGATGATGGTGGTAATGGTAAAGGTAAAGGAAAAGGAAAAGGTAAAAAACAAAGAGGCCAAAACAAAAATAGAGAAATCAAACAAAATCAAGAAAAGGTTCAATTATGTCAATCTTTAGTTGATCCGGAGTTGGAAAAAGTTTGTAAATTTGGTGCTGAGACTTGTAGATTCACTCATGATCTCGGTGTTTATCTTGAGGCAAAAGAGAAAGACATTGAAGGTGTTTGTCCAGTGTTCAATGCTCTTGGTTATTGTCCTGCTGGTATGAAGTGTCGTTTCTTACATTCACATTATGATGGAGAAGGAAAGAAATTGATTAAAGATTTAACCAAGTATGAAGAAGCTAAATTGTCAAACCATGAACTTAACCATATTACCAATGAAGAAAAATTATCATTGATTAAAAAGAAGTTTGATTTTCCATTGTCTGATGCAGTTGTTAAAATCATGGATGATATTCAAGAAGATAATAAAGTTAAAGATTTAGCAAGAAAAAAGACAAATAATGATGAATTAAAAGAAGATGAAGCTAAAGAAGATGAAGCTAAAGAATATGAAGCCTCACCTCAAGAAACTAAAAAGGATAATGCAAACGAATACGTTGAAACAAGATTTTTCGCAGCAGAAAAGAAAAAATTAGATCTTGTTGGTAAAAAAATTGTTTCACCATTAACAACAGTTGGTAACCTTCCATATAGAAGACTTATGAGAACATTAGGTGCAGATGTTACATATAGTGAAATGGCCCTAACATTACCATTAATTCAAGGTACAAATTCCGAATGGGCATTACCTAAAGCTCACTGTTCAGAATATCCAGGGTTTGGTGTTCAAATTGCAACTTCAAAACATTGGCAAGGTGCTAAAAGCGCTGAAATTGTTTCTAAATTGTGTCCATCTGTTAGTGAATTGAATTTGAACAGTGGGTGTCCAATTGATTTGCTTTATAGACAAGGTTCAGGTAGTGGATTATTAGATCAACCTGCTAGACTAATTAGAATTTTGAATTCAATGAACTATTGTTCTGGTGAGATTCCAACTACTGTCAAAATCAGAATGGGTACAAGAGATAATCACCCAATTGCTCATAATTTAGTTAAAAGATTAGTTAAAGAAACTCAAACTGCTGCTATTACATTACATGGTAGATCACGTCAACAACGTTATACTAAAGAGGCTAATTGGGATTACATTGCAGAAGTTGGTCAAGTTTTGAAAGAAACTGAACAAGAATTAGAAGATGATAAAGATCGTAGAGATTTCCAAAAAATCAATTTTGTTGGGAACGGTGATTGTTATAATTTTAATGATTGGTATAAAGCTGTGGAAAATCCATATATTGATAGTGTTATGGTTGCTCGTGGTGCATTAATTAAGCCATGGATCTTTGAAGAAATTGAAGCTCAACAATATTTAGATAAATCTTCAATAGAAAGATTAGAAATTGTTAAAACTTATGCAGATTTTGCAATGCAACATTGGGGTACTGATGAATATGGTATTGCATTGTCAAGAAGATTCTTGTGTGAATTTTTATCATTCTTTCATAGATACATTCCTTATGGAATTTTGGAAAAATATCCAATCAAATTAAATGAAAGACCAGAAAATTGGAAAGGTAGAGATGATTTAGAAACTTTATTAGGTAGTAATGATTATAAAGATTGGATAAAGATTTCAGAAATGTTCTTAGGTCCAGCTGGTGAAAATTTTAACTTTACTCCAAAGCACAAGAGTAGTTCTTATGAAAAAAAATAGAGAATGCTACAATGGTTTCAAATGTATAATAGTATAGAAACAAAATCATAGATACACATCATGCTTAGGTTAATGGAAACTTGTGTTCTCAAGCCGTGTTTGTTTTTTCTTCAAGTGGATTTTTTAGTTTCAGTTTCAATAGTAGTTAATTTTTCACTCTTATTGACCTTATCACTCAATTCATCATATTCTTTAGCTAAACTTTTAGCTTGATTTTTCAAGATTTCTAAATCTTCATCTCTTTGTTTTAATTTTGTCTTCAATTGAGCAATTTCATCATTAGCAGAAACATGATCAGGATCTGATCTATAAGTTTCTTTCAAATTCAGTAATTCTGCAACTAATCTGTAAGTTCTTGTAACAATCAAAGTTAAAAATAATGTAAACCCAGTAAGGTACATATTTCTTTGGGCATAAAATCTTCTAGCTTGAATTTCTGAACGATCAGCAGTTGGGTTAAAACTTGTTTGTTGAACAGGGTTTAAATTTTCCTTTGTTGAAAAACCTGTTAATTCTTCATTAACACTGTTAACTCTATTGACTGAATCAATAAATAAGATGAAAATGAACACTAAAATACACTTTATCGCAATGTTGAATTCAGTTTTCTCAAATGGTTTTGAAATTGCAGTTAATATTGGCTTACGAATCTTTGAAGGTAATGGTAATGATAAAATGGCAAATAATACCATTTCAATAACTAGTAAACCGAAAACCAAATTGTAGTATAACGCCATTGTGATGAAGTGTAAGATTTGTAAATTAGTTGTGTTGATTTGATTATACTGAGATCAATTGATTCACCAAAAAGCAGCAGATATCTAATTACTTATAGTAGCGTATAAGTCCTCTGTTTTCTGATGATTGTTGTCAATAACTTGATTGTGATGATGATTTGTATAGCCAAAGAGCAACCCATTGGAATTTTTGACGTATTCCATTTTGATTTTTGGAATTTGGTTGCTGTCAAGTTTCACCGTGTCATTTATTCACATAGTGAAGAACGGTTGAATCAGAACTCTTAACATAACGGTGACTGAGTGGAACAAAATGGGCTATTTCTACGCAGATTCTCATTCAGTTATAAGCACTAGAGGCTAGAGCACTTTGACCTACTGCTTGCTTTCTTCTCGTCTAGCTGTAGCCTGTTGTTCGTTGTTAGGCCGTTCGCAAGGCTTCTGCGAAATGGTGCCAACCGGTGCGTTGATCAGAAGAAACGACTGTGAGTCCCCGAGAGCTGATAAAGAGCTCCCACGACAAAGTAGCACACTAGAACTTGCTCTGGGTTTATCAACTAGCAAACTACAGGCAAGTTTTGTAGGGTGTTGAGCTATATTTGACTATGAGCTCGAGCTCCTCAAAAGTCAGTTCTGGGTTCTCTGATCATCTCTAGAAGGAGATCTTTCTCAGATCAGCTCTAGGCAGACGATGCTAGGCGGACCTCGGTGACGTCCTCCACTGTGCTGGTGGCAAAATTAACGAGGACCAAATATACAAATCTTCAGCCTAGGCGGAGAGGTCTGCCTAGCGCTTTCACGGCTTCCTAGTTCTGTCCAGCACCCAATCTGGACGGATCGGCCACTCCGCTCCGCCCATTGGCCAAGAGAGCCCTCGTTATTACGAGAAACGAGCACAAATATCACATGGTTTACCCCCGTATATAGCCCTTAACTATGCAAAACCAGCACCTCGGTAATGGATAATTTCACTTCAAAAAGGAAAACCATTTGGCGAAATGGGTCCCAAAAACATGAATTTCCCAGCTGTAGTGGAAATTTAATATCATTTGATCACAATATAGCTCTGGAAACCGCTCAAGACTAAGGGAGATTTCAACAACCAACTCATCTCAATTATCAACCAGAGTTTAGCTCAGCACTTTTGCACAACACCAAAGGCCCATTTCCTCAGCTCCATACACAGGCCGCCCTGCTCAACTAGCTATAGATTTGTCACCAGCCATTATAAGCTTTATCAACTGACGGACCATCTTTCATCAATCCCTAGCTCTTACTAAACTTTGTTTCAACCCGTTTCAGAAGAAAGGAAACAAATATTCAAAATCTACCAGTATCAGGATCAAGCTTGCCTCTGTGTGGTTTTAGTTGCATTTCAGCCTCAGACCCATTAAGCGCTTCGTTTTGTACTACACTGGAGTGTTCCCTGCTTACAAAATATATTTATTTTACCACTTGGATTTTTCACTTAACTAAGTTCAAAAACTTTATCCATAATCATCAACAAGGACTGTCAGCCAACAATTTTGCTGATAAACTGTCATGAATACAAATAGCTTCTTCAACCAGGCAGCTGCAATAAGTATACCCAATGGTAATCAGGGGTCTTCATTATCTCAACCAATAGATATTGCTTACCAAAGATCCGGATCAGTATTCAATAATAATTCCAATTTCCCTACTTCTAATCAGTCTCAGCAACAGCATCAACAACAACAGAATCAGAACCAGATACAACAAATGCAGCAGAATCAACAACATAGCCATCAGCAGCAGCAACAACAAAACCAGCATCAACAACACCAGCCACAAAACCATAACAACTATCTGAGCACAAATTCAATCAACATCAACGTAAACCCAAACCAACGATCATTCAGAAGAGATTCCATTGCACATTCTCAAGGTGTTGGTGGGATTAGTTGGGGTTCAGTCACTATTGGAAGTTGGCTTAAAGATGAAGTCATGATGCACAACAATTTTAACTTGGGTAGTACAAATGCTCAAATATCAATGTCGCCTCCTATACAATCAGCCTATTTACCTGACTTGGAAGCCAATTATTGTAAAGATTATAGTTGTTGTGGCCAATTATTGCCAACGTTACATGATTTGTTGAAGCATTATGAGGAATCTCATATATCACCAACGCCTCCTACTCACCAACCAAAACCAATCCAGAATTTCGATACTGTCTCCACGACTGATGTCTTTATAAATTCAAATAACAACAACAATAATATGAACAATGTTAATCAAAAACAACAAAACACTTTTGGTTTCAATCAATCTCCTTTTCAACAACAAAACATACAACAACAACTGCGTCAGCAATTACAAGGTTCAAACAACAACTCATCATCATCTATACACCAACAGCAACAGCATCATAGTCCTCACCCTCAACAACAGCAAAATCATCATATCCAACAACAATCACAGCAACAACAACAGCAGCAACAACAAAATTACCAACTGCATCAAAATCTAAACAATCCTCAACAGGTCAATGTCCAAGATTCTCAATTTTTACAATCAAATAATAATCAAAATACATCTTCACAACAATCAACACCTTTCCCAATGTCCTTATCTAATGATGATAGTGCAATGGACCTTGATGAAGAGATGGATGAAGGATACATTGATGACCCTTCAAGAAACTTGTATGTGGCACAAGGCAACGAAAAACCATTCACATGTCCAGTGATTGGTTGTAATAAGACATATAAGAATCAAAATGGTTTGAAATATCATAGACTTCATGGTCATCAAAATCAAAAATTACATTTGAATCCTGATGGCACTTATAGTGTTATTGATCCAAATGATGGCAATGGCATGGAACAAGATAAACCTTATAGATGTGAAGTTTGTGGTAAACGTTATAAGAACTTGAATGGTTTGAAATATCACCGTGGCCACTCTACACATTAGAAAGTGTTGATTTTATTTCTAAGAAGAAGTTTTGCTTCATGCCAGTCGCTGAAACAGGATGTTTAAAATGGTATGCCTGTTTGCTTGTGTTTTACCATATCAGTCATAATATTTGAATTAGGGTTTGTTATTTGTATTATATTTTTTTTATTTGTTTGGGAGTTCATGTTTTGTTGAGAGTTATTTGCATGTTGATATGTCATTACTTCTATTATTTTTTTTGTCTCTATTTTTATCAGTTTTTATCACCTCTTCTCCTTTTTTTATAGTATCACTACTTCATTGACAAAAACTTCTTCATTACATTCAATTATATTATTGAATTCTTTTTTTATTAGGTTTTTTACGGGTTTGTTGAAAAAGAAAATTAATTTGTTCTTATAAATTTAGATACATGGTATATTTCAATCAAAAATATAAATGTCTAGAATTATATTGAGGAGTGTTAATGTAGATGGATATATTGAAGTATCTTATCAAAGCCGTCCTAGCATGGCCAGTTATATCGAGAGGCAGCCAGATACCTGAAGCTTAAATATTAATGTTCCTCCGAACCACTACTGTCATCAATATGAGGTCAGTTTAATTAGTTAGCCACTCCATTCGTTGATCCAACTTATTATTCTTTTTTCAATTCTTATACCATTTCATTTTTAATAAAGCTTCCATACTCACTAGCTCCCTTCAGCTAGGAGTGGTTCAGTATAGCCGCCCTTGAAACCAGCTTATATAAACATTAAACCATTAAGACCAGTTCATATTCAAGTAATTTTACAGTAACCAGAAAAACCTTATTAAAATTATTGATCCACGTCGACAAATAATGCTTTTCATTAATGATCTAGACGTCAATTATATTCGATCATGATCATTCTGCACAATATGAATAATAGTAATATATTATTATTATCTGCATGCTGCAAAAATTATAATTATAAGCTAGCTATTAAACGACGTTTTAATAATATAAAATATAAATTATTAATATATTATATGTAATTTACACTATATTTTTAGCGTTTTATCAATATTCACATTTAATATACTAGATATAACGTCGCCGTTATTAAAAAAATAAATAAAAATAGTACGTAATTAATTCGAAATGTCATAATATACATTAATTTTAGTATCAATTATCATCATTTTTGAAAGAAAACTCTAGTGTTTCTTGTGTTAGACGTCCAGCATCTTGAATAATATCAGTATTTCATTAATTTTGTTTCGGCCGAGAAATTTACTAGGTTTTTTTTAGTGGCCTTCTCGAACGAAAAAGCATCTAGAGCAAACATCAACTAAATTCTAAATTGTTACCAACTTATATAACAACTATGAATATCGATTGACTACCATAGGATCAATTCATATTACCTGAAGCATCAGAACTTACAGATATCATGCAATTTGACGTAAGAGTTCCTGTTATTACTATTAGGGTGCTGCTCATAGTGTTCACCGTCTTATTCATATCAATTGGGTTCCTATTGCCATTTTCATTTATATCATTCAACTATTTTTACAATTATCTGATACCAATTCCAACCATGAAACTTCCTTTATCCAACTATATTCTAAATTACGATTTCAAAAACTTGCCGCCTTTCATAATCATCGGGAAAGAATTGGAACCAATTTACGGAAATCAACAAAACCCAAAAGATGGTAATCCATTAGACTTATTCCAGTTTGATTTGAATTATGACTTTGAGTTATTCTTTAAACCATATTGCCAAACATCTCATAATGATTACTTCCCATTGATGTATAAAGTTACGGTGGTTACTGATCATTTAGTGAATCAATTAAGTCCATATGGAACAAAACCTTATATTGACAAAAGATTCCATATATGGCCAATAACTAATAATATTCATCAACTCCATAACCCACATGTGTTGGTTTCGTCTATGAACTCTATGGTTTTGAAATGTGGTGAGCAGGCAAAACCACTTCCTCACAAAGTGGAATCATTAATCCCTCCTATTTTCAAATGGTTTGTTCCTCCTGTTATTTCAGACTTTGAATATCATACAGATGATACTCGCCATAGAGTTGACTTATTGAAAGATGTAAATTTTGAAAGTTATATCAATGAACAAAATCAAAACTTTTTCAAGCCTCAAAAGTTCAACATAATCTTGGAATTCAATAAACCTGATGTTATTATTGACCCAAGTGAATCTGAAGTGATTATTACAGCTTCATGGAAAGGCATCCGTCACTACTTATTCCGCTATAGATTCTTGAGTTATTTGATAGGTACTCTCATTTTATGGCTGACATCCTCAGTGGTATTGTTTTTAACTATTGGTGGATTAATTATTGTCAGGGAATTGAGATCGCAAGCACAGGAGATTGTTGATCAAGAAGAAACGGAAATGATTGATGATGATGAGACTATTATTTACAAGGAACGTCCTATTGAGTTGAGAAGTGGTAGAGCTGGTGAATTTTATGGACGTGATGAAGATAATGGTATTGATTTCAGGGTTGATGTTGAGGAAAGAGATGCACCAATTGAACAAAGCTCACAATATGAAAGCGAGACGACTTCAACTTCATGAATGTCAACAATGCTCACGCCTACAAGACAACTTTTTTTTTAAGAAGAAATAAATAATGACATGATTTTATGATTACAAACAATTAGTTTATGACTTGTTCTCTTTTAAATAACGTAATAAATGATTTTCATTGACTTCATACATGGGCATTGAACCCATTAACTTTTGTAGGTGGAATATCAGCAACCAACATTGGATCATGGAAAAACTCTTCATAATCTTTAACTTCATGATTCAATTCATCCATTTCATTTGTTAGTTTAATGAATTTTTCATATTCATCAACTATTAATTCCCATTCATTCAACACTTTACCTAACAATAGGAAATTCTTTGTACTTTCAAAAGTGATCTTAGATTCCTCCTCTTGAACTCTTGACGACATTGAGCTTCTTGGAATGACTAAAAATTCATCGTCTTCATCTGAACTATTCAAAAAACTTTCATCAGCTTGTTCAAATCTGTAAAATGAGCTGGAATTATTCATCAATCCTAACTCATTGCTTTTGTTATCAAATGGTAATCTAGGGAATTTTGGCAACTGAGCCTTATGACCTTCTGAAGGAAAGAACTTCTTTGAAGAAGTCTTGCTAGCATTGACAATTCTATGACTCAATTGTGAAGGATCATTTGATATTGTTAATTGAAATCTGAATTTAAATCTCTTTACTTCTGGAACTTTGACTAACAACTCAGGTGGTGTAGGTAATGACTCCATTGGTGTTGTGGAAGTGGAAACAGAACTTGTAGATGAAGTAGAGCTTAGACGGCTGGAAGTTGATGAATTTAAAGTATTTGAAGATACCTGTCTATTTTTTCTGGATGAATTGAATTGATCTTCATCTGAGATCTCTGATAATGATGAAGATGGTGATGATAGTAATGAAGTAGGAGTTTTGAAACTTGGTGATCTAGAGCTTGATGACGAGATTGAAGCAACTGGATGTAATGTAGTGCTTTGACGAATTTTCAAAGGATCTTGATCTTCTGGTCCTTGATAAGGAGAACTCAACGCTTGGGGTGATGAAAGGGGTGACGGATTTGGTGAAACTTTTATTGTTGGTTGTGAGTGATTGACTTTCTTGAAGAAACTTAAAGCACTTCCCAAGATTGGAACTCTCCCTAATGTTGTTGCTGATGATGAACGAGTGACGGATGGTGATGAATTTGGTGTATTCTTTCTTGTTGATGAATTAGATACAGAAGTTCTTGGATTATTATTTGAAGTTGAACCAATTGAACTTGAATATATTGCTTCATCAAAAATATCATAGGCATAAATCTTTTTATTGGAATCAATAATCAAAGTTGAAGATGAAGAATTTCTTGATGAATAAGCGCCATTTTGTAAAAATTGATAAGAATCAAAATTATCCAGTATATTGATGGATGACTGAAATGATTCCATTGGTGAGATTATCAGTTTTCTATTCAATAATGGATTTGCAGGGGTTAAGTCCATATTCAATATTGGAGAAATGTTTAAATCAGCAGTTTTCTCACTAAAGATCTCAAATGTGGTTACCAAATTTGATTTTAACACTTTTTTGAAGTTCAAATAATTTGAGTAGTTATCGGTTGAATTACCAATAATCTTGAACACCAATAACCTTTGATAAAATTGACGAATAAGAGGATGCCAATGGTTGAAAAATGCTTCCCAAACAGATTGTGAAAGTAAATGATTTGACAAATTGAACAATAATGAGTTCTTTGGATTCTTGACCCATTCTGAAGGATCATATCCAAAAATGTTCTTCTGGTTAATGAAAGAATCATTTGGTATTAGGTTCCAAATATTAAATAAATGTGATAATGCCCTTGCTTGACAAATCATATTGTCAGTTCCCAGCATTTTCAACAAACCTGTTATCCAGAAACTTAAATTCAAATTTCTTGTAAAACAATATTGATCATTCTGTAAATGTAGTAAAAATTCCAAGAAGATAGTGTAAATAGCTTCGCAAGTTACTGAATTGAAAGCCTGGACACATTTAGCCTTTGAATACAAGATATTTTCAAACATTGAGATAACCATCGAGCTTTTTCTTTCATCACCTTCATAAACCAAATCTCTAATCACTCTCATGATCTTTATTATTGGGAGCTTTTGTAGAAAAATGTTGAAATTCTTTAGTGCATTGTATGTTGAAGAATTGCTGTTATAATTTGTATCTTTTGATTGAGTTGATTTGAATTTTTTAATCATCATAATATTAGATTCCAAAATTTCAGTGATATGACCATAGATAATGATAAACCCAGGCAACTTAAACAATTCTTTAAAATCCAAAACGGAAGCATCTAAAGTATCAATGGATAAAGATAGATAGTGTTTGAGAAATGAACAAAAAATATCACTGTCAAAACCAGCCCATTTTTTGACCCAATTGTTATCTTTCAAATCAATAAACAAATCATCCAAATATGCAGTTTTTGGAGGTTTCATACAGTTCAAACTTTGCAGCTTAGTTTGATTCGGGCTCTCTATAAATAAATATTCAGTAAAATCACCTTTGAAATTGACCAAATTAGCTAACGATGGATTAATCTTCTTGAATGAAACATTGTTTGGAATGAGTTTTTGGATGTCATTATGAGTCAAAATTTGCTTTATAGTGTAATTTTTAACAAATAGAAGAAACAACAACATATGTCCAAATTTATCCAAATTTAAAAATGAATATGCAAAAACTTTCCCAATGAATGCATTAATGGATAATGAAATAGTCTTCATAACCAACAACTTGGTAAAACAGTATTCCAAGGTCATTATCAAATTGGATGAATATAATGAGTTTGTAAGCTTTATTGTGTTCCATTCTTTTCTTGATATGATCCGGCTTATACATTCAAGATATGCACTTCTATCTATGCTTGAAAACTTGTTCCAATTAGTTTGTAAGTCTTCAATGAGCGAATTCCACCAAAGGCTCAATACTTTTGTAGCTAGTTTACAAACTTTCTGTTGAAGCTTATTCAATTCTGGGTCATGATCATCAATTGAATCAATAAAAGTGTCATCTTGATTCAACCTTAAAAACGTCAATAATGAAAGTCTCAAATGGTTTGTCTTTGATATTGAATGTGATTTATGGTTGAATTTTCCCCAACTATGGTGTAGTTGTTTATACTCATTGAATAACCCAGCGGCTTTTCTGGAATAGAGCTCAATGTTTTTAGATTGGATCTTTTTAAGGTTAGACTCCAAAGTTGAGGGAAGGCTTGAGATCTTTTTGGTGTTTAATGTATTAGGCAAATGCTCAGAGCTTGAACCATTTGAGCTAGTTCCACTTCTTGTGTAAGCAAACTTTGGTTTCTCTAGCCCTTGGAATGGGAGTTGTGTAACATCTGTCATGTTTATAGAGTCTAGCAACTTTAACGAGTGGGAAACTAATTGACAGCGCAACAACTAATATTTGATTCTTTGATGATTGATAGTATGAATATGAATAAGAAGCGAATGTCAAAGTAGTTGGAATCCTAGTTGTTATGATGAGGGTTGATACCCGTAATATTGGCTGGTATTAGCTTATAGCGGCAGCGCTAGTGATAGTGGTTTTGCAGGGGGGCCTGAGCTTGTTGAGGATTGATACTGTGCCAGCAGTTTGGAAAATGAGTTATTGTGAATTTGATGTAGTTGATGTTGGGATTCAAAGTGTTTAAAAGAATGAAAAGTGAATGTTTTGATAGCGAGCTCTTCCTGCGTTGTGTACCTTGTTTGAGCTGAGGTGAACTACCTTTCCGAGCTGAAGATCAACAGGCTGCTGCTGTTGGAACGCTCTATGTGGTAATGCTGGGACGAATCTGGAAACCCAAAGAAGCGACAAAAAATGTGAAATTTTTGGCCTTGATAAAAATAGAAAGAACAACTATTTAGCTAACGACTGAATAAATTGAATAAATAAAGGATCCGAATGAATGAATAATTTTTCTCAAGATATCACTGACAAAATCAAAACAGATGTGTTTTTTTGTAGATGAGATGAATTTTATTATTTTGAGAAGCTCGATTTTTGACGGCTTTTTTTCTTTTATTTTCTTCCTTTGCCTTCTCAAGTAAAGACCGGGAACAAAAATTTCTCAATCTGGAAGTATTTGCACTTTCCTGCAGCTAATTTTTCGCAAATAGCTGTACCGAATTCGACAGATTTTAGCGCAAGAGTTTGTGTTTGAAGATGAAATTTAAACCGAGATCTGCTAAAAACAGAGATATCAACATGTTTTTATACTGAATTTAACATGTAGAGGTGTTTAATGATGAATGCCTAGTGCACCCTACTACTTTGCCTTAAGGCTTAAGGCTTGTTACTCTCATTTGGGCTTTTTACAAAAAGTGAAAACTCATCTTTTCAACTTAGTTCACTGGGCATCAATTCTTGGAGCAAAGAGTTTCATCAGAAGAAAAAGGTATTTATCTACTCTCTGATTGCTGATCTCTAAAAAAACACCTAACCTTGTGTTGATTTGATCTATCACGTTGAGTTTCAGCACTTCAATTTTCAAAGATTCATGAAGCGTTATTATAAAGGCGTACCCGTGAAATCCTGATTCCAAGTTGTACGACATTCGTCGTCTCCTTCAGCAGGAACAAAGCGAATTCTCCCTTAATCTAAACTATTCCACCTTCGACATTGATCTTTCCAGCGACCTCCAGCCGTGATTGCGCTGGTCTTTCTAATTGTCTTGGTGTGAATATGAAAGCTTTAGTTTAGAGGCTTAAACATTTAGCTCTGCCATGAAAAACTGAATTTTGGACCTGTTTGTACATTTGTAAACAACAAGCTGTTGTAAGCCCAGCAAGCCAAATAACCGAAAGAAGGTATACTAATTACCTCTTTAGACAATTCAACTGTGGGAGCTTCAAAGTGGAAAGCAAAGCTCGATTCATGAACCATTAATTGTTCAAAAAGATTATCGGCTAATTGATGAAACAATAAATGGGTCCTGGAGATCAGTTTGTAAACTACGAGCACCTAGCACTCAATGGTTCAGAATTGAAACATCAGCTTGGGTAGTTGTTCAACGGTTATTCACCCAGACGTATGGATCTTCTTTCATATCGATGGCGTTGTATGTGTCTTTTCATACGATTATCAGTTGATTGAGATTCACAGCCAACAAGGCTAAATCTCTTCGCGAAGTTTACCCTATGTTTCGCGAATTCATTTTGTTTCGGTATAGGACACACTCTATGTCGTTGAAGATGTAAAAATTAAAAAAAAAAAGTGTGTTGAACTTACACGCTTAAGCTAAACATTAGAAAATTATCAAGTGGTGATCAATAACATCAAAACCAACATCACAGTTTCCGGTTAATAACCCCTTCTCATCCAGCAAACTCTAGAAACTCAAGTGCTTTGATATTGGTGGCTGTGGTTAGCTGAAAAAGCTGGAAAGGAGAATTGGATTGAATTTGGAAAGTAAAGATAAGTTGTGTGCATCTCATCGTATTTTGGTCGTGTGCCCTTGTGTTTCTCATTTTAAACAGGTAACGCTTGCATTTTGGACAATTCTTATAGATCTCCTTTGACTACGAGATGAGCGAGAAAAGAGAATTAAGTGATGTTGTTGTGAATGGTTCAGACTCTTCTCAAAAGAGAAGAAAGTTGGATGAACTAAGTGAAGAAGGCCCATTAACTCAAGAAGATGTTGTTTATTTTCAAAAGGAAGCCATTTTCAGACAGATGAAATCCTATCAAAATGAGGTTTTTCTGATAAGAAATAAACTGAAAAACTTGGATCAACAATTTTTATCAAACAATTCAAAGTTATTAGTGTTGAACAATTGGATTGATCAATTTATTGAGTTCATAACTTCTATTATACCACAAAAAGAATCTGCTGATAGTGAAGAGTTCGATGAGTTGTTTGTGGAAGTCCCAGCTGATATAAAAGATGATGAATTTGTAGAATTGTTGAATAAGAAGAAATCTCAGCTATCAGAGCTAATATCCAAAATAGTGCCTAGCAATGAGTCAATACCTGATGATATAAAGAAACGAATGAGTAAATTGGATCAAAAATATCATACTCTGAAACTTTCAAATCAAAAATTGTCAAATGAACACAACATACTGAAGAAAGATTTCGATGATTTGAACAAAGAATATAAAGATTTTATAAAGAAGGCTGAACGTTTGAATAGCGCCACTTTGAAAAGAATTAATGGATTGAAAACTGAAGAATCATCATCGCCAAATTTGGTTGAATCTCCAAAACTAGAAAAAGAAGCATCTGTACCACTTCCTACCCAAGAGAATAACCCAAAACCTGTCATAGATTCTGATGAAGTTGAAACCTTGATGAAACAAGTAGATGAATTCAAATCCACAATAGAGGCTCAACAAAAGATTATAGATGAGAACTTGGAATTACATAAATCATTAAATTCTAAAATAGTGGAGTTGAGTACAAAACAACCAAAAGAGCAACAACAATCATCATTACCAGATGCATCAACTTTGGAGGCATCAATCAATGAAAATAAGGAATTAAACATCAAGTATAAGGAATCATTACAAAAGTATGACGTTTTGTTGGAAAATTTCAATAATTTAGAAGCTGAAAAAAATTCAAACAATGATTTACTGAACTCGAAATTTGAAGAAGAAAAACAAAAAATTGAGTCAAATTTTGGGAAATTAGAATCTGATTTAATCCGTATAAGAACTGCAAGAGATGAACTATTATCCAAAATTAGCGTTTTGGAAGCTGAAAAAAACGGGCTTAGTGTTACAAAGGAATTGCAAGCGTTGATTGAGGTTCAAAAAGAACAAATTGAAAATATATCATTTGAAAAGAAATTGGATGATTTGGAAAATGAAAATGGTGTCTCCAATGATGTTGAAGCACTAAAGAAAAACAATATCATTTTGACAAATGAATTGAAAGAATTGGAAAAGGCATTTAAACATTTGCAAGGCGTCACAATCAAGAAGGCTAATAGTGCTGTTGATTCAGAATCCATTGTTAATAAGTTCAAAGTTGAAAAAACTAAAGCTGATCAGAAATATTTTGCTGCAATGAGATCAAAAGATTCTATTTCTCAAGAGAATAAGACTTTGAAATCCCAAGTTTCCAAATTGAATGAATTGGTTGCTAGTTTGAAAGAATCTGAAGCCTTGTCAACTACAAGATTTGAGAATTTGGAGGCTACTATTAAGAATCTAAAAAGAGTTGAATTTTTCAAAAATTATGAAATTGATCAATATGATGAAAAATTGAAAACGTTGGAGAAAAAATATAAAGAAGAATTGATTGATAATCAAGAAATCAAGAATTTGTTGTCAGAATTTCAAAATAAGAATGAAGAGTTGTTGAAAATTAAATCTGAACAATCATTAAAGATTTCTAAACTTGAATCAAATATCAAGTCACAAGATAAAATGATCAACAGATATAAGGCAACCGGTGTTATCGAGGAACAAGATGATGCAGATAGTTTCAGATCGGTTATTTATTGTTCATTATGTTCCAAAAATTGGAAAAACACAGCTATAAAAGTTTGTGGTCATGTTTTCTGTGAAGAATGCGCAAAAGAGAGACTTGCTGCAAGAATGAGAAAATGTCCAACTTGTAATAAACAGTTTAGTTCAAATGATTTACTCACCATTCATTTGTGATTGAAGGGCCAACATCTTCATCTATGTTCATTTTGCTTTGTTTGTTTTGTTCTATTGTTTTACTTTTTCTTTTCTTTCTGTTTCAAGGGTTGGTGTTCTATTTTATTGTATTATATTGTTCAGATGAGTCCTACATGCTGTTTTTGAGTTCATAAAACCATGTTAATGTGTATATAGTGATTACTGGCCTCAAAATAGAGATGAGGATTCAACTCAAAAGTTTCATATTGTAATGAGAGACCTCATGTGATGGTTTGTCTTTGAAAATTAGTATGGCACATAATTGACGTCTTTGAATTATTCACCAAAAATATTGTAATTTGTAGTTCGGGTGTATCCAGTTGCTCAGGAAACACGCGTCAGACGCGTTCTTCATATGAAGTGAACTTTTTCCTTTGCCGAAACAAGTAAGTTCGAAAGCTTATCGCACGAAACGGGCTCTCACAAAATCGTCTCAAATATTTGGCGCGCCAAAAAATTGACGTGTTCTTTTCGATTTGTCAACAACAACAAAAACTATGTCAAACATAAAAACAAGATCTGGGGAACTCACTACAGAATTTACATCAAGTGTGATCATTGACCATGAAGGAAACTCTGGAATAGTATTCTAAGCTACGTTTCAATTGCTGTCGTTGAAAATGAGTGAATTGATGAAAGCAAGCTGGTTTAAGCGACTGATTGTTGCTTCAGTGAGCTGCCCAGCGTGGAGCATGGGATTGGGGGGCTCGGGGCCTGCGTAAACTGTGTTCCGAAGGTTGTGTAAATGTGGGACCGGCCTTTTTTGTGAAATTGGAAATTGAATTTTTCACGCTTCTCGGTGGCAATTTTTTGCAGATTATTTAAGAATCGCAAAATCCGTTTTTTTTGAAAAAGTGAAAATTCAAGTTTTGGAAAAAAAAATTTCTTTTTCTTGGGAGTTCCGTAAACAAGAAAAACACAGGATTGTTCGGGACACTACTCTGTACACAAAACTCATTGATTGTCTTGTCCACACCTGTTTGTTTAGTCAATCTATAGCCGGTATAGTTCAATTATAGACATACAAGTATCCCATGAGTGTAAGATGGCAGAAATGAATGATTCGGTTTCAACTCCAATACAGACCCCAACAAATGTCAAGAGTGATAGTGAACTAAATTCAGACAACATAGCACCTACAAAAGATGTTATTCCACCACCACCAACAGCAACAACAACAACAACAACAACCACTAGCATAGAGGACAATAAACCACTGTCACCTCCAATTCCATCTCCAAAAGCTACAACAACTGAAGAAGAAAAATCTGATAAAGCTGAGAATGGTGAAACAGACGAAACTGCACAAAGTGAGACTAGTACTGGTAATAAACATTCACTGGAGGCACATGAAACTGAAGATGATACAGCAATCAAAAAGCAAAAGACTGAAGAACCAGATTCACAACCTCCAAGCTCGGCCCCAGAGCAAGATCAGCAGAATGATTCTGCAGAAGTTGAAGATGGAATTCCAAAGCAAGAGGCACAAAAACCTTTATTAGTGGATACTTCAAACATGACCCCAGCTCCTAAACCACCAGCAGAACCAGATATGAACAACTTACCAGAAACTCCTATGCCAAAACACCAAGCAGGTTATGCCAGTCGTACTTTGAAAAATATAAAGAGAATGAAAGATGCTGCTCCATTTTTGCATCCTGTTGATACCGTTAAGCTTCAAATTCCATTGTATTATAATTTTATCACAAGACCAATGGATCTTTCTACAATAGAGAGAAAATTGAATGCTAATGCTTATGCTGAGTTGAAGGATTATGTTGATGATTTTAATTTGATGGTGGATAACTGTACACGTTTCAATGGTGCTGAATCAGGTATCGCTCAAATGGCCAGAAATATACAAGCTAGTTTTGAAAAGCATATGCTGAATGCCCCACCAAAAGAGCTACCTCCTTCTGCTACAGCTTCTAAGACTACCACAGGAGCCGGAAGAAGAAAACAAAGCTCAACTCCAGGTGAATTGAATGCTTCAGGTGTTCCAACTATTAGAAGGGATTCAACAGCTAATGGTGGAAGACCAAAAAGAGAAATTCATCCACCAAAACCTAAAGATATGCCTTATGATATTAGACCAAGAAAGAAGAAATATGTTCCTGAATTAAGATTTTGTCAACAGGTTTTAAAAGAATTAGTTTCCAAAAAGTATGAATCTTTTAATTATCCATTTTTGGAACCTGTTGATCCTGTTGCATTAAATTGTCCAACTTATTTTGACTACGTTAAAGAACCAATGGATTTGTCAACAGCGCAGAACAAAATCAACAACAATATTTATGAAAATGCTGATGAATTTGAACGTGATATTCGTTTGATTTTCCAAAATTGTTACACATTCAATCCAGAAGGTACTGCAGTTAATATGATGGGTCACAGATTGGAAGCAATTTTTGATAAAAGATGGGTCGATAGACCGGTCACTCCACCTAGTCCAGCACAAGTTTCAGAGGATGAAGATGACTCAGATGATGAAGAAGAGGAAGAAATTGATGAATCCATGATTACAAACCCTGCGATTCAATTCATGGAGCAACAATTGGAAAGAATGCATCAAGAATTGGCTAAACTGAAGAGAGAAGAATTGAATAAAATTAGAAAAGAAAGATTACAAAAGAAGAAGAAAAACTCAAGATCTAAGAAGAAGAGAAAAAGTAGTTCAGCTGATAGTTCAATTATTGTCACTTATGATATGAAGAAAGAATTGAGTGAGAAGATCTATGAGTTGCCAGAAAAGAAACTGAACCAAGTTTTAAGTATCATTAGTCAAAGTCTGAATCTGAACAATCAAGCCGGTGAAGAAATTGAGCTAGATATGGATCAATTGGATAATACAACTTTACTGAGATTATACAACTTCATTGTTAAGAAAAGACCTTCATCTTCGGCTTCTAATGGATCAACAAGTCGTCGTCCAACAAGTAAGAAATCTAAAAAGGGTAGAAACTTGTCAGAAGCTGAACAATCCAAACAAATTGAAAGCCTCAAAAAGAAAATCGAATTGTTTGACCAATCTAATAATGGCGGTGCTGCTAATGAATCAGAAGAAGATTCAGACGATGATCTAAGCTCTGAAAGTTCCGAAGAGGAATGATTTTTGATGATGACCTTTAATGAATTACAAAGTGGGTTTTTGCTAACAAAAGACACACATAATACAACAATTGAATATGAAAGTCCTTTATGATTGATATTATATCTATTTTATGACCCATCTTGTATAATAATTAAAACTAAAAGGATTGAATAACACATAGGTACTTTTATATTTTAGAGTTGGATGTCGTAGACTTTATCATAAAATTAGCTTCGCGAATATGCTCTAATTTTTTTTTTTTGGTTTTTCTTTGACCAAAGAAAATCAAAGTGAAAGGCGTTGTGTAAATAAGCAATAAGCTGGTGAAACGTACATTGGTTTATTTGCCTCAATTCAATACTTCAAAGTCATTTATAAAAAATGTTAAATGAATCACTCAATACAGGTGACGACATTACAGCATTGATGAACGAACTTCAACTCTCAGAAGAAATTCCAAATGAACCTATAGACCCAACATCAAAGACAAAATGGACCAGACCAGTAAAATCGGATCCAGATCAAGATTTGAAAGATAGATTTTTGAACCCTTCAAATGTTTTACCATGGGATTTGCTAGATTTGATTCAAGACGTTCCTGAGCAAGATCCAAAAGAATTTTATGATGCTTTATTGAGTGTCCCAAAGACCATCTCTCGTTCTTCTTATAGGCTGAAAAGAAAAGGTATTGAAGGTAAAGTGTACAATTATGCTGAAGAAGTGAATGCCACTGATCTACAACAATCCAATGCCTCTACTTCATTGTCAATTAATAGAAAATACACTTCAAAAGAAAGTGCCATTAAAGGGAGCACTAGTTTTTTGCCTTTCCAACCTGGTGGGATTCAAATGAGTAACCAATTGAAAGATAATACTGCAATGCTTCACAGAGATTCTGATGGGCTTTTTGATATTGCACAAGGCTTATCAAGAGGTTTGAATTTAGGTGATAGCCAATCTGTTGATGATTTGAAGAAATTGGAAGAAGTCGCTGAAAATGAAGAACAACCAGATCACGATGGAGAAATTAAGGGAATCGAAAGTGGCGATGTTTTGGAATCTTTGAGCTCATTAACTACAGAAAAATCATCAAATAATACCACTGTCAACTCCAAGTTTGAGAAAGAAATCGATGAATTATTACCAGTTGACATCAATTTTGGACGTACTTTAGTTGCTAAAGAGTTTGAAACTGAAAGGCGTAAAGACTGGGCGCATGTTGTTGATTTAGACCATAAGATTGAAAACTTTCACGAATTGATTCCAAACATGGCTAGGGAATGGCCTTTTGAATTGGATACTTTCCAGCAAGAAGCTGTTTATCATTTGGAACAAGGTGATTCTGTTTTTGTTGCAGCACATACCTCTGCAGGTAAAACTGTTGTTGCAGAATATGCTATTGCTATGGCTAACAGAAATATGACCAAGGCTATATATACTTCTCCTATAAAAGCCTTATCCAACCAAAAATTCAGAGATTTCAAGCAAGATTTCCCAGAAGTTGATGTTGGTCTAATTACTGGTGATGTTCAAATTAACCCTGAAGCTAATTGTTTGATTATGACTACAGAGATTTTAAGATCCATGTTGTATCGTGGTGCTGATTTAATCAGAGATGTCGAGTTTGTTATTTTCGATGAAGTCCATTATGTTAATGATATAGATAGAGGTGTGGTTTGGGAGGAAGTTATTATTATGTTACCTGATCATATCAAATTCATCTTATTGTCAGCTACTGTTCCAAACACTTTTGAATTCGCTAACTGGGTTGGTAGAACAAAACATAAAGATATATATGTTATTTCTACTCCAAAGAGACCTGTCCCATTAGAAATTAACATTTGGGCTAAAAACAAATTATTCAAAGTTATTGATGCTGATAAGAAGTTTGTTGAGTCTAGCTTCAATCAACATAAGGAACATTTAGAAGGTCCTAAAGCTTCTCAGAATAATGCTCGTGGAGGAGGTGCTGCTGGACGTGGAGGCCGTGGAGGCGCCCGTGGTGGAACTGTTGCGAGAGGTGGTAATCGTGGAGGTCGTGGAGGTAATAGCAATGGTGGATTCGGTCGTGGAGGCTCTCGTGGTGGTGGTAACACAGGGAATAATTTCAAGAGATTTCAAGTTGATCGTCCAAACAAGAATACTTGGATTGAATTGGTTCAATTTCTGAACAGTAATAGCTTGTTACCTGCTGTTATTTTTGTTTTTTCCAAGAAAAGATGTGAAGAATATGCAAACACCTTGGGTAGTGTTGATTTCTGCAATGCTAAAGAAAAATCTCAGATCCATATGTTTATTGATAAAGCCGTTGCAAGATTGAAAAAAGAAGATCGTGAGCTACCTCAAATTCTAGCTGTTCGAGAAATGTTGAGTAGAGGTATTGCGGTTCATCATGGTGGATTATTACCGATTGTTAAGGAAGTTATTGAAATCCTGTTTTCAAAGACATTGATCAAGATCTTGTTTGCAACTGAAACTTTTGCTATGGGATTGAACTTGCCAACTAGAACTGTTGTTTTCAGTGAATTAAGAAAACATGATGGTATCAATTTTAGAGATTTACTTCCTGGTGAATTTACCCAAATGTCTGGTAGAGCTGGTCGTAGAGGTTTGGATAAAACAGGTACTGTTATCGCTATGGCTTATAATGATCCACTAAGCTCACTGAAATTCAAAGATGTCACACTAGGTGTTCCAACTAAATTAGTTTCACAGTTCAGATTGACTTATAACATGATTTTGAATTTGTTGAGAATTGAAGCTTTAAGGGTTGAAGAAATGATCAAACATTCTTTCAGTGAGAATACCTCACAAACATTGTTACCAGAACATCAGAGTAAATTGAAAGAGTTGGAGAAGAAATTGGAGGAAATACCAGTTTCAGACGAGGATTTAGATCCTTCATCAGATATACAACAAATCCATAGTGCCATTATCCAATACAAGCGCGTTACTGGACAAGTCATGGCTGAAGCGTTAACACACCCATTATTGGCTAAAAACTTCAACCCAGGTAGATTAATTGTGTTCAAGGACAACAAGGGCATTTCAAGACTAGGTTTCATCATCAAGCAAAATAGAGTGTCAGCAACTCCATCATTTTCTGTTTTAACGTTTGATATGGGAGCTGCTGAGAACGAAGAGCCTTCTGGAATGCCATTTCTTACTCAGATCCCTGGATTTGTTCAAAAGCACTTCAAAAAAATTGTTTACAATGGTAACATACATATTCGTGAAGTTTCAGTTACAGACATTGAATTATTATGCAGAGTCAGTTTGAAAGCTAGATTGAATGAGATTTTAAAGAGCAACCAGGAGGAAATTAAAGTCCTAACTGGTCAATTACACGTCTTGCTTAAGTTTCAACATAGATTAGAAGAAATTGATTGGCAAAAATTTGCCACATTGAAACTTCATGAATTGGTAAGAGAAAGACAACATGTTGTCCACAAAATCGCAGACATTACTTTACGCACAGGCTCATCTTTCGATGAGAAATTTAAAACCATTAATCAAAGATATGAAATAAGTCAACAGATTGCTTCATTGAATGCATTGATATCTGATGAGAATTTGGAGTTATTACCAGATTATGAACAAAGATTAGAAGTGTTGAAGGATCTTGAGTTTGTGGATAATAATTTAAATGTCGTTTTGAAAGGAAGAGTTGCCTGTGAAATCAACAGTGGATGGGAACTAGTGATCACTGAGCTAGTTTTGGATAACTTCTTGGGTGATTTTGAACCAGAAGAAATTGTTGCATTATTATCTGCCTTTGTTTATGAAGGACGGGTGAATGAAGAAGAAGAGGCTAAGATTACACCAAGGCTAGAGAAGGGTAAACAGCGTATTGTGGATATCATGGGTAAAGTTTTGGATGTTTACACTAAATATCAAGTCAGTTTAACATCCGAGGAGCAAGAATTTTTAGAGAGAAAGAGATTTGCATTGGTCAATGTTGTTTATGAATGGGCTAGAGGTATGACTTTCAAAGAAATTATGGAGCTAAGTGTTGAAGCTGAAGGTACCATCGTCAGAGTAATTACTAGATTGGATGAAGTTTGTAGAGAAGTCAAGTCAGCTGCTTTGATTATTGGTGATTCTGCTCTACATTCCAAAATGACACATGCTCAAGAAAAGATTAAGAGAGATATTGTTTTTTGTGCAAGTTTATACTTGTGAATGGTTCAATTGATTAATGTCATTTCCTGTACACTGAAAACTCTACTCATTTGTATTGAAAAAATGCACATGTTCCTTATTTACTTATAATTTCCTTTGCCAAATACAACACACGATCTTTACCATAAATCAATCTCTCGTCAATAAACTTTTTAGCCAACTTTTCTCCATGTTCAAAAGAGATCAAGCTAATTATCATAAATATACTCTTTCTTGCAGCAACCTGTTGATATTTAGCGGCGGGCTTGCCTGTGTGAAATATCCACTTTCTTATGCCAACAGAATCAAGAAATTTGGATAAACATTTACCATGAAAGTACACAAGCCAATTGATTTGTTCATCAAACCTATCAAAGTTTAGTCCATTGATCGCTGAACTGGCATTGCTAGAACCAAGGTTCAAAAGCGCCAAGTTTGCATGTAGTGAGTAGAGTTGCTTTCCCAAATGTGAAAAACTTTGTGTTGACAACTTTTCGGTCTTTCCCTCTTTCTGATACCTCAGTTCAACATGTCTATCCTCCCATGGGTGCAGAGCCAACGTTAGGTACTCATCCTTTAGACGATACTCTTCACCCAGGAATGATTGAAATTTTTGAACTCGATCTGCAGTAAGCTCACCAAGTACAGGGTCTATCTTTATTTCAGTGAAAACGTCATCGAGATTGGGGTTGACCCTATTAGCCTTCTTTATTCTTTCAAAGTCTTTTTTTTCTATTATTCTTGATTCTGTGGGTATTGAAAAAGAAGTTGCGAGTGATTGGTAAAAGCGATGTTGAAATGTTCTTTGACACCAAAATTTTGGCAGGCTTGAATGGCGTAGCATTATTCTCAATAAGAGCTTGTGGAAAGATATGATCTCTGCGTATTAAAAAAAGTGTCACAATAACCAAATTTTGATATTTGAGCGTACTTTAAAGATTTCCAGTGAGTTCGCGAAATATCGTGGCACTAACAACAATTTTTCACAGTACAAATTTTTTGAACCTGATGTATTAAGATGAGATGAGCTTTAAGGTTGACCATCGTCAGGATAGAAATGGCACCAAAATCAAGCTCTAATCTAGCTGGGACACCGAAAGGTACCCCAAAAAAGAAAAGTGCTTCTGATGACTCTGAATCTGCCTCCTCAAAAACATCAAAAACTAAAGTTCCAAGATCATTTATTGTTAGACCATCACCAAATATTAATAACAAGTCTGCTGTGAAAGCTTACCTACATCCATCTATTTTGAAGGCTATTGATATTACAAATGGCTCTATGGCACATCTTGCTAAAGAGGGTGAGTCTGGCGTACTGGCAATTGTGAGTGCTGGTGATGAAAGTTGTCCATTAAACGTGATACAGGTCTCAAAAACTTTAAGATCAGTATCAGGAATCATGTTGGGTGATAGACTAGAGATCTCTAAAGTGTCAACTCAACCTTCATATGGCACCAATGTGACGATAGGGACTGTATCTGGGAAAAAGCTATCAGATAGAGCCACTAAATCTGTTGAGAAGCTCTTTGATGAAGTTGGTGTGATAATGCCTGGTATGAGATTCCAATCATTCACAGCTCCAGGACAAACTGAACAGGATGAAAAAACACTTGAGACTTTGGTTGTCGTAGAAGTGGATGACCTTCCAGATCTTGGAAAACTACAACTAGAAGATAATGACATGCCAAGTGAAAGCTTTCAAAGATTTATCTCACCACCATTGTTGTTTAAAAGAGGAAGTACCAAAATCATATTTACCGAAGAATCAGAGCCAAATCGCAAATATTCTTTACCAAAATTAACAACTTATTCATCTGTGGGTGGTCTGAAAGGACAAATAGAGTTATTAAAAGCTACTATTGAGCTACCACTTCATCAACCAACGCTGTTTTCGGATTTTGGGGTCACACCTCCAAGGGGAATATTACTTCATGGTCCACCAGGTACTGGTAAAACCATGCTTCTTAGGGCCGTTGCAGCTGAAACAAATGCACATGTTTTAACTATCAATGGTCCGTCAATCGTTTCAAAATACTTGGGTGAGACTGAATCTGCATTGAGAGATATTTTCAACGAGGCTAGAAAATATCAACCAGCTATTATATTCATTGATGAAATTGACTCACTAGCTCCAAGTAGGTCTAGTGATGATTCTGGTGAAGTTGAAAGTCGGGTTGTTGCAACACTATTGACTTTGATGGATGGTGTTGGTGATAGTGGAAGACTAGTCGTTGTTGCTGCTACAAACAGACCAAATGCTATAGATTCTGCCTTGAGACGTCCAGGGAGATTCGATCAAGAAGTTGAGATAGGTATCCCTGATGTCGAAGCTAGAAATGATATTTTGAAGCTACAATTTGAAAGAATGAAGCGTCACAACTTGTCAGATCAAGATATTTTCAATTTGGCGTCAAGAACACATGGTTATGTTGGTGCTGATTTAGTCGCTTTATGCAGAGAATGTGTGATGAAAACCATTCAACGTGGCTTGAAATCGTCGACGCCAAACTCATCGCTAAATGTTACTAGTGAAGATGTTGAATTAGCACTACCTGAAATACGACCAAGTGCAATGAGAGAGATCTTTTTAGAGATGCCAAAAGTGTATTGGAAGGATATCGGTGGTCAGGATGAATTGAAAATTAAGTTAAGAGAAATGATTCAATTGCCTTTAGAAGCTTCTGAAACTTTCAAAAAATTAGGTGTCTCAGCACCAAAAGGGGTTTTATTGTATGGTCCTCCAGGTTGTTCAAAAACTTTGACTGCTAAAGCCTTGGCTACAGAATCTGGGGTGAACTTTTTAGCTGTTAAAGGACCTGAAATTTTCAACAAATATGTTGGTGAATCCGAAAGAGCTATTAGAGAAATCTTTAGAAAAGCTAGAGCAGCAGCACCAAGTATTATATTTTTTGATGAAATTGATGCATTATCTCCAGATAGATCAGAAGGAGGTCCTTCAACGTCCGCTGCCAGTCATGTTCTAACCTCCCTGCTTAATGAAATTGACGGTGTTGAAGAACTTAAAGGGGTTGTTATAGTGGCTGCTACTAATAGACCTGATGAAATTGATCCAGCTTTGTTAAGACCAGGTAGATTAGACAGACATATATACGTGGCTCCACCTGACTTTGAAGCCAGACTTCAAATTTTAAAGAATTCAACTGCAAAGATGGCAATTTCTCGTGATGATATTAATCTAGATGATATTGCTAAAAGAACAGATGGTTGTTCAGGTGCAGAAGTTGTGCTGCTGTGTCAGGAAGCTGGTTTGGCTGCTGTTATGGAGAATCAACTTGCAGAGAAGGTTGAAAAGAGACATTTTGAAAAGGCTTTGGCTGGAATTGCGAGAGGTATAACGCCCGAAATGCTTCTGTACTATCAAGAATTTGCAAATAGAAGTGGTATTGAGGCTTAGATATATTACATAGAAAATGGAAAAAAAGCGTCAGCATCGAAGGAACAAAATTGTAGAATCGAAAATTCTTATTCTCGAGATTCACAAATAGATTATATCGGTTCTTCATCAGCTTATCGTTAAATGATCTTTGAATCATACCAAATAGTTTATGTTTCTGGGATGGGCCACTACTTTTTTGGGTTTTTTTTTGCCCGATGTGATTTTTCGAATAAAATTGTTTACATTTTCTAAAATTCAGAGATATAAGCCAATCGTCTATAAGTCTTCTTGTGGATTGCTTTAAAATATCATCAACAAATGACCCAATCAGATGAACAAGTGCTCGAAAAGCCTGTGCTTTTGATCCCAAATGTTTATGATGAAGGATTCAAACCAGAAAATGATGCCTATACACTAATGTATGTGTTCAACTAGTCCATCTCTCGATTTCCCACTAACTTTGGTTTAGATATGACTTACCTGTCTCTGTTACATCTGTTGACTGGAGTGGTAATCTATTAGCTTATGGTCATGAAAATGGTGTCTCAGTTTTAACCCCAATTCCAAAAGACACTCAAATATCAAAGAATCTACCAAGCTCTCTACAGCAAGAATGGGTCTTTCAGGTGACTAATATCCCATTACATTCACTAGTCACACATATCAAATTCACAAGTAAATATCTTGTTGCATGCCATGATGATAACACAATCACACTAATTAATCATTTAGATGAATCAAAGGTAAGATTAGGCGTTGAAGGGACACAAACGCACACAGGAGAGATCAATTCTGTTGATATATCAGACAATGGTACAATTGTATCTGCAGCTGATGATAAAACTGTTATTGTATGGGAAAGAGAAGAGAGTCGCGTGTTTTATTTGGATAATATTGCAACATTGGTCAAATTTTGGACAGATAAAGATGGCGATAAAATTATCGTTGTGGAGAATGGAAACACCGTTAAAGTATTAGACTATAAAAAGAATCAATGGCTATATACAATTTATCCGTTGTCATACTCAGCAAATGCTCAACCAAGTATCAATGATGTATTAATTCATAATGATAGAGTTATTGTCGTGGGTAATGGATGGTGGAAAGAATATGACACAGAAGTTTTGAATAATGGTGCAGGTTACACTCTACCGAATGGAGAAAGCCAGCTTGCAGGATGGCTACTCAATTCCAAATACATTTCTTCCAAATCGAAACCCTTGATTGGTGGTATCAGCAATGATAGATCATCATTTTATGATCTCGCAGCAAACTCGAATCAGGTACATCAATTCAAGTTACAGATTCCTTCAATTGAGGTCCCAGCAGGATCAATCAATCATGACGGTGTTGTTTTATTTGCTTCTGGATCTAAATTGATCTTGGTGAAGCCTTTTGATAGTTACGAGGTTGTTCAATATTCCTGAACCCTGAAATGGATAAAACAGATAATGTAATAATAGGGTTAACATTACGTAAGTCCCAAATTGTAGTCAAAATTTCAAAGATTTGAAAGCAGTATAGTTTTCAACTATATGCTATAGACATCAGAAATCGCGAATAAAGGCATAAGAAAATTTAACTGCAATTTTGTGCTACAACTTATCAATCACCATCATTTCTTTTGAACAACAACCCACGCTTTGCTTCACCCAATAAAAAATGAGCAGAATCAACTTTTTCAACTTCTCAGCTATCGCTTTAGTGTGTACAGCTGGTGTCTATACTGGTAAGCCTTAAATAAATTGAGGAAGCTCAAATGTCAAGCAGTCCACTAACAAAAATTCAATAGGAACCAAATTTTTTGAACCGATAGTGGTGTAAGTTATACAAGTACCCTCTAAATGAACAGCTACTAACAAACCAATACAGCGAAAGACTAAGGCTTGATGGTAACTTGAGAGATGATATAGAGGTTCCAAAGTATGATGAGAATGGTGAACTTATAGTTGCAGAGCCACAACAATTACCACCAAAACCATCCGAATTTTTGACAGACAAACAAGCTGCATCATCAAATCAAGAGCAATCAGATGCATCCAAATAAACAAAGTCCCATAGAACTCTGCACATAATAAATGTTAAATTAAATGCTATTAATCTTTGCCTGAGTTTTTGCGTAGGAAATTTTGCGCTCTGTCTGCCATTTTGCGAAAAGGGTATTTTCCAAATCGGGAAGTCCATCGCAGAATTTTTTTTTTCAAACAGACATATAACTGAATTTACTATACACTTGTTTCAACACATCTACGTTATATATCTCCCCAACCAACGTCGTACATAATGGGTAAACTCAAGAAGAGATCAAGATCATCAAGACATCGTGTCAATCCTCTTTCAAATCAAAGCAAAGATGAAAGACTAGATGCTTCCTTAAGAGAAAGTAAAATTTTACCAATCATTGCAAAGTTGAAATCTGTTGTACCAAACGATAAATCTATGGCTTTGGGTACAATCTCTGTTATGTGTGAAGATTACAAGCTCAGAAATATGTTGTTGAAAGAGAAGCTATTACAGCTTGTCATGGAACAATGTTTGAATGATGAAAATAGTGAAATCATTGTGGAATCATTTGGTTTATTAAGAAATTTAGTTATTGAAGAAGGTTATGATGTTGCAATGTATTTATGGAGACAAAATATTTGGGTTACTATTGAATCGAATTTTGAAAAGGCCAAAGTTTCATTTGATGCTATTCAAAAAGATGGACAAAAATTCAATAAGAACGAATCAAGATTATTGTTTGATTATATTGAAAACTTGATCTCTTTGATTGTTGGTCTAGGAAATGCATCTGATGATATTTTTGAACAAATATCAAATAAAGTGGACCCTTTGATTAATTTCATCAAAGAAATTTTGACATTTGGAGTTGATTTAGAGTCAAAAAGCCTAAAGACTTCAGTTTCTTTATTCAACTCAATTCTGGATTTGATTTATGATTTCAGTTCGCAGTCAATTGATTTCATAAATGGATTGAATCAAACATGGAATATAGATATTGAGTTACTAGAAAGATTCTTGAAAGATGCCAACTTGAATAAATTACCAGGTGTTTATATTCAAGGTATTAAGTTACAAATCCTGGAAGCGTCAGAATCAACAACCAATAAAGATGACGTCGTTGCAGAAATCATCAATAAGATAATATCAGAAGTACAAGATATCAATATAGAGAATGCTAGAAATACTCTTATTGAAAAGGTGGATAACACTCAAAACGTCGTCGTTGCAGATGATACCAAGAAACGCGCCACAGCAAAAGCTGAACTTCAAGCTATTGCATTAGCGATTGAGTTAATCACAGCTGCAATTGAAATCATTGCAGTTACCAAAATGGCGAACGATGATATTGATCCTGACACACAAAATGATGCTCTATTGGACTGTCTACTTAATAGAGTACCAGAAGTTTTGATACATTTATTGAAATATGATGAATTTAGAACCACAAGCTTAACTGCCTTAAACAACTTGAGTTGGTTGTTTGCCACGCTAAGAGTTGCATTAGATGATTGGGCTTTAGTAGCCAAAAACCTATGGGGTGTTGTTACAGAAAACTTGGGATCTGACATTGAAAATAAAATAAGTTCTTTTGGTATCTTATGGGCCATAATATCTGTTGTTCATGAACAAATCAACATTGATGACAACTTTGCCAAATCAGTATTTACAGAATTCCAAAACACATTAAAGGATACAACTATAGATAATGATTTGAAAGAGGAATATTTGGTGAGATTGGTTGGCTTCTTGGGTACTTTAGCACAATTCCAAGGTAATATTGAACGTAATGCTGAAATTTCACAATTTTTATTCCAAGTTTTGAACTCATTACCAAATCTCCCATCAAAAGTTGCCATTGAAATTTTAGATTCTATTTATGAAATTTATGGCGATGCGGAATATGATTATGATGAACCAGTTTTTGTGCAAAGAAACTATTTAAATTCTTTGCAACAACTTACACCAAAGATCAAGCATGCTGTCAAATTGGTTGACAAGAATGTTGACCCTGAATTAAAAGCCAAAGGTGAAGACGTTTTTGTTAATTTAAGTAGATTTATTGATTACAAAAAGAAAGAAAGAAGTTAATAGGTTTCATGTTAATAAACGTTGTGTTTACAAGTTTGTACCACCATTATCCTATTATTTAAGTACACGAACTCCTTAACGATCTAAAGTATTATAAAAACAAAAACACGATAACAAAATTAATACATTATGACAAATATGAAAGCACTCTTCAGCTGATGTATCCCTCAATGGAAGATCTGATGCCTTGATGCTGTGTAGTAGCTTATAATGCAAAAGAAAACATCTCTTATTTGGCATATTTCTTTGCCTGTTCAAGCACTTTCTTTTCATATGTTGGTCTATCTTTTCCGAATGCTCTCCAAGCTGGTTCTTGAGCTGGAGAATCTGGATTTGGGGTATCTAGCAACTCTTGAATACCTAAGCATATTTGTTTTAAATTGATACCTGGTCTCCAATCTTGATCTTCATTCAATATAGACAAACAAATAGTACCTGATGGGTAAACATTTGGATGATAAAATCCAGCAGGGAATTTAACTTTTGGTGGTTTTGAAGGATAGTCATTTGGGAAGGTCAAAGTGATTGGATAGACAGCATTTTCCCAAATTGTGTTTTCTTTGCCTGGAATACCAGCAACCCAACTTTGAAGATCTAATGATCCATCTGCACCTTTTATTGGCTTAGCATAGAATCCGAATGGGTGGTCTTTACGCCATTGTTTTCTATCGTCTGTGTGTTAGTAACCTGACATGTCAAACATAACGCCATTCATCAAGTGGCAAAGTACCAGTAGTTGGGCTTTTCAGTTGCACATACCTTTCTTCTTGTAGACGGTTCTTAAGTAGAGCTGACATCGCAGTAGGACTCTCTTAAAGTTCACTCCGTTGCTGTTGTCAGGCAAGTGTAAAGAACCGAACGCGTTCAACTTGTTTTGGATTGGTCTTTTTTTTCCTTGACCAAGTTTTTTCACCAGTTCGTGGTTTCGCGAATTTGTTTTTCGATAATTAGCTTTGGGGAAAACCAATCGAACGTTAACAAGAAAATGAGTGTAAATAGGCTGGACAACTCAGAATTCAACTGAGATACACATAATCAAGAATGTCAGAGAAGAAAGCTAAGCTTGAGGAAGATGATCTAGATGATTTGGATGATTACCTTGACGATTTTGCTGATGATATTCTGAGTAAACCTCCAGGGTTTGATCTAGATACATCCAAAAATCAAAATGGTGGTTCAGTGACTAGTGAGACAGAAACAGTGAAAGAGTCAAGACCGGAAACTACTGCTACTGCTTCTGAGGAAGATGCCATTGCTGAATTGCTGAAGAAAATGGAACAAGAGTCACCAGAAGCCCGTAATCAACTTCAAGACTTAATCAATGAGGTAAATTCGCTCGATGCTCCAAGCTCTCAAGCACCAGATGAACACAAGACAAAAGATGGGAATTTGAAAGACACAATCTCAAGTACCTTGAACAGATTGAAGCAAAGTGGTTCCAAGGTAGATAAGTCAATCAAGGATGAACAACCAGACCAGATGCTACAGGAGTTACTAAGTCAAATGAACTTGGATGGAGATGGTGGTGAAGGCACAGATGATTTTGATATAACGAAGCTTTTAGCTGATATGCTTGATAATCTAGCTTCGAAAGAAATATTATACGACCCATTGAAGGACCTATCATCCAAATATCCAAAGTGGATTGAAGAGCACAAGAAGGAAGTTTCTGAAGATGATTTAGCTCGTTATACAAAACAATCTGAAATTGTCCAGAGTATCGTGGCAAAGTTTGAAGATGAAAACTACAGTGATTCTAATAAAGAACACAGGAAGTTCATAAATGATAAACTTGAAGAAATGCAAAACTGTGGTAATCCACCACCAGATTTGACTGGTGGTCTTGAGCAGTCTGGTCTACCAGGGTTCAACTTCAACAGTGGTGATCTTCCAGACAATATGGATAAGGAATTAGAGGAGGGATGTGCGCAATCTTAGAGATTTGTTTATTTAATAAATATTGTCGTCAAGATCATAATCTCAACAAATTTAGGTAGATATTAGAACAGTAATATAGAGAAAGGATTGAGATTTACAGCTATCACCTTTTGGTTCGTGGCTAAAGAATTGATTAAATGAGATCATTTGTTATTTACAGGAAACTACACTGTTCGATGAAGTAGATACTGATGACACTATTTAATTGGCAGATCTGTAAAAATTTATGCAATAAGATAACTCATTTTAGAAACATTCATAAGAAGTAATACATACATACCATACAGCTTGTTAAATTGTCAGCTGATATACACTATAGTACACTTTATTAGCTCTACATTTGTGTCGTAAATTCATCCACTTTAACCTTAATTTTGGTTATCTCGATTTTTTCAATAGCATGTGGATTTGAAGCCCTGGCCGTCAACCACATTCCTTGAGAGGAATCTTTAGTGTAAACAGCAGCTTTATCAACAAACTGGACCCCAGAACATCAATTAACTTCCAACGCTTGTTTGCAATGGGTAAGTTTATAACAAAGCTACCTTAATGCTCCGTACTAACAATAACATGATTAGAGAAGAACATAGCTCGAGGATTGAACGATAGGCTGTACGAGAAGAGGAAGACTGCCGCTTTGGAGTTGGAACGCCAAATCAGACAATGTTTAGCTGAGAGGAAATCTGACGAAAAGAATGATGCTCAAAAACCAGATAAGGTGAAAGCTATTATTGATCAATTGTCAAAAGAGTATGCCTATTCAGTTCATCAACCAAACGCAAGAAACGGTGGTTTAATTGGGTTGGCTGCCGCTGCCATTGCTTTGGGACAGAATGAAGTTGCCATTTATTTGGAAGATATTATTCATCCAGTGTTAGCTTGCTTTGGGGATCAAGATGCAAGGGTTAGGTATTATGCCTGTGAAAGTTTATACAACATTGCTAAAGTTTCAAAAGGTGAGATTTTGCTATATTTCAATGAAATATTTGATGTTTTATGTAAACTGGCTGCTGATTCAGATCCTTCAGTGAAGAATGGTGCTGATCTACTGGATCGTTTAATCAAAGATATTGTGTCCGAAAAAGCTACTTCATACGTAAGTGTTATTCAAAATGATCCTGAAGGAATGTACAAATCAGCTACACAAACAACAGTGAAAGATATCAATGGTCAAGTTTTACAAATTCAACCTCAACAAGAACCAACAGCTTTTTCACTACCAAAGTTCATACCTCTTTTGATGGAGAGAATTTATGCTATCAACCCATTTACCAGAATCTTTCTTGTGTCGTGGATTACACTTTTGAACTCTGTTCCAGATCTTGAATTGATTTCTTACTTACCAGCTTTTTTGAGTGGACTAATAATATTTCTAAGTGATAGTCATAGTGATGTCAGAATTATCACACAATCAGCACTTGATGTTTTCTTGCATGAGATTAGAAGGGTTTCTGAGATTCAAAAACTGGTGAGAGATCAGAAAGTTAAGAAACAAAAGGATAGCAAAGCTAATGAAGCTATCACTTTAGATGTGGAAGAAATTGAAACATCAACACCGTCAAAGGGACCCAAGACTTTACCTGATTCTGTTGAATTTCCTGATGCTGAAAAAGCTAAGGATAACACTTCTGCAATCATAGGATCTGATGAAGAAAATGACAAGTCTCTCCTAAAAGACACAGACATTTCCAATGCCCAGGATCCTGTGAAAGAGCAGCAAAATAAAGAAGAACATGATGGGGAGCTTTATATTCCAGGTCAAGACATTCACTTGGACTACCCTAAAATCATCGAAATCTTGATCTCACACTTGGATTCGTCTGAAGATAAAATTCAGCTTGTTGTTTTGAATTGGCTGGAAGCTTTATTGGAAATTTCACCATCAAGTTTTATTCCTTATTTACCAAAAATTCTTTCTGTGTTGTTAATGACAATGTCAAACCAAGAGGGTTCAAATTCGAGGGAGAGCTCCAAAGAAGTTAACAACAAGCTATTGGAGTTGGTTACACACTTAAGTGAAGATGATGAAAAGAAGCTAAACTATAGTCTAACAATCAATACTGTCACTATGCAATTTTTGAATGAAAATGAAATCACCAGAATTGCGGCTTTGGATTGGCTGACAATGTTACACAAAAAATCCCCAAAACAATTGTTAGACCATAGCGATGATACTTTCACGACGTTATTGAAGGCGTTATCTGATTCAAGTGAAGAAGTCATTCATCGTGACTTGCAATTATTATCTGAGATTTCATTTGAAAGTGATGATGAGAATTTCTCTCTGTTTATGTTGGATCTATTGGAATTATTTAAAAAGGATCAAAAGTTGTTAGAAACAAGAGGTAATTTCATTCTCAGACAATTATGTGTGTCATTAGATTCCAAACGTATTTATCAAACATTATCTAAAGTTCTTGAGAAAGAAGAGGATGTCACATTTGTTGGTATAATTGTTCAAATCTTGAATAACAACTTGATAACAGCTCCAGAACTTTCATCTCTAAGAAAACAACTAAGGAACCTTGAAGATAAAAAGGATTGGGAATTGTTCTCAACGTTGTTTAGGGCCTGGAGTCATAATGCACCAGCTGCATTGGCACTTTGTCTACTTGCACAAGCTTATGAATTGGCATATTCTGTTTTGCAGATTTTTGTTGATTTTGAAATCACGGTTAATGTTTTGGTTCAAATTGATATATTAGTTCAGTTATTGGAATCTCCCGTTTTCACTAGAGTTAGATTGCAACTTTTGGAGCCAGACAAATATCCATACTTGTACAAATGTTTATTTGGAATCTTGATGCTATTACCACAATCTTCAGCCTTCAACACATTGAAGAATAGATTGAGCAGTATCAGTGCTATAAACAATGTTTCAAAATCCCAGGAAAGAGAAAATTCAAGCAATAAACATATTGATGCTTCTGGTCTGTCCAAGAATATAAAATGGACAAGTCTGTTGCAAAGGTTTAGATCAGTTCAACAAGATCATGAAAGATCTAGGTTACAAAGTGCCTCCTCTCTCAAGACCAGATCAGCTCTGCCCAAATATAGTGACACACCAAGTTCTGAAAAGACAGATCCTATAGAAGAAAAAGAAAAGCCAAATGCTTCTTTAAAAACTGAACCTGCGAAACTGGCTGTTCGTAAACTTTCAGGAAGGTCATTTGGTTTGAAAGGATTTGGTGGTGACAGATAAGGTCTACAATCCTATTGTATAGAGAATAGATTTGATGAACTATAATCCAAAAGAAAAAAAACATGCATTTTTGTAAGTTCTAATAACTAACCACCCAACATTGGATCTCTGTAATGAGGTTGGAAATTGATTCTCTTTACTTCACGACGTATTTGTGTGCTCTTCTGTTTTGTTTCAAACATTTTGATTGCCTTATCTTCTTTTTGTTGTTGAGGTAAAGTTAAACCACCAGCAAATCTTCTATCTGCTGAAGAGACTGTAAGTTGTCCTTGAGATGGTTCTCTTGGTAGTGGTAGATTTTGTCTATAGATTTTTCTGAATTGTCTATGGCCTAAACGATTTCCATTCGGTAGTGAAAGATTTGAATCTATTGGATCAATATGAACCAAAGTGTAATTATCATTGGCATCATCTGAATCTGAACTTTCATCAACAATGATTTCATCAGTTTCATCATCAACTCCTGAGAACCCAACTTTCTTTGACGACTTTGACTTTTCTGGATTGGTCTCTATCGAAGAGAAATCATAAAATCTTGCAAATTCTTCCCTTTCAAGTTTACTTTCATAAGGTAAGCGACAATGACCTTTTGATGACATGTGTGCTCTGATACTTTCCAGACTTCTACCTTGGAAATTGCAACACAGACACTCATTATCTATGACAATAACAGAGATCAGGTACTCTAGTAATCCTTCCAAATTAACCAAATAAGTTCTTTCTGGGATGTATAAACCATGGTTCTTGAACATATGAGACATATTCGTTTCAACATCATGATGAGGGATACCACAATATATACAACTTGTTATTGGCTGTAATGGTTCTTCATGGTGTGATTCACTATCAAAAGTTTCATCGTTATCTTCGTCTTCATCTCCAGATGGAACATAACTTGGATCAGTACCCACCTGAGAAGCAATTTCTTCAAAATCACTACCTATATCAGAGTGTGTACCTGGATGACTATAGACTGAATCACCTAATGAAAAGCTTGAAAATTCAGAAGCAACTGTACTTGCCGGACTAATTGCCCTTTCGATATCACCAGCAACCTGAACTGGTCTACCTCTATGAATATCACCTCTGACTCTTTGTTGGATATGTAACTTTTTTGGTTCTTTTGGTTTTATGACGGCAAATCCAAATTCATCACGTTCTTCTTCATGTTGTTTAGATTGTTGTAACTTTTCAGCAAACACATGAGCATCAACTGGGGGCAATTGTGCCACTCTTCTCTTTAAGTTATAACGATGCCAATCAGATTTCATATGAAATCTCTGAGAATCAGAGTTGGGGAATTGAATAGCACATGAGTTGCACTTAAAATATGATGCAGACATAATTGATTATCTTGAATTGGTACTAAAGAAAAGCAGAATGAATTTTAAAATGAGACTGCAATCAAGTGTAGATAAGTTTTCTTGATTTTTGAAGCTGACAAAGGATGATTCAGCCTAAACTCCAGTGCTCCTTCCAACTTCCAGCAGGGAGCTCCGTTGAGAACAAATCTAACGCTGAGCCTGGGCACCCGAGGCCTCCTTCGAAGTGGAAACATTAGGCAGAGATACGGTTAATGCACGCACTGAGCATAATTTTACTATCTAACTTACATCGACTACAACATCTATTCATAAATTACCTTAAAACGATTTTTATATTAGAACCTTTTAATACAAGAATGAATCATAAATGTAGCACAGCAACTAATGGATTCCTTAACGGTATTTGTTGAAACCAACATCTTTAGCTTTTTCTCTGAAACATTGACGACACATGTCTAAACCGTATTTTCTGATTAAACCTGAGTGTGATGAACAAATTCTACATTGACGGCTACCTTTACCGTATTTTCTTGGGTGTGAGAACCAAACGTTTTCGTGAGCCATTTTGCTAGAATAATAGTTAGTATTTGATGCTTCAAATTTGTTTTGGTGATATAGATATTGGCCTGTGTTTCGGAGACTCGAAAAATTCAGCATAGATTTTGACGCGTAGAAGTTGGTTCTTTTTATATATCTGAAGTTGCCTATCGTTTTCAATAAAATGTAACATGAATGCTTGAATATATCATTGATTCTCTATGCTTCTCTGACTGGTTAACTTCTTTTGCTTTGGTCTTCCCTTGACTTTATTGGAAATTTGATCACTCTGTAGCTTCCATAAATCTAATTTGGCTTTCGAATAAAAAGGTTCCTCCCTATCACTGTCCTTCTCTAATATCACGTATCTTGATCCTGACTTACATTAATGTGTAATGTTTTTGACTTGTTGGTGATGGTCTATATGTATGGTTATAGTAGCCTGAGCTATAGTTTTAATTTTCTATCAACACCTACCACAAGAACTAGGAACCAGTGCCAAAATGGCAGAAGTTTTGAAAATTTTTCAAGGTCACAGGAAAAATTTTCCAGCGAGCCTGAGAGGTTGGGATGTTTGATCAGGTGACTTCAGTTAGGGCATCGGCTTGAAAATGATAAAAGTGTGGGTGAATCAATCTTTATGGCACTTGACATGTTACAAAGAGAACCAACAGAGACAAACGACGAAGGGTCCCTTTCATAGTGATATCTTCAATGTGTTGACTGTTTCCTTACACTTAGTATTTACTTTGATCCTAACACACGGGTCGTCCATTAAAATATTCGTCTTTCCTATAACAAGGACGAACTATAATCGATTATCATAAACACTTCAGCTAGCTTAAAGATCTATAGTCTGAAATATGAACCCCCTCGGTCTTCCAATTGCTTGTAAACTATTGGCTGCTATATTCCCATCAAGCTCAATTAAGGAAATCCTGAGTTCAGATTCAACCTTGAGAGTTGTATCGCGATGAGCTGGTTATATGCCCTGGTCTCGAAAAAAAATTATCTACACCAAAAACTTTTTAATAGTAGGTAAGATAGATCAAGCATAATCAGAACGACTGATATCAACCTACAACCTAGTATAAAATGGCCGGTCATTCTCACAGATCCACCGTCAAGAATGGTCATAAGCCATTCAAGTCAAGACACTCCTCCAAAGGTGCTATCAAAAACAAAACAAAAGGTAAAATTGAAAAGGAATCCAATTCACTCAAACAGAAGAAAGGCTCTAGTAAGCTTGAACGTAAAAACTTGGCTAAACAATTGAGAGAAAACAAAATCACACAAACTGCTGAAATCAGAAAAGTATTTGATGGTGTCCATGGTGCAGAGAAAATCATCACCGTGATCCCATTAACTGATGATGTCACCCCAGAAGAGATTGTGAATAAGCTTATTGATACAGCTAATACAGAAGATGCTTCAATGATCCAAGGTCCATCTGTCACTTCAGTCAGAATAAACAAATATAAGTCAAACCTAAAGTTCATTATTCCAGATTTCAATAATTTTGTGTCAATTCTAGACGCTGCTAAAGTTGCAGATTATGTAGTGTTTGGTTTATCAGGTACTTCAGAAGTTGATCCTGAATATGGTGAACAAATTATCAGAGCATTAGAACTACAAGGTATTGGACATGCTATGGGTGTTGTTACAAATCTTTCTGTTGTTCAACCAAAGGAAAAATTCCAACTTGATTTGAAACAATCATTACAAAGTTACTTTAAGCATTTCTTTCCTGCCGAAGAAAAAATCTATAACTTGGAAAACAGCTCAGATGCTTTGGTGGCCATTAGAACATTATGTCAAAGATTCCCTAAATCAATCACTTGGAGAGATTCTAGAGGTTGGATTGTGGCTGATGAAGTTAACTGGGAAAACTCTAACTCTCAAGATGCACAAGAAGGTTATTTGACTGTTGAAGGTACCGTAAGAGGTATCGGTTTCAATGCCAATAGACTTGTTCATATTCCAGGTCATGGTGATTTCCAAATTGAACGCATAGAAAGAATTCAAAGAAATGATCTTGAAGCTTTTAATGCAGATGAGAATCAAGAGACACTTGATGAACTTGCTCCAAATGAACTTTCAATGGAAGATTGGGAAGATGAAGAAGAATATAATTATGATGATGGCGAAGCTGTGAGATATGATAATGGTTATTTACCTGCTGAAAAAGTTGAGAAAAAGAAGTTGAATTTGCCAGAGGGTACTTCAGATTACCAAGCAAAATGGTTCTTAGAAGATGATATTGTTGAAGACGATGACGAAGATCTTGAAGATGATGAAATCACAAGTGAGCCAGAATTAGTTGATGATGATGAACAAATGGATGTTGAAGATATGCAATCCGAACCTGCAGATTTACAGAGTGAGATGTTTGTTGAGCTATCGCCTGAAGAAGAAGAACGTCAACTTCAAATGTATCGTGAAAAGGAAGAAGAAGATTATGAATTCCCAGATGAAGTTGAATTAAACCCAACTGAATCAGGTAAAGAAAGATTAAAAAGATTTAGAGGTTTGAAGAACTTGCATAACTCAATTTGGGATTGTGATGAATATGATCCAAAGGCACCATCAGAATGGAGAAGATTATTACGTATTTCTAATTTCAAAGCTACTAAAAACAAAATACTGAAGGATTCAATCAAAGAAGCACAAGTCACAACAGGATCGAGAGTCAAACTTTACATTAAAGCTCCACAATTCATCACATCAAAGATCTCCAACTGGAAAGAAATTCCACTTATAGTTTATGGTTTGTTAGAACACGAACATAAAATGGCTGTTGTTAACTTCTCAATTCAACCTTGGGAAGATTATGAAAAACCAATTCCATCTAAGGATACAATTGTTGTCCAATACGGTCCAAGACGTCAAGTTATTAAACCATTATATTCAGCTGCATCAAATAACCCAAATAATGTCCATAAATATGAAAGATTCTTGCATAAAGATAGTGTTGGAATTGCTACTGCTATTGCACCAGCCAATTTCACCAATGCACCAGCCATTTTCTTCAAACAATCATCAGAATCACCAAAGAAGATTGAATTGCTTGGTAAAGGTTCATTCTTGAATGCTGAACATCAAAGAGTTTTAGCAAAGAGAGCTATCTTAACTGGTCATCCATTGAAAATTCATAAAAACGTTGTCACTATCCGTTACATGTTCTTCAATGCAGATGACATTCAATTCTTCAAAGCTGTTCCATTATTCACTAAATCTGGTAGATCAGGTTTCATTAAAGAGAGTTTGGGTACTCATGGTTATTTCAAAGCAAATTTCGATGGAAAAATCAGTTCACAGGATACTGTTGCAATGTCCTTATACAAACGTGTTTGGCCAAGACCTTCAATCATGTGGACTCAATAAGAGGTGTTTATGCATTAGATTTTTATGTAACGTTTTCAATATGGGGTTTATCTAAATTGTAGCATTATAAGCTGTAGCCTGTCAGCCCTAACAATACTTTATCTTTCGCGAATATGCTGTCCCTATCAGGTTTCACCACTATAAGAAAAATTTCGAGCTGCAAAAAATTTTACCTTTCTACTATATTTTCCTTTCTTTAATCAAAAAGTACCGGAAACATTTGCCACGATGATTTAACGTTAATTGTCAAGTTTAATCATTGCCATTACTGAGATTGCAGTCTCTTAATGTTAGTTTCCCAGATAAAAAATATTTTTGTCCTGGATAGGAAGTTTGGATATCGTTGTGTCTCTTTATTGAGGCGATGAAATCTGAATGTCGATGAAAGGAGATATCTTTTGCCATGAACTTATTAGGTTTACTAATGCATGACTTATTTTGTTTTATAATGGATTTTTGCTGTAACTTTGCTCGTCATACTTAAATAACCTGTGCTAGTCTCGTTGACTTCTTGCCTCTCGAGGAGAATATATTACTACGTCACTGTATAAATATATCTAAATGATCTGTATTATGTGTGAAAATGACTATAATTTTGGCTGGAAGTTTTCAGGTATCAAATCCTCAACAGGTTTAGCTGCAGGTGTCATGTATAGTGATGATCTTAAGCTACCAATATCTTCAACAACTTCACCAGTTGGGTATCCTTCCACTTTTTCATGATCTGTATTAGCTTTGGCATGCAAATTGATGATAAGTTTTGATTTAGATCCAAGAATCTTGTTTTCATAGAAGTCAACCATTTCTTGTTTAGTGATTGTTTTCAAAGTTTCAGATTCTCTTTCATTATGCAAGAAATCGTAAAAACCATTAGAAATAGCACGTAAGAATCTATTGTTTTCGTGACCTAGGTTCTTCAAGGTTTCTAGTTTTCTGGAAATTAAAGCTTCTTTATTCTTTTCAAACTCTTCCTCTGACAATTCTTTCAATGTGTTGTAGTATTGGTTGAAGAAACTTTCAATTCTTGATTCCAAATATGCAGCATTTCTTTCACTTTGAACAATTACCCTAATACCAAAAGTTGTTCTTGACTCTTGTAGCCCACTGAAAACAATATAACCAAGTTGCTCTTTAGTACGTAATGTGTCAAAAGCAGGTTCTTTAATCAATTGGGCAAGCAACTCAGTGATACATTGCAATTCCCTTTGAGCCAATTCACCAACTTGAATAAAATATTGAACACAAGTATTTGTGTTTTTATCATCTGCTAATAATTTTTCATATCTATAGGTCTTATTTTCTGGAATCCAATAGGATCTTGGTTTGATTTTTTGTGATTTGGTCAAAGGTAAACCATTGAAAGATTTTTCAATAATATCAATGATTTCATGAGCTTCCTTTGTATGAAAATTACCTTCAATCAATGTTTCAACAAATGCTTGTTTGAAGATGAGAGGAACAAAGTTTTGTAAATCTTCAAAAGTAATTTGTTCCAAAATTGGAATTTTTTCTTCGACATCCCAAACACGTTCATTTAACAAATTTGAAAAAACTGATGATATCTGACTATAAGGAACCTTGTAACCAAAATTTCTAAAGTTTCTCAAAATCTTTTCTTTGAAAACATTGAATCTATCTTCAGTTGGTCTAAAAGTGATTAATTTCTTAACAACCTCGTTTAGTAAAACTGGCGCTTTCTCATTATAACCACTTACTTCAAGAACTAAACCTTCCTTTCCGGAATGGAGAGCAAAGCTTAAGCCAGCAAGCTCAGCTTGGTATGAAATGTCTGTTAAGGCATCATCAACCAAATCAATGAATAAGTTTGTTAGAACATTATTAACTGGAGTTGAAACAGTGACTGGTAAATTGATTAAAAGTTGAATATAAGCCTTTGGAACCCAAAATTGATCATCTTTCTTATACCAAAATCTAAATTTTTCATTGACTTTCAATAGGGCTGGTTTTTTTAGGGGAACAGCATCTTTTAGAATTTCCACATCAAATTTAGTTGGAATAAACTCATTCTCAGTTGGCAAATGTAAATGACCATTTAAACTTGGTTTTCTAATTTTTGAAACTAATTCATCTGAAAAATCCTCAATAGAGTATTCTGTGCCATACCATTTTTCAGTTTGATCAGTTTCAACATTTTGTGAAATCAATGTAACTCTAACGTTATCAACTGTTAAATAATTACCGTATTCAACAATCAAATCTGGATCATATCTTCTCAAGACTGATCTACTCAAAACAAATTCATCAGGAATGTGTGATTTTTGTAAATCTTTTGCCAATTTGGAAACAGTAGCTGATGGTGAAGTTTTTTGTCTAAATCTAAAATTCATCTCGCTAACTTCTTTCAACTCGTCATAAATCCATTTCTGTGGCAATGAAACTCTAAGTAATTCAATATATTGGAAAACAACATATAAAACTTCTTCATAGTTTTTCAACCCTGTTTCCGTTAAATCAACATCGACACCGAATTGACCACAACCTTCAGAAATGGTGTAACCGCCTGCTGATAATCCATTTGCCCAACCCTTGGATTTCAAAAAGGCTAATAAACTACCTTTACCTTCATGACCCACTAAATGACTGAAGTAATGAGGTGTGTGAACTTCCCAATGTTTGTCATGGTCTGGTGCAACAAATGCCAAACTTAGTTTGTTTTTAGACATAACTGGTTTGGCCTTAATCAATTTCTTACATTCTTTTTCAGTATAAGGTTTTCCTTCAAACTTTGGTTTTGGTATATTTGAGTCTGGAATCTCACTAAACTTCTCAACAACCCATTTTTCCAAAGTTGGTAGATCTTCTCTTCCAATAATTGCCAATTTCATCAGATTTGCAGAATATGATTCTTTGTAAAATTTCAAAAGTTCTTCCCTGACATCAATTCCTTGGGATTCAGGTATTTCGCCTAGTGTCACAAGATTACCAGTGGAAAACTTATGATATGGATGAACTGGGTTGGATAAAGATTTTTCTAATTGATATAATCTCCACATATCATTTTGTAAGTTCTTCTTATTTTCAGAGTCAACAGCTCTAATTTCACGGTCTTTACAACTTGGATCAAATAAAGGAGAAATAAAGAATTGACTAAATCTGTCCAAAGCGCCTTCCAAATATTGATGATTGACTTCGAAATAGTAATTTGTATCTTCAGCAGCAGTATAAGCGTTTGAGTGACCACCATGATTTGCCAAAAAACTTGAATATTCATTTTCTGATGGATATTTCTTAGTACCCATGAACAACAAATGTTCACAGAAATGTGCTAAACCTGGTAAATGTTCATAATCACTGAAAGCTCCAACATTGACATCAAGAGCGGCGGCCGACTTGTCGGTTTTAGCGTCACTTATTAAAAGAGCAGTTAACCCATTGTTCAATTTGATGGTTTTATAACTTCTATCATCCAAATCAGGCTTCTGAATTGAATTGGAAGTGTTGAAAGTGGCCATTGTTCTTTGTAAATTGATGGATCTGGAAGAACTAATGTTCGAGAATCTTGAGTGAAAGAGTCTAGTTGGATTAATGACTGATGATCTGAATAGGTATTTTCCAGTACTAGAGAGCAATTTCATTCCACGGCACTCTCAGCAGCGATGTGGATTTGAAATGATTTCTAGTGATACTTTGAGCTTAAGGTAATAAGCCTTTATGAAGAGAGCAAAAGTAAGAATTAAAACGTCGTACGCATCTTTTGACGATTTCCAGTACAAACTTCCCTCTCCCATTTTTCGCCCCCAGTGGAGTTTCCCGCCGCCAGTGCTTCAAACCACTTCTCGGATCTCCAGTCATGTGATAATGAATTTAGTTCCGGAATGGTAGGACCACTATAATTCTGGTTTCCGCGAATTGATCAAGTGTTGATAATTTTCAGTTACATTCTGAAACAAGCCCCCAACCTCAGATCTTATACTTTAGTGTAGTTTGGTTAGATAATTGGTAAAAGATGCCTATGGAACTCACCATCAAATATTTACCACAATATCGAAAAAAACCAGTCATTTCCAGTGTTGTAACTTCTCGAGGAAATCTGCTGGTGAAGCTGGCTTTACCCTAAGATCCAAAATTCAAATTACCGAATTCTGCAACAAGGTTTTTCGCCAATTTGCCAAAGCTGGCTAGTTGAATGCCCGTTTCGGTAGTATTACCCTTACAATATCTTAGATTTTGGCCACTTCCGGTTACAAAACGGCCAAATTTGGTAGTCGTTGCCAGGCAACGGCTTGTGTTTTTCGCTCGTAGAAAGTTTTTCTTTTGGGCTTAAAATAGAAAATCTGGAATCGAGAATCAATCGATCGAAAACAAAACAAATGGAAATTTTGTTTCCTTATACTCTTTTTTCTCTTTCATAAACAACCATTGCAAACAGTATTTTGAATCAGTTTATCCATTCGTTCATCAAAAGAAGACTTTAATAATGCGTTCATTCACCATCTCTGCTGTTGCCATCCTTTCTTTATTAGCTTCTGAAGTTGTTGCAACTCCTCCAGCTTGTTTATTAGCCTGTGCTTCCCAAGTTGTCAAGAAATCAAACAAATGTAACACTTTAAACCAAGTCAGTTGTGTTTGTGAAAATGAAGAATCAGCAATCAAACAATGTTTAGATTCTATCTGTCCAAATGGTCAAGCTGATGATGCTTACTCTTCATTTGAATCATCTTGTAAAGATGTTGGTGCCGAAGTCAAATCAGGTTCATCATCTTCTTCTGCTTCATCTTCATCAAGCTCCTCTGCTTCATCATCTGCTTCATCATTTGCCTCAAGCTCTTCTGCTTCCTCTTCATCATCATCATCTGCTGCCCCATCTTCTTCATCAGTTGTCGAATCATCTTCATCTGCTGTTGAATCATCATCTTCATCCTCATCAGTTGCTCCATCCTCTTCTGCTGCCCCATCCTCTTCTGCTGCCCCAACTTCATCTGCTGCTCCAGCTTCAACTGTTTCATCAGTCATCTCATCTGCTTCAAGCACTCATGCCGTTGCTACCCAATCTGCTGATGCCGGTTTGATCTTAAACGCCCCAGTTGGTGCTTTAGTCGGTGCTGCTGCCTTTGGTTTACTTTTTTAATAAGCTAGCATTATTTAATTAATTGTCCATTTTACAATTACACTTTACAATTTTCTACTCGATGAAGTTTTTTTCGGTTCTTTTTTAACAAGATTAATATGTCTTTCAAGACTATTATTGTTTTCATGATTTTTCACTATACCCCTATCCACAACTTTAAGATAGTCAACTATTTATATATATATCATTCATCTTATGTCCTCGAAGAATAAATAAAACAAGTAGTTTTTTAGGAGTAATTGAATCAATTACCCCTGTTCCAATATCCACTTTTTGGATTGTGTCGAGAAAAAAACGCTGGTTGAAAAAAAATTATGTGCGCGCTCTGGGATTCTAGATTTGATGTTTGATCTGAAAGTTCAACTTTTCATCAGTTAGCTAATACTTAATATTCAATTACACCAAGGCATAAAATGCTCTGTTTAAGAACCCTCAAATCTCAAGTGCCCACTTCAAGATGCTTTTCAACTAGTTCCCCTTCTTTTTTCCTGGGGAAACTGAACAAACATTTACAAGCTACAACACCAAAGGAGCATGTTGTTATAACATTGACCAAACCAATAGGTGTTCGTGAAGAACCAAAAGATACAGATAACTCGCCTAAAGATCCAAGAAGTATCAAAGAGAAATATAAAGATTTTTTGGACCCGGAAAAGAACAAAAAGAGACAAGAAGAATTGGAGAAAGAAATGTCAAGATCTGGGATGTATGATCTTTACGTCTATCGTAAAACTAAAGGTAAATTGTTCCTTTCACCTCAATCATATTGGAAAGCTGAAAAATCATTATATTTCCCAAACTTTGTTGGTGAAGATTTGACAAGTTCTAAATTGAAAGGTACAACCTCGTTGTTGAAAGGGAAAGTTTCAGTCATCAGAGCATATACAGCTGATCTTGGAGAAAAAGCCTCTAAAGGTTACTTCAAAGTACTAGATAATGATTACTTGACCACTGAAGGTTATGATAAATTCTTAGAAACTAACCCAAATTCACAAATTGTTGATTTAAACATCACTGAAAATGGTCTAAAAGCTATTTTTGTTAAAGCTTCCAAATCTGGTCTTAGAAAGGTTGTCCATGAGTCAAGACATGATAAATATTTGATTGTCCCAAAGAAGGGATTAAACATTGACGTGAGAGAAAGTATCCACCTCTTGAACAATTACACATGTTTTATCTATGTTGTTGATCATCAAGGTAGAATTAGATGGGCAACTTGTGGTGAACCAACAGAGGCCGATAGAAATATGTTATGGAGAACTGTTAGAGGGTTAGAAAGAGAATATAAGGCATTGAACCCAACTGAAAAGCCAGAATAGAAACTTGTATATATTAATAAGAGGTTTGAAATGGGATCAAGATTTTGTAAAACTCATTCGCGAACAATCTTTTTGCAAGTACAAAGCGTTTCAAACAACCTTTGAACATTGACAGGACTTGTATTTGCTGGAAGATCAAAGCTTAGATTAAAATATGAGATCAATTACAAAGACTCCAATGGCAAGACAGTTCACACTTCTAAGTCAAAGAAGACTAATATCCACAGCTAGGGTCAACAGAAACACTACCCCAAAGCAACCAGAAGAGAAGAAACCACAACCTATTTCACCACACGTATGTATTGCAGACTAAATACTTGTTCCTGCTAGTACTCTAGTACTAACGAGCCTTAAAGGCTGCTTTTTACAAAGATTTTGGCACGCCATTAGTGAAGGTCCTTGGGGTAACGTTTGTGACGTATTACGGTCTTCAGTACCTATGGGAATATCTTGACTCGCAAGAACCTGAGGAACATCCAAATATTCAACCAATTAATGTGAAAAATGATGATTAATGAACACAAACATGGAATATGTCAATACTACAAGCTTAACTTTTAACTGAAATTTTAATATGACCAGCATTTCCCTGTTGCTTTATATACCCAAAACTAATGTCAAAAAATGACTGAATTTTATAAAAAAAAGAACCAAAGTATAATAATTATAAAAATATCAATATGTAATAAATTAACGTAGCATTAAAATCAACAGTTCATAATGTTAGATTCTGTGCCAGAAGTTTCCGCTTATAGTTTAAGCATCAACTTGTGATTTTAAACGTTTTTCAACAGCGTCTAAGAATTCATTAGTGGTGACATAACTTTCTCTATCAGATCTACCAGTAGCAATAGCTAAATCTTTAGTCATGATACCATCAACTTGAACAGTGTCCAAAGTAGCTTTTTCTAATAATTCAGCAAACTTAACGACATCTTCAGTACCGTCTAATCTACCTCTTTGAGCTAAACCTCTAGTCCAGGCAAAGATTGAAGCAATTGAGTTGGTTGAAGTTTCTTTACCTTGTTGATGTTGTCTGAAATGTCTAGTGACAGTACCGTGAGCAGCTTCACTTTCAAAAGCTTTACCATCTGGAGTAACCAAGACTGAAGTCATCAAACCTAATGAACCGAAACCTTGAGCAACGATATCTGATTGAACATCACCATCGTAGTTTTTCAAAGCCATGATGAAACCACCTTTAGATTTAACCATTTGAGCAACCATATCATCAATTAAACGATGTTCATAGTAAATACCTAATTCCTCAAATTTGGCTTTGTATTGTTCATCGTAAATTTTTTGGAAGATATCTTTGAATCTACCATCATATTTCTTTAAAATGGTGTTTTTAGTAGATAAAAACAAGTTTAATTGTTTACCAATGGCTAATTTGAAAGAAGAGTGAGCAAAACCTTCAATTGATTCATCAGTGTTGTACATGGCTAAACCAACACCAGCACCTTTATAATCATAAACTTCTAAAGTTTGAGTTTCTGAACCATCAGCTGGTTTGTAAACTAATTCTAATTTACCAGCACCTGGAACAACAAGATCAGTAGCTTTATATTGATCACCATGAGCATGTCTACCAATGATGATTGGTTTTTCCCAACCTGGCACTAATCTTGGAATTCTTGGAATGACAATTGGTTCTCTGAAAACAGTACCACCCAAGATGTTTCTAATTGTACCATTTGGTGATCTCCACATTTTTTTCAAGTTGAATTCTTTAACACGAGCTTCATCTGGAGTGATTGTAGCACATTTAATACCGACACCATATTCTTTGATGGCATTTGCAGAATCAATGGTGATTTGATCATTGGTTGCATCTCTGCTTTCAATACCCAAATCGTAGTATTTAAGATCAACATCAACGTATGGTAAGATCAATTTGTCTTTGATCTTTTGCCAGATGATTCTGGTCATTTCATCACCATCTAGTTCAACGATTGGTGTTTTAACTCTAATTTTGTCCAAAGCAAAAGCAGATTGAGAGAATGAACGGTAAGCATTAGCGTTCAAGATTGGAGATCTCAAAGAAGATCTAATGGTAGCGTAACGTAGCATTATGAATTGATTGATGCTTGGTACTGAAAAGGTGAAAATTCAAACAGTTGAAGAACTCGTCGTTATATACTTTTGATAATTTTTTTGTCGAAGTCAGTCAATCCCATTGTCGGCCCTGTTCTGAGCGAAATTCCTCCGGTGGTTGACTCACGCTTTTCAGCGCTCTCGCTGCTTAATTTTTAAGCCTGGAATCAAATCAAAACTACAGTGATTGATAATGATAATACTAATCACTGCGGTTCAATTAGATTTATGCTGTTCAAAAGTATAATGTAAAAGGTTTCTGTTTTATTTTCCGGCTAGCTTCACAGAACTGTGTACAGTGAAGTTGGGTTTTCAGGCAGACCCCTTCCTCTAGCTATTAGGCAGATCGCGAAGAGATCGAGTCTAGCAAACCCGCGATTCTTGAGAACCCAGGCAGAACAACTAAAGAAATAAGACGAAATAAGACTATACGCGGTGTGATCAACAGCATTATACATGGTGCTACAGGGTCAATTGATCCTGGAATGAGTCCTAGGTACCATCTTGGCTATTTCATTGTATTTTTGACTTTGTAGGTGGTTTTGGTCAGATTCCTCATCACGATTTTTGTTCAGCGGCTAATCAGAAAATAGTGTAATCTTAAACCACCTTTCCATTACTTCAACAACAACAATTCAAATCAAGCTCTGGGATCACTCAATTCGCCATGGATTTGAATCAACCATTTGTATCGTGCAGTATATGTCATGCTCACCAACAAGATCAACGCAATCAAGAACTATATTTGACCTCTTGCGCTCATATAGTGTGTCGTGAACATGCTTCAAAGGGTACTCAATAAACCGGTTTTGACATTATAGATCAGTTTCACTAACTGTCCAAAGATCAATTTCATAGCCTAGAGGATACTAAGATACGATGTCCTGTATGCAACCATGATTATGTCTCGTTGGTAAAGATTGACCAGAAGGTGAGTTTTAATGTTTATTTGACATCGTAATCAAAGTTCTAACAATGATCCAGTTACCAAGTGAAATACAACCATTCTTCACGCCTTTCCCTGCTCAAATTGAACAATTCTTCGCTACTGCGCAATTCCAGTATTGTGCGCTTGTTGACAAAATCAATAATCAGTCACAATTGATTGATAGATTGGTTCAGAAAATCAATAAGCAAAAGAGTCTCTTATTGTTGGCAAAGGAAAAAGTTGCACAGATAGACGCTATGGAAAAGTATGAAGATACCGTATTACCTACATTCTGCTTACCTGAAGTCTAATAATTTAAGCAAAATCAAACAATTGGAAAAAGATAATTATCTTTTGAAATCTAGTACAAATAGCAGGTCACTTGAACGCCTGCCGCTGCGTCCAGAAACAATAGATCTAACTGCAAATGATTCAATTGATGGCTTACCAGGAATGGATCAAAGAAAAGTTGTTACGAGGTCTTTTGTCAATCAAATTAAACAAAGTTCGAGTCAAAGGGTTGTTCCATCGGGATCTAGTAGAAATCATGCACCAACTCATTCAAACCAATCATTTGAGATAACAAAAGGAAGAATGGCTGAATCAACTAATATTTTAAACAATTCCCCAATAAAATCTATTGTGAGAAATAATCTACAAAGTATGAGAAATGGTTCACATGGTCTGAGTACGCCAACTTCCCATTCAAGTCATAGAGTGATGTCGAATGATTCATTTAACTCCACATTAAGCTCTAAAACTCCAGAGCCATTTTTCCCACCAACAGCTAATATGGCTATGAATCAGAAGAAGCAATCGGGCTCTAACAGACAGCTCGAGTCGAACAGAGTTACAAAAAATAGAGCATCAACGTCTCAAATAGCCCAAAGATTATCAGCACATATGAAAATTGGGTCTGCTACCCCTTCCACTGGGTTGAGAGTTCAAACAAGTAATGGAATCAGACCAGGGTCGTCTTTTACTCAAAATAACATTTTTAGGAAAAGATAAAAGATGTATACCATTAAAATGCATTCATTATATTATACAAAGTTGTTCCGTTCAAGCATTGGAATAATAATCCACCAATTTTTTTTGAGATGTACTCAACTTATCAAAAAAGTTCAAAGTATCTTGTTCTCTGTTTTCATCCATTGTTTCAACTTTGAGTTTTCCATTGATGTTTTTTCGAATTGAGTTTGAATCAATTAATTGAAGTTTATTTTTGCACTTGGAGTACGTTATAATCGTCAATCTTCTAACTTCAACTTCATCACTTGTCAAATACTTATAAACAATATTATCAATCTCTTTGATTTGATCAAAGGACAAACTCTCATGTTCAATGCATTTAATCAATGTCAACATTAAAAATGAGGTGAGAGGTGTATTATTTGTTTCACCTTCTTTCAAAAGAGCATAGCAACTATTTCTTATAGTACTCTTACCATTGACCAAATTCAATTCTAGAATTTCGTCAACAATTTCATCAGCTGCAATATAAATCTCATTCTTGAAGTTTTTCAAGTTCTCAATAACCATGACCAAAATATTCCAAATAGCAACAGTTTCAGTTAAAGTCAACAAGTTTTCAAAAAGTGTGTTCAAAACAACCAACTCTTTAAAGACAATCAAACCTTTGAAGCACAACTCTTTGGTAATATTAGCACTCAAATTGAAATATTTTATTATGCTCATCAAGATTGGCTTGTATCCACTAGTTTTCATCCATGACAAAACTTCCTTCTTACCAATAACTTTGTGTAGACATTTGATCATTTTATTCATCTCCTTTGAGCTTACTTGATCTTTCTCGAAACAGTCCACCAACGATGAAATATCTTTTATCAACTCATCAGAATTTTGTGCATCTTCTCTTGAAATAATTGATTCAATATGAGACAACTCCAAGTCCGTAAGCTTTCTCTCTGTTGGTTCTGTTGGTTCCTTATCTTCAAATATTTTTATATGCTTTTTCGTATTATTAAAGAAAGGATCAGTTTGATTGATTATTTGAGACATATCTTTGGCTGGGGTTGAAGGTTTCTGTGGAGAGATGTGAATCCCGCTGATCTGGTCTGTTATATTTCTTGTTATCTCATCACTATGGACATGGTCATCATTACCATCTATAGGTCTCAAGCTTGGTGCATCAGTTATAATCTTGTTTTCCACTTCAATAACATCATCATCTGTTGGATTCTCAAGAAAAGGTGAAGCAATATTAGTTTCTGATCTAATTTCCATATCCACATCATCTTCGATGTTTTCAGTAAATTTTCCAGCTTCTTGTTGTGGTTGAACTTTTTCACCAGGAAATTCAGGTTCAACTTTTTGCCCTGGATTTTGCCCTGTTATGCTTTCTCTTTTAATTGGCTTTGCAAAAATATCACTCATAAAATCAACATCTTTTTCATGCGAATCCCTCATCTCTAAATCTTCATCATAATTTTCCTTTTCTAAAGCCGGTTTAAAATTGGGTAAAATCATTGTCATATCGGTACCAAAACCAGCTTTTATAGATGTTGTTGGGTCAGTAGGCTTTCTATTCAATGGGTTGATCATCGTCATTTCACCTAATCCATGTTCAGTTGCATCCATTGGCTTTTCTTCCACAATTTCCTTGAAATCTTCCAAAATCATATGAATTTTTGACTTTATGTATGCGCTTGAGCTTTTCAGAGTTTTTTCAAACAATTCTTCATTGAGACCATTGAGTTTAACAACCAATTCATCATATCTTGGATAGTCACTGATTGAAAGAGGAAATATTGATTGACAAGTTTCTTCAATAATCTCATCTGAAGCAACAGATTCATCACTTGAAATAAGTTCATAAAGATTTTTTATTGAGAAATCCAAAAAGGTGTTTTTGTGCTTGATATGGAACATTGTTGATGGAGCATTATCAAATTGAAGAGATTCTAATGACCTGATTACACCGTTGATTCCCTTTATTATTTCAATTTTATCAAATCTGGTGACCAAAATACCAATGTCCTCTTTATTCACAGCTATAAGTTTTAGCAGCATAGTAACATCAAGTAAGTCATAGAATTCTGGGATTTTGAGTAGAGGCTTTAGTAGAAATCCATCCAAAATTATCAGATTTTTCAAAATTTGTGATAGTCCACTAACTTTCTCACCACGGTTTAAGCGATCTTTCAAACTCTGAATACCACTAATTCTTTCCCTTGTAAGCGGTGATCCCAATTGTTTCATCATCACCTCTATCTCATTAGGGTTCTTTATGATTGGTTCCTCACTTGCAGCCCTTGTTACAACTGAAGGTCCGGTTGTATCTATTGGCTCTGGACTTTTGTTATCTGTTTTCAGTTGATGTGTATTGAGTGAGCTTGATCTAGCACCTTTAGATAGCTGTCTTGGTAGCATGTATGAATTTCCTGAACTTGGAACTCTGACTCTTTGAGCAGCGCCAATTCTTGTTGGTTTGCCTATTTCAGCATTTGAAGAGTTCCCAAAATCTTGTGGCTGAGCACTATCAGATGGTTCTCTTGAGTGATTGTAGTTGAGGGCAGATGAGTCAGAAGTTGATCTTCTTTCTCTTTGTTTGGAGGCAACAAAATCTCTGATTGACGGACGTTTTCTTTCATTAGCCAATGTTGATGATCTGGATAATGTTGTTGAGAATGAAGCGGTAATATCAGATGGTTTTGATCTTTCCAATGCTTTTTTCACGCTTGTATCTTGTTTAGAAATAATTGCATCCCCCATTTGAGGGAATCTTTTATATAGTATCCAGAAGGTAGATCTCATTGATTCTCTGATGCTAATATTTGGGTCTGATACACCTTTTGAAACCCACTTTTGGATTGTGTCTAAATTCTGTTGGTCAAATTTTGCACCATGTTTCAATATAAAAATCTGAAGAAAAGTTGATGAATATAAGCGAGGTTGAACATTTTTATCTTGATATAAGGCAAAGCATTGATTGAAAAGTCTGTTGTTGTAACTGATGTTGGTTAGAAGCACACAAAGCGAGCCAAAAGCATTCATCGATGTGATTTTCTTGGTGGCTGATGTCATGGAGGCTAATGAATGGAATAACTGTTCAGCAATTGGATCTATATGTTTTGTTAAGTGAGCAGCAATTTCCTTTATCAATTGGCAACCATTTGATGATAATGTTGTTCTCAATGATGTTACCGATTTGGAAATACCTTCATTGAGAGATCTAGTAGCATTCACCATAGCATCCGGATAGGTCTCTGAATTTCCAGCAATAAGAGATCTAAATTTGATAATGTTTTTCTCTCTATTACCCCAGTTGAATTCGGTTTCCTTCCCATTGAAAGGAGGTAGTAACAATTCCACTTCTTTGCTTAACTCCTGAGCAGATGATACGGCTTTAGGTTGTATTGATTCATCTAACTTTGCAGTTGGAACATTTGCTAATATATCTGATAGCTCAGTTGAAGTGCTCAAAGTTTTAGCCTTTGGTTTGGATATGTTGGATGTAGTTCTTGCATTTCTGGATCTAGTCAGGTTGTTGAAAGAATCGATAGTAGATCTTGATGTTGTTCCCATTGATTTAACTTCTGAGGTATAAGAGTTTGCAGCAACAAGGTCCACTTCCTTTAACACCTTCACCGCTGTTCGTTGATCCACCCTCTGGTTCTTGAACTCCTTCACTAGTTCAGATGATTTTCCTTTGTTCAGGATGTAGTATTTTATCAACAGCACTTCTGTGTTTTTCACAACTTCAATGCAATCATCTCTAAGCAAGTTGACAAGATTTGGAAGGAACTGAGTGAAATTGAAGTTTTTATTCAAGTCTATCAGATCTGATATGAAGACTATAGATTCTGATCTAATGTTCTGGTTTGAGTGGATAAGTGCTGAGTCCTTCAAGTAAGTTTCAACGATAGTTGGAGTAGCTAGCCAAAATGTCTCTAATGAATTCTTAGCCTGCGTTCTAAAGTTTGGTTTTTGATCCAGTAGTCTATTGACTAGTATCGGAAGTGTAATTTTTGAAACTCCTCTTAATATATGAGGGTCTTGCATACCCACTCTTTTGATTAGATGGCAAATTGTAGAAAAGGCAACTGATGATAATTTAAAGTCATTGGATTTGTTTGCGACTTTCAAACTTTCAAAATATTTTGTAACAGATGTGAGATCAACAAATTCACGTTTTATATGTGCTTTCAATTCGGTTAAAACTTCGACTTTCTTCTCAACATCTTATTAGATCTGTTAGTATCCAAGCTCTTGAAAAACGACTTTCTTGGAGTGACTTACCATTATCGTTGGCTGTTATTATAGCATATAACGTTTCTCCAGTGTAGTTGAACATTATTTGGGAATAATCACTCTGTATGATTGTACCCTATTTATCTAACTCCAAAGTTGTGTGGTTGTTGTGAGTTTATTTATTTACAAATCAAATGTGATGTATGGATTTTGGGAGCTTGTTTTTTTTTGTTTACGTTTTTTTATGATCGTGTTTTGGATTTCCCAAAATCTACACATCCGTTGTCGTGGAAACCAACAATTGTTTGTTAGATGCACGCCCTCAACAATCAGTTTCAATTTGGATCTTTATCAATTTTACGCCATTGGAAGTACTAAATGATCAATAACTAATATATGTATTATACTTTTTACGAATTTTATTCATCATCTTTAAAATCCCAAAAGTTGATGTACAGTCCAACATCATAAGAAAGCCTCAAAATCCCGGCAACCAGAAAACACAACCACATTTTATCTTTTGATGCCAAAACACCACTAATAAGAGGACCGAAAGTGTTGACAAGCGTTTTGCTTGCATTTATAAATCCAATTGCAGCTGTTCTCTCTTGTGGCTCTACTGTTGCAGAGATAAACACATGTTTTGATGGTAAATCCATTGTTCTGATTAAAGATCTTGTAAGGAACAAAGTCACCATTTCTCTCATACCTATAGGCAAAGCCATCATGACCAGCATAACTGAAGCAGTGGTGTGAACAGTAACCATTGTTCTGATAGGCCCGTACTTTTTACAAAAGTATGTACCAACAAGTGCCATCAATGCACCACTTATAGCAGCAGTCCCGAAAATTAGCCCTAACGAAGACGAGCTTAAAGCATATCTGATCTTGAAATAGTAAGCAGTCCAGGCCTTGGTACTTAAAGACATCCCTAAGGAATCTAAACAGATCAAAACCGTCAGAATTAATAACTTCTTCAAAGATTCAGGCGAGAATTTTGGGACAAGCTTCCAAATCAATGATTTCTTTTCATTTGGAGTTACTGGCTCTTCGATTTCTTCACTGTCACCTCCCAATAAAGTTTCTGATTCTGGAGTCAACCTTTCACTAGCTTTAACTGTAATGTCATTCTCAATTTCAATCTCTGAAGAAAGTAAAAAGTTCAAGATGAATAAAATCATTCCATTTATAGTGTAAAACAGGAAACAGACCTCATACTTATCTTTTCCAACCAAGAGACCAATAACCAAGGATCCCAGCCCAGCTGAAAACCCTCCTGTAAATGTATACCAAGAGAAAATGTCTGATCTATCCTCGTATCTAGTGAGACTTGAGATAGCTGATTGTTCTATTGACCTAAATGGACCAACTTCACCTCCGGAAGTTGTAACAACACCAAATATCATAACAATTGAAATTATAAATATGTTCTCAAAATAATAAAGAAGTGCACCAGTGAGTGTTATAAGAAGAGACGATAGCAACAAAATTTTTCTTCTTCCTAATGAATCAGACACCAACGCTAACAAAAATGAAAAAATCAAGTCACCAACTAGTGTGAATGTTAAAAGAATACCAATTTCTGTCTCATTAATACCTTTTGATTTCAAATATTGAACCAGGATCAAACTTATGGCACCAAAAGCTGCAAGCCTGGTGCATCTTGCGATCAAAATAAGATGAATATCTCTTGGTGCGCTCAAGATTGTATTAACACCAATATGTTCAGCTATTGAAACCATTCCAAAACTAGTTAATTTCTATATAGAGTTTACTTTAAGATGAAGCTAGAACTCTATAGCAGTTTCATTATTCTTAGAAATGTACACAAATTACGTCTCTTCTGCAAATTAGAAAATGTGTTAATCGGTGATTTTTTTAATTTCATGAACTTCTCGCCTATCGATCCGCAAACGGTGGTATCTCCGAAACTCATATTTTAGCTGAAAGAATGAACATTGACTTAATTCGACCTTAAAAAGAGTTAAAATTCTCAGAAAAATGGACTATAGTAAAAATTGGGCTCAAATTATTTGATTAAGGTGCTTAAAGTAGCAAAAAAAGGATTTTGAAGCTTCAAAAAAAGAATTCCGATGCGGGGAGTCGAACCCCGGTCTGCTCGGTGAAAGCGAACCGTGCTAGCCGTTACACTACATCGGATAATTGTTAAGTTAAAAATCTGCTGAAAGACTTGACTATACTTTCCGGATATAAGCGCCCAAATTTTGAGTCTAATAATTTAAACAAAAGCGAAGCTTTTTCAAGCAAAATTACATTTTACTATGTACTAAAAGTGCACAGCTTTTCTACCTAATATTTATCAAGCTGTAGCTCAAGAATTCGAAATTGGTGTTGTTTTCCAGATGAAATTGAGAGTTACAGAGAATAATAGTTGGTCGTCATTTTATTTTTTAAAATCTGGTAATTAACAAAAAAGTTTAATTAGCTTTTGAAAAGAACATTTATTGAAGGCAAGAAGCCTAAAATCTTTACCCTTTTACTTTTATCCCATTTACAGGGTCAAATTGTGAAATTAAATTGATTAATGTTAAATCACACCCTCGGTTTTCAATTTTAATCGTGACTTTTGAAGACCGGATTTCGCGCCAATGTTTTTCCTTGGTGTCCAAATTTTCAAAAATAAACATGTAGTCGAATTCGAAAAAATGGTTGATGTTGATCCAAGCTTTTAAAGCATTTTTAACTCAAATCACACGCTCCTTGAAGATATTTTCTTCTCATACTATATCCTTTCATCATCTAAGGAAAAACTTGAATCAAATATAAAGATTGGAATTACAGTGTACCATCTTAACGTTATCAAAGGTTCAGGAATTTTTTTTTTAGCGAGAAGGGCCCATTATCTAGCTGAGAGAGAGAAAAAAAAACAACATATAATCAGAAGGGACAACTTGCTTTTTCAAACCCAACAGAAACTATTTACAGGATAGTCCATTAGCATTCATTTATTATAGAGTTGCATTAGGTATCATGGTGTACGTTGACAAAGATATAGAGTCAAATTTAAAATACGCCCCAAAATCAAATGGATCAAGATTTGCTGCTTTAAAACTTTTTGTTATTAAGTATAGAAAAATAGTGATACTATTGATATCATTAGTAATCTTGTCGCTATTTACTAATGTTCCATTACTTCCACATTGGAGGTTTACACAACCAAAAGTTGTCATCATATTAGCAGCAAATGAAGGTGGTGGTGTTTTGAAATGGAAAGGTGCTCAAGAATGGTCCATTGAAAGATCATCTATTGCCAACAAGAAGGACTATGCTAAAAGACACGGCTATGATTTAACCATCAAAGACTTAACTGTTAAGAAGAGATATAGTCATGAATGGAGAGAAAGTTGGGAGAAGGCCGATATCATGAAACAAGCCATGAGACAATACCCAAAGGCTGAATGGTTCTGGTGGTTAGATTTACACACTTTTATCATGGAACCACAACTCTCATTAGAGGAGCATGTTTTCAGCAAACTTGATAATTTAACATATAGACAATTGACAGAGTTCAACCCATTACAATTAAAGACTGATTTACCATATGTTGACTATTCACAACCAATAGATTTGTTGATCACCCAAGATTGCGGTGGATTTAACTTGGGTTCTTTCATTATGAGAAGATCACAATGGTCAGAAGCCTTATTAGATATATGGTGGGACCCTGTCTTTTATGAACAAATGCATATGACCTGGGAGCATAAAGAACAAGATGCTTTAGAAACTTTATACAATGCACAATCCTGGATAAGAGAACGCGTGGGATTCTTACCATTGAGATCAATTAATGCGTTCCCACCAGGTGCTTGTTCAGAACAAGCCAATGATCCAAGATATTTCTATAGTGAAAAAGAACGTGATTTTGTTGTCAATATGGCTGGTTGTGATTGGGGTAGAGATTGTTGGAATGAAATGGAACATTACAAAGCCTTGAGCAAAAAATTACAAAAACCGTGGTACAAATTCTGGTGATTAGTATCATTATCACCATAATTCATTAAAATAGCATGCATTTTGTGGAAAAGAAAGTCTAATTACAACCAATGCCTCACCAAGTCATTTTTGTCCAGTTTATTTCTTTGTTCTATATTTCATTTATTTCCCGTTATATATTTGTTTTGTTTTGTTTTGTTTGCAGACTGTCTATACAGTGAGAGATACTGGTGTTGTTTTATTATATTTTACAAAGTGTACATTAAACCAAATCATTTCATTCATACCAACTGATGTTCCTTCCTTCTATACACACTTTTTGATTTTGATAAGAGAAAAAAAAAAAACCTTTAAAAAAAGAGTTGATGTGCTGTGCTAGCTAGATTAGCCATAATGTCAAACATGTATCATTTATAAATGTGATTTATCCATTTTGTAGGATCTCATTATCTATTTTAAATGACGTATGTTGTTTGTTCCTGATTTTGTTCCTGTCAGTTTCATGGAATTTCCGTTTCTGTCCTTTTCCAGTTCCGTTTTGAGATGAACAAAAAAAAAAATTTAAACAATCGCATCAATCTCATCAAAAGCGCAAAAAGTCACGACTTACGAACAAAAAGATTTGGCATTTAGTCCTGATCATCGTATTTGAGCTGATAAGTAACAGCCTTTGAAGTTCACTTTCAATCTATTCGAGGAAAGCTATTGATTTGGAGGCCAGAATACAATTCGACTAGCCCATACAATCCAGTGATCCATCAGGCAGTGATTTACAGTATACAAGTTATCAAGGCATCAAGGGTTTTGTGAAGAAATATTGAACAAAGAACGAACAATTAAGGTTGAGCACTCCCTATCGCCTTTACAACCAATTTCAATATTCATTTGAACACTATATAACCAGCACATTCCCTGATCATTGATTGGCCTCAGATTTTTTTTCGCAGCAAGATTGTGTTTGGAAATTATGTCAAATATCACCAGACAAAGAACACAAGGAAGAAATCATGGGGACATAATTGATAATAGCTATGCTGAAAGACCACCTCGAACTCCATCCCCCACTGCTGCTGATTATCCAGAATATCAACAAATGAGAATTTCAAACTCTTCAGTGAGCCTGGCTAGAGATTATTCTGTGCAAGATAGTTACCGTACTGGGTCATATATAAGCTTACAAGCATTAGCTACAGATGTTGTTAATATTCCAGACGAACAGGTACCGTCATACGAGGAAATAATGAATCAAGACCAACAGAACAATCAAGCTTTGAGGTCAGTTAATCAGTCCAGAAGCAACTCAATCCAAGAAGAAGTGGCTGTTGGCAGTAATAACACTTCTCAAGAACGTTCAAATACTCAGGAAAGACAAAGTTTGAAAGTTTTAGGTCTAAATTTCCTTAACGCCAGACAACATTTTGCATTAGCAATATGTCGTGATTCCGTTTTAATTCCTTCATTATACAATTCATTCAAATGTTTCAAACAGAGCTATAACTTTTATTATTCACCAGATCCAGAATTCGAAAGTCAAGCTATGTCTATACTGACAAGACCAAGCTCTTCAGAGCATTTCATCGCTGGTATATGGTGTATTGTTGCTGCCTACCTATCATTTTCAGTCATTGATGGGTTGATGGTAAGATGGATAGTTACATATCAAACAGGGGCAGCCATTCTTAGAGTCTTAGCACTATCAATGCTCCTTATCACAATTGAACAAGCTACCCTTGCCATTTTGAGTCCCGATGGGTTTTATTCTTTGCATACATGGATCTTGATTTCTTGTATATTGACGGTGTTTTATATTGTTCAAAATTTTGTCACTAGTAATTTGGATTTGAAAAATGATAAGAAACCAAGAAGCGTGGATTATTACAATATAACTGTCTTTGCAGTGGTTCCAATTGGTGTTGCTAGTTTCATTTCAATGATTGGGTTACTACGGGTTTTGTTAATATTGAGATTAGATTTAGAAAGGGAGAAGTATGGTTTACAACTTTGAGTTATAGTTTGTTTTAAAGGAAAGGGCGTTTGAAGATATGTACTTTAGTAATTGTGAACAATGTTAATAATAGTAATTAGTGAACAAGTTTTGTAATGTCTAAGTTTAGTTTACCAGAAATTAAGTATTAGTGATCTGCCCGAACCGACTTATAACATCCGAACATCCTGATTTTTTTTTTCACGAACTTCAAGAACGAAAGGTTGATCTTGATGGAAGTTATTATGGAGTTTAAGTTCAGGCAAACCATCCACACCTCTAATTACCACTGATCACCATGCCTGTCCATATTATGGGTAAATCCTTTAGAAGCAAACAACCAGTGCACGTATGTATATGAGTTTTCCATTCCCTATAGGGAGTAATGTTTCGTGAAACAGAAATACTAACACTAAATTAACAGATTGGTTTAGCTGCTAAATTCTACGGTCTAGGAATGAAAAATGCTCAAAAAATATGTTCCAAATTAGGTTTTTACCCATGGATTAGAATGCATCAATTAACTGAACAACAAATTTTGGGTATTACAAAAGAATTATCAGAACTAACGATAGAAGGGAATGCAAGAGCTATTGTTCGTGAAAATATTCAATTAAAGAGACGTATTGGTTCATACCAGGGTCTAAGACATGCTATGGGTTTACCTGTTCGTGGTCAACATACTAGAAATAACGGTAAGACTGCTAAGAAGTTGAATAGACTTGATAGAAGAGGTTTTGCAACTTCTGCGTATGCTCAAGGTCAAATACATTCATCAACTGGTGCTTTTGCAGCTTTTAAGAACTTGTTCGGTGGGTTGTTTTAAGTTATTGGTCATGTAAAATAGATTTGGAATCCAAAAATTGTATATACAAAATAAATTACGAATATCAAGAGAATGAAAAAAAATAATACGTTCGTAATAATCATTAAATTCTATAATCGGCGTCAAATGGTTTCCATTGTTCAAGTTCCATTAAATGACGCATAGTTGGACGTCCATGAGGACAATTCTAAATATTGTTAGTGGTTGTGTTAGACTTGATATTGATTGATACTTACCCATGGTTTATCTAATTCACCAAGATTTCTCACAACTTTCGTCATTGTTTTTGTTGTTAAACTTCTACCAACCATGATACTTTTACGACATGCTCTCATTGCAAACATTGAACGAATTTTAGAGCATCTAACAGAGTTTGTGTTTCCTTGGTTTTCTTTAACCAGATGTATCAATTCATTGAAGTCTGATTCATCAAAAACTGTCTTTTTAGATATTGGAAGTGAAACTAACTTTATACGTGCACCTGGCTCACCTTCCTCATCGATTGTAAATTTGAACCCATTCTTGATGAAGACTTCTTTATGATCAATAACAACCAATTCATCTAATGCATTCAACTCAATAAATTTAGGTGCAACTAAAGGTTGACTATCAAAAACAGTAACTTTTTGAAGAGTTTCGAAATTGTATTTCTCATCAGAAGCATGTTGATCAACAATAAATAAGTCTTGACTTGATTCATTTTGTCTTATAACTAGTATAAAACCTAGATTGAATTGACCAATGATTTTCATATCCATAAAATCTTTTTTAGAGACAGTTAGGGTTAATTTATTTTCTGATTCTTCCTGATCATCTATATTGTCTATCGAGACACTTTTCAAGGAATCTTGGGGTTGGTCAATTGATTCACATATAATATCAGAGCAGGTTGTAAACGTCAGATATTGCTCATAATTTCTAGCTGCATCTTTTTCCCTCTCACTTGAAATCAGAAATTTGTTGTTGAACTCTTTTTTGATTGAAATAGCTTCAGGAGGTTCCTCAGCAACTGGCTCAAGATCATCCTCTTCTTGATATACTGAACCATCATCTGAGCCAATCTGTCCATCGTCATTGGCCTCATCCTCCAAATTCTCCTCGCCTTCAAGTTGATCTTCCTTAGCGCTGCCCCCATCAGCATCCTCCTCAGCATCTTCAACGGCATCTTCACCATCAATTTCAATCTCATCAGGATCATCATAATTATGGAATTCCTTTGTATGCTCTTGACTACCACAATGACACTCTTTGAAAGCCAGCTTACCATTCTTCCTGATATAAGCCTCTTGAACCATTTCTTGATCACCAATTTTCATCAAAACAGGTTCTAAAGTTGTTTGTTTAGACTGTGATTTTTTAATATTTTGATCATTTCTGAATGATGATAGGTTTTTTAGGATTGGTAGATCTGCTGGTTTGGATCTGATAACTGGTCTGTTTCTAAAAGTTGATAGTATGGATTCCCTCGTATTGATTGATTTAGGTTGAGTTTCTTGATTCTCTTCTTCAACCTCCTCAGCAGCACTTTTTTCACCATCATTTTCATCATCTTCAATCAATTCTTTGCTGGTTTCTGCAGGCTCTTCGCCCTGTTCGCATTCATCAATATCCTCTTGATCTTTCTCAACAATTTCTTCTCTTTTTCTCCTTTTCGTCTCATTTCCATCAGAGGTCAATATCCTCTTCATGCCTTGTATTTCATCACTTGGTGGATCAATTTCAGACTTGATATTTGGTGTATATGCAAAACTTGAAGTGTTTAAAGATGATTGAACTGGCACTTCTTCTTCATCATCTTCACGATACGAAGAACTTCTCAAATCACCTAAACTTCTTTGTGTCTGGGCGTTTTTAGCCATACTCAAATCCTGAGAATCATAAAATTCAGCCAACTTTTCTTTCAACTCTTCAATAACCCGATTTTCATTATGAATCAAAACTGTTCTTTTATCTGGGGTAACATTAACATCAATAAATTGAGGGTCCAACTCCAAATTTAGTAAAATAACTGGGTATTGTATATGATTAAATGTCTTGTAAACTTCGTTTATAGCTTTGGCAAAAGGTTGTAATGAAACTGGTCTATAATTTATGAAAAAAACTTGTCGATCTGTAGCTGACCTTCCAAATCCAAATGAACATTTTGAGATATATCCTGATATTTTTATTGTATAATCTGTTGAATGATCTAAAACCTTCAATCTTGATTTATGTGTGTTTAAGTCAAGTTCAAGTTCTATTGGAATCAATCCATATAACCCATTTGAACCAAACACATTTATAATATTGTTCTTCATTGAGTCGTTCCCTTGAGAACTCAGAACAATATTTTTTTTACCCTTTGGGGTCATACTGTAAACTAATATCTTGACATTTGTGGAAATTAATGCATATGACTGTAGTAAGGTTAAACATTTTGAGAACTCTTTTTTAGAGTTCTTTATGAAATCTTTCCTCCTTACTGGTAAATTGTTGAACAAATCTGTTATTATTATTGAAGTACCCTTTGGTCTTGAGCATATAGTTTTATTACCTAATTCACCAGAATGTTTAAATTCAAGAGTAGTTGCCTTGGGAGCTTTTTTTGTAGTTGTGATTTTGACATTTGAAATAGCACATAATGAACTCATTGCTTCACCTCTAAACCCCAAAGTTTTAACTTTTGCCACATCTTCAAAAGTTGATAGTTTTGAAGTATAATGTTTCAAAGCAATTTTATCAAAATCTTGTTCATCAATACCATCACCGTCATCAGAAACTTCTATTGAATCAATACCATAATTCTTAAATGTAACTTCAATCTTCTTTGAATGAGCATCAATACTATTTTCAACTAATTCCTTAACCGCTGTGCACAGATCCACAATAACTTGACCTGAAGTGATTCTATGGACATCTTCTTTCCCAATACTACTGATCCTTGACATTATGGATTTTTGCCGTCAAGTCTTTTGATGAATTTGTTTTGAATTGTTTTGGCGTTGGTTTTTACGCGCCCTATCGCGATGACATATAGAAAAAATTATTGAAACCTCGATACTTTTTCTCTTGAATTATCAAGAACAACAATGACAAAAATAATACCCAAAAAGAAACCAGATGGCTCATTATCATTAACACCAAATAACTTGTACTTTACATTCCAACAATTCCTAGTGACATGGATAAATATCATCACAAAAGAGAGATCTATATACCCAGAAGAATCTTATGAGTTTAGGAATTCATTCAATTTACAATGTCCTTATAATCGACATCCAGATGTCACCAAATGGAACGATGACTTGATTAGTGATATAATGGATGACTTATGCTTTGTATGTGGGCTTGTACGAATTAAGAAGGATCATACTAACTTTGTGCTAGAAAAAAATCAAATTGATATCGTTAATCATATTTGATAAAGAAACTGAAGAGACAATTGAAAGGTATAGTTTGAATATGTTTGAGTTTTTACATACTCCCAAAGATTACTATGATAAGCAGTAAGTATGATAATGTTTCCCCAGTCAACCAATTAACTAATTAGATTAGAATTTCTGGGTTTCAAGATTTATCATGGAAACTAGTATATGATGAATTTAGAGCAAATTTATATTCTCTTTTAAACAAGATTAGGAAACTACCAAGTTTAACCAATAATGTTGATCGTAAATTAAGCTATACTATAGTTCTTGAAACTCAAGACGTTGCCTTGAATGATAATTGGATATTGGACAATGATGGAAATAATGATAAAACAGATATGAATATTAATGATGATAATGATGATAATAATGACAATGACATAAAATTGATCCCTTTAAGAAATGTTGATATAGGACCAATACTTTTTTATTCCTCTATAGAGATAAAGCAATAAAAGTTTTCAACTTATTCTAATGACAAAAATCTTTTCAAATTTTCATACATCAAATAACTTATAGAAACAGCAGGACAAACTTTAGCTAAATTTGGAACTAAACCTTTAAATAAACCAGGATAACCTTCTCTTTGAACAGTTTGTTTCAAAACATCTTTGAACCCATCATATCTATATGGATGCGCAAAAGTTCCCTGTGCTTGTAATCTTGTTCTTAATAAATTGATTGGATAAACAACAGTAGCACCAACAGTACCTGAAAATGCACCCATTGGTAAGACAATAAAGTTACTCATAATAATATCATCAGTTGAACAATTTTTAATCTTGGCTTCTCTATTTATGTACCATTTTTTCATTGCAGAGAAAGTACCTAAATCTAAAGCAGCATAAGGGAAAATACCTGTAACACCAACGAAAACACCTCTATAGAATAATTTCAGTCCACCTTCTTTGTACATTTGTTTAGCAGTTTCCACTAATAATCTATTCCCATGAATTTTATTATCAAGAGGAGCACATTGAACTCTATATTTTAAAGTATCAACTGGATAAACAGTGAACTGAGAAACAACACCACCAAGACCACCAGCTATATAAGTGGAAAATCTTGATAATTCAGAAGTATCTTGAACACCTTCTAATCTTGACATTAATTTTTTCGCAGCTTCAAAAGAACCAAATTTCATTGCAGACTCAGGGAAAACTTTTGCAACATTTAATCCATTACCGACGTAAAAAGCTCTTAACCCACCTTGTCTATATAGCGTTGTTGCAGCTTTTATCAATGGAGATTTGATCTTATCCAATGGGATCTCACCAGCTTTACTTGCCAATGCAGCTCTTTTATGCAACAAAGTTGAAGAAAGATCTGTTCTTGCAATAAGGAAAACTTTTATACGATCAAAAGGTGCTGTACAAGTTCTTGAAACAACACCACTTAACCCACCGGCAAGGAAAAACCCTAAACCTTTTAAAATTTCATTTGACACGGTAACATCACCTTCAGAATTTAAATCCACATCATTGTTATTTAAAAATTCATAAGCAGTTCTTAATCTTGAGCCGTTCAATCTTGGAACAAATAATAAGAAGTTTCTCCATTGATCATAAGTGATATAGCTTGCAGATTTTGAATTGTCATCTTGTAATAACTTTATAAAACTTTGGAAATCTTTTAAATTTTCATCTTTATTTAATTTTAAATATGAATTCAAATCATGAGAAAAAATTTTCCCATCTTTATCTTTATCTAATTTAGCAAAACCTTCAGAAATTTGCAATTCTGCTTTTAAAATGTATGTCTTAAACTCTTGGAAATCTATCACATCATCTTTATTTGAATCTAAAGATTTGAATAAAGTTTCTATAGCACCTGGTGTATTCTTTAATGGATGGTCTGATTTATTGAAAGCATCATTTAGAGTCGATAGATCGACTCTCCCAGTACCATGTATATCGATTGTTTTATAAAGGTTCTTTAGCCTTGTTTCTTGATCTTCTGGTGATTCTTTTGACATTATTGTTGATTCATTAAATTAATTATGTGACAAAAAATTAGGAGGATGATACCGGGATTGAAAATTGAAACTTGGAGTATAGTTGTAAAAGGAAGCTGTATTGTATTGTATTGATGATATTAGTGTTTGATAATTGATTTGGAAAGAGTTTGTTCTTATTTCATGAGGGTCCTCGTTTGGTGGAAATGCTGTTGTCCTTTTTGAGCTTAACACGTATATAACTAGTCTGAGGAATAAGCCAATGATTTCTTGAAAAGCAGAAGGGCGGAATGACCAGATGGACAAGTTCAGTGTGGTTCTGAGATTTGATATGGTGACTCTTTTGTTTTACCAGCAGTTCAAGTCAAAGAAGTGGTTTCATCGAAGTTGTTCAAGATATTTTTATGTTTACAATTTTTTTTCAGCTTGTTGCCCATTATTAAAAAAAGGAAAAAGGTTGAAAATCTGGCAGTAGTTATAGACGAGTTTTTAGTGGAATTGTCCAGAGTTTAGATTTAGGTAATTGAAGAGATCTTGAATGTAAAAAGTGGTTATAATACCAAAAGATTAGTGCTTTCAGCCAGTTTAATTCGTTTATTTAGCGATTGCCAGTGTGGAATTCCTCTGTATTATTGGTAAAAACAGCAATCTCATTGGCTCACTTTATTCCCGAGCCTATACCCAAGCCAATTAATCAAAGAGAAAGAAGGGACAATATTCAACGAGTAGAGCTGAGTATGATTTAATAGCATCAGGCTCCCAATATCACTCATTTCATAGCTCTGAAATGTCATTTTAGAGGGTGTTTCTTTGGAGTTTAGCACCTGTTTCCACAAGATTGACCTTTTACACCCCGGAGAGAACGTTGAGCCCAGCTTTAACTATTCAACAAAAGATCAGGAATCAATCAAACAATTACAACTAGCAACGTATTATTGGAAATGACTCTCTCATCACTCTCCACTTATGCTCCAATATCCACCTCTTTGTATTCCATTCACTCTGTTACTATACTGCCATCCATCTCCTGTTCACTAATCACCTGTAAATCCGATCTTTCCCTTGAGCTTTTCTCCAACACTTTCAAAGACGAATTGGTACTAAACGTTAATTTTAGGCACTTGATATTGATCTCTATGATTCTAATTCATTTTGACACATAAACAGCCTTCGTTGCAAACCCGTTCTAAATCACCTCCAGCCAGAGTCAACTGCCAGCCTACGCGTGTCTCGACTCTCGATTCCCGCCGGCCACCAGCCAGATAGAGAGATAAGCCTGCGGTTGACGCGATCCGTCCTTCCAACGAACAGCTCGACTCATGGTTGATATTTAATCGAAGCTCTTGAACTATTACAACCTCCATCAATTTCAACACCCAACCCGTGTACACACCCAATTCACAATGTCATTTGGACCAGCTGCTGCAAAGAGACTACAAGACAAAACCATCCTAATCACTGGTGCTTCTGCTGGTATTGGTGAAGCTACTGCCATTGAATACGCCGAGGCTAGTAATGGTCAAATCAAATTGGTGTTAACAGCTAGAAGATTAGAAAAACTAGAATCATTGAAATCTGAGCTTGAATCCAAATTTAGTGAAATCAAAGTCTATATTGCTCAATTAGATGTTTCCCAAATCGAAGAAATTGGTAAATTTTTTAAAGAATTACCACAAGAATTCTCGAAGATTGATATCTTGATCAATAATGCTGGTAAGGCTCAAGGTGTTGATAAAATTGGAACAATTAGACAAGTTGATATCGATACAATGTTTCAAACTAACGTCATTGGTATGATTGCTGTTACACAAGCTGTATTACCAGGTATGAAAGAAAGAAATTCTGGTGATATTGTTCAATTAGGTTCTATTGCAGGTAGAGATCCTTACCCAGGTGGTGGTATCTACTGTGCAACAAAAGCTGCCCTTAGATCATTCACTCATTCATTGAGAAAAGAATTGATTGATACCAAAATAAGAATCATTGAAATTGATCCAGGTAATGTTGAAACTGAATTCTCCAAGATAAGATTCTTTGGAGATGAAGAAAAGGCAAAGAAGGTTTATGAAGGCACTGAACCATTAGTTGCCAAAGATATTTCAGATTTGATCGTTTTCACAACAACAAGACGTGAAAACACTGTTATTGCTGAGACTTTGGTATTTGCCACCAACCAAGCCAGTGCCAGTCACCTTTACAGAGCCACCAAATAGAGACAAGTTGATCTTGTCAGATTATAGATTTTTTATAAACTCGATAGATTCTTGATTTCTGTAGATCTCGGCTATTTGAACACCACGCGTATTTAGCCGTTATGGTAAAATGAAAAAAAATCCGTTCTCAAAAACCTGTTCAAACGTTTCCTGTGTCTCTTGGCCCAATGTTCAGGTATTCGATAGTACAAACGAGGTCCTTTGCGACCTCATCCATACTATTTGCTGAAAAGACATTCATCCAAAAAGTTAGATCGGCTCCTTCAAATAAATATGACTTTGGAATTTTCAAATCAACTTCAATATTCTTAAAATGGTTAGTCTCTAATCCTCAGTCAACATTATCAACTTATCAAAACAAACTTCTGAATTCTTTGAAACTCCCACCTTCAGTCAAACTATCCACGTCTAAAACTGCTGGCTTGAGTGAGATTGTGTTCCAAAATGAAATGGCAAAGATTAAAACACCAACTTTATTAGTACATGGACATGCTGCTAGTGGAATTTTTTATCATAGAGATTTTGAACAACTATCACAAAATTTCCAAAAATTATATGCTATTGATTTCCCAGATATTGGTCTATCCGACCGTAAACCGTTAAAGATAGAACCGACAACAACTACAACCTCTATAAAGAAATTAGAAAATGGTGACTTACAATATTCAATAATTCAAGATAATGCCAAAATTGCAAAATCAATAAATAAAGTGGAAGACTACTACATAGAATCAATGGAACAATGGCGTCAAGAACACAACTTTTCTCAAATGAACATAGTGGCTCATTCATTCGGTGGGTATATCTCTTTTAAATACTGTTTGAAATATCCACAACATGTTAAGAAATTGATCCTAGTTTCACCAGGTGGTGTTGAACGCAGTATTTTTTCAATTCATAATTCACAAACCAAAGGAATAGTTATACCTGATCCAAGCTCTTCACATTATTATAGAAATCCATTTTTACCTCCAATAGTTACAAAATATGGTTTCAAATTATTGAAAATGTTGGGTCCTTTAGGGATTAGATTGATTTCAAAATATTTAAGTATAAGATTCAGTAGAGGTGTTAAACCAGGTCATGAAGAACAAGTTAAAGATTTATTACAATATACTATGAATCTTTTCTATCAAGATAATAATTCATTTGATGCTTTGAAAGTTTTACTTAATGCTCAATTATTAGCGCCTAGTCCAATTCTAGATAATTTGAATCAGCTAAAGAACCCTGTTTATTTTATGTATGGTCAGCATGATTGGATGAATTCAAATGCAGGACTAGCTGCTACAAATGAATTACAAAGAGTTTATAAAAGTGCCAAATTTGGTATAATTAAAGATGCTGGTCATAATGTGTTCCTAGACAATCCTGACGATTTCGATAAAGAAGTTATAAACTACTTACGAGAGGAATAGAAGCTAAAGACAAATAATCTATAGATAATAGTAAATAATATGTATATATCTTATTAACAAAACACAAAAAAATTAAAAATCAAAACCTAATGTAAACTAGTTGTGTAGTGTTTTAGTAGTATGCTTGAACCGCATTGTATCACAAAATTCGCGATCAACGTCAAAAGTGTATAAAAAAAAATGAAAACAACAAAATCATCAATAAACGAAAAATGAAAACACCAATAAAACCAGCATGAGTAAAACTTTCTTGATGAATCTTATCATAAGATTATCAAATCAAAAGAATTGAAAAAGACAAAAAACCAATGGATTGATCTATCAAACTTGCATAGTTGCAGCTCTTGAAAAACTGGTGTATTTTTCAAATGGATTCTTCTTTTCCAAATCATGTTCTGGATTATGAACAATTTGTTTCTTGAAATATAATCTCTTGAATACTTTATAAACTTCACAACCAATCCAAAATGCAACAGTTAAAGCAAATGCAATACCCCATTCTTCAGCAATTGGACCATGCAAGAAAACTTTCTTATTAATGACTGGGATATAAACAACTGGGAATGCTGAAAGGAATCCACCAATAACTGACCAAAACAAAAATTGGTTTCCCCATAAATCTTTGAAAACTTGAGTATATGGTGTTTCAGTTTCTGGTTGCATAGCAAATAATGATCTTCTCATATCAATAACTTCCCAAGCTAAAATCAATGCACACCAAGTCATAGTTGCAAATGAAGCTGATCTTGATCTGAAAACATAATAACAACTGTCACTATATTTACTGTTACAATCAATACCCAATTCACCATCACCTTTATAGTAAATACAAATGATAAAACAGCATAAACAACAAATAGCCATCCAAACACCATAGACAAATAAATCAACAAGCATTTCCCATGAAAAGACAGATTCTTTTGAAGGTTTTGGATCTTTTTGCATGATATCTGGTTGAGCTTTTTCAACACCCAAACCCATAGCTGGGAAACATGAAGTAACAACAATAATCCATAAAACTTCAACAGGAGATAATGGGAAAACTGATAATCCGTTTTCATCTTTGAAGACTAAACCAATCATCAAATATAAAGCTTGTGCAACATTTTCAGCCAATAGTTGTAAGACGAATTTTTGAATATTATCATTCATTCTTCTACCTTCTTCAATACCATTAATAATAGAAGCAAAATTATCATCACTTAAAACAATATCACTTGCATCTTTAGCAACATCCGAACCTGCAATACCCATGGCAATACCAACATCGGCTTTTTTCAAACTTGGAGAATCATTAACACCATCACCAGTCATTGCACAAAACTTCTTACGACGATGTAAGGCATCAATCATACGAACTTTAGTCTTTGGAGAACAACGGGCAATAACTAATGGCAAAACAGGTAATTGATCAATTTGTGCATCAGTTAAATCATCAAATTGTTGAGCAGTCATAACCATACTGTCAACAACATCTTGAGCATAGTGATACAAATTATGAGGTAAGATACCAACTTCTTGTGCAATGGTTCTAGCAGTACCTGGATGATCACCAGTCAACATATGAACATTAATACCAGCCTTGTGACATTTTTTAACAGCACCTAAAGATTCTAATCTTGGAGGATCATAAATACCAACCAAACCCAAAAATGTTAAATCAGATTCAATAGTTTCACGAGTTTTAATATCATGATCTTTTGGAATAGTCTTTGTTGCAAATGCTAAAACTCTTAAACCATCACCAGATAATGTATTCATATTCTTTTCAATAACTTCATGATCTTCAGCAGTCAATTGTTGCAATTTACCATCAACATACCAATCTTTACAGGAAGTTAAAACCCTTTCAACAGCACCTTTAGTGAACACCAAGTTTTCCTTTTCATTACCAGATTCAGAATAGATAGCACTCATCTTCTTAATAGAAGAATCAAATGGGAATTCATTCAAATGAACATATTTTGGATCATCACCTTTAGTCAAAGAAGTTCTTGGAACATTATTACGATGGGCAAATACTTGAATAGCAATTTCAGTTGGATCACCATGAGCTTTCCAATCACCATGTTCATCTTTGAAAACAGTTGCAATATTAGCTAAAGTGGCACATAATAACCATTTTTGAAAATATTCATTTTCAGAATCAACTTCAACATCATCATTTGATTTTTCCTCTTGAGAAGCTTCTAATGGAGATTTAGTATGATATTTCATTGTACCAACAGTTGGATCTAATGGATCATTAGTATCAATCATATTATAAGTACCACCTGATGGAACCCAAACAGCTTTAACAAGCATTTTACCTTGAGTTAAAGTACCAGTTTTATCTGAGCAAATATCATTGATTGAACCTAAAGCTTCTAAAGAATCCAATTTTCTAATAATGACATGTCTTTTAACCATAATTTTCGCACCAACAGACATTGTGATTGTTAAAACAACAACCAAGGAAGATGGAATCATAGAGACAGCAACACAAATAGCATAAATTGCAACTTCACTTGAAACCTTGAACTTTTGAGTAGCCATAACAATGATTGCAAACACAACAGCGACGAAAAACAACATGATAGCTAACTTGGACAATTTTCTACTCAATGGAGTACCAACAGTAGTACCTAGAAAGGAGCCAATACCATCTTTAATTAAAACCAAAACATTTTTAAAGAATGAAGTATCATCGTCAGTGTTTAGTTTTTTCTTTTGACTTTTCAGTGATTGAGCAATTTCACCAATTTCAGTATGTAAACCAGTCTTGACAGCAATACCAGTAGCACGACCTTTAGTAACAACAGATGATGAATAGGCCATATTTAAACGATCACCAACACCAATAATATCTTCATAAACAACTTCGTATTCTTTAGCAACTGGTAATGATTCACCAGTCAATAGCGCTTCATCAGTTTCAAAGTTTAAACAATCAACAATTCTCAAATCAGCTGGAATGGTATCACCAACTTTAACAGAAACAATATCACCAGGAACAACGTATTTAGTTGGAACAGTTTTCAATTCACCATTTCTCAACACTCTAGCAGTTGGAGAAGATAAAGATTTTAAAGAGTTCATAGTCTTGGAAGCTTTAAATTCTTGTAGCGAACCAATACCAACATTAATACCAACGACAAATGCAATGACACCACCAGAGATCCAATCTTTAATACCTAAAGTGATAGCCATTGAAATGATCAAGACTAAAATCATGGCATTACATGATTGATGTATAATGATTTTTGGTAAACTGATCTTTTGATCATCTCCCAAAGTATTTTCACCATGTTCTTTCAATAGCGCCTCAGCGGCTTGCTCAGTTAAACCTTCATTTATAGAAGTTCTGAAGTATTTCTCAGTTGTTTGAATTGTTTGCCTATAAGCATCGAGATCTTGAATGTTGTCATCAGAACTTGAAGTGTTCTTTGTACCAATAGTAGCAGAGTGATTTAGCTTTCTTTCATCGAAACTAGACATTATCTAATCTTTAATATTTCTAGTTCTTAAGCAATTAAAAGTAATAATATAACAAGTGGATTGATGTTTATTATTACAGGCTGTATAACTAGAAAGTTTGTATATAAAAGGTTTCCACAAGAAAGGATGGATATCATTGATCAAAAAAGGGAAACATGTTTGCTTATATAGTTTTCCGCAACTGATTTGCCAAAAGTCTTGTCATGATGATGATAGAGTTTTCAGATTGATACCTGTAGTGAAACTTCTCCATAATACTCTCAGACGGGATGGTGAAGTTGACATGGCTACGACTTTGTGGGCCCTACCGCATGATGCACTGCGCGAAAAAGAAATTTTGCTGGGTTGTTTTCTGGAAGCCTCCCTTCAGGGAACAATAGCCTACAGGCTGTTTGACACCTTTCACAGTGGAAAGACACCAAAGCACGCTTTATATACACAAGACAAGAACCCGGTGTACAAGAAGTCTTAATAGCTTAAACAGAACCATAATATTCAGCATTGCTATCTCTCTAGAGAGCCTACCATCATCAGAAATTGGATTGGATGATACCAAGAATTACTCTAGCGGGAAGTAAAATTTGGTCCGCACACTGTATGGGAAATACAAGAAAAGTCACGGGGCTGATACTCACACGACCCCCAGTCGTGGCCCTTGCAAGACACTAAATATGAAATTGAACTTTATCAACAACTTCAACATGCTAGCAATGAGCATACCCACGTTGTACAAGGGGCATTAAGTAGTCTATGCCATGGCTTTTATGTGTATTTCATCTGTATATACTTCATCAAATATTATCTTGTCATTTGGTTGCAATTTGCAACCATCTTGATCCTTCACCACGTTTTCTATTCCAATAGATAACTCTTCTTGGCCTTTGTAAAAAAGTTTGCTACGAGCTTAACTCTAGCTTTGATACTGCATATCATTGGCAATTGTACTATAGATCTCTATGTTGAGCCGAAAGATATAGTCCTTTGAAGAAAGAACAAGAAGTGAACTTGATCATGGTTTAGGAAGAGTGTCTCCTCATAGGACGGTAATCTTCTCATAGATTAACTTCTGAGATGCATATGCTCATTCGGCGAATGGGGCTTTGAAGAGATTTGTGTCAAAATTATCATTGAAGTTGTTTTACCGAAGACACAATATTATTACGGCCGAATGACTGACTAGGCTACAAGCATTGTTGAATCTTGATGTACGCGGCCTATAGATGATAAGCTAAAAAACAGAATCACTAGTACCAAATAAATTAGATGGGATCGATCATGAAGAATAGATCATGGACGTATATTATATTTAGCTAGTTACCACTGTCATGATATTCTACTGCGTTTTTACTAGGTCAACGTGGGTTCTAAAATTAAAGATAGGTACGGATAAATCTTTCGTCTTGTGACCAATTACGATTTGATCATCGTGTGCGGGACGTGTAGGCGACGGGCGTGCAAGTATATATCGGTTTGATAAGGAAGTAATGCTATTAATAATTCTACTTGGACTGGGCGCCAGTTTCCAGAATTGGGGAAATGATTGAAATATACAATCAATCTTCGTGGACTACCTCCAGCTCCAGAACTTGATACATTTATGAAGAAAGAAAAAAAACATAGTATTCTTATTTATTTTGATGCTGGTATTTTAAGTCAAACCTGTTGGAACTGATGCGAATTATAGATACCTTTCTAGACTACCAGGCTCTAGAGAGCACTCCGCCATATACTATGACATTCACCCTTTCACCTGTACTGTGGTTGTGTCTTGACTCTTGAGTCTTGACTTTCACGTACCAAGAAATTACACAATCAATATTGTTGAGCACCCAATCGTATTAAACCATCTTTGAAGAACAATGCCGTTTGAAGTCTAAATGATTTTGAGTTTGTTCATGCTGAGAATCATTGAAAGTGTAATCTTTGAGACGTTGAAGGTACTTGAAACGTTGTTGATCATGGTTTGAAGTTTTCATGATTTCTGACAACTTGATTAGTCACTTGAACATAAAAGAATTATACGGAGCTTCTCAGTCACATAAAGCATGAGACCCACTAATACTTACAGCCTTCTGTATTAAAATATATTAGTGAACTACTTTTCTATTGAACTTGTGGTATATAAATTAACTATTAAAAGACGTTTGATGCATGAAATGATTAATATGCATGATAGATGAAGTATATTTTGATAGAAATTCAAATGTCCTATCGATTATGATGATTCTGAAGTAGCATCTTTATGTTGTTCAGATTGAACCAATTGTTTTTCTTGCATTCTTTTTAGTCTGGCCAAATTCTTTGCATCTCTTTTAGCTTGTGCTCTATCCATGATTCTATTACCCCATAATCTTAATCTTTCACCGTAAAGAATCACAAACAGCGGGAATGGTATACCAGTAGCTAATGCAATAAATCCGAAAATGGAACAACCCCAACCATACCCAACATTTTTAAACATTATTGGTGCAAATAATGGGAACGCAAAACCAAGGTAGGAACGGAAGATAGAAGCAGCTGCAATTGAACTTGCAGCGAATCTTGGATTCATATCAATCAAGTAGTTTTGAATGCAATAAAACACAGCGATAAGACCAAATCCAAAAATTGCTGCACCAACAGCTGGAAACATGAAATGTAATTTCTTTTCAGCACCCCAACCATACCAGAACAAACCAACTGGCAAAGTTATACCACTGACCAACAACATAGGCAATCTAAATTCTGGTTTAGAAACACCATTGTTTTTGGCAATTAGCCTGTGTAAGACCCAAGTAGCAGAGTATTGGAAAAACACAATACCAATAATATAACCAATTAAAAATGACAAGTACATCAACCCTGTACTACCTTTACCAAAACCGTAAACTTCACCCCAAACAGCTGGGAAAGTGACAATTAAAATATATAAACAACCATATGCGACAGCCATGAAGATACCCAAACCAAGAACCATTGGGTTTTTGAAAAGGACGGAAAGCTTGATAGTGTGTTAGTATTTTTTGATTTCCTGTGCAAAGAATGCTAAATAGACACTGAAAATCCAGATTCTCAGTCTATGACTTATTTAGCAGTTCAATGATACTTACTGGTCTGCTTAAATTAACATAAAATTTACCAAATGTGGTTTCACCAGTGGCAACTTCATAAATACAGTGTAAATTTTGATTACCAGTCAACTTTCTAAGTTTTGCAGCTTTTCTGCTCAATAAAGTTGGTGCATATGTTTCTTTCAAAAATAAATTACCACCAACTGCGATTGCAAAATTGAACATACATAGCACATAGAAACACCATCTCCAATCTGCTCTTTCAACAATATAACCTGCAATCTAGAGATAATCAGTTAGTCCAGTTCTTGAGATAGTATACAGAAATACATACCAATGCACTTAAACATGGTCCTAATGTTGGTCCTAAAACTTGTTAGCTTCTTCAATATTGATGACTTTTTTGAATTTGTCACATACCTAATGAGCTAAGTTGAAAGTTAGTATGAATTCCCAATCATATGAAAAACTTTTGTTACTTACTAAAAACTGATGGCTTTACCTCTTTGTTCAAGATCCATGGTATCTGAGATAACACCTGCCCCAATGTTGATAGGTGCGACACCTCCAATCTATAAAAACAATTAGTAAAAGATATTGAAAACAGCAAATAAGGCAAACTTACACCAGCGAGTAATCTGAAAACACACATTTGTGTAGTGTTTTGACTGAAAGCACAACCAAAATTGAATGCAAGTAAAAACCAAACTGAAACATCTAAAACGATTTTTCTTCCATACATTTCTGATAATGGAGCAATGAAAGGAGGGAAAATAGCCCATGCTAGAATATAAATGGAAACCATTAATGCAGAAATTGTAGAATTATCATTATGGAAATCTGCAGAAATTGAAGAAATAGCAGGTGATAACATTGTTGAAGCAAATGGTGATAATAATGTATAAAGTGCAACCCAAGCAACACTAACCCATTTTTTAGTATCTGACCAATTTTTAGGATTTTCTGGATCATCATCACCATCCCATGTAACTAATTCTGGATCAATTTTTTGAAATTCAGTACCATCGTTCAAAGTTGGTAATGCTTCTTCTCTATTAGCTTGTTCATAAATAGATTTAGCCTTGTTAGATTTTGTACCAGCCATTGATTCAATATCAAGGTCTTGGGTATTTTGATATTCTTGAGCTGCACGTTCTTCTAAAGTATTAATGATTGTAGCTTTGGTTTGGGTTCTTTTCAATTGAATTTCATTGGAGTCTAAATCTTCACCATAAATGTTTTTCTCTGTGAAGTCTTCATAATCATTATTGTCTTTTTGGGATTGATGAGTAAGAGTCTTTTTGATACTTGAAATGAAGTTTTCCTCAGGTGGATTCAATGATGAAATTGTATGAACTTTGTGAAGTTCTTCACTTTGACGTTGTCGTCCCCCAAATGGTTGAGGAGCGTCAGAAGTGACACTTTCATTGCTTAACGATGATGCTGAGCTCATGATGGATTGATTAGCAATTAATAAAGAATAACAATCTGATTAGCTAGCTGATTGAAAAATTACAGCCGTTATGATGGTTATTATATATGTATAATATGGGTCCTTTTTGGTTTTGGATCTTAACTTTTGTAGGCTTTTGAATGCTTAATCGGTTAAATGAAAGCTCGAGACCGTTGAAACTTTTTCTTGAAATTTCCAGAGCAGATTCGAAACTTATGAGCCTATTTCAGATATAATAGCAAATGTTCTTGTTTAATCAATACCAACGACGTGTGAACACTGTGATTGAATGCTTGTTGATGTTTGTACACTAGGAAACGTTTAAAAAGAACTTGAATGTTTTTAAATTTGCAAAATTTTCTTTTTTCTATGTGTAGATTATTATTCATCATGTACACCAGAGATTTTTTTTTACGGGATAAAGTTCCAAATAAGGAAGGTCTAGCTCCCTTGAGAAGTATTTCCGGCCAAAGGTCGGCCAGACAGCCGTGTACTTAATGAACAACTTTACCATTAATTTGAGTATGAATTGAATGGAATCTACTGTTTAGTTTATGTGACAATAGCATCTAACAAGGTGATGTTTTGGTTTACTTTGGGTGGTTTTCTGGATGAATGTTGATGTGTGAGAAATGAACTCTTGCAAGTTGCAAGGCCGACTTGACAGAAATGAGCCCGCACGAATCCGCATGGAGCTTTCAAGCTGATTTTCTTCGACAAGCTGATACATGTTGAGAGAATTGAGCTAACTCAGTCGATAATGCTTTCAGACTGCTTGTGGCCCATCAACTTAACAGAAAGCCGTTGATCGTGCCTTAAGTATCAATCACCCACGTTGAAACGACGTGGTGTGTTTTGGAACCCAGCAGGTGCCCGAGACACAAATTATGTAGTTGAGATGGAGTTCAAACAGCTTCAAAGCCTAGCTTGGGTCTTTGATTGATGCCTGTTTATTTGTAATCAGCTGCTTATGATGAAAGAACCACTTCCTAGTACTCATTTACAGCCATTCTAGCAGACTTTACAACAAAGGATACACCGAACCAGTAACTGATCAATTGCAGATAGCCTTGAAAAGCTACACTAATTACTTCCGCCTCAAAGTTGGGCACATGAATAAAGTATGAAACACCCAGGGGTCGTATGAGCCATAACGACAGTACACATACTACATAGTAGATACTCTATTAATTGTTCGCATCTGTCAAAAGTAGCGGCTTATTTCAGATGTTTTGGTTAGCGACACAATCAGAAAGATGATAAGAGAAAATGCAGTATATAAAGCTGATGTACTCCAGGCTCCATCAAAATCACTCAGGTGGAGTACTTCTTTTGATTTTCTAGCATACAATGATTCTTGATGTTGCCATATATTCTTGGTACTGGTAGTAGCCAATAAGAAGGGTTCGCTTGACTGATAAGCTATTGAAGGTAACGCTCCAAGTGAACTATCAAAAGCCATCAATGATCAGAGCTAGCTGCAACTAACAATAATTAGACGAATTATATTAAAAAAGGATCATGAGCTGGCAAATCCGATACTACACAAATGAATTATACATTATTGAAGAGTTCGGCTGAGCTTGTGGAGGACTTCGACGCAATTTGCACTAGCTTTGAACCAGGACACTCAGCCAGTCAGATCAAGACTCGACGCAATATTAATGTTATTGTACAATGTACACAATCCTAAATTATTTGATCAGTAGCTGTTATATGACTCTAAATGTGCTACATTTAAGGTAACTGCTAACAGCTAGCTGCTATGCGTTCAACAAAAGTTGTCTGTTTTCATAAATTGATACGTACTATCAACATCGTGTCGAATACTGGACACATTATATATAAGGGGACGTGGATTTGGATATTCTTTGACGATAAAGAGGTCACAAGATGGATATTGGCACTCTACACCTTGTTGGATGTGCTAATAGTTGCCGTAGGTGTAAACTTGTGTAGACATCAATGAAAGTGTGTTGAACGTAAATTGTTATATTTGAAAGAGAGTTGAGCCAAAGTGACGTGTATGGTCTCGGTCTTAACCTAATCAAGGTTTCTACAATTTCATTGGTTGATTCTCCGAGATTGATTCCATCAACCTGTAGCCGTTATAACGTCAACCCAGTTATATGATCCAAAGCACTGTGTGTTCAGCCTTAAAGCGAAGAGTCAAAACCTATAAGCTATAACCGTATATTGTAGTTTTCGGCGACAAACGAACTTTGTTCTCAACGGAATAAGGCAGCTTTCATATTATTTTAGGTCGCGATTTTCTGGTAGGGCCCGTTATCGATGGTACGGACAGGCCCATGGTATGCTGATTAAACGAGCTAGAGCTCTTCTTTAGTCAGTGTTTACTTCAAGTGTTAAATTGGTATGCCCTAGAGGATATGAAGCTTTATTCAATAGTTTCAGCCCGTTTTGATTCGTCTGTGCCTGTCTTTCCAGTATGTTTTGCTGTTTGGTGCCAAAGTACGATGCCCTTCGGCGAGCAGCTGGAGCCTCGAGGATTCCGCCGGTGGGATCCTAGGCAGATAAAGTGCCTGGCGAGCGTGTGAGGGCCTGCGAGTGGCCGTTACCAAAAATATTTTTGACACACAAACTTTTTTTCCGTTACCAATGCCATTATCAAGATCAATCATTGGTTACTTCCTATCAGCGATTAGAGATTGAGCATCACTCATATATAAAGACAATGAACCCCCAACACCACACCATCGTAGTGTGAAGGGTCTTCTTCTTCTTTTACTTCTTCATAGAGATAAATCATCTTTTGCTGCTATTGCACAGACATCCCAATTCACACACACACTCTTGTCCTAGCGCGTTAAAAGATTTATTTGATCCAATCATACACAGCATGTCTACTATAGGGTGGACCACAGAAGACTGGATAGACTTCCACCAAAAAGCTACTCCAGATGATTCACTTGAAAAGATTTTACAACTTTTGAAGTCTCAAAGTGCCGCTCCACAAGATCCAGCTTGGATTTCATTAGCTTCAGAAGAAAACATTAAACACCAATGGCAAATACTCCAATCTAAACTTCATAAAGAAAATTTGACCTTATACGGTGTTCCAATTGCGGTGAAAGACAACATCGATGCTAAAGGATTTGAAACAACAGCTGCTTGTCCTTCTTTTGCTTATACTCCAGAAAAAGACTCCACTGTGGTTAGATTGTTGAAAGAACAAGGTGCCATTGTTATTGGTAAAACTAATTTGGATCAATTTGCAACTGGTTTGGTTGGTGTTAGATCACCATATGGTAAAACTCCATGTGCTTTCAGTGATAAACATGTTTCTGGTGGTTCCAGTGCAGGTTCCGCTAATGTTGTTGCTAGAGGTATTGTTCCAATTTCATTAGGTACTGATACTGCAGGTTCAGGAAGAGTTCCAGCCGCTTTGAACAATTTAATTGGATTAAAACCATCATTAGGTGTTTTTTCATGTTCTGGTGTTGTTCCAGCATGTAAATCTTTGGATTGTGTTTCAATATTTTCATTAACTTTAGGTGATGCTCAAAAAGCATTCCAAGTTATGGCTAAACCAGATTTAAACAATGATGAATATTCAAGAGCCCTTCCGGCTAATCCATTATTGAAATACAACAAAAAACCTAAAATTGCCATTCCAGAGACTTTACCATGGTATGGTGAAAAGGAAAATCCAAAACTATATGAGGCAGCAATTGCAAACTTAGCTAAAACTGGTGCTGAAATTGTTAAAATTGACTTCACAGACTTGTTAGATTTGGCCAAATGTCTTTATGAAGGTACCTGGGTCGCTGAAAGATATGCTGCCACAAAAGATTTCTTAGCTACTGATCCACCAAAAGATACTTTAGACCCAACTGTTATTGGTATCATCAAAACTGCAACCAAATTTGATGCATCCGATGCTTTCAAATATGAATATAAAAGACAAGGTATTTTGCAAAAAGTTCGTCAATTATTAAAAGAAATTGATGTTTTAGCTGTTCCAACCTGTCCTTTGAATCCAACCTTTGAAGATTTGGAAAAAGAACCAGTCTTAGTCAACTCATATCAAGGTACTTGGACTAACTTTGTCAACTTGGCTGATTTAGCTGCTTTAGCAATTCCAGCTGGATTCAGATCTGATGGTTTACCACAAGGTGTCACTTTAATTGGTCAAAAGTTCACTGATTATGCTTTGTTAGATCTTGCTAACCGTTATTTCAAAGTTGCATTCCCACCAGAAGCTAGAAAATTAGGTGCCACTGATGCTAAATCTTTATTAGGTGATGAATTATCAGTTCCAAAACCAGACCTTTCAAGATCCATTAAATTGGCTGTTGTTGGTGCTCATTTACAAGGTATGGCTCTACACTGGCAATTGGAAAAAGTGAATGCCACTCTATTACAAGCTATTAAAACTTCAAAGAACTACAGACTATATGCTTTACCAAAAGTTGGACCTGTTGCTAAACCTGGTTTGAGAAGAGTTAGTGAGTTTGGTGAACAAATTCAATTGGAAGTTTATTCTGTTCCATTAGAAAACTTTGGTGATTTCATTGCTATGGTTCCTGAACCTTTAGGTATTGGATCTGTTGAGTTAGAAAATGGAGAATGGGTCAAATCATTCATTTGTGAAGAAATTGGTTATTCACAAAAAGGTACTACTGATATCACAAGTTATGGTGGCTGGAAAAATTACATTCAAGAGTCAGCTGCTAAAGATTCATCAGCCAAAAAACCATTCAACACTGTTTTAGTTGCTAATAGAGGTGAGATTGCTGTCCGTATCATCAAAACTTTGAAGAAGATGGGTATCAGAGCTGTCTCTATTTATTCAGATCCTGATCAATACTCTGAACATGTTTTAGTTGCCGACCAAGGAGTTCCATTACATGGATCAAGTGCTGCTGAAACTTATATCAATATTGATAAAGTGATCAAAGCTGCTAAGGACTCAAAAGCTGAAGCTATTATCCCAGGTTATGGTTTCTTATCAGAAAATGCTGACTTTGCTGATAGATGTGCTAGAGAAGGTATTGTCTTCGTTGGTCCTTCTGGTGATTCCATTAGAAAGTTGGGTTTGAAACATTCAGCAAGAGAAATTGCTCAAAAAGCTGATGTTCCATTAGTTCCAGGTTCTGGTTTAATCTCTGATGTTCAAGAAGCTATTGAATTTGCTAAAAAGTTGGGTCTTTCAGATGATCCTGAAACCTCTGTCAAAGTGATGTTGAAATCAACTGCCGGTGGTGGTGGTATTGGTTTACAAAAAGTTGATGTTTTAGCTGACTTACCAAACTCTTTTGAAACTGTTCAACATCAAGGTAAAGCTTATTTTGGTGATTCTGGTGTTTTCTTGGAAAGATTTGTTGAAAATGCTAGACATGTTGAAATTCAAATGTTTGGTGATGGGTTTGGTAATGCTATTGCACTTGGTGAACGTGATTGTTCTTTGCAACGTCGTAACCAAAAAATTATTGAAGAAACTCCAGCTCCAAACTTACCAGAAACTACTAGACAAGCTATGAGAAAAGCTGCTGAACAATTAGGTAGTTCAATGAACTATAAAGGTGCAGGTACTGTTGAATTCATTTATGAAGAAAAAAGAGATGAATTTTTCTTTTTGGAAGTCAATGCTCGTTTACAAGTTGAACATCCAATTACTGAAGCTGTTACAGGTTTAGATCTTGTTGAATGGATGTTGAAGATTGCCGCAAATGATGCTCCAGATTTCAAGAGTCAAAAGATTGAAGTTACAGGTGCTTCAATGGAAGCAAGATTATATGCTGAAAATCCAGTCAAAGACTTTAGACCATCACCAGGTCAATTGACTGATGTTGTTTTCCCAGAATGGGCTAGAGTGGATACTTGGGTTCAAAAAGGTACTGTTGTTTCTGCTGAATATGATCCAACTTTAGCAAAAATCATTGTTCATGGTAAAGATCGTGCTGATGCTTTAAGATTATTACAAAAGGCTTTAGATGAAACTACTGTTTATGGTGTTATTACCAATTTGGATTATTTAAGATCTGTTGCCAACTCCGAGATGTTTGAAGCCGCTAAAATGCATACAAAGATCTTAGACTCTTATGATTATAAAGCTAACGCTTTTGAGATTTTATCACCAGGTGCTTACACTACTGTTCAAGATTATCCTGGTAGAACTGGTTATTGGAGAATTGGTGTTCCACCTTCAGGCCCAATGGATAGCTATTCTTTCAGATTAGCAAACAAGATTGTTGGTAATGCTAATGCTTCCCCTGCTATTGAAGTAACTTTGAATGGTCCAACTTTACAATTCCATACTGATGCTATCATTGCTGTTACAGGTGGTGAAGTTGAAGTTAAAGTTAACAATGATGCTGTGAAACAATGGGAACCGGTTCATGTTAGAAGAGGTGACAAATTGGCTATTGGCAAAATCACCAAAGGTTGCAGAGCTTATCTTGCTATAAGAGGTGGTATTGATGTGAGTGAATATTTAGGATCAAGATCTACTTTTGCTTTAGGTAACATGGGTGGTTATAATGGTAGAGTTTTGAAACTTGGTGATGTTTTATTTTTGGGTCAACCATACTTGAAGAGTAACACCCTACCAGCACCAGAATCTGAACCATTGGTCTTACCCCAAGAATTGATCCCAGAATTTGAATCAAAGCAATGGACCGTTGGTGTTACTTGTGGTCCTCATGGCTCTCCAGACTTTTTCAAACCAGAATCTGTTGAAGAATTTTTCTCTGAGAAATGGAAAGTTCATTACAACTCTAATAGATTCGGTGTCAGATTAATCGGTCCTAAACCAAAATGGGCTAGATTAGATGGTGGTGAAGCTGGTCTTCATCCTTCAAATCAACATGATTATGTATATTCATTAGGTGCTATCAATTTTACTGGTGATGAGCCAGTTATTTTGACTTGTGATGGTCCTTCATTAGGTGGGTTTGTTTGTCAAGCTGTTGTTGCTGATTCTGAAATGTGGAAGATTGGTCAAGTTAAGCCAGGTGATTTAATTCAATTTGTTCCAATCTCATACTCAACTGCTAGAGAATTGAAATCTAAACAAGATACCACAGTTGAAACATTTACTGGTGGCTATCCACTATTGACTAGTGAATTGACTTTAACCAAACCTGAAAATCCAGTTCTTGCCACATTCAAAGCTTATGATAATGCTCCAATTGCTACCTATCGCCAAGCTGGTGATCGTTATATTTTGTTGGAATATGGTAACAATTCAATGGATTTCAACATCTCTTACAGGGTTAATCGTTTGATTGAAATGGTTGATACTCATCGTACAGTTGGTATTGTTGAAATGTCACAAGGTGTTAGATCTGTTTTGATTGAATTTGATGGTTATTTGATTGACCAATCCCAATTGATTGAAACTTTGATTGCTTATGAACGTGAAATCTTATTTGAAAACAAATGGAAAGTGAAATCCAAAATTTTCAAATTACCAATGGCTTTTGAAGATAAGAAAACATTAGATTGTGTTACTCGTTATCAAGAAACTATTCGTTCTGAAGCTCCTTGGTTACCAAACAACGTTGATTTTATTGCTGATGTTAATGATATTAGTCGTAATGATGTTAAAAATATGTTATACAGTGCTAGATTCTTGGTTTTAGGTCTTGGTGATGTTTTCTTAGGTGCTCCATGTGCTACTCCATTAGATCCACGTCAAAGATTCCTAGGTACTAAATATAATCCATCAAGAACTTACACAGCTAATGGTGTTGTTGGTATTGGTGGTATGTACATGTGTATCTATGCTATGGATTCACCAGGTGGTTATCAATTAGTTGGTCGTACCATCCCAATTTGGGATAAATTAAAATTGGGTGCTCACAGCACAGAACATCCATGGTTATTGACACCATTTGATCAAGTTGAATTTTACCCAGTTAGTGAAGAAGAATTGGATAAATTTACTGAAGATGCTAAACATGGTCATTTCAAAGTTGAAGTTGAAGATAGTGTTTTTGATCATGGTGAATATTTACAATGGATTGAGAAAAACATTGATTCGATCAGAAAATTTGAACAAAATCAAAAAGGTGAAAAAGCAGCTGAATTTGCTAAATTGATCCAAGTTGCAAATGAAGAATTAGCCAACAGTGGTGGACCAAAAGTTGATGAAGCTGAAAAATTCCCAGATGATGCAGAAATGGTTTATTCAGAATACAATGGTAGATTCTGGAAATCATTGGTTAAAGTTGGTGATACAGTGGAAGAAGGTCAAGGTTTAGTTGTTGTTGAAGCAATGAAAACTGAAATGGTTGTCAATTCTCCAAAAGCTGGTAAAGTTTTGAAAGTTGTACATGTTAATGGTGACATGGTTGAAGCTGGTGATTTAGTGGTTGTTATTCACTAGATTAAACTTATCTCCTTTGTATATTAGTGATGTGTGTGTGTAATGATTAGACGTTTAATTAATTTAAAATACTACATGTAGTTGAAATTATATATATATTGTAACATTCACGATTAGGTTGTAAAAAATGTTTTGATATGTATGGGGTCTATAGTTATAACAAGTCTTTTAAAAATAAAGTGGGTATAATAAGAGCCAACGAATTGATTAAACTCTTTCATAATAAATCATATAAACAGCTTGTGTTTCTCTCAAGACATCTTCTTTCTTAACTTCTGCAACTTTTGTATCTGAAATTCTCCAGAATGGGTATTTTGCCACAGTTGCAATCTTTTTGAATCTCTTGTTATGTGACTTGCTGCTCAATTCATTACTATTGAGTTGGAAACCAGCAAACCCTTCTTGTAGTTCTGGAAGTGCACCACTTGACTGACTGTTACTAGCCAACATTTGTTGAGCATTGTTTGAAACAGAACCACGACGGGAGCCAACATTTGGGCTAGTCATACTTATAGACGGACGACGTGACACTATACTTCCAATTCTGTTTCTGAATCTGGTAAAATGGGATGGGTCGTCATCTGTATCTTCAGCTTCGTCACCAGTAGCAGATGCTCTTGATAAACTTTCATTGGCAGCTTTTGGAGATGTTGGGACACTTGGACGGTTTGAAACTTTTTCGCTTAATCTTCTTAATCTTGTTGATCTTGATCTTTGAACACCAGCAGCAGATGGAGAGCCACCATTCACTTGAGATGGACTTGCTGGGACTTCTAATGGTTCTTCATTTGTGTTGACCACCACTTGAGGGGTGGATTCAGGAATATCTTCACCAAAATTGATAGTTGGTGATGTATTAACAACAGTATCATTCAAAGTGTCTTTCACTAATGCAGGTTTATGACGATAACATTCGTAATGACCAGCATTATGAGTTCCATGATGTCTGATGACAGCACGCAGCCTGTATTTAACATTTTCCTTAGAAGCATTCAATTCATTATCTTCATCACTTGAAGCATCTTCTTCCTCTCCATCTTCTTCATCAACTTCCTCATCTGGGTGTTCGTCTGATTCTGGTGATGTATTATCTGATTGACTTTGTGAATTCTCAGAAAATTGATCATGAGTTGTACTTTGATCTTCTTCAGGATCTGTATAAGTTGCATTTTCTTCATGAGTTGTCAAAACTTTTGAATGTATTCTTGCTAACTGTTGTGGTTCATTACGATCTTCATCGTATCCATCAAAATCATCATCTTCATCGTCGTCATCATCATCTGCATCATTCTCTTCTTCTTCTTTTTCCTCTTCAATTAATGATGTATCAATACCTTTTTTTAGCTTCTTTGCCAATTTTTGCTTTTTATGATAAGCTTTTGCTAAATTTTCATCTAGATTAATGGCCAAGACATCTTCAAATTGAACTCTACAACTATTTCTTGTCACTTGAGTTCCTGTAAACATTGATCTTGACAGATGAACAGTTAATAAACGTGGTGGTTTAACAACTAAGGTTTTCTTGACAATTGTAGATTGTAAATTTTCAGTTTTGAATCCACCATAACTGTAGTTTTTAACAAATTTATCCAAATCTTCTGGCAAATCATCATTTATACTGATATTGGATTCTTTCTGTTTCAATTCAGCAACTAGTTTTTGAGTCTCAGCTGTTGAATTTGTTGGTTGATCTTTTTCAACTTTTAAGATTGCTTTGATTTTACATCTTAAACAATTATAACCGTTGATAGTTTCCACTTCATTCTTTTTAACCATCTCCTCTAAAGATGTTATTGAAGTTTGAGGAACGGCCAAAGATAAGACAGCGAAAGGATGAAAGCTTGGTTTTGAAGAATTCAAACATGATAAACAAGTCAACTGATCAGCCAATAACCCATTAAATGGCATTTCGGGTATGACAAAGTTCAGGTTACTTTGCTTCACAAATTTCTTCAATTTGGTGTTTTCATTGTCTAAAGTTTCCAGTATCAGTTGCACCAATTCATGAGCATCGTTTTGGTTTGTTGAAATCTTTGAATTGAAAATTTTTTCAATGACTTGCAAAAAAGGCCACACTGAGACGTAATGTTGTGTTGTTATTGTCACTTGTAATTCCTGAACAATAGTAGCTAAAGCCTCATGTAATGGTAATTTTGGAGCTTCTGAATTGGTTGGTAATTTGTCTAACAATTTGTGCTGTTTTAAAATATCATTTAAATAAACATCTAACCCTGGCATTGCAGCAAATGCTTGAATTGAAGAATTTGCAAAACAATCATTTCTTGTGTTTATTAAACCAGTGGTAAATTTATCTTGTCTTTTGGAAGTGAACATTCTATCTTTTTCTTCTTGGGATTGAAATACTGTAACTAAAGTTGGTGCAAGGATATAAATTGATAATAAAGTTAACGAAGCTGTAATTAGCATACGATTCTTTTGGGTATTCGGTGCGAGTTTCCAGTATTTGAGATAGAGGTAGTGGATGGAGTTGGATGAAACTGCTGCTAAATAGTCTTGTTTTGATATAGATTTGATAGCTTGGTTGTTGTTTTGGTTTAGAGCTTTTGTAGTGAAATCAATTACTTGATCAATAAATGACATCTACTAGGCATTAAAAGAGTCCCGGATTTGACAGGAAACAGTCCTTATAACAATTGAAAACCTTTGATAGCAATGTGTTGCAATGACCACCACCGCCTTTAGGGTTTTCAAGATGATTGTTGATAGATGTGATCAGAAATTAAAACCTGAGATTGTAAGATTTTTTTGACCAAACCCCCAATATGCAAATTCTATTTCTTGAATCTAAGCGCTGTGAATGGATTAGACTGTGTGCACTAGTTAATGTTATCTGGAAATGTTGTTTGTCGATTGATGTGTAATGGATTTCAATTTCTGGGATGAAGTTTTTGGGAATTTGGGCAAAACTGCAAAAAATACCAGCTGCCACCGCTTCTCCAACTTTTTCGCAATTTGTCACAAGCTGTAACAGTCAACGGATGTGATATATGGGATGTTTGTAGTGTAGCTTGTTATGGCGTTTTATGTATTTGAGTGGCTACAGATGGCGGCTGTTAATTGGGCTTTGCTGATTTATAAATTGCCAACTTGTTTACGTTGGCCTGGTGTTTTCATTGATTTTGTTGGCGCCAGTTTATACGTTGTTTACCGTTGATTATGATGTCATGATTAGCTAACTCAAAAGTTAATGGTGTTGGGATGTAAACATGATTACTACAATGTTATATAATCCACACTGTAATTTTTTGTATACACTTCTTAAACAAACCAAATCAACAAGTCAGATCAATCCTATTATTAACACAAACACCTTATTCACCATGGATCACAAAGATGACAACTTCACAGTACCCACAAATCCTATCCAAGCGAGACTACAGCAACAACGAAATGCTATGACCTCATCAAACACAACGACAACCTCCCAGAACCTTCGAAGAATACCAGTGATACAACCTCCAAACTCATCTCAACAACGAGCTAGATCTCAATTGGCGCCTCCAACTACAGCATCATTCCCAAGCCTCAACTCTGCACAAAGAGCTGGTGGTGCTCGTAAGAAAGTTGTCTTGGAACAGGGTTGCTCTCCTTTAGATTGGGCAAGATTAAATTCAAGTGGTCAAAATCTAAGAGGAATTGAACCTCATCAGTTCCCATTAAAAGTTGATAAAGAAATGTTAAAATTACACAAACAAAAAAATGATTGTTGGACTGTTCTTAAAGGGAAGGTTTATAATATTACACCTTATGTTAAATTTCATCCTGGTGGTGTTGAGGAGATTATGAAATGTGCTGGTAAAGATGGAACTTCACTATTTAATAAATATCATGCCTGGGTGAATTTCGAAAGAATGTTGGAGAACTGTTTTATAGGGTTTTATATTGGCTAGCAAGTATAGAATTGTTGCCTTAGAATCATAGAATGGTTTTATTGCTGGCCGTTGTAGAGCCTTTTTGATTACATTAAAGCACTAAGCACTACGATTATTAATCATACACGTATAATCCAGGATGACAAAAAAAAATAACAATTGATGATATAAATTACACAAAGTTTTGTTTTAACAACTTTTTAGTTAAAAGGAATAAAAATTTTAAAGAAAAACACACCCAAACTATCAAGAGTGCTCTCAGAAATCAAACTCAAACTTCAACAAATTATTCAAGTTCAATCTGATGACTTGTGCTTTGCTTCATACTCAGCTTTAGCTTTTGCAAAGGCATCTTGGTATGGTTTCTTTTCAGCGTCAGATAATTTCTTCCATGCTGCACCAGCAATTTTGCCCACTTCAACCATAGAAGCTCCTGGGTTCTCCTTTACGAAATCAGCCCTGTGATCAAGCAAATATAAGATAAATGAATTTGAAGGTCTTTTTGGGGGTAAAGTCTTCTCATAGGCATCCACTTCAGCATGGTATCTTTCAGAATCTTGTTTGTTAATTTCATAAAATGGTTGTTTAGCAGCATCACTCAAAGTGCGCCATTTTGCAGCCATTTCTTGTGCAAAATCAACAGCAGAACCTGCTGGTTTGTATTGTTTGTAATAATCAGAAACATAAGCAGCATATGCTGTGATTGGTCTTTTGATAGCTAGATTTAAATTATGTTAATAGCGGTGCCACTTTTTCAATCAAGCAGTGAGATTGAAACAACTTCATATTAAGCGAAACAATCCTTGGACTTCATAATTCAACTTACCTGCTTTTCCAGTCTTTGGTGGTTTAGTGGTTTTAGTGGTTTTGGTGGCGTCCTTTTCAGCTTTCTTCAAAGCGGTAAACCCTGAAGAGAAGGAAACTCTCATCAATGGGGCACCTGTAACAGCGACTTGTCTTTTGAATAATGATAACATAACGACTGAGGAATCAATTCAATGTACTTTCAACTAACTTCTTGATAAATTTGAAAAGAATTGAGTTGACAATTCGAGTTCAAAGGAGTGTTTGTTTACAAACTTGAAGCTTTTTTTTGTTTTGGTATTTCACAAATTGTGATCAGTAGTGCGGTACGCGCAACAGCAAACAAAGCGTTTCCTGTCAGGTATTACATAACCAGAATAACCAATTATGCACAATTCATCAATACTCAACATTTCACATCAACTATAAGAAGAATCAAGAATCCACTAATTGTAACATTATATGTATATTAATAGAACATCGGAATTACCTTATATACACACAGTAGAGGATATTCTGTCAGGTTAAAACCACGAATAAAATAAAACAAGTGATCATTAAATCAACATCAACTAGAAACAATGGCTGTCACAAGAAACTCCAATAGAAGAAACACCTCTTCAACCTCTTCAACCTCTTCAACCTCTTCAACAACTAGAGTAACCAAAACCAGAAAACCAGCCAGAAAAACCAAGGCTAATCCTCGTGTTACAGCAATTGAAAACAATATTTCTGCATCACATGCTGCATCAACATCTGAAAACACACCAAACTCAACCACTTCAGAGAAATTTTTCAACAATGGTGTTCAACAGCTGCATTATCTGACACAAATGAAATTTTTCTAGTTCAACTGAACGGACCATGAGACAAT